TCTGAGTATATTTGTAGAGTGGCGCTGAGGAGAGCGGTCTGAGTATATTTGTAGAGCAGTGTTGAGAGTGGTCTGAGTATATTTGTAGAGTGGCGCTGAGGAGAGCGGTCTGAGTATATTTGTAGAGCAGTGTTGAGAGCGGTCTGAGTATATTTGTAGAGCGGTGTTGAGAGCGGTCTGAGTATATTTGTAGAGCCGTGTTAAGGAGAGTGGTATAGACACTCTGAGTGGCGCTGAGTGCTGCTCCTCTGGCAGAGTGGTGTCCAGTCCACTTACACGCATCAATGACTGAGCATGCCTGCAGCACTGCATTGTGGGCCAGTGAGACAGGGTAGCAGCAGGGAACACACTACAACATAGATGGAGACAGAGAGACAGAGTTAGAGAGAGAGATGGAAAACAGCAGGATTTGTTTACCTTCATGAGAGAAAGACAGAAAGATTACAGTGGTTTAGTCTGAATACGAAAGTCAAAATACTATATTTAAATAAAATGTGTGATGAGTTAAGTAGTGCGGAGTGATGTATTGTTTATACTAGTATTTAGGACTTGTTTTGAGGGGTGGGGGCACACCACGTTAAAAAAATACTAAAACAATTCCTCTTGTAAAACTGCCATTCCTCTGTTCTGTACCTTTTGGATTAATATTATTTTATCACGCAAGATGTTTCTTATTGATATTTTAATTCCACTCATATTGAGATATACACAGTGTTGCATTTGATGAAAGAACTGTTCCACAACGAAAAACAACACAAAGCCACTGTAAGATTGTTTATATTCATATAAGCTGTTTGTATTTGTAGTTGGCTGTTGCTGCTGATAAGCCAACATGGATGTTAATGCCTTGTTATTAAAGGAGAAACTGATTATTGGTGTCTAGGCGATCACAGTATAAGATGAATGATATCTAAAAAGGCCTCTTTCCTGGTGTAAAAACAGTGAAGTATACCTACGGCTTGTAACCACTTTACCATCCTGCGTGAGTTTTTTTTTTTTTGTTTGTTTGTTTTAATTTGACCACTGCCACTATACCAGCACTGGTGTACCACTATGAGACTGATTATCATTTGCAGCAATATTAATATGTAACAACATAGAACTGCAACTGTTTGCCATTGGCCGAGTGCTTCTGATTGTTTTGAAAGAACTATTCAGAATACATTAAAGCTAGGTAATTAGCAGCTTGGTGTCTAGTTAAAATTTACAGTGTTGTTTCAAGGTCAAGTTCCCTTTGGTGTGGGTAAAAAAAATGTTACCTATATTCATACAAACTTAAACTTCAGCTGACACTGTGATATATTTGGAAATGTTCTCGGTATGGCCCAGCACTAGACTGAAGTCTCAATGAGACTGAGACTAAATAAAAATGACTGAATGGTTCAGCACCAGCACATTGCAGTCAGTGATGAGCACATGACTCCAATTGTCCACTGTTGTCATTCTTCCACTCTTCCTTTGTGCAGTAACACACTTAATGTGTAACCTTACACTGCTTTCCACTTTTAGCCTGTAACAGATCCCCCTGTCCCTAACTGCATTTATTCAGCCAGTGGTGTAGAGTGGCCCTGTAACCCCAGCTAGTAGGAGCCTCGGGTGCTCCTACTACACAGAGAAAGAGATCACACACACATACACACACGCATACACACTGCTCATACAATGTGCATATGCACACACAGACATAGACACGCACACACACACACACACACTGCTCATACAATGTGCATATGCACACACAGACATAGACACACACACACATGCACACACACTGCTCATACAATGTGCATATGCACACACAGACATAGACACGCACACACACACACACACATACACTGCTCATACAAATGTGCCCATGCACACACACACATAGACACACACACACACACACACACACACACACAATAAAACACAAACACAAACTGCTTACACATGTGCCCATGCACACACACAGACATAGACACGCACACACACACACACACACACACAATAAAACACAAACACAAACTGCTTACACATGTGCCCATGCACACACACAGACATAGACACGCACACACACACACACACACACACACACACACACACACACATAGACCCACATACACATACATATACATACACAAACTAATTGCTTACACACGTGCCCATGTACACACACAGACAGACAGACACACACACGCACACACACACACAGGTGTAACTTTGTGTTGAATACTGGAGGCCCTCCTTTTGGGGTCTGCTGGACAGGCAGCCACAGTAAAAATGGCAAAAGCTGTTAAACACTTTTTGGAAATATGCAAAAACATAAGGATCTCACCTCTGCAAGAATTACAACCTAAATATACAATACTGTTTGGTCTTAGTGATATAACAGGATATACTAACACTCTTTAGGTAAGTCCAAACTATGGTCATTTCTACTGGGTCAAATAAATGTTGTGAATGTATATATTTTTACTATTCAGAACAGCATAAAAGCGCATGAATTGTGTCTTTATATTACGTATTGTCACTGTCAGAACTAAACCTTGTATCTACATTTTTGTCATTTTAAATTTTTTCTAATAATTTGGAAATTATGTTTGCCCTTTACACAAACACACATTTTCTAAACCACTTATCCTTCTGATTCACGGGGGGTGCTGGAGCTTATCCCAGGGGTCAATGGGCAGAAGGCAGGATACACCCTGGACAGTTCGCGAGTCCATCGCAGGGCAGACAGTCAGACATATACATTCACACACACACTCACTATCTTGCCACTCATATATATAATGACATAATAAATGTCTTTCTTATATAGTAACATGTCAAAATCTGTGCTAAACGCATCAAAAGAAATACCATCACTCATAGCAACTTAGCTCAATATGATGTGCTTGACAGGAGGACCTCAATGAGAAGCCAGACAAGGTTTAAGCTTCAGTTTCCCACTCTGGGCATTAGCCAGTTTTTAGAACTGGGGAGCTGGCAGCAAAAATATTTTATGCAGTATTTATTATGTAAGTATTAACAGTACTTATTTTTACTTCTGTCGCATTTTATCATAATTAATAACAAGGTTGTAAAACCCCTCTCCCTCCCCCAAGGAATTTACACGTACACATATACACTTACATACACACACACATGCATGTGTGCACATTCAGCATTAGTATTTGGAACTGGTCTCTTATCTCTCCATCTGTCTGGTGTTTATGATTGAGTGTAACTGTCAAGTTTAGACTTACAGAAATACCCAATTACAAGTCAAAGGTCCTTCTCTTATCTTTAACATTAACACTTTAACAATCACACAGTGACTTGCCAGTAACTGAGTACATTTGGGAAGGAACAACTGCAGATGGTAGGTTTGGTTTGTCTTAAGTACTTAAGATAGCGCTTTTGGTGGAATGCAGTTTTGATATTAAACCTACACGAGCAATAATTATACAGAATTAAATACCGTTCAAAATTATCATCTGATTCTTAAGGGAAGGAAGTCAAGAAATCAGCCAAGGTTTGTCTTGGGTGAAGATAATATCAACATTTGTAGCCATTAAGCTTAAATGTTTCTGTACTTCGGTGTTTCTGAAGTAACTGGGTTGTAGTTGTAGTTGGGTGTTTCTGAAGTAACTGGGTTGTAGTTGTAGTTGTAGTTGGGTGTTTTTGAAGTAACTGGGTTGTAGTTGTAGTTGGGTGTTTCTAAAGTAACTGGGTTGTAGTTGTAGTTGGGTGTTTCTGAAGTAACTGGGCTGTAGTTGTAGTTGTAGTTGGGTGTTTCTGAAGTAACCGGGCTGTAGTTGTAGTTGTAGTTGGGTGTTTCTGAAGTAACCGGGTTGAAGTTGTAGGTGTTTCTGAAGTAACTGGGTTGTAGTTGTAGTTGGGTGTTTCTGAAGTAACCGGTTGTAGTTGTAGTTGGGTGTTTCTGAAGTAACCGGGTTGTAGTTGTAGTTGTAGTCGGGTGTTTCTGAAGTAACCGGGTTGTAGTTGTAGTCGGGTGTTTCTGAAGTAACCGGGTTGTAGTTGTAGTTGGGTGTTTCTGAAGTAACGGGTTGTAGTTGTAGTTGGGTGAATTTGCTCAGTTAATACCTTGCATAATTACAACCGCTATGGTCACAGAATTTTGAAGTTTGAATCAAGTATCTGAATCCAACACATCTTGCAGAGCTTATTTGTTTTTTTAAAGAATGGATACTGATAAATAATTGATTCTTGTGAGCAGGCGAGTTAGATATGGCCTTAGAAGACCTGCAGGACTGTTCTCTTTCGTACTAGCCTGCATCCGTTCCCCAACCCTAAATGTCTGGCACTGAAACATGGTTCCATTCATAATTTAATATGCCTATACAAATAGCCGGCACACCTATCCTTTACCACTGCTTGTACTGCTCTTCAAGTTCAAAATGATCACAATAACAAGTTGCCATCATGTGTGCTTAATAATATGTTTGTTGAAGTAAAAGCATAGTTAAAATACTGCTAGTTTGCTGAATAAAGTAACTTGAGGAAGCTTCTCTTTGCGTCTCTGTGCTTAGTTGACTATGTGTCTTCTCCTTAAGCCGAGGCATTTTAGTGTTAGTTTTGCAGAGAGTTGTTACATCACAAGAAAACATGCTTTTTCCTTGTCTTTACGGCCTTTTGAGTATTAGAGACTGTATAATATTGTCCTTTATGGAGTTTCTGTCAGAAGGAGAATGCAACTTTTATGATTATAGTGCAGATTTCATCGTTTATGAACCAGCTTGTATGTAGTGTAACAGTTCTCTCTTTAATCCTCATCTCTGATCAGTACATCTAGTGAGTGATTTGCTACTCTGTCTATATGAAATGCATCATTTTCTCTGAGAGATAAAAGGGAGGGTACGTCAGCTTTCAGTGAAAGAAACCAGTGTGTATCGATAAGTACCTGTACAACAGTATTTACACATTAATCAACACATGCTCACAATTAAAACACGGCATTGTTTAACGAGGGTAGGTGAATTATCAGGTGTTAATATCTTTGTTCCCTCCTGCAGACCGGCGACGGCAGGGCAAATTCCAGCCATTCCGACGCTTGTTTGGGAAGAAGAGGAGGAGGGAGACAGAGCGAACTTTTGAGGAAGCAGAACTCAAACCTAGCCATTCCACTGGTGATGTGTGCAATGGGGGGGTTTCGGGCCATGAAGAGATCAATCAGCATTTGAGGTGATTTGCTCTGTTCACTATAGTAAAAATGTACCTTGAAAGGATTTAAGTTCTGTGAACAAGAATTAAACCACTGAATGAAAACTTAAAATATAATCCTACTTTGACACTGGACTTTTTTTTTAAATAATGATCTTTGATAGATTCTTTTGCTCTTTTCGCTCCCTTAATATGGCAGTGAAGAGAAGAACAGATTAAAATTTCAGTTGAAATCTAGGATCATGTACACTAACTATTCCCCTCAATACAAGTTGGTGCATCTGTTTCATAATTTGCTTCCTTATAAAACATGAGAGGGTAAACAGTTACCTAACAAGTGTTGTTGTGTGAATGCAGGGAGCTAAATCCCCTGGGGTCTCGCGCTTTTTCACACGAGAGCGTCTTTATCCCTGAGGATTCTGTAGAGAAGCTGTGCTCGGAGCAGACCATGTCTCAGGAGAACGTCTCGGACAAAGTTAGGAACCTACAAGTGAGTGAACTGTATGTACATTCATGCGCGGTTTAATTACAAGCATATTTATTTTCTCACACTCAGAAGAGGAGTTATTTGTATAACAAGACTGGGGAATAATAGCGACAACAGACACAAAGCAAGGAAAATAATAGTAATAAAGCTCTATCTAGCTCCCTTTACATTGACCTTTCCTGTAACTGAACCCTACATCCTGATATTTTCATCTACACAGAGACAGATAGCGCACAACATAAAGTTTGGCCAGAAGCCCCCGTCACTGCGGAAGAGTGAGGGAGATGAAGGTAGCTCAGATGAAGAGGAAATACCAAGAAGTCCGCTCCGAGTCCTGGCACAGGTGGAGACGGAACCACAGGAAGCCGAGGCCTGGGAAAAGGTAAGAACAAAACCCTTGAAGATTGGTAGACTGTCATTATAAGCGTACCCCGCCCTAGTATTGAACCCCTCCCAAACAGAGGCAACTGTTCTTCTTTCTGTCTTCAAAACTATTAAAGTTAATGATCTGTGAGTGCATATTCTGCTGCATTGATGAAATTGATCTCTGTACTAAATATATATATTTTTAATGTAGACTGAATGAGGGAAATATGTTGTATCTATAATTTCTTAAATGGGCAGGTTTGGATATGATTGCTGTCAGAACAAAACCTCATATCTCTAAAATGGTAACCTCATAGGAGAAGGAAAAGAAAATATTCTTAAGTTTTAATGGAAATTAATGTAAAAAAATGTTGGGCTGTTTCTGTTCACCAAGAAATTTTGAAACAATATAAAAAGCACCTGGTGTTTTCACATTATGGGAAAAAATTAAATCAAGCAAGCAAGCAAAGTTTATTTATATAGCTCTTCAACAAAAATGTAGAAGAGTCCAAAAATTTACAGAAAGGTGGCATGGTGGGCATTTCACCATAACTGTTCTTTTTCTTTAATTTTAGATTTTGTTTATAGACCTTTTCGAATGTTCAGCATTTCTTTATCGACTGCTTTTCTCCATTTTATAAACAGGTTTCGTCTATTACCCATGATGTAGCCCAACACAAGACTCCTGTAAAATCCCCTCGCACCAAACGTCCACCTCCCCCTGGCACAATTGAGTCAATTAACCTGGATGCTGTTCCACAGTCAGGTCCACGCTTGGACAACACTGCTGCCAAACATAAACTATCTGTAAAACCCAAAAACCAGCGAGTTTCTCGCAAGCACCGTAGGTTCACACAGGTAAGAAATAACATGGTCTTTTCACATCCATTTGGGGCCACTAGGATTGTTGGGAACTTCTTTTTGTTTCACAATGACAAAAATAATGTCTTATGTATTTTAGGAGCTTCTAGAGGCAGATCTTGCAGCAGTACTGCAGGAAGAGACTGATTTGCACAAAGTTGTAGATGAATCAGGAGTCTGGAGAGAAGAGTACGCAAGAAGTCATGGGGCCAGAGATGACCATGAGTTTCCAGAAAAATCCAAGAAGCAGCGACTTCAGGAAGAGGAACAGGAACGCCTTGATCTTCAGAGGAGGCGGGAGCAAGATGAAGAGAGAAGGAGGGAGGAAGAGAGGAGAGCTGAGGAACTGAGGCTGGAAGAAGAGAGAATTCGCAAGTTACAAGAAGAAGAACGCTTGCGACGGGAGGAAGAGGAGAGAAGACAGTGGGAGGAAGAAAGGAGAAGGAAGGAAGAAGAGGAAAGAAGAAGGAGGGAGGAGGAGCAACGTTTGAGAGAGGAGGAAGAGAAGAAGAGACGTGAGGAAGAAGAAAGAAAGAAGAGAGAAGAAGAGGCGAGAAGGAGAGCAGAGGAGGAAAGAAGGCAGCAGGAACTGGAAGCAGAGCGCCTTCGCATGGAGGAGGAAAAGAGAAAGAAAGAGGAAGAGGAGAGAAGGAGGAAGGAGGAGGAGGCAGAAAAACAAAGGCTTCAGGAGTTAGAAGAGCAGTGGCGCAGAGAAGAGGAAGAGCGTCTTCTTGAGGAACAAAGAAGAAGACAAGCAGAGGAGGCTGAGCAGAAAAGACTGACAGAAGAATTGAAAAAGAAGGAAGAGGAGGATAGAAAGAGACAGCAAGAGGAGGAGAGAGCTGCTGAAGAACAGAGAAAAGCAGAGGAGCTGCGATGGAGGGAGATGGAAGAGAGGCAAAGACCCTTCACTTTCAAAGTATCTTCAGGAGAGAAGCAAATCCTCTTCCAAAAGGTCAACCTCACCCCAGTGACTCCGTTACCTGGTCAGCAGGGTGACACAGCTGATGAAACCAAGGAAGGCAGTCCAGGAGGTGCTGATTCACCAACTTTATCTTCATCCCTGTATGTTCCTCACACTGCTATCTTAGTAACTGGTGCGCAGCTTTGTGGAACTGCAGTAAATCTTGATCAGATAAAGGATTCAGCCTGCAAGTCTCTCCTTGGTCTGTCTGAGGACAAAAAAGCCATGGGCACACCACCAGTGAAGAGCAAGACATCGCCTGATCGCAAATCTGGGAAAACAAAATCGTTGAATGAATCTTCGTTGTCTGTAGATCAGTCCAGTGCTGCTGTTCTAGCAGAATGGGCCAGTATTCGATCCAAGATTTTTAAAGGTGCCGAAGACGGAAAATACCAGGAATACCCAGATCAGAACCGTAAGCAGGGGCAAAGTCGAACAACAAGCGAGGACCTGAATCAACCCCCTTTCTCTCATGCCAACCTCAGGAAGACCATGTCAGCAAGCGCCAAATTTTCCATCACTCCAGCCAGAAAGAAGTTTGCTGACTCCAACAGGAATTCTGAGGTCTTCAGTCAAGATGACAAAGAAATAGAGAAGGTTGATTCACTGTCTACAGATTCAACACCCAGCCAGCCTCTCCACTCACCTTCCTCAGCTGCCAAGGCTCAAATCAAGGGAGGAAAGGCAGTCCGCATCTCAGACAGTGCTGAAGAATGCAAGTTTGCCAAAGACCTCCCTTCCTTCTTGGTTCCAAGTCCACCACATGGATCCCCCAAATCCCTGAGGTCTGAAACTATGTCCGCCAGCCAACTGAAGGCTGGGGTCATGGACACAAGCGACGATGGAGATCAGAGAGACCAGAGTGGCGACGAGAGGCCCTCACCATTTGGGATCAAGCTTAGAAGGACCAATTACTCGCTTCGCTTCCATAGTGAACAATCCAGTGAGAAGAGGAAGAAAAGGTACAGTGCAGGTGATAGTTTTGAAGGGGTTCCAGTGCCCCTTACTTCCACTGACCAAGACTCGGACTCCTCTGCATTCTCTGAGAAGACCAGTCCTAAGTCTCCACTCCGAGAGACTGATGGAATCAAACTTCAGGCAGTCTCCAGTGTAGAGTCACGGTCCAAGACCAGCAGAAATACTTTGAACTCCGTAAGTAATGAACGTGACAAGCTTGTCAAACCCCCGCTTTATCAGAAACCTGCCACATGTCCCAGACCATCCGAAGGTGCCACACCTCCACCATCTCCACTACCTAAACCTGGGAGAAGGACTTCTGGGGATACGCCTTCTCAGAGGACAGAAGGGCCAGAATTGGCAGCTGCTGAAGAGTCCAGTGATCGTAAAGAAGACTCCTCAGAATCTGTGCAGAGCCAGAAACATGGTCAGGGGGATGATGAGCCAAAAGAGAAAAAGTCTTTCTTTCCTTCCATCAGCATCCCCTGGAGGGAGAAAACGGACCGGAAGACTGAGCTCATCAGAAGAGGTTGGTGGGAAATTAGTTTGTCATGAGAATCCTTTATGATATTGGTGCACTTATATTATACTTATGCAACACAAGCACTTATTATACTTATGCAACACAAAACTATGCTGACTAGTGATGCACTGAAATGAAAACCTTTGGCCAAAACAAAAACCCAACTTCAGCTGAAAACAGAAACAGAAAAAGCTGACAAATAAAACAATTTACAGAATTCAGTGTTCTAGACAGTAGAGAACGGTTGGTCATCCAAATCCAAGGCAATAGATTCCATTGTTCTTTAATTATACCTTTGGTACTTTTATTTGTGAATTTATCCATTTATCATTTCAAAAACTGAGTCTTCAGATAGTGTTAACTGGTGGCAACTTTCCTTTCTGCTTTTGTTGTTTTGCTGTGGTATCAAAACTGTAGTGGAGAAATTCTTCAGTGTTGTATCTCCTTTTTCAATATTGATATGAACAGAGGTTATAAATTGCTGGTAGAAAGTATGAAATAGCACAACATGGCTGATGTGTTCACTCTCCTGCTATTGAAATGTGTCTCTACTGACTGCCATAGGAGAGTAAATGGAACAGTGTTTTTAATCTATTTTTCATTTATATTATCATTAAAATTATAGCAAAAGTTTTAGGTTTTGAAACTTTGTTGGAGGCCTATTTCATCTTTTCCTTAAAGATTAAATAGGCCCACAACAAATAGGCCTTTTTATTCTTTTTCAATCTAATCCATTTATCTCATTCCAAAATGCTCTGAAATTTTGGCCATCAAAATATTTACGGTCAAAAAACCAAAGGGACATTTTTGGCTGGTCATTTTCCATGGCCAAAATTTCTATGCATTTCAGAAAGCTAAACAGGACAACTATTACAGTGTATCCCTAATTCTAACCATTGACAATAATTCTATTCCAGTACATACAAGTAAAAAATGCATTGTATTATACAGACAAACAACTCAGTATATAACAAGCAGAAGCGTATAATCTCACCTACATACACCAGTCGTCATTAAGCTAATCAAATCATTGCTCTGTGTCTATTTCATATATGTATTCGTGCTGTGTTCTTCTGTCCTCTACAGAAAAGCCTTCACTTCAGAGCAGGCATTCCCTGGACAGCTCACGGGCACAGGAGAAGGAGGCAGGACCGCTATGGATCACTCTGGCCTTGCAGAAACAGAAAGGTTTCAGAGAACAGCAACAGAGCAGGGAGGAAAGGCGGAACCAGAGAGAGGCCAAGCTGGCAGAGAAACAGGCCAAGGACAGAGAAAGTGTACGTAAAAAAAGAAACAGTGGCAAACAGATCAATTCTACTTGTAGTTCATGTACCGAATCTACAAAATGAGAATTTGCAGTGATTTATTCTCATAATGGAAACATCTAAGTGTCATTTGTCTTACAGGTTGGACTAGTCAGTCCTACAGAGGGTAAAGGGAATGGAAACTCCAGTCCTCCTAAACCGCAGACTCCAGAGGAGAACAAGAGACCAGACACTTTACTGGCCCGCTTTGAACGTCGTGACTTAAAGAAAGCAAACACCCTTCCCAGCTCTGTCACAGGTAGTCTGCTTATTTATTAGGCTTCAATTTATTGTTGAACCTGCTTAAAATCACTGTTCATACAGTCAAATGTAAAAGTTTGGGTGCCCCAGGTCAAATTCTGTATTTGTGTAGATTTTCTAAATCAAAAATAAGTTAGCACTTTACAGAGAACACACTTCTGGATTTAACAAAACAACTTTAAACATAAAATGTAGCATATTCATAAGTTATGGCACATTAAATACATGATTTATTTTTTCCAACATTAAATTTAGCAAATAAATTGTGCTCTAGAATTTGTGTCATATTTACATTTGTTCTCTGTAAAAGACAAAAAATGTCATTTGACTGTGGGTGCTTACACTTTTGCATACTGTAAATCTAAGGCACAGCCATATTTTATTCCCTTAATTAGCCTAATAATGATAAAGTAACTAATAATAAACTACTATTTACGTTTACATATAAAAATATGTGGGTAGTTGTGCTGTAAACAGTGGGTTCCTGTTGTCTTCTTCTTGACAAAGTAGTACTGAATTTCCCTGCTTTTCATCTTTTCCAGTTGAGATAGCAGACTCGACACCATCGCCCCCGGCAGCAAAGGACATAACAAAGCGCTTCCCACCAGGTGACACACCACAGGTTTCCACTGAACCAGCTTGGCTTGCCCTTGCCAAGCGTAAGGCCAAAGCGTGGAGCGACTGCCCGCAGATCATCAAGTGACATTTCCCCTCCGACTTCAAGAAAAGAGCAGTCAAGCTCCCAGTCCTCTTCATCATTCAATAGGCATCACATCTCACCCATGACCCTTCACGAAGGACCCCTGGCAAAAATCCATTCACAAACCTTTACCTCAGCCATTGTCAATGCACAGAATGGGTAGCAAGATGCATGCATTTCCATTTTTTTAATAGCAGGTGCAATGGTCTACAGCCATAGTGATGCAACTTTGCCTGTACTCATAGTGTGGATTCTATCTGATTCTGGACCTAAGAGATAGACATCATGAAATAAGGAATCTTCTTCCAAAAGCCATTCCTTGCCCTTGATCTTCAAACATTAAACACATTTTGCACTCAGATATATCTTTTAAATCAATCAAAAGCCCAGCAGACCGGTTGATAGCAAATGAAATGGTTTGCATGTAATATGTTTGAGACATATTACACATTGATCTTTGGGGAATTATTTTGGGAGGTGACACAAGGGCTAAAATTTAGTAGGTGACACCATAACAAACTTCTTACTTATTACATACAGGAACATCAGAACCGGCTACTGTTTTTTTTTTTGTTTGTTTGTTTGTTTTTAAGATACTGGTCCAGAAAACATTCATACAAATTAATTTGTCTTAACATCACTTGTCTAATATGAGCAAGGCTAAATCTCCTTTTTCTGACTTTGATATCTTGGCAAAGTGAGAAGATTTTCACTGTGTCCGTGACAACTGTGACCGCTGTCATTTACAATGTTGTTGAAAATCACCTTGACTATGACTTAGAGTCACTGTGTTTACTTATGTATATAACTAACATAGAATCTGTCATTAGTGGTGTTTCCATTGCACCACCACGTTTAAGTCAATGCACTGAAAACCATGCTATTGGTTGATGAACGATCTGCTTCTTGCACAGTGTTTATTGCCTCCAGTCTCCCTGGGAATCATTCCCTGGAAACACAGACTGCCTGCTTGCTGTAATATAAACACCGTTATCCTGTCGTAGCGTGTGCTAGCTGTTCTTGTACCGCAAATCAAGAAAATCCGAAAATCGGAAAGACAACGGGAGATCAGCGCTTTACAAAAACCCCACTAGGCGGAGTCTAACTAATGACAGCTCTGCCCTTTTTCTCACAACAGCTTTCGACTAATAAGAAGCCTTGATCTCCCAGCAAAATTCCCACCTCCACTACTTACGTAACATTTTGTATGTATGTAATGTATGTAGGTATGTATGTATGTACAGAGGTGAAATGAATTGGACTGTGTCCCTTTGGAGACCCCTGAACTGCAGACGCTTCGTCACTTTGTTTTTAATTTGGTCGTGTGCAATAGTGTAGCGTAAACAGTGTTGTATGTAACATGAAATAAAAGCAGTTTGTTGGTAATTGCACTTTTTTTCCCCACTTAGAGGAACTCATAAGAAAATTCTTAAAGTAATGAAAATGTTATGAATTATGTAGAAAAACATTAAAAGGTGGATATTTGAACTCTCGGCTTGTAAAGATGCTTGATTGTTGTCCTGAACGAAAAAAACAGTGAGATAACCTGCAGCCTGATGCAGCTAAGAAGGTGCCAATGCAACATAAATAGTCTTAAAAGGGAATTCCACCAATTTTTCAAGACTTACATACATTGTTAAGACGTAAACAAAGACACTCGGAGTGGTTTGACGTGACATGTCATTATAGAAAAACATACTGAGTCAGAGTTGTTATGGTGATAGGAACCAGATGTCTTGCGTGTTCAGACAGTTATTACATGAAATAGTTGCTGCTTGATGCCTGAGACATGGTTTAAAATAATTTTGTGACAAGGTTTTTGGCCTAAAATGCATTTTTAATTTCACTCATGGCAGAGAGGTAGCGTAAAATTTCAGATTGCTGCTGTCGGAACAAAACCTCGTATCTCCAAAATGGAAACTTTACAGAAGAAGGAAAAAACATACTTTACTCTTAATGCAAGTCAATGGAACCAGATTTTTTTCCAAGCAATTTTGGGCCGTTTCTTTTGGTTCATTCATCATGAAATTTACACACAATGTAAAGATCAACAGGCATTTTCAAATTATGTAAAAAACTGAAAAACAACAAAAATGGAGATATGAGGTTTTGTTCCGACAGCAGCGATATATATACACATATATACATACATATACACACACTCACTCACACACACATTTTTTGTCTTAGAACATTTTACACAGCTATACATTTTAGTCAGTAAATATATTTTTCCAATCAGGAATTTTTGTGTTGTTTCTTTGTGAGTTCCAGGCAGTATACATAGTCATTCCGACATCCCACTACTATCTTGTGACCCCACACAACAGGGGAGGAGAACAGCTCCCCTGGCAAGGAGAGAGAGGCCTTCAGGGTTCCCTGTTCTCCATCTAGGACCCACACTGTCCCATCAGTTGAAGCTACCACTACCAGTGTTCTTATGCCCCAAGCAGTACCATCAAAAACAAATGGACTGGAGTAAACTTTGCCTGTAGTCTGGAACCGCCACAGTAACGATCCGTCAAAAGTGTTCAAGCCATAAACAAAGCAGTCATGTGACCCGCAAACAACTGCTTGAGATGGTGACTCGCCACTGTCATACGCTCCACATCCTGTTTTCCGGCTGGTTGTAGGTGGCACTGGTGCTAAGCATGGTGATGAGAAGACGGGTCCAGCCGTGCGAAAGTTCCATAACTAATGAGAGGGAAACAAAATTGAAAAATACAACGAAAAAAATGCTATTCTTTATATAGTTAAACTATAGAGTGATAGAAAGTATGTGAACCCTTTAAAATTCTCAGAATTTCTACCTAAAACTGCCTTAAAATGTGACCAGATCTTCATAACAATAAAGAAGATAACAGTCATAACGATAAACAGAACTGAATAAAACAAATAACTCAAATAATTACATATATTTTTTCATTCATGTATTGAACAAACTGATCCAACATTAAATGCCCAAATGACGGAACATTAACTGTTGGCAAAAGTATGTGAACTTCTGATTTTAGCCAATGGTGTGACCTCTGTAATTGCTGACCAGTCCTCCTTACAGAACTGCTTCAACTCAGTGATGCTGGTAGGCTTTCTTTCATGAAAATGTTTCAGGTCCAACATTTCTCCCGGGTACCCTCTGGTCTTTGCCTCTGCCATTCCAAAATATGAAATTTCTTCTGCTTTGACCGTTCTTCGGTAGACTCACTGGTGCATTTAGGGTCGTCGTCTTCTGTTGAGCTTCAGCTCATGGTCAGATGACCTAACATTCTGATGTATCATTTCCCGATACAATCTAGGATTCATTGTATCATCAAATGATGGAAAGCTGTCCTGGTCCAGTCTGTGATCGTGATGCTACCACCACTGTGTTTCAAAGTTGGGATGAGGATCTTATCATTCCATACACAATTTTCTTGTTCAGTCCTTGCCTGATGTTGGACTCATAAGCCAGTGCAAGGGAATGTCTGAAGATCCTAAGATGATACTCTGGGTTCTTTACTAACGCTCAGAACATTATACATCCATTACACTCTTGGGAGTGATTTCTGTTAGACAACTACTCCTGGGAAGGGTAACAATTATGTTGAATGTGTCTGACAGTGAATCGGTGAATCCAAACTCTGCAGAAATTGTTTTGTAACATCTTCTAGATCAGAGGTCTTTAATTAAAATTCAATAAGGTCCAGTCAAAGAAAATTTCCTGAAGCAAAGGTCCGGAACATCAGAATGTCTAACTTGCATTATGATTCAGTGCCATATACTGTATAAGTAGTAGTTATATCAACATCTTATGTAGTCAACAACTGAATGCCGAATAAAATAAAGTACAATTCAATAATATTTCAGCAATATTTATTGTTAGTTTTCTCTTTTTAGAGCTCAGCAAGTGAAATAATCTGGCTCACTTTCTTCTCCAACTGCTATGTCTTGCTTAGACTGCTTCCACTGAATGAATGCCCTGACCCTAATCGTCCCTTACACCAAACCATACCAATATTTCTAGAGGTTCACATACTTTTGCTAACCAAGGTATTTAATGATTGATAAATTTGTTCAATAAATAAATAAATAAACAAAGTATTTAATTAATTGTGTTGTTTGATTTATTGGATTCTCATTATCTATTGTTTTGCCTTTAGACGCAAATCTGATCACCTTTTAGGTCAGATTTTAGGGTCAGGGTTCAGAAACTTTGCAGCACCACTGTAGCTTCTTTTATCTTACCACTTTTCCTTCATGGCTTAATGCACTAATGTCTCCGTTCACTGAGCCAATGCAGACACATGAGTCAGAACAGGAAGGAGAGGAGAAAAATGGAACATCACTAGAATACTTCCACAGGAGTTCGCCACTGTCCTGCACAACACATAATTAAGAGGTAGATTATTATTAATGCTACATCTGAGTTTTTGAGAAACTGATGTCTAATAAGACTAGACATTACGACAGCTATTATATAAAATCTTAAAAATCTGTCAGTATTACTCCTACAGAGTACATAGGAAGAAGTAGCTGACAAAGCTCATAATCCTCAACATCCAGAGGTCAAAATGAGAATGCCCTGTACTTACTGGACAGAGAGAGTGGAGCTGCCCTCCGAGTGTGGCAGCATACAGTCGCCTGGGAGAGGAGTGGACAAAGGGAGATGAAAAAACTGCACCACTCTCACAATGGTGCTTCCACACACAGCGTTTTGTCTGAAACAAACACACACGCATACAAAATAATGTGTTGACTACATGCCGATCCATATCACGACATACACACATACCTTCTGACCCTTAAAATGTATAGATCTCATCAGCAAACACAAAAGCATGTTGCAATCTGTTATAATCATTTCTCATTTGTAGCTTATCGACTCAAGCTGAGTACAGATTCTAAGCTTTCAATCAATACCATATTTGTGTTGATGAAAAGTTTTGCAGCAATAAAAAAACATCAACATCAACATTGTGTTTGTCATTGAACCAGATGGAAGTGTATTTTGAGATACATTTTGAGAACACTTATATTTACTGTAGATAATAACCGTAGTCTTACCAGTGGTTCTAGTGCATAAACATGTCCATCATGGGAACCAACAGCAAACAGACCAGTCTGAGGGTCTACAGTGGGGGAACTCTTCACTGCATCTCCAGTCTCAAACACCCACCATGTCTGCCCTGAGTCCACACGTAGGAAATACACTTGTCCATCATAACTACCTAGGAACAGAGGGTTGGCAATGGACTGTCATGAGTAGTGACACTACTTGCTGCTTTAGTTTTGCTCTGGAACTATGAGGTTAATGTAGCTCACAAATGATGGAAGCCATAAAAATGGACAAATGTGTCACGCAGCTAAAAACGGTGGTAGCAGCCATGTTTGAGTCTGAATTGTGTCTGAACCTTTGTCATTTTTGGACACTGCGATGGACTGGTGACCTGTCCAGGGTGTATCCTGCCTTCCACCCAATGACTGCTGGGGTAGGCTCCAGCTCCCCCCCCCGTGGCCCAGAAGGATAAGCGGCTTAGAAGGTGTGTGTGTGTGTGTGTGTTTTGGACAGCGTACAAAACCACAGTCTAATTGAGATTTCTTAGCTTATCACAGTTTGAGATTTGATTTTGGCATGCAGACTTAATAATTTTAGAATATAAGCTTTCGCTATTTTTTTTAGCTACCTTTGCCTACATTAGTTAGTTACGTTAGGCTAGTAAGTTTTTCTCAATTTCTGGCTAAATAAATAGTTAAGCTATCAATAAAGTAGTGACAGGAACAAGACTACAAAGAATTCAAAGTGACTAAAAGCTACATCACAGAAAGGTATTACATGAAGTGGTTTTAAATATGTTGCCAGACGCCTGAGACATTGTTTTATTATAGCTTTGACATAAGACTGTTGCTTAAACCACATTTTTTAAAACACTTTCATGGTGGAGAGGTAAATGCGGGGCGTTGTCAAGCAAAATAGTCCTCAAACAACCCCTTAAACACCCTTGCTCAGATTCTATGTTTTGTTGATTTTCAAAGTGAAATTAAACATCCTCTATAGGGAACAAACTTAAACATGGCATTTCTCTGCAAATTTCAGTGCACATTGTCTATTTATTTGCTGAGTTGATCATAAAACATGAAAACGTACAATATAAAATGTGCCATAAGTTTTGCATGGGGCACATTTTCTGTTTTAATTTCCCATATGTTAAATTCAGCAAAATGCCCAAACTTTTGCACACGACTGTAAAAACTCAAAAATAGATCTACGGTCATTTTTGATAGCAAACAAAACAGCTATATTTGCATTGTAAACGTTGCAACCTCTGGTTCCTATCACCACCTGAGTCAGTGAGTTTCTCAACATGAGAACATGTGAACCATTTCACACCAAACCACTCTGAATGTTTACATGTCAACTAGAGGATTGTGGAGAAATTGTTTGGTTTGTATTCGTTAGTTATTTTTGTTGATTTTTGTTAGGAAAAACCTGGAATGATTGACTTTGCCTTTACTTAGTCTAAATTTGTGTTGGATATCCCAACTTTGGTTGAGTAAGTCTGATTGTTGGTCACACTTAAACTAACTTTTTGGTGCTCTTTTTGTATATTTGCAGCTTTTCAATTGTCAGGTGGAGATTCACAAACCTTCTGACAGTCACGCTTTGAAAGTAGCTAAAAGGTAGTGCACTACTTTTCAAAAAGTAGCTAAAAAGTAGCCACTACTTCTTTTGGAAAAGTAGCTAAATTTTGGGAAAGTAGCTACAAAGTAGCTAACTACTACTTTTTCAGTTGCTATCCCAACCCTGTATGCAGACCAGGAGAAAATTGTGCTTCATTTTGATTTAGCACACAGAACATGATGAGAGTTGCATTTTAATTTTTGGATAAAACTTTGACTACTTACCTACTGCCAGCAGAGCTCCACATTTTGAGACAGCAGCAGACGATTCCAGTCTGTCCCCTAACACTCGCTCCCAGAATACTTCTCCACTGGTCAGGTCCAGAGCCTGCAGCCTGTGCGAGTGAGAGCCTATAAACACAGTAGTGCGGTCAGAACCCACCAGGAGCACAGGTGAGGCGTCCACACATCTACCCGTGTCGGAACTCCACAGGACCTGGAGGCTCAGAGGTTGGCCATCTATTATAGTGCCTGACTGTGAAGTATCCCCACTTCCTTGATCAGTATGCTGATTGTGCTCCTCTCCAGGTGGACCGTCTCTGTTAACGTGAAAAATGTCAGCTTGCTTCGGAGGGTCCAGATCTTTTCCTCTTACAGAGGAATTGGTTTGATCTGCCTCACTGGCTTTGCTCACAGATGAGGAGCCGGATTCTGTCCTCTCGTTAATCGTCCTGTTTTTGATACAACCGGTTTCTGTTTGTTTGCCTTCTTCTCTGCTTTGAGAGTAATCCCACTCTAGAACCTGTCCAGCTCTCCTCACAACTACAAATCCCACAGTTCCCATCACTGAGGAAACCACTGGAGCTATGACATTTTCAGAGATTACACTGGAGGCTTCATCTATGTGGTACCTCTTAGATGGAACAACAGAACCAGAATCTTCATGTGGTCTCTTGGCTGAGTGAGTAATATTGCATCGTGTTGTTGTGGTGAGGTGTTTCAAAACATCTGAAAAAGAGCCGTCTAGAAGAACTTCCAACAGACCAGGTGAGGTTGTTCCCATAGCAACTGTTATGTAATCAAAGAGGCGCAGGGCCTGCAGGGAGTCCCCACCGCTTAACATGAAGTGGGCATCCTCAGCAACTGCAGCGTCATCAGCAAGACCCAGACATTCCTGCCACACACACACACACACACACAAATAACAGCTCTTTAACTAAGCCTCCTAAAGAATTTAATTATTTAAGGCAAATTATAGACTTGGGGCCAGATTTTCTAAAAGAGGCACTAATTACTTACACTTTTCTCTAGTAGGGGTGGCTAATGTAGAGGATTAGTTACTAAAAACTTTCATGCAAATGAATACAAGCACAAATTTACAATTAACACATGACCAGCAGAATATAACCATGTGTTTGTTTTTTTATGGAAGCCCATTTCTGTATTTGATCATTCTCTGATTCTGGTTCATATTGTAAATCAGAGACTGATTAGAGATTTTGATTTAGTAGGTCAAATTAATGACTAATAACTTACAAAAAAATTATTACTCTTTGAGAAAGTGTGATTATTTTGACATATCATTATTTTGAGAAAATATGATCTTATTCAGAAATAAAATACATAAAAGTTGAGACAATAATTATTTTGCCATTCTGTTTGGAAACATTTGTTTGTTTTTTTGAGTTGAATTTGAGTTGTGCGGAGTGCATTTAGAATGTGTGTGTTTTGGTAAACTCTGTTTAATTTCACTAAGAACGTCCCACTCAATCGGGAACTATATGCTCTGTGCAGTGAACCTATAGCAGTGACGTTTCTGTAACAGAAGCCACAATGTGAACAAAATAACAAAGTAATGTGTAGCTTTATTAATGCAGCTATTGCAGAGTCTAAGAGTTTACATTAGTTTGGGAAATCATTATTTAGACAATGTCACGCCTTCCGTAGCGGAGACCGACACTCCTCACTCCGTTCAGCACTCCAACTCCCAGAATCCACTGGGAGGTCACATGAACACACTCTCAGCAATCCACCTATCAACGTTCTTGCTCGCCTGATTATTGACTTCTGACACCTGTATGGACTATATATGTCTGTTTGCATCAGCTGTATCTTTGCGAAGTATTGCATAAGTTTCTGTGCATTACCAAGCCTTTGTTTTCGTGTGCTGACTTTCCGGTTTGTGTTCCCACTTGTCCTCTCGTTTTCAACTTTAGCCTATCCCTTTGGACTCTGTTTGCTCTTTTGTGCATCAACCGTCGCCTGTTCTGTACATTGATTTTGGATTCTCCCTTATTAAACACTTTCTCCTTTAGTCTGCTCTGCGTACGTTTGACTATTCCACAGCCGTCACAGACAAAACCTGCTCTTAAGACACTGTGATGCGTGTAAAGTATATCCACAGTATTAGGAAATACCAGTTTAAAACATTGTTTAACTCAAACTAATTGGTTCCGTTTTATTTCCTTTATCTTTTTAAGAATGATGACATGGCGAAGGTTCACAAAACTATTTTTCTGTTGAAGTTGAAAATACATAAATGTGTCAGTGTGTAAACTCAAAATGCAAAAGCGCAAAACAGCAGCAACCGAACCTTTGATCTTATTATAGGTGCTAAAGAGCCGTTATCCCTTTTTAGGAACAACAGCTACCTATTAATGCCAAAACAAGGGCTGAGCAAAACATTAATAAATCTGCCCCTTTTATGTCTTAAAACATCACATTTACACTATTTTTACAGCACCACCAAAAATAGATAAACGATAAACACAGTAAAGGCTTGAAGCTTGACTTTTGTCAATATTGTCGTCTGTTTTTAGAGATACAGTGGCAGAAACCACATCAGCAACTTTTAAGATGAACTAATACTAATTTGTGTGGTATAAACTTCCATTTTGTGTTCGCTACATTAGCCTTGAAGTTCCAGTCCAAAGTTTTGTTTTACAGAATTACTGCTTTACCTTTACAAATCCCGTTTGTACTCCCGTTTAATCTAGCATCGCATATTTTTTTAATTATATGTGAAAGTACCCAGGCTTCCATCCAGCTGTCAAATTAACTTCAAGCAGATTACTGAAATGTCACATCAGCACTGTACAAGAGAATAAAACTCTCTACATCACAGTCATAAAACACTTTTGAGAAATATGGACAGAGTCAACAGAGAGATCTTTAATGTTGAGGAGCTTCTCGATATTAATTATTGATTAATTTCTTAATTTTATGGCTATATTTTACATCGTAAGAGCACAGAGATAGGTAACATAGGTATCATGATACTTACATTACAGGACATAATCTGTCAGGGCAACTCTTGACAGTATATGATGTCTGCTATAACATTTTTATGGCATAGTTATGACAGTGTTATACAGCATGCTGTACCTCCTGAAATAACTGGAAACTGAACTTCTTTTATCGTTATTGCATATTAACACATTCAAGCAGAACAAAACAGTCCTTTCTCTACATGTTTAAATAAAATCTGTTCGTTGCTGGTTGAGGATCTAATTGATTATTTGCATGATGGAATTACTGGGTATTATTTTGTTGATTTCATTGGTTCCGAATCCCTTAAGGGGAGGATGGAACGTTATCAATACTATGTTTTCATTTAATAATAATAATGTTTTGCCTATATTTAGCATATTTTAGGTAGTGATTCTGAATATGTTTTAGAGAAGGGACAGAAAAAAACCTCACCGGCATTTGCTTCCAGAAGATACAAGGAAGAAGATACAAGATTCAAAGTTAAACTAAAACTATAAGATAAATAATAATATTTTTAGGCTATATTTTTTATTTAAATGTTATATTTTATAAGATAACATAATTTTATTATTATACATCATGTTTAATAAATGATAATGAATGTACAAAGAACTACCAATTAATTTCATTTTCCCCCTTTCTTTTTTTTATTTTTATATTTTTGAAAAAAAAAAATCTGATCCCAGTCTTTTCCTGGTCTCAGCCACTCCTGGTCTTGGTCTTGACTTGGACTCGACTACTACAAAGTCTTGGTCTTCGGTGCTCCATTTTGCTGCTATGTTTTTGTTGCATACTGTATTTGATGTTACATTAGAGCTTTGCCTTTAAAAAAAAGTCTTGATCTTCACTCAGATCCACTACAAGAGGTCTCGACTACAACACTAATCTTCCTACCTTCCATAGTGCCTGCAGTCTTTTTCTCACTGTCTCCGTGTCCCCCCATGTGGTGTGGTTACCGCAGACCTCTCTCTGTTTCTCATACATTCTCATCAGCTTGTCCATGGCCACCTTCCCTGAACAGATACACAAGCCAAGACAACTATTTGAGGGGAAGAAATGTGCTAGAGTAAGAGATTTTCACCACAAGCAAAAAACCAACCCAGAACACGAGTGAATGCGCTCCAGCTGCGCACTGTACTGCCTTTAGCAGCCTGAAGGTCTTAGTTTTTACACTGCAACAGTCATTTTTAACTGGATCTGTCTGTGTGGTGTGTTTGATAACTGACATCTTATATACTGACAAGATAAGTAGCAATTTTTTGAATTAGTGACTGTCATACATAAAAAGGGACACAGTACCATGATTAGTGAGTGGCAGGGCATGAACCAACAGTACAGCATCTGGAATGCCGTGACTGGGCAAAAGTTGAGACAGCCCTCGAAGCACCTCCTTCTCTAAAGTTTGGGAGGAAAATGAGCCCTCTTTGGAGACATCAGCAGGACCACCAGTGGAGCTGGAGCCATGTTGCTCTTGGAGATCACCCCTTTCAGATGAGTACATGGCCTTACTGTAAGTTGTGGGCACTATAAAAGCCACCAGCCTGCTGCCTTCATGCAGACCCATCACACAAGCATCGACCTGAGGCAAGCTCTCTGCAGCCTAAGGTGGGAGAAAAGATAAGAAGGCAAAAAGGTAGAGGAACTAAAGAATTTTGCCAACACAAAGCATCCAAACTTTCACACTGAAACAAGCATGACTTCACATTCTAATTATTGAATTAAATTTTGAAAAAAGGGACAGAATTCTTCTTTAAAGTTCCATCTTTATGACAAATGGCACAATGACAGAAGCTATTTTGCCCCCTATGCTTCCTGTAGTGTACCACAATCTGTCAAAATGACCGCATGTCTCATTATAAATCATAACAGAATTTTTTAAGTAAATGACAAGCTAACGATTAAACCTGTCAGCCTTCCTAGAAAATGGACACCAGTGACTAATAATCGGCTTCTACTAATCATTATGACCCTACATTCAAGCAACCAGTCCAGAATAGCTAGCATAAAGTGAAAAGGCCTACCTGTTGCAGTGCATCAAGGTGTACCCGCTGACCATGGCGCTTGATTAGTCGGTCTTTTCTGCCCAGGTAATAAAGGTCCGAGTCCCTCACCAACACCCAGTCACCTGTAGCACGCATCGTTCCTTTGGCAGTGCTCCTCTCGTCGTCTAACAGACACACCCTCTCCTGACCACCTATCAAACACAAATACACACTTAAAAGACCAATTTCAGTGTTCCATTCTGCAGTATAGGGGAGGCCAAATGTGCATATGATAGCACTAAACATGACTCTGTTTAGTTAGCATTACCAATTTAGTTACATGTCACAAGCTTAAATCACCAAGCATGTCCCTCAAACTACATAAAATTGTTAAAGGATATCGCCGGATATCCAAAATGTGTACATAACTGAATAGTTAATATGAAAACAAAGTAATACAGAGAGGTCTGATGTGAAATTCTCACTTCTAGAGAAACTTGCCAAGTCAGAATTGTTCACAGCGGTGGTGAGAGGAACCAGATGTCTAAATCATTTAATGCTTCTAAAAGCCACATCACAGACAGTTATTACACCAAATGGCCATGAAAATGCCTGAGACATTGTTTTACATATGTTTTGCTAGAAGGTTTTGACCTAAAACATTTAGGTTTAAATCCATTTTTATTATCCATTAGCAGACTGATAGATGGAGAGTGTTATGAGACAAAACAGTACAGCCAAAACTTTAACACAGTTTTACCTAACAACATAACTAGATTCACTGGTCGTAAAGAGAATAAAACTCTCTACATCACATTCATAAAACACTTTTGAGATATATGGACAAAGTCAACAGAGAAATCTTTAATGTTGAGGAGCTTCTCAATATTAATTAGTGATTAATTTCTTAACATAAGCGATATTTTACATCGTAAGAACACAGAGATAATTTGCATAGTAAATAAAATGGCTATACGTGCATTTAAACAGTGTGACCCCTGGTTCCATTAAACCTATCTGAATGACTATGTCCACATTTCAAAATGAAGACATTTAGAAAAAAAAAATCGCTGGAATCTCCTTACAGTGAGCTCAAGCAGACATGCTTATTTGGTGTACACGGAAAACACTGGAAATCATCATCAGCCTATAGTTCCCATATCACTGCATCCCTACTTTGTTTATGTGGTTTCTGACACTGAATAACATACTATTATATACAAAAATAAGAGCCCAAGACTGCTACTACTGTTTTTAGCTACACAATGATACTTCTGTGCATTTTCATAGACAAAGGGGTAACTCATAAATAAAGGGGAAAGCTGTGTAAATTAGATTTTTTCAACATCTACTCCAAAGACACAGATGTACACAACGAGACTACATGTTACAAATAGGTGTTTATTTCCTTTTCAATGCAAAAGGAAGAATGATAAGTCTTTTATTACCTATGAAGACCTGTCCCTCTCCTTCGGTGACAAGATGCCCTTCATCATCTCTCACTTCTACAGCAGTGTCCATCAGAGGCTCCCCAAGAGGCACAGAGGCATCAGACCTTCCACACACAACACGCTGCATTACCCACAACGCACTTCACTAAATGCAATTTATGAAAATGATACTTATGTGAATACATATTCTATGTGTAAATATACTCCATGTTAGGGCTGGACAATGTAGTGTTTATTAACTGTTATCACAGTATTAGCTCTAGCAATATTAATATTTTAGAAAGCTGCACTATGCAAATGTGCCCTCTAACCAACTGCAGTTTTTACTGTTAGCTGAGAGCCTCTTCATCACTCACAGCTCCAGATTAGTGTTTCTGTTTTGATTAATCAAGGCGTTCAGGTCATTATAGTACATTATCTAAACGCAAATCTTTAAAGCTACACTATGTAGGATTTGGGGATTTGGAGACCTCACTGGTAGAAATGTGTAATTGCATGCAAACATGCAGAAAAACATTTTGTAACATCAGTTGTGCTTTGGATCTCTTCCCTGAGTGGATGAATATGATGACTGCAAGCAAGTGTTCAAAGAGAACTATCTAGAGAATTATCTACTATTGTCATCATATCCGGCCGGGCGACCAGGGTCATTTCTGTGTGGAGTTTGCATGTTCTCCCCGTGTCTGTGTGGGTTTCCTCCGGGTACTCCGGTTTCCTCCCACGGTCCAAAGACATGCAGTCAGGCCAATTGGACATGCTAGATTGCCCCTAGGTGTGAGTGTGTGTGTGACTGTGTATGTCTGTCTGTCTGCCCTGCGATGGACTGGCGACCTGTCCAGGGTGTATCCTGCCTTCCGCCCAATGACAGCTGGGAAAGGCTCCAGCACCCCACCGCGACCCAGAAGGATAAGTGGTTTAGATGATGTATGTATGTATGTATGTATGTATGTATGTATGTATATGTCATCATATCTTCATCAGTGTTATGTTTATTTTGCATTTAAGACCTAAACAGCTGGACCTACTTTTTGAGCTTGAGGGACTGTCTTTAATACATAAAGACATACGATGTGGTCTGAAAAACTCAAACATTTCAGGCTTTACAGGATGAATCACAGCAGCACACAAACACCATATTTTTCAGTGTTTTTTTTATTCTCCTAACTCAGAAGTACTACTTCTTTCAATTTTTACAAATCTAAAAAATCTTACATAGTGCAGCTTTAACCAGGCCACATTACTGATCCAGCAGTGCATTTCTAATATGCTGCAGGCAATATCGCACCCACAATATGTAGCAGTCTATTCACAACAGCAGGGTTTGTTTATATTGTATAGTCCTAATCCATGTGATGTCCTGCTCAGTGGAAAATGTAGCAGTTGTAGTTGCTCAAGCACTTCTACAATGTAAGATTCTACAAGCCAAAAGAGTCGTTTGAACATACTTTAGACCAAACAAACAGAAAAGCAAAGTACCAAAAGAATATATTGCAAAGAAAGACCATATACCCTTTGTTGCATGGATTTAGGAATCACAGTAAAGAGCAGAGTTAAAGGAACACTCACATGTTGTCTGAAGGGTGGTGGCTGTTTGGCAGTTCATAGCAACACGCCCAACAAGAAACTTCTGTCGTTCCATAGAGGTTGTAAATGCATGTCTTATTCCCCTCCTGTCTCCAGCTCCCGAGGAGAGCTAGTGATGGAAATGCCTCTCCTCCTAAAGCCAGCACCCTCAAAGAGGAGCCTGCACTAAGCACCTCCTCCTGCAAGATCTGCACACCAAAGCGCCGTATTAGAGTTGGTGTAGCCTGGTGAAGAAAAGAGAAACAAGGGTAACTAAATCAGAATCCAAACCAGTGAAAGACAAAGATGCGATGTGAAGAAACAAATGAGTAACTGATTTTTTTGATTACTGAATCTGTCACTGTTGTTGCTTTTGTGTGTGAATTTGCAGGTTCAATCATTGTTTACCACCTGGTCCAAGCACCTGTGCTGCTGTAACAATGCTCAATCACTTCCGAAAAGCTGCTTAACAGCAGGAGCTGTGATGAAAAACGCTGGATAATTATGCTGATTTAATAGCATGTTCATGGGTTAATATTTTATTAATGATTTATTATGACAATGACAATGTAAACAGAAAAAATATATTAACCCATCATTCACACGCAAAGTTACATTATAGTAAAATGTGTAGCATGTTTGTGTTTAACTACACAAAAAAAGACATGTCGTCTTTATGACATTCATAAATTAGCTGTTCTTTTACTAAGTCAGTGACACAGTAACAACGGCCTGTATATAAGCATCTTTAACTCTGGTTAGCTCATTCACCTGTAAATAGGGCTGCATAATATATCAGAGATTGATATATTATCTGCCAACTAAAGAGAAAATTCTGGGTCCGATGTTGAATTACAACCAAATTACAGCCAATTATATTCGTACATGCACTGGCACGTGTAGAGCGAAAATGTCAACAGTGTAGAGGTCTTGTTCAAGTTTTACTGAAGGACACTTATGTTTACTTTATTAAAATAAATGTTTTGTTGTCCATACAGTCCATACAATGTTTTGTTGTCCATACAGTCAATACAGTCCATACAATTTAAGCTAATTTTGAGCATAACATAACAAATACGGCTCTGAACAGTTGTACACACATAAAATCATATTTGTATAATTAAAACCCAAAAGTTTATTTAATTGCAGAAAAACATGTTTCGGTAGTAACAATTCTTAAGGTTGCATATTGATTTTCAGACTTTTACACATTTACAAAGAGATCTAACTGCTCACCATGTGGCCACGAGGGACAGGAAAACATGGGACAGCAGTTGTTGAATAAACTTCTTTTATATTTAAATAAATAAATAAATAAATCTAAATCTTTCAACTTCACTTGAAAAGAAATTGTTAGGGAACTCTTAAGAAATTACAGTTCTAGCCATTTTAAGCATTCTTACATATGTGTGTGTGTGTGTATATATATATATATATATATATATATATATAGTACATTATTATTTAACATGTTCTAATGAAGCTTTTCAGGTTATCACTATCTGTTACTTCTTCCTGTCCTGTCAGTAAGAATGTCTTCCAGATAAATTCTCTTTAGTGTTGATCTCTGTGTACCTTTCTGGACTTGGTGATGAGAAGAGTTTAGATGAGTGTTAAAATCAGTAACAGTGACATTTACAATGACAATAGGTTTATAACGTGAACTTTAAAAGTCAATGTGAATTAGAAAACACAGTGATGTATGTCTGAGTGAAGCATGGTATCAGGGAGGGTCTCTAAGGTTGCTAAGCATTTTCAAGATATTTCTGGTTAACATTATTTTTCCTCGCTCGCTGGCACACGGTGACGTAATCAAACTCACTACACTTCAATCATAGTTTACATGAAAACAAGAATTCTGTCTTTTAAATTACATGATGAACTGTGCTTAATAGAAACAGTTTTATGAACTAACAAGGTAAAAAATAGTCCATTTTTAATTCAGATTGAATCGCAAAGTCAAAAACGTTAAACTGGATATTGATATCAATATAGGCCACAACAAAGTGTGGCCCAAAAACTCTATGTATCCCTACCTGTAAGACGGTGATTGAGTTTTGCTTGAACAACAAACGAGCCAGTCTTCCAGGCATTCTTTTCACAGCAGAGGGAACCATCAGAAGACAAGCTCCAGAAGTCAGGGCCAAAAACATCTCCACCACTGATGGGTCAAAGGTTAATGGTGATGCCAGGAATACAACATCCTCTGCGGTCATTTTAAACAGAGATCTAAAGAGAGATGGTTTAAGGCACTTACAATAGCAGTGCTGTCAGGACACACAAAATACAGTAAACTATTTTAAGAAAGAATTAAAAACACATTAAAAATACTGTACAACATAACACAGGCTACCCTAATGCCATTATTACAACTGGATAGAATATTCGACACAATTACACAAATGCTTCTGGTTCTGACATCAGAGGTTCTCTTAAAGCTTTCTCTGTTTCCAATACCAAATAGTGAGCAAGCAGCGGCAGACTCACCTGAGATGTATTATATTAGGCACAATACAGTTGTGGGGAACTTTCACTATTTTAGGAAGACCTGTGGTTCCAGATGTGTGCAGAACATAAGCTAACTGCTCCCCCTGGTGGGTGCCTGTAGGCACAGCAGCACTGAGATGCTGCTTTGCTTCTTGCTTGTTCTGTGATATGTGATCGTCTACAGTCTGTGTTCCATCGTTCCCTTCAGATGAGATCAACTTTCTCTGCATCTTTATTAGAGCAAGATTATGTGTTGACCACGTTGCACACACTTCCATGGAGAGTAAACCGGAAAACACACTCTGGAACTGCTGTATGATGTGAAAGAAGAAAAAAATTATATATATATATATATATATATATATATATATATATATATATATATATATATATATATATATAAATCCAAGAACTAAAAAGCCAGGGAACAGTAACATTGGGCCCCATTCACCAATAACCATTCTTAAGAAGACATTTCTTATTAAAACCCATTTACATAAAAAATTCTGACATTCACCGATGTTTTCTTATTTGGGATTTGTTCTAAGGTAATACACATGCAAGAGCACAAAGGTGCAAACTATTCTGCAGTAATGAATCTGACATAGACGTATTTTTAGGATCTTTCTCAGAAGAGTCAATGAGGCCCATTCAGACTATTTCGGCTAGCTTAGTCAACCAGAACCACTGCACATTAAATTGTGAACGAATCACTTAATATAACTCAGGATATAAGATATCAGAATAATAACCAGAATAATAACTTGGCGGTTTCATCCTTGATTATACCAATGTAATGAGTCTACATACATTAAGGTGACTCGGATAGCTGGATTATTATCAAGACGATAATTTTACCAGGTAATGAGGGGTTGTTACTCAAAGATGCTATAAGCAGAGAAACTACAAACCTAGTAAGTAAGATCTCAAAGTCACAACTAGTTCTTAGCATCTGCACGCACAGCTGTACTTACTTGCAGCAGACTGCTTTGTATCAAGCAGAACCTCAAATTACACCTGTCCATGATTCTGAGGGTAAGCAGGGGTGGTGAGACTGGATCAAGAGGGACGTAGGCAGCAGGCAGCTGCAGAACGCTGTTCAGTGAAGAGGAGTCATAAATTGATGCCAAAGGTTAGTCAAGTAGGTCCTATATTGAAAAATTATTATTTATATGCTTAGACTGCAGGAGCAAATACACAATTCATTATGTGTGTAACAATTTCAACACAGTATCAAAAAAAAACATTTGAAAGGGACTGAAATTTACAACTTGATCATTGATACGCTCCCCTGACCCTTCTGAGGGACCTTCATATACTGTTTTTTGTGGAAACATTCTGGTGATTTCCCTTTCGGAGACACTTGTCTTTCTTCAATTTTCTCAGAAGAATTCCTCTGACTCTTCAAGTCGTTCAGGAAGTACTAATGTGAAATGGTGCACTGTAGAGAACCTTTCTGCTTTTTATTTCTTTACAGTGGTAGTGATACGAAGCAGAGGTTGCAATGTCTGCAAATATAGACATTTAAATGTATCCATCAAAACAACCAGCGAACACACCTGAGTTTTTGTGTGTAAAAATTATGGTAAAATAGAAGTAAATTTGAAAAAGGTTTTATTTGAGTTTTATGAAGCCTTTCAACACCATGAATATATCACTTATATATATATATATATATATACACACACACATATACATATACATATATATATATACATATATACATATACATATATATATATATATATATATATATATATATATATATATATGTGGTTGTCAGAACTTTGAATCTCCAAAATGGTAAATTTACAGGAGAAGGAAAAAAACTTTAATTTTAATGTAAGTCAATGGAACCAATCAATGGGTTGTTTCTTTTGGTCCATTCATCATGAAGTTTACACACAATGTAAAAGTCAACAGGCATTTTTTAAACTGTCAAAAAGTGAAAAACAACAAAAATAGAGATATGAGGTTTTGTTCCGACAGGAACAAGATATACACATACAAACACACACACACACACAAACACACATACATAAATACATGTATATATACAAAGGTCTATTTGAAGAAATGCATTTACCTGAACCAAACCAGAACTCTGGAGGATCAGGACGTTTTAACACAAAGTATCGAAACCCGAATGGAATTCTGACCTCCGAATCGAACATCGTATCGAAGCTGAAATACGTGTATCGTTACAACCCAAACTACAGTGAGCGGAGTGTTGCTGCCAGTAGTTGAGCTCTTGAGGACGCTATGATGCAGTTCACTTACCTGATGATCCAGACTGGAAGGAAGATGTCTGCATGACAGAAGACACCTACGGCACGTTCATCCTGTCCTACGGAGATTCTCAGTTTTTCCAATAACTCATTTACGAAAGCGATCAGTTCCTCGTAGGTCAGGCAGGTCCTCGCAGCATCGCCGGTGTCGAAAACGGCAGCAATTTTATCACCGTGCACGCGGGCAGCCTCGTGCACAAGCTCGTGCAGGCTCTGCGACATGACTCTGCTAGAAACGCTCAGCCGTTATCAAACCCACAAGCCAAGTAGATTCTTCTTAAAGTTGACCAAAACATCAAAACTGCCCGCCGGTACCAGATCGAAACACCTCGCGATGTCAAATTCGCAAACGAATCGTTACTTTGAACTGATTCTCAAATCCAACTGAACCGACACCTTCACAATGTTTACGTCCGGGAATGTTCTCATAAAGCTCGGATAATCGGTTTATCCGAACCATAAAGTTGTGCTATTAAAAAGCACGGTACAACATTTTAATAAACACCTCTTTGGTTCAGTTACACTTTGTCTGTAGAGTGTGGTCGGAGATTAAAACGGGCAGTTCAAACAGACTCACTGAAACGGACAGTTCAAAAGAATCGGTTCGCTAAACTGAATCAAAGCGTCCCCGTCGTGTAAAGATGACACATCACGCCGTGTGAGGCGTCCGCCAATCAGAGTGAAGCCCAGTCCAGGAGGCGAATTTGAAAATTCAGCCGCAGCGCGAGACTCTCCGGAGATCCGGAGCAACGTTAAAGCTGGAATTCGCAGCACCAGCAGTCTGTTTATCTTTTACCTTTTAAATGGAGTCCCCGCACGGCCAGACGAGCCTGAGGCACCAGGACAGACCAGATGCGATTTTAGACAGCTTCAAAAGAAATGACGACATTTTTAGAAACACGATGGAGGGGATTTTTCAGAAGGTGAGCTGCAGCCTAACGTCGCTAACCTAGCTTAGCTAGACAGCTAACAGTCGTCTGACACACTCAGCTGCTGAACCTCTGAGCGTTGAGGAGTTGACTGTCTAATTCAGCTCATGCACGAATGCAGCCCTGTGGTGCTTACACCATGAAAAATATGGTTCTCCAAGGGTCCTTTAAGGAAGGGAATGGTTCTAGTTACAGCCATTAGTTCTATATACAAGCCTTTCATGCTTATATGGTTCTTTGCATGGTAAAATGTTTCATCATATTGATGGAGAATGTTATATGGTTCTATATAGCACCTCTTTGAAAAGGTTTCTGTGTAGCACCAGAAAGGGTTTTTCTTTTATGATGTAAAGCTTGTGACAATGGAAGAACCCTTTTAGGTGCTGCATGTAACCATTTTCAAGAAAGATTTATATAGAACCTAACCCTATATACATGAACCATTTCAGAACCATGTAAGCATGAAATGGTTCTTGATAGAACTCATGGTTCTAACTTAGAACCATTAGTTCTGTATAGAAGCATTTCATGCTTAAATGGTTCTTTGCATGGTAAAAGCGTTCTTCATATTGATGGAGAATGTTATATGGTTCTATATAGCACCTTTTTGAGGGTTCTATGTAGCACCAGAAAGGGTTTTTCTTTTATGATGTGAAGCTTGTGACAATAGAAGAATCCTTTTAGGTGCTGTATATAACCATTTTCAAGAAAAATGTATATAGAACCTATATAGATGAACCATTTCAGAACCATGTAAGCATAAAATGGTTCTTGATAGAACTCATGGTTCTAACTTAGAACCATTAGTTCTGTATAGATGCCCTTCATGCTTAAATGGTTCTGTGCGTGGTAAAAGCGTTCTTCATATTGATGGAGAATGTTATATGGTTCTATATAGCACCTTTTTGAAAAGGGTTCTGTGTAGCACCAGAAAGGGTTTTTCTTTTATGATGTAAAGCTTGTGACAATGGAAGAACCCTTTTAGGTGCTGCATATAACTATTTTCAAGAAAAAATTATTTAGAACCTAACCCTATATACATGAACCATTTCAGAACCATGTAAACATGAAATGGTTCTTGATAGAACTCATGGTTCTAAATAAAACCATTCCTTTTACTGAAGAGCCATTTTTAAGAGTGTATTTCACATTACTTATCTATAAATGTGCATTTTATGCTGTTAAAGCTGCACATGATTGTTTGATTTTTAACAGTGCTGCGTTTTCCATCGCTGTGCCTGTTGATAAAGTTGGCTCATAACCACAATCTCTTTTTAAGTATTCAAATTTAGATGATCCAGGACTTGATGTCTGTTTTGAAACGATGACCTTCAGAACCAGAAAAGGTAAAGCTGAATGTTTGTTTTTGGTAACATTGCTAAGCTCAGGGACTGCATTGATTTCTGAGATTAACTTGACTTATAATTATATTATATATAATTATTAATATTAATAATGCTTTGCTAGAAATTGATAAGTGATCTAAGAATCAGCCAAGAACAGGCAAACGGGCCACTGGTTTAACCGTACTGGACAGGCTTGATTGTGTTGTTGTGCTGCTGCAGGTGCGGTGCCCATTGACAGTGCAGAAGCAGAACGTGAGCTGCAGCACCTGAGGGTAAGAACTGAACACTGGCTGCTAGGTGTGGGAGATGTGGCACAAATACAACATCACAATGCTTCAAGACAATATCACAACATACAGTACGCATCACAATATTTTTTTGAGTGATTTTCATTTATCTTTTCACACCCTGTGCTGTGCTAAATGTGCACTAAAATCTGAATACACGTCATATTCAAGTTTGTTCGCTGTAGAGGATGTTCTAACTTATTTTTGCTTAGAAAATCAACAAAACAGATCATTTAACAAGGGCTTTTCAAACTGGTGCATATGACTGTGCTTGGCGTAACTTACGACCACTAATTAATTAATTGCTGACCCCTACTTGCTTCACAGTGTTGTAAAACTCATAGGACACAACGTTTACGCACAAACGCACATGTTGGAGATATATCTGCATGAAACACAGCCTTCATACTTCTAGCTGGTTGTGATGATTCTCAGTCTGAGCATTGTTTGTCATTTTAAATAGGAACAATTTGGTGCACCTTCTCTCTTCATTTTAAATTCACTTAAAAAATGAATCTAATGAACAGAAAGTAAATAGCTCTATTGGTTCTAGCTGAATGAATTCTAATGTGGCCTCTGCTGATGAGACTTTAATTTTGTTCTTCCAGAGTCGCGTCAATGCTGAGCAGTCATTGCGAGGTAGGAACATACATTGATTTTTTTTCTATATTTGTGGATAGTTACTTTTCTGTTTTTTTTTTTTCTTGTTCTGTAGCTAATGGATTATTTTATCTTTTTTCATTTGTAGAGTTGGAAAGTTCTTACAATGAGCAGACTCTCTCAGAGCAAGACGTGAGTGCACTCTACAGCTCACGTTGCTTACACACATATATATATATATATATATATATATATATATATATATATATATATATATATATAAAATGTGTGTGTGTTTATGCTACAGTCATCCCTTAATAACTCATCCCATTCTAAAGCAAATAAAGCTCCTACTCACTTACCTTTATTTATTCTGATTTGTCAGGTCATAATGCAAGGATCAATCAAATTTTTGTGAGTTGGGGGTGCTTTATTGAGGTTGTCAGAGTTGGATCAGAGTCAGAGTTGTTACTTTAAGGCATTTATTTTTAAATTACTGTTTAAATAAATCAAACCATTGTCTTGTTTTTCTCAATTCAGATGGATGAAACGCAGAGAACCGAAAATGATGTCTGCCCTTTCAGTCAAATGGGAAACAGCAATGACAGCCTGTGTAAGAAATTATGCTGTTTAAAACCATACAAAGATCATCAAATTTCAAAAGCTGTTCTTAGGGCACTTGTTTGTATAGCTTTACACATGTTAATACATAAGATTAAAGTCATTTTAAAAGTATGTTTGCAAAAATGCAGAATACACACATCACAAGGTAACTGCACTACTTTTGAATGTGATTAAGGGCACTTTCACACCTGCCTTGTTTGGTCTGAACCAATTAAACATTTTATTTAGTTTTGTACATTTTGAATATAAACACTCCACCTAAACTGAGGTCTGTATCAATCGAACCATGGTCCTAAGTGAACTATGGTACAGTTTGCTGCTGGCACAAGCTCATTTTTATGATGGTCCACACCAAATTAGACAATTCAACACCAGTCTGATTTTCTCCATGCGCATCAGCACTGTACTGTCCAAAACGGCATAGTAGCAATAGAAAAGCATTTGATTTTGTCCCTTGGACTGCACAAAGTGTTTTTGACAAGTTGGAGCTGACATCGGAGACCTGATTGAATGTAATTAAACTACTAGATCATAAAGAAGTAGGGATCAAGTAAGGTTTATATGCTGTAATACATGTAGACATTTAAGAGTCTCTGGTTCCATGTGACGTAATGGGTATGATAATACATTTTATCAACAATATAACTGAAATATAGAACTGGATTTTGTACTGTGACAAGTGAAAGTAGCAAAAGTTAAAATAAGTTATAGATAGTGGAATGACAGCAGACATGAAAGTAACAGCGTGATTGTATCCTTGCCAAATTTTTTGACCGATCAAAGAATGCACTGAACACCCACTTGTATAATTTGCTGCACTTAAGCTGTTGCAGTGTGACAAACACCACCAAAAGAAAAAGATACAATGTCACAAAAGCCCAAACGTTGGTGCAGACTATAGTAAACAACCTAGGTGTGAAAACAGCCTAAATAATTGGCTAACCAGAAGAAAAAAAAAGTCTGTTTACCCCAAACATACTTCACTGGACATCCCAGAGTTTGCTTCTTTGGTTATGCAGTGGCACAATGGGGGTAATATAATTGTTGCACTAGTGAGGTTTTATAATGTGCGACTCACATCTCAAAGTTTGAAAGGGGGAATTATACTGTAAAGCTGAAAGTACTTTGTCCTTGCTATCACACCTGTTGTACAAAACAGTTTATTCAAACATTGAAATGACAGATTAACAATGTCATTTAAAGCAAGTGAAGTTTTGGACATGTATTTATGAAAAATATTTTAGGTGACAATAGACTTCTATAACTTGTTAACTACATTACCCTCGTAGCTCCATTGCAAAACTGAAGAAGCAAATTTCGGACACTAAACATGTCTTGACCAATCGGCTACATTTGGGATAAGTATGATTATTCAACGAACCATTCCTTAAACATTGCATTATAGTATGTCTGCTTATATTGTGCCACCTGATGTGTTTCATTCAAATCAAAACAGGGCCTGGTACTGAAGCATCCCAGCTGTCACTGAACTCAGTGAGTGGGTCGCAAAGCTGCTTGTGGGGAGAGCAGTCTCAGCCAGAGGATGAGGATGAGAACCTGGAAAGAACGCTAAACAGCCATGGCAGCACCCTGCTAGACGTCTATCCCAGCATGCTTAACCAGATTGGTGAGGCATACCGACGGCAGCACGTGACGCAGGCAGCTAGTGCCGTGCTACGGAGGTATCGCCGCAAGCGCTGGCAGTCTTCACAAACACAGCACCGCAACCATATCCCCAGCAATAGCCTCAATTGCACACTGAACAAGACGATGGAGAGTTCTTTCAATGTCCAAAAACTACCCCACCTTGACATGAGCAGCAATTGTAATGGTATGTCGAGCAGAAGCAGTCAAGGGCTTTCACCATTGAAGACTATCAGAAACTTATCCCTTGCTGCCAGCAGAAGCAATCAGGAGCTTTCTCCATTGAAGACTATTAGAACCTCATCCCTTGCTGCCAGCAGAAGCAATCAGGAGCTTTCTCCGTTGAAGACTATTAGAACCTCATCCCTTGCTGCCAGCAGAAGCAATCAGGAGCTTTCTCCGTTGAAGACTATTAGAACCTCATCCCTTGCTGCCAGCAGAAGCAATCAGGAGCTTTCTCCATTGAAGACTATTAGAACCTCATCCGTTGCTGCCAGCAGAGGCAATCAGGAGCTTTCTCCATTGAAGACTATTAGAACCTCATCCGTTGCTGCCAGCAGAGGCAATCAGGAGCTTTCACCATTGAAGACTCTCAGAAATTCATCCCTTGCTTCCAGTGCATGTTTTTATTCACCTAGGAGAGTTCATGTTGAGGAAAGTCCTGTGGCTGAAAGCAGATCACCTTGGACAGCTTCGTGTTCAGACAGCGAGTCACAGCATCGACCTGTTAGGGTGCTGGACCTCTCAACACCTCCATCCTCTGCAGCTTCCTCCCCTCGTTCCCCTTCTCCAGATCTGAATCAGACCTACAACATCGAGCCTGTTGCGATGCCAACATCTTGTGATGCTTTTGCTTCTGCTGCCTGGAGCCCAAGTAGGTCACTTTGTAACTCGCCATTAAAAGGAGCAAAGAACTCACCGCTTCCTGGCCAAGGAGGCAGACTAGTCACAACCTTGCCATCTCGCCATTGTCACTCTCAGGCAGGGCAGCAGCTTACCAGTCCCTTTGTAGGTAAGGAGTGCTACAGGGACCACGTCTACTCTCATTCCCCATCCCCACAGCAAGCTATCATTGGTGGTTCATGTTCTGTTAAAAGAAGTCCCTTCAAAAAAGTTTTTAGCCAAGAACTAGAACAGCAAACGTCATCATCCATCTACTACCCTAAACAAACCTTACCTGCAAATCATGCAGATAACACTGCAGTGTATAGATCTCCTTTCCGGAGTCAGCAGGGGGTGTCTTCTTCCTACCGTTATCATCCAGTCTCCAACTACCAAGAGAACCTGGCTATGGCTGAAGTACACCAATTCAGCCCCAGACCACCAAAGCGTCAGCGATCCTTCTCTGCCAACCAGTCCTCATCCTCCCCCATGTCTCGTATGTCTCGCAGGCAGATAGATGCCGAGTTCAGGAGGCTCTATCACCATTTCATCTGTCGAGGCACTTCCTCTTCTTGCTCCAGCTCTTCCTGTCACCTATGTGAGAGGCAGTTGGAGGTTGGTGTCCAGGGTTCCCCCACCTTTTCCTCCAACATGTCTGCTCTCGCTTTAACACCTATTCAAAGTCGGCTAAAGAAACGACGCAGGCAGTATGAAGTAGAGGAGTCCCTGAGGCTGAAGCGATTCCGTGAAAGTTGCTCCCCTAAAAGCCACACCAGTCTTTGGCCAAAACAGCAGCAAGCAACCAAACACATGAGCACTGCAGTGGTCAATCCTACTGAAGACAAATGCACCTGGAACAGGGCTCTTCTCCTGCAGTGTCCCAGCCCTGGATTCCTCAGAGGCAGTGGAGACATGAGGAGAGTTTCAGGGTCCAAACCAGGCCTGCATTCACACTCTCCATCTCAGGTAAGATGATGTCAAAAGTGACATGCACAGAATCAATGATTATTTTTAATGTTAATGATTTTTCTAATGAGGCTTTTGTTTCTCTTTTGTGTTTGCAGCGCCATGTGTCTGGTTGTATTGGTCCAGTTGAAGGTGAGCATTATTTTATTCAGTGGTAATGGAGAATATACACCAATCAGCTACTTCATTAAGTTCACTGATTTCATTAAGTGTTGGCTATACCAGTTCATTTATTCTCATATTTCAGTCTCATGCTGGATGTCTAAACTGATGTTGACACATACAGTTGTATGTAAAATTTTAAACACCCTTGTCAAATTATGTTAACACATCCTCTACAGGTAATACATTTAAATATGGCATTTTCCTGAAAATTTTAGTACACAATTTCTACTTATTTAAAAAAAAAACTGTATCACAACTTTTTTCCACTATGTTTATTAAAATGTGCAGAAATGTGGTCTCTGTAAAATGTGTGCTTATTTTTGCTTAGAAAATCACCATATCACATTTGACTAGGGGTGCCCAAACTTTTGCATATGACTGTATTTTGTGTTCACGTTGTGAGGCAACAGAAACAGATGGCATGACCTAATGATGAACAGCTAGCCAAGAAATTTTCAAGCAAATTATTTCTTTTGGCCTCCCAAAATGAATAGATATATTGTGTGCATATACCCCCTCAAAGCTGATGGTCTACTTTCTAACTTTATATTGCTTATTACACTTTCCAGTTAATTACACCCTGCACTGTCTAAACATGTAACTTCCAAGCATTTCATAATTCGTTTCATTACAGGATGAACTATTGTTTTTTTTTTTTCTCTTAATAGCTAGGTCACCTATGAGAGCTTGGAATCAAAGTGGCATCTCAGCCTCACCAAGGTAATAGGCTAGAAATTATACTACATTGTGTTCTACAATAATCAGTTACTGACATATAGCTTGTCTTGATAATTAGTTTGCTATAGTGTGGATTTCTTCCATAAAATAAGCAGCAAACATTTGGTGTAATCATTTGATTTCCACTTCCAGCTTGTCAAGGAGACGACTTCTGTATGGGCCTCTCCAGTGAGGAGCCTTCCCTGTTCATCATCGTATCTCCCGCTACTAATACTAAAGCATCTCTGTAGATGTTCACCCCAAAATATTAATAATGAACATTACACAGTAAATGTATATTATCACACAGCTGTAATTATTCTATTTCCATTTATCCAATATATCATTGCTGTCGGAACAAAACCTTATCTCAGTTTTTACTGTTTTTTTTCAGAATTTGAAAATGCCAGCTACCACTTACATTGTCAAAATTTCATAACTAACAAACAGTTCAGAATGATTGAGGATAAAATCTTGTAGCATAAACTTGCACTGAAAGTTAAGAAATACCAATAAACCAGTTTAGTCATTATCTAGGATTTTGAAACAAGCCTGATTGACGAACAGTGGTTCGCAAACCTGGTCATCAAATAGCCCTGCACATTTTAATGAATAGCACTGAAGGCTGCAGGACAGGGTGGTCTTCCACACCAGGTTTGAGAGCCACTAGGCTATAACATTGAAAGAACTCAGTTGATGTTCTCTGATCAGTGAATGCAAGAACTGACAGCAGAAGTCATGAATGTTTTAAAACAAAGGACAATTTTGACTTGAATGGTGCTGTTGTGGTTTCATTTGTCAAATACAGCCAAATGATATTTTTTGCAAATCAGTAGTTACACAATATGCTGTGACTGATTATAAACTGGCTTAATGGCTTACATTCGTGGTCATAGCTTTAATGTAGTAAAGTTGTAAGCATGTTTAACACATTTTATTTATAATTGCTTATCAAACCACTGGTGTGGAATAACCTAAATCTGTGCTCTTTTTGGTGTGTAACTATTTTGTGAGTTCAGTATGTTTGTAAATAATAATGCAAAAACTTTTACATGTATGTTCCAACATGGATTTTTAATAAATGATTTTTGCTTGTTTTACACAGAGATTCTTTGACATTTCATTGACAAATACAGCTAAAACCTAGAGGATGTGGTTCTTCAAATTGCTCCAGGTTTCATCAGCCCATGCTGCAACAGTCTGCATAATCTTTACAACTTGATAATGCAGCAGGAGCGAAATAAGTCACAAACAAACATTTCTCTGTCTCTCTCACCCTCACACACACACTCTCAATGTATTTTCTAGGGACATTTTTTGTGCTGGTCTTCTGAACATAAAAGAGCCTTGGATTCTCTTCTGTTCAGATAAAAAGGCCTCCATGTGTGAAATTTGGAGCTGACCATATCACACATTAACATAACACATTTGTCATAAGAGGTTCAACTGCTTTAAGTGACAAATGGCTGAAAGTGAGTATAGGATCAGTACACATTAAGCTTCAAATAGGACTTTATTTTCCACAGGAATGCAAGAGTTATGTGTTGTTTTGACTAAAAATAATGTGAATTTGATATGCAAATAGGCTGTTCACTGCATGCATTACCAGGGCAGTCATTCAGGGTCCCCACAGACTCAAACCTTTGCAGGTAAACTGAAACAAAAGCCTTAAATAAATAAAAACTAAAAAAAATCTCAAACTGTTTGAATTTGCATGCAAATGAAAAATACTGAGATATATTCCAATTCAGTTATTTTAAATCTGTAGTGTTTAACATTGAATATTTTGTCAAAATATTCAAATTTCCCATTGTAAACAGGACAGTGAACCTCCTCGACTTTGATGTTTAAGCGAGTGGAAACCCTGATTAATACAGAGCTTGTAAATTACATGCAGGTAGAAACTTCTACTCCATCTCACATCACAGTGTACAGTAGACCTAATATATCTACTCTAGTGGAGATGATTGCCATTTGTCAGACAGTCTGGACTGGAATGTTAAAGATTGTGTTCGATGCTGTTTCATCACCACTCCAGCTCGACGGGGTATTTTCCTGTCAGACATGCTGTGCAGTGACCAACTCTCTTGCTCGTCTTGGTCCTGGAGCTGATCTGCTCCTTCTCCCCACATGACTCGATCCCACCCTGGACCGCAGCCACCAGACCATCGACAGACAGGTAACGCACACTGGTGGCCCCTACACAACACACCAGAGCATTGTTACAGCAGATAATCACTTACTCATTCCAAACTGTTCATCATATACGGAGAAATAATTGCATACAGTGCATACTCATGATTCAAAGTTAACAAAATCAAAAAGTCCTAAGTGCTAATCTAACTTAAAACTGTACCATAATTCAGCAGTTCCCCGCCCTGGCTTTGGAATCCACCTGTCCTCCTTTATATTGTATAAAATGTGCAGAGCAGGGCTATTCCAGGACTAAGGTTGGGATCAACATAATGGCCTATCCTTATCCTGACTTACCAATGTAGCCAGCGATGTCTTCAAACTCTGGTTTGTTAGCGATGAGCTCCTCTTTGGTAGGAATGTTGATGCCCATGTAGCAAGGGAATCGTATAGGAGGAGATGCTACTCGAATGTGGACCTGTGAGTTGATTTTTCAAAGCAAATGGTAAAGAACTGTATTAGATTTAGTGTTAAATAACTTCATAAATTTATCTGACTTTCCTGATTTATCTGTTTTCTTCCATTTAACCGGTAGACTGGACATCACTCGTGATCAATGTAAAATAAATAAATAAATAAATGAGAACTAATTCAGCATATCATCACTGTTGGGACAAACCAGAAGAACAAAAAAAACATCTTGACTTTGAATGTCAGTTAATGGAAGAAAAATTTTTTTCAAGTAATTCAGAACAATTTCTATTCAATTCACCTGCCATTTTCAAATTCTGTTAACAAAAAAAAATGGATAAGAAGTTTTATCCCAACAGCAACAGCACATTTTAACTTCTATTTATATCCTTCATTCTCTTCCTACCTCTGTTGCTCCTGCCTCCTTAAGCAGTTTAATAATAGGTGAGATGGTGTTGCCTCTCACTATAGAATCATCAATGAGCACTACTCGTTTGCCAGCAAAGTTATCTGTCAATGCTCCAAACTTCTTAGCCACTCCAAGCTGACGTAAACGAGTATTTGGCTGAATGAAAGTTCTGCCGACGTAGCGGTTTTTGCACAGGACTTCTACATAGGGTAGGCCCGACTAGGGAGGGAAAAACAACATTAGGAACAAAATGTTGTTACAATGTGCAAGAAACTGTATCTAACAGCACATTTTTAAAACTTTTACAATTTAAACTTTTGTTCTACCACGTTATAGTTTTTTTTTTTTTTTTGTACCACAAACTTAGTGTAACATGCGTGTACCAAACTAACTGTTGCCGATATGGTGTCATGTCATTCACAAACAACATACTTAATACAGGCCTACAGTTCCTTTACATAATCTCCATTTCTCACCTCTTGTGCGTATCCTAAAGCAGCTGGAGTGGCAGACTCAGGAACTGTGCTGACCACATCTGCATCAGTGGGGGCCTCGATGGCCAGCTGACGTCCACAGCGCTGTCTGACTGTGTATACCATCTGACCTGCAACACACAATCAGACCTCTACAGTGTAGACAAGGGCAATGACTGATGCTAGACTAAGAACCAGCAAAGGTTTAAATAAGCTATTAGAAACAATTTACATCTACTGAGCAACACGGATGAGGATGAGAATATTATAGACATGTTAATACATTATTTTTTTGATCTAAAACAGATGCAAAAGGCAGGGTATTCATGTTGACATACTTCAATTACTGATAAATATGCCAATGCAAATCCTTATCATATAGCATTTAAACTGTTAGGAAAGTGTTGTGCCTCACTGTAGGTCAAGCTTGTAATGATAATATCAGCATTATGAACTTGCCTTCAAATATGGAGTCAGGCCTGGCAAAGTAAACATATTCAAATATGCAGAAGGCAGGCGGGTCTCCCTCTGGACGTGGGACTACGCTCAGGCTCTTGATGCCATGCTTGGAAATCTGCACAATTTCTCCGGGTTGTACTTCCCGATAATACCTGTGGACAGAGACAGGGGAGCCATCCACCTGAAATACCAATTATTATGTAGTTCCATAGTGGCAGGTTGTGATTGGTATTGGTCTCACCTGGCACCGATGGACTGGAAGCTGCAGGACTCTGAGGAGACCACCCAGCCTTCTGTGTCTCCCTCTCCACTGGCTGAAAACCACAATCAGAAGAAGTGTCACATCACCACATTAAAGATTTTGCAGATTCAATTACATTCATAGACACATACAGATGGCAGCACTCATTTAAACCTTGTCTTGCAAAACACTGTTAAATATAAAATTAAAAAAAAAAAAACACTTTATATAGATATTGATTATATAACCTAAACAAATGTAGAATTACATATTAGTGAAAATTAAACTTACACTATTTTGCCCTTATCCCAGAAACAGCTGACCATTCAAGGTGTGCTTGGTGTGCAAAGTTAGATTTTTTTTTTATTTTATTTTTTCAGATAGATTTTTCAACCCATGCTAAGTCAAGTCGGATAGACTTGCTTATGTGGGTTCTGAAACTGTAAGACATGCTGTTATCTATAAAAATGGACAAAAGTATGTACAAAATTCAGGCTGCAAGATGGCTACTACTGTTTTTAGCTATCTGATGAGTGTTTGTCCATTTTTAGAGATAACAGTATGTCATACTGTGTCAGAAACCACAAAAGCAAATCTTCTTGAAATTACTTAACATAATTTGAGGAAAGAGTGTGATGCCTCATAGCTCCAGTGCAAAACTAAAAAATATATATTAAGTAAATATATTAAAAAAAAGATAAAAAGCAAACTTTGGATACCAAATGTCTTGGCTAGGCATGTACCACAACATTCACACATACAATACTGTTATTGTGGACACTTTGAAATGCGGAAACATGACGATATTTTCAGAATTTAAATGTGTCAAAACATTGTGATACATAATCTGTATCATTAAAAATGTCAAAGTATTGCTTATACATGATCACTCACACACACACACACACACACACACACACACACACACACACTTTTATATGATATTTTTGTCATATTGCCCACCCCTACGGTCACCGTATTTTAGTCAAATGAGCTGCAGTTTCACTTGCCATTTTTGGGATAAGGAGAACAACTTTGCTTTCACTATGCTGTCATATTGTGCTCCCATGGTTTATTATACGTTTATAGAGCTATCCTTTGCTTGTAGTGCTCTCTGTTCATACTCAGAGAATATAGTGCTTTTTCAAAGACAGAAATCCTTGAAATGTACAACCACCAATACATTACTGCTATTCAAAAATGACATGTATTATCTTATACTTTGTGTTTTTTCTTTCATATAATACTGTGATATAAAATGTGATAAAAGGTCAGATAATTAGAAAGATACTGAATTTCTACATCAGCACACAGACAGTCTCGGCTGATCGACTACCTTTGCAGTAAGCAAAAAAAATGTCTAATTGTATACATTAGATTATTGACTTGTATCACTGCAATACTGGTTACTCTCCACATCCACTGTTCTTCTTATTCCATTGCTTATATTCTCTGCTCTCTTCTATTCTCTGTACCTGAGTGTAATTTGGAGATGGGCACCAGACGGCCGATACTGAGAGGTCTGTTGCCGTATGGGTCTCTCACGGCGTAGATCACATCTTTGTGCATTACCAGCAGGGAGTAGGATGTGGGTGTCTCTGTCATCAAGTTCTTGATACTGAAATAAATTAATTGAAGTGAGAACAAAAAAATATAGTACACAATACAGAACTGTAGACATTAGTATACAATATAGCACGTCAGGCTCCAGGCCTCGCGGGCCAAAACACTGCAGACTTCAGTAGACTGCGTCATTAAACACACCTGATTCAGCTCAACAGCTAATTAGCAAGGCTGAATTCAGAATGTTAGATGAGGGTAAATGCTCATCTCTGCAGCACTTTGACCCAGAAGGTACCTAGTTTGACCTGCCTGCAATTTAGTCTTGTGACACTAAAGTGAATTTCAAGGACACTATGTCCAATGAACCAATGAGGGATTTTGATTATGTGACGATGGACAAATGTAACGGACCGTGCTACCCAATCAGGAGTATCGACCTCTTCCATGGGCGGAGTCAGAGCAAGGAGCTGCGTGATGAGCTCGCTGTCTGAACTGGTGGAAAGGCCGACACCGTGTCTCATAACCTAAATGACACACAAAAACAACACTATTTTCTTCTTGCTTTTCTCTGCCTCTGTGCTTTAAATGCAGTCAGTACTGCACAAACATCAGTATTTACTTATGAGTTTCTAATCAAAAAAAGAAAAAAATATTCATGGTCCACCTTCTTGCGCAAGGCAGCAGCGTTTACGAGTTCTCCGTTGTGTGCCACGGCAATCTTGCCATGCAGGGTGTCCACCACAAACGGCTGACAGTTCTGCAGCTCTGAGATCCCTGTGGTGGAATACCGTGTATGACCGATACCCAGGTTACCATATTTCAGCTTCAGTAAGTCCTCTGATTTAAAAGCTGTGCTCACCAGCCCCATGCCCTGAAGAAAGAAAAAACACAGAGGGATGGAAATGGAGGGAAATGAAGAAGGAGAGAGGAAAAACAAGCATTAAACTCCAAAAATGACAGACCTGCTCTATGATGTCTTATAGTTTGTTTTTATGCTATATCATATTTCAGACCAGGGTTAAGATGTTGAGTTTTTTTCATATAACCTGAGAGTTTTCACAACATGCATCACGATATTTGGATATTCTAAAGAGGTTTGCAAACAAGCCAGAACAGAAAGACGCCACAGTGGTGACATTTTAAAAAGAGCTATGAAATTTAAAATTAGCAAAAATTAACCACACTAAAAGGAACAGGAAAAATACTAATAAATTAATAAAATAAGATAATCAGTTTAATCAGTTACTTGTTACTACACAATATTAAAAATAAAGGTGACAAAAATGCCTTAGAAGAACCACTTTTGGCCCCCTAAAGAACATTTTGATTGGTTCTGTAAAAAGGGCCCATTTCACATAAATCCCAATTTTCCTTAGTTTTTAATGAAAGAGTTTGATATAGTATGTAAATATTGTTGAAGCTTCAAGATGTACCATTAACTCCCCAGTCAACACAGTCCATATATTAAAAGTAAGCTTCAAAAACAGCTTGTTTTGAATTCACTGTTTAAATGTGGTCACAAAAACCAACATATTTGCCTATATCCTTCTATTCAGCCTGGAGCAGTTTAGCCCCACCCATTCAGGTTATTCAAGTTATAAGGAGTGTTTCAGCTCGGACGGCTTTTTGAGAGGCTTGGTACAGGGCAGCCAATAAGAACGGACATCATTTACATATATCAAATTTAAGTAGAGTAAAAAAAAAAACAGTCTGTATAGTTAATGGATAAATAGAGGTTGGAAAATGGTCAAAATTAGTTATGACGGTTTTTGGTACATAAAACCGCATAAGCAAAATGTAGGATATGGGCCCTTTAAACTTTCAACTGATAGTACCTGATTGAAAGGACTTTATCAATGTTTTTGATAGCTTTTGCACTGGTTGTTGTTTACAGGCTTGTAAAAGTAGTTTTGGAGCATTTCTATTGGTCCATTCATCATGAATTTCTAGCATGTTGTAAATGGCAGCTGGCATTTTCAAACAAGTACAACAGAAAACTGATCTGCATTTAGTTTTACCTTAAAGAGCACAAACATTTCTGCACATTCAACCACATAAACTTCTAATTCTATTACCTTTAGGGTGGTGTATGTGGGTGGAGTGGACCCATTACTCGTAACCATTCCCGCACTTTCTTGACCCCTATTTAACACAACAAAAGCACAGCGTTAATACTTAATTACCTTGCTAACTGCTTTAAAACAACCTCACTAGCATGTCATATTATGCTGGTTGTGGACTGTCTGTCTGCAGTTTTGTGATAAAGGGTAAATAGTACAGGCAGGCAGCGCTGCAGCAACATGTCTTGGCAAGGCTGGCAAATAAAAATGTATTTGTAAAGAAACCCCTCCCAGCACGGTGAGCCTATCAAAATCAAAGCAGCGCGCTTCCTCTTTCTGTTTTTTTTATGACTCTCTGGCTGCCTGGTTTCAAGCCCTGAGGCAGATCAAACTGGTTCGTGTGTGAAGCAGGTTAACCAGAGAAAGAGAGCAGGCGCGAAGGGCGGAGGGAGGAACTGTGGAATGTGTGCGTGTATGAGAGAGACAGAGAGAGAGAACAGACTGAAGGAATAAGGGAGAAAAAAAAAAACAGTAGGAAGCTGCTGGGCAAAAAGAGAAAGCGCAGCCTAAAATGAGAAAGCTCTTTGCAGCTCTCTCTCTCTCTCTCATAATCTCTAAGCCTTTATCAGTTGCCTTATTTGGAGAGCTTCTCGCTGCGGCTGCAGCTGTGTGGCTCGTTCACCAAGCCACTTCTCACATTTCCCCCCACCCCTCCCCCACAGCTTAAGCCAGTCACAAAGCTGCTCTCCATCACGTGGCCATCCCTAACTGGCTCAACTGTCTGGTTGCCTAGGACACCGAGCTCAAGGCAAGGAGGGGGAGGGTGAGAGAGCAGCAGAGGGGAGGAGGGAAAAAAGCACAAGCGAAAATTCAACAGAAGCCATTTCTAGGCTAGCTCAGAAACATGGAGCCTAGTGCAGAGGAGAAGAGGAGTGGTAGCAGAGAAGAGGAGAGGCAGCAGCAGAGAGGAACGACAGGCCACTGGAAAGGGGACGAGGTGAAAGCTCTTCTGGTGGCGTGGAGAGAGAGGGAGGCCTGGGACGAGCCGGAGAGCAGGGCCAAGTACGAGGCCATCTCAAGCCGGCTGAGAGATTTTGGCATTCTGAGGGACTGGCTCAGCTGCCAGACACAAAGCAGAGCGATGGCTCTACCGGACTGGAGGCCTCCACCGCCCAGATCACAGCCTGTCTACAGCCCAACAGGCCAGGCACCGGCCGACAGCAGGGCGACACAGAGGCCTTATGAAGCGGCAGAAGAACACAGCAGCCCTGTCAACAGGAGAGAAGGGGCCACTTCCCTGAGCACTTTTCAGGAGGGTAAATATTTGACACCAACATGAGCACAAAAAAAGCCCAATTTCCAGAAATATAGTTAAAAGGCGAACTTCACTTCTTTCACATCTGGGCTTTTATTACCCTGAATAACATCTGGGGATTTTTTCACAAACCGGGATTTCGGGCTTAGCCAGCTAACTTTAAGTCAGTCTAACTCTGGATTTTGTCACAATGGTGGATCACTTACTCCAAAAAAACTTAAGTACCACTTGTTTGAACTCAAATGCTTAACAAAGCTAAAATAATTTCATAATAAGTTCATTTTTAAACTTTCCCCAAGATCAATGTTTTTTTGTTTCAATGTAGTATTTAAAACTAACAATTCTGTTATTTTACACAAAAACTAAACTTTATTTATTAATTCCACAACAAAAGTCACCTTTGATGTTTAAAAGTATATAATTTTTTAATTAAGTCATATAGATCTTACATACATACAAGATCCAATTTTTACTGTTCTCAAATTAGTGTGACTTCATCACAGATTGGAACAAAAGGTACCAGCAGACACATTTTTGTACTCATTTTTAAAAGAGAGATCACTAGTCTGTTCCCTTCTTAGGCATGGAGGGAGGGAGGCACTGGTCCGACAAAGAGATCCGGGCTCTCCTCACCGTCTGGGCCGACCGGGATGTCCAAGGGCGTCTACAGACCACCCATCGAAACAAGGCCATCTTTCAAGAGATGGCCCGCCGCCTGGAGGTCCAGCATGGCGTGGTGCGAGACTGGAGGCAATGCCGCACCAAATACAAGAACCTCAAATATGACTACAAGGTCAGCAAGAGCCAAGGTCGGTCCATGCGCTTCTTTGCAGAGGTGGACGCCATACTGCAGGGCAAGATCACGGAGGACGGCCCAGATGAGGACGAAGATTCACCCAGGAAAGGACCAGAGGCAGAACAGGCATCTGGGAGGAGTGAACCTGGAGAGGACCACTACATTAAGATCGACGATGGTAAGAGACTGAACTCAAGCGGAGTAATTTTCAACGACTAAGTGCTTTGATGTTTTCAATGCTGTCTAGTTGACAGCATTGTTTCTTATTCACCTTTACCTTTCCTCCTTTACAGATGAAAGTCTGGCAGACATGCAAACAATAATCAACACAGGTTCTCATCCACTCATCACAAAAGATACAGGTATGTCATCGGGTCCAAACACAAATAAGTAAAGTACTGTAGACCCAAGCAATAAACCAAAAGAAACAATGAAAATCAACCATGTTTTCATGAATAATGCAAATTTGAGGAAAATGGCTATAACCTTATGTTTTATAATCTGATACTATCAGGTTTGAACTTTGAACAAGTCCTGCTACAGTACACTAGGTGGCAATGTGACCTATCACTTGCTAGGTGGAAAGGGAGAAATCTAGCCATTCACTTGTAACTGCACAGGCTAGGGTAACAGCATAGGTAGGTAGCTTGCTGTTTTCAGTGTTGAACTTATGGAGAGCAAAGAAGGCTGGAAATGTGAAAAAATAAAATAGTCTATTCTGAGTATAGCATCAAAAGCATATAAAAATGGTATTTTTTTTAAATGTATATTTATCGGTTTCTAGGGTTAGGATATTATTATACTACAGCAGAATGCCTTTTTTGTTTGGCATTCAAAATACCATTCAGAAAATTTGTTTTTATTATTTGTAAATGTATAATATGTTTCATATACAAATATAATTTACAAACCAATGTAGATTTACATCTTCGTAAAGACACCAAAAGGTATTTTATATGCTTTGTTTATTGGAATTGTTATATATTATAAAACGTCTACTGTAACTATCTATTTGCATTATTTAGTCAGGGTATCTACCTCAAGATTTTATCAGGCATTTTGGATGTTAAATTTATTATAACTTTATTGATGATGCTATACAGCTTTCTCTGTCATTTTAAAATATTCTATAGCTCAGCAGCGTCCTACTAATTATTTGAAAGCTGTCAAGTTGCACAGTACTGACATACTGAATTCCTTTTATATATTTGTCTAAAATTAACTTTGGTTGTATATCGCTGTAGCTTTGTTTTTGCATTGTTGATTCAAAATAAGCCCTATAATACTTTAAAGCATTGCCATCTTTTTCATCTGCTGTTTTCTACACAAGGTCCTACCATATCGCCAATGAGTAGAATGCCAGCAGATGATGCGAACGTGATCACAGTTCACGATTCTGGCCGGAACTGGACCGAGGAAGAGGTGGCAGCATTGCTCAACATCTGGGCAGAGGAGGGGATCCAGCAGCAACTGCAGGTTTCTACCCGAAACAAAGATGTGTTTGTGCAAATATCTCGCCGGCTTCTTCAGCAGGGGGTGGAAAGAGACTGGAAGCAGTGTCGCACCAAATACAAGAACCTGAAATATCTTTACCGTTCTCTACAGAGAGGCAAAGCCGATATCGGGGACACTCGTCGCATCATGAAGTTTTATGAACAGCTAGACAGCATTCTGTCCAGGCCCATCAGAGGCCTCTACAGGACTGCTGGGATGTTCAGTCCTCCCATGTTTGAAGAGCATTCCTTTGGTGAAACACCTGCACAGGAGGACTGCGACGTCATTGCTGTTGAATATGATCAGCAGGCTATAGATGATGCCATTTTGAGGGGGTCTCCTGGCATCATCACCCGAGCAGCCCAAAATCAGGCCAAAACAGATACCAATTTGAGAAGGTTAGAGGAGGACACTGATGTGGAATATGAAACAGGGGCTCCGGTGGATGGCATGTTGGTGAGGTCAAACGACAGCGTGCAGGCAGGATACGGAGAGCAGCCTTTGTGTAGTCACTCGGTCACAGCTGGAACATACGATGGAGGTCAGGAATACAAAGTAAACAAAGGTAACACAATGAATTCATTCATGAAGGATGCATCACTTTTCTACAATGGACTGTTAAAAAAAAATCCCATTCAGATCTGCGTAATAAATTGATTATGTGGATGTGTCTGTGTGCAGATGACACTGAGACGACGTTCATGGAGAAGGAGCATGCAGCGTCAAGCAGACGAAGAAAGAGGAAGGCCGCAGATGAAGGTTCTTCATTCTTCTCACTTCATTAAAAGGAGACTGTCCTTCATTTAAAACACTAGATTGGAACAAATTGCTTAATGAGTCTAACGACTGGCAGTGTGATTGAGCCTTGTGACCACAGCCTTAATAGAAACAACATGAGAAGAGCATGGAGTGCACATGGAAAAGATTTAAAGGTCCTGTAAGGTCACAGACTAACAGAGCAGAACAAGATTAAGAAAGAAAATGAGTACAAAAATGCCACTAGTCAGTCAGAGAAAAGGGATATTCATTTTTTTTCAATTTCATAAAAAAATAAAAACTTCTGACAGTTCTCATGTGTATCAGGCTGACATAAAGAACACACAGCAGTAAATACGAAATATAATGAATGCATGTGAAAGGTACTGAGCAATTCTTCTATTTGTAAGGCTTATTTACAAAAAGTAAATGCCTGAATATCCACAGTAGGTGTGGGCAATATGATATCATAATTATATCACAATTACTTTTCTGAGCATATTGTGGGCATCATCAGTACCTAAAGGAAACTTGACAAATACAGGCCATCTACAGGTCTTTGAAATGAGGCTCGGAAGTGGCATTACTGCCTAAGGTTTTGATCTACTGGGGGAAGACCTATTGCATAAAAGGCCCATGTGACAGAAAAATTTTTTTATCTCATTTTATATAAAGAGTTTGATGTAGTATGTAAACATTGTTCAAAGTCTCAAAACAGACCATGTACAGAAACTGACTTTCAAACATGTGACTTTCAAACAGCCTGTTTTTGACCAACACATTTACATATGTCCACCTATTCAGCCTATAGCAGTTTAGCTCCACCCGTTAACAATGAAGTTATAAGGAGTGTTTCAGACTTTTCAAATGAGACACAATACCAATCACTACATGGGTCATTTACATATTCTCAGTCTTAAAGGCACAGTAATAATAACAACCTGATTTAATTCTTAAGTCTAAAATGCTGATGTACAAGTAAATTAGGAATGTTTTTGGTATAAAGTGCACGCAAAACACACCAAGAATATGGTCCCTTTAATTGGACGTAGAGCAGCATGAAGCATTTCATTACAAATTTCATAGTTTTTGATATCAGTTTAAATCATGGCTCTGCTGCTTTGCCAATGAACTGTTCCAGTTTTTCAAAACATCAGAAATGCTACGTATAATACAATGTTACATAAATATCATATTTTTTATATATTACTTATATAAATATAAAATATTATGTACCATTACAATATCTTTAGGTACTGTGTTGTCACATATCTGCCATATTGCCCACCATCATGGATATGAATTATGGATTTATGCCTTATAGAATTGCTGACTTGGATTATGATAAATCGCCACTGTGATCCTTTAACTCTTGTCCTGTGTTTACAGACTACAGTCTGACCTTTAAAAGGTTTCATCAGAGCTTGGATGATGGAGACAGCAGTACAGATTGGTCTGAGAACATTGACTATCAGTGCAAAGAAGAGCAGGATCAATACATCCCAATAATGGAAATCACCTCTGTGTGTTCAATGGCCTCCAACACACCAGCATCTGAAAACTTGGTGAGTTGCAGAAATTTATCCTGATAAATGAGATTTCAGGAGAGGGCCATGGTTTAAATTGATAGAGCTGCATATAATAAGTGAGGTCTTTACTCCCCTAACTTCCCATGCCTAGACACAAGAGTCAGGAGATTTCTGGCAACTTTTTGAACACTTTCCCAAAATAACAGTGTCTCAGTTCAGAGCTGCGACCACATCTATGACAGGCTGACTTCACTTAGCTAAACCACTCTTGTGTAAAAGCCCTTAAGAGTCACATGGAGACCCGAGCATAACTAACTACAAAACATTCACTCCAGCTCGAGTTTCTGAAATCCTTGAGAAAGGGGGAAAACAATACCGTGATTATTAACGAAACATTCGTCACAGCTCTCTATACGACTTATAATAAACTTAATAAAGTGGTATAAAGTCAGCTCCGGTTTCCATTCAGTCCGTAGACGCTGAATGGACGTACCCAAAGCACCTTACCTGTGTTGTAAAGCTACCAGACCCAGCGTCAGGATCTGCGCCACTTCCAGCTGTGTTGGCCACTCTCCTGCTGCCACACAGCCGAAAACGCCGCACTCCTCTCCGATACCGGACTCTTCAAACTCCATGCCCGCAGTATAGGTCTCTCCGAGCCCTCCGTCTGATTTCTCTCCCGCGGTCGCGCCCCCCCGCCCCCCACGCTGCCTCAAAATCGCTCGGTCCGAGCACGTGCTGCTGCACGACGCTGCTTGACACCGGCCTGTACCAACTGAAACCGAGGGGTGCTCCTCCAGTCTCGACTGAGTCTCCAAAACTACACTATTTTGAGCAAAGCAAACTCAGTTGTAGTTTAGCGGGAAAGTATTTTAACTACAAGTTAAACCGAAAGTGCAAAGCTGGTTAGAAGTGGTTAAAGGTTATAAACGAGCTTTGCGCCATCCAACTTCACAGCAGCTGGAGACGTTGGTCAGCTGAATCTGTGAGGAAGGAAAAAAGATTAGCTTATTTGCTGAAAAGAATAGACAAACGATTTTTTCCTCACGTGGTGAAGATGGCGGCGTGATTCTGATTGGTTTTTATAAATCAGCAGAGTGTCGTAATCGTGTCCTTAGTAGGTGAAAAAGTGTTGGCTCCCCCTCTCTCTCTTCATTCCCCCCAACTTTTCTCCACTTGTTGGACACAGAGAGGCCCGTCCCCTCTCACAGCCACAGGTAGCGGTTACTCTTATTTTTAGGAATACGTGTAGACAGACCGATAGTACTGCTGTGTTTATGATTATTAAAAGCATCTGTTTTCTTGCAGGACATAAGAGTTTCAACCGAAATGGCGTCGACAGCGGGTACGTAATGTTTTATTGCAGCTTCATGATGTTGACTCGTTTTGTGCTCTCCACGCTTTGTCGGTGCAGCGTGCCAGTAAACGAGGCGAGCAGGGAGAGTGAAGTGAGGTGAAGGGATTTTGTGAACTGAAACCAGGTGCAATAAACCTGTACAGCTTTTGTTTTCCCTCTTTAGTTTGTTCCATCGATTTATTTCTGAATGTCGTAGGTTTTTGCATCGTCTGCGTCAGGAGTTTGTTTACCATGCTGTAGAGTGTAGGGGTGGGTGATACAGCGAAAATACATCACAATACCTGGACATTTTCTCGATACACGATATTCACTACGATATTTGGTGATATAAAGTTTGACTGGTTGAAAAAGACAAGGAAAAGTGGTGCCAGAATAAAAATATTGCTAAAAACTGAATACGACAATCAAAACATTTCAGAAAATGTGCTGCTTCGTATCCATTTAAACAAGATTCATTATGCTGTCTTTGTATTGAAACATGCAGTTTCTGTGTTCTTTAACTGCTGACGATGTGTACCGAGATATGCTCAGAAAAGCTTATAGAGACGTAATTTATTAAAATAAATATGGTCGTATTGCCCACCCCTAGTGTCCACACAGTTGCTATGTAATTAAAGCCACTGATTAAAGTTAACTAACTTAACCAGGAGGGCTATCAAACTTTGAATGTTGACATTATGTTGCTTGGCTGCCCCTTTTTAGATCTGAAACTGGGCAAGAAACTGAACGAGGGCAAGACTAAGCAGATCTTTGAGCTCCTGGAGGAGCCTGGTCATGTTTTGGTTCAGTCCAAAGACCAGATCACTGCCGGCAATGCGGTGCGGAAAGACCAGATGGAGGGCAAGGCCGCAATTGCAAACAAGACCACCAGCTGTGTGTTCAAGCTCCTGCAGGACGCTGGTGAGTTCTGAATAAAGTTGTTTGTGTGTGTGTAAGTGGTTCAGTGTCCTCATGCCCACAGATGCTCTTACTGCCTGTGTTGCCCTTGATTCACTGATCATATCATCCTAATATCATAATGATATCTTGCACTCAACACTTTCACTCTGTAACCATTTACTGTCCACTACCAGCACTGGCTGATATACTGTCTCTGTGGTATGCTGTGATACGGATGCACTGTGTTACTGATTTTCAGAGTTAGAGGTATTGATGGATGATTATCATTACATCCATTCTAACATTATGTTACATAAAATAGCAGCTCCCTTTTGCAAATTCATTTGCTTTTATGTATTTTCAATTCAGTTTACTCATGGTCTCTAGAGCCTGATAGTTCAAAGTACAGTTTTATGTCCTATACTGGGTGGTTCAGATTGTTCTAGAATACATTAATGAATAGTAAATAAATAGGAAGACTCTTGGCTAGAAAAGTTAACATTTACAGTACTGTGTAAGATTCTGTGGAGTAGTTTTAAGAGAAGAAAACAGTCCAGTCCAAACAGGTTCTGATAGGTTTCTAAGACCTTCTATTTGCATAAAGTAGCAGCACTCAGGTTTATTAATGCAAACTTGGATGTCATCTGATCCTTTTTTGTGATTAGAGCAATTGCTACAATCTTGTCTTTCACCTGATATTTGTAGTTTTCTGTATTACAACACAGACCTAAATGAAAAGTTACACCCTTAACAGAGCAGTTTTAGTGAATTGGAGTAACTGCAACCCATGCGTGTAGCTCATGATGATGCTGGTGCTGTGAAATCACTTCCTTGTGACTTGTGCTTGCTTAAATTAAGCAGAACACATGCACATCTCTGCCTGCCTATAGTTGCTCATGTTCTGTCCATTGTTGGTGTTGACCCATTTACCGAGTTATGTGTCTAGTTATTTTGCCACAGCTACTCCTCCATGAACTGATTTTCCAGCTGACTGCATACTTAAATAAAAGTCTGTTCACCACTCAAGTTTAAAATTGCTGTTAGTGTAACTTTGCCAATGATTCACATTTTTAACAGCGTTAGTTTACAGCTCTCAGAAGTGTGAGATTGAGCATATGAGCCCTACAAAACATTGCATTCATCAATGATCCCTTTCTACAACATTGCACTTTCAAGTTGTTTTTTTTAAGAGGTTTAAATGGAGACCGTTGTTCAGTGATCATTGTTTGCTCTTTGTGCTGTCAGGCATTAAGACTGCGTTTGTGAGGCAACATTCAGAGACAGCATTCGTAGCCAGCCATTGTGAGATGATCCCCATTGAGTGGGTCTGCAGACGCATTGCTACAGGGTCCTTCCTCAAAAGGAACCCAGGGGTCAAAGAAGGCTACCGCTTCTCTCCATTGAAGCTGGAGATGTTCTTCAAGGTAGGTCTTCACCCATGTTGTTTTAAGGTTGCCTTAAGAAATGGCCTTATTTAGACATGCTTATAAATTGATTCTAGTAATAGTTCAAAACACTGTCTATTCTGGTTTACTGTCTGACATGTGGTTGTCAGAAAATGAAGAGCGTGTTGATCAGAGAACTGCGTGACAATACTGTTATCGAGTTGTTATCACTCAAGCCCTGAGAACAAAGCATTGGTCAAAAAGTAACTGAGGCAGTGCCATTAGGTTGTCAGATAAGGTTTAAAATCATTAGTGTGATTTGGGGGATGATCTAGATTCAGGCCTACTCATTTCGTGAATATGACTGTTGTGAGGAGAGTAACTAGATTTTCTCCATATTCGTTGCAGTTCTGATCTGCCTTGCTTTCGCACAGGACGATGCTAATAATGACCCGCAGTGGTCTGAGGAGCAGGTGCTGGCAGCTGGCTTTGAGCTGGCGGGACTGTCCATCGGTCGCTGCGAGGTGGACATCATGAGCAAGAGCACAGTAGCCATCTTCGAGATCCTGGAGAAGGCCTGGGCCACCCAGAACTGCACCCTGGTGGACATGAAGGTACCTTCTAGCGCTGGGTTTCACTTCATTGGACTAGAACACATTATGGAGCTGAACTTACACTAAATAAGCTAGATTTTGGCTATCAACTTATGACTACATAACTAAATTAACAATGTCACTGTTATTAACACATTGTTCTAGTTTGACCCTTCAAATTATCCATAGTTCCAGCCTGAAGCCCAGCTGTTTCTATGCCTCAGTGATGGTAGCCCTTTTGTTCAGCTACAGCTTTTAAATGGCTAAATTACTTCCATTGGTGGTTCTCTTGACAAGTTATTTCCGGCTACTGCAATGATGTGCATTTATTTATGATCAAATTTGAAGTGTCATTTAAAAGCAAAACACACTGCTGATGCTGACACTCTAGTCCATTAGTAATGGGTTGTATTCCCAAAATGGGCCAGTAGTTATTTTGTTGGTGCTGAATGTTGCAATTCTCCACCTTCAGATTGAGTTTGGCGTAAACGTGACTACCAAGGAGGTTGTGCTGGCTGATGTGATTGACAACGACTCGTGGAGGCTGTGGCCATCTGGAGATCGTAGCCAACAGAAAGACAAACAGGCAAGCTTTTCACTTTAAGCTCTTCAGTTACTGTAACAAGAGTGCCATAGCTCTAAAGCTATGGCAGTGTTGGCATAGGTTAGACAGGAGAGACTAAATACTCTCCATCTTTTCTTCAAGAGAAATTTACAGACTTAACATACCCTACTTTCTATTCAGTTTCTATGCAACAAGTAAAGCAGAACTCACTCTTCAAGCCAACACGTTTATGGTTGTAGTGGATGTTAGAATAAAAGCAGATCCCCTTTTCTCTAATTTGACAGGCTGACAATCTGACTTGCACTGCGTCGTCCCCTTGAGTACTGAAGTTTATAACTGCCACAGTAACCGGAGAATACTCTGTTTGTCCAATAGGACCATTCATTTGCAGTGCTTTGCACAGGTGTCGTCATTTGTGTGTATGTACTTTCATAGGCTATGAAATCGCCCCCAAACATTGTAAGCATATCACGTTTTTCTATTATGGCTGCAGCTATGTGCTCTCTGAAGAGTACTGCTTCAGACCTCACTATGACAGCCAGTTGCTGCTAGGTGCAGGCGATTGAACCTGGTGTCCTGCCTCTCCCTCTCTAGGTTTACAGAGACCTGAAAGAGGTCACACCTGAGGCCATGCAGATGGTAAAGAGGAACTTTGAGTGGGTTTCTGAGCGAGTAAAGGTAAGACTGAGCAATGTGCAGCACTGCCAAATGTTTTTTTTTTTTTTTTTAAATCAATTTCTTTTAACACTACTATATCTCTTACCTATTTTGTCTCACATGCTATTATTTAGAAATTCTAGTTTAAAAAAGGTCACTATAAACCCGCCATGCAGTTTAAAACTGATTAGAGTTGGGAAGTTAAACATTTACATGTATCTGACTGAAATTGCCCAATTTGCCCAGTTTGACCTGGGCTGTTCACCTTGAGCAACTGTTCACCCTTGGTGGACTTGCCCCCTCAATCCCAATAAAATCCATAGCTCATTTGGATGGCCTTTTCAGTGAACCTCATAACCTTAAAAGGTGTTCACTGATTCACTCAACCAGGCATGCACTAGGACATCCAGAAATTACTCTTTCAAATAGTACTGGGTGATATACTGGTTTATCCAGTATACCAGTTGAAGTTCTTCCTCCGGTATGGGTTTTATCATAACCATTATACTGGTATGCTACAAATATATGTAGATAACATGATGTACAAACAGTGCAAGCCACACCAATCTTAGCCTCCTTAGCTGACTGGCCGAGTCAGGAATGTTTCCGGCAAATTTAAAATGAAAATAAAAAATGCAGCAGTGCATCTGTCACTTCCTTTGTAGTCTGTCGAATCTGAAGCAGACCACTTTGTTTTTGAGCCAACAGACATAAAGGAATAGCCAGTATTTTGCTGTTAGCCTTACCCTAACATGGACAGCAGACCCGTTACAATGCTTTCCCTCGTACCGCCTGAGAAGCCACTGACTATCAGTTGTATCAGACAAACAAGCCTTGGAGAACATTAACATAGTTTTTGCCAGGCCTTGGGGCTAGTGTAAGAAAGCAACATTGACATAGGTTTATCTACATACTGTTCAGTTTTATTATTATTATTTTTATTTTTTTTTTTGCACCACAAAACTATTTTCATAATTTTTTGGTTGTAAAAAATGATTCTTATTAAAAGTGAAGGGACATCCCAGAATAATACGCCACTGATAACCTATAAAAATAGGTTTTCCTAAGCGTCTAAAATGGTTTTATTTTAAAAAAATAAATGACTTGATATGTTCCAAAGTTTTAATTATGCTGTCATATAACTTTCTGGCCATACTGCCCACTGATGGTGAAGCTGCCTTTTTTTTGTCTGTTGATGTTTGAGCTGTGCAGTGGCGCTACCTTGTGGTGTAACTGCAGTAATGCTTTTTGCTGCTAAGCAGAGTGGAATATGTGGTAGAGCGTAATGTCTTTGTCTTCTTAATCATCTGCTGTGTAACACAACAAAGACAACTTTGAGTTTATGATAACTGCATTTTGTGTGTGTAGCTGCTTCTGGAGTCCCAGACGAGTGGAAGGGTTGTAGTGCTTATGGGCTCGACTTCTGACATGGCTCACTGTGAGAGGATCCGTAAAGCCTGCAGCTCATATGGAATCCCCTGTCATCTTAGAGTCACCTCCGCACACAAAGGGCCTGATGAGACACTGCGCATCAAAGCTGAATATGAGGGTAAAGTGGCTTTCTGCAACACACACACACGTGCATGAATGTGCTTGATTGTTTATGATTTATCTCTCTGTTAAAGGCTGCACATTCTACATTTCTCTTCTATTTTATTTTTTCCCCTGAGGTCCACTTATGGTTTTTGTGGATTCATGTACAAAATACACTTTAGAAAAAAAATTTGGGACGATGTGCAAATCATGTAAACCCTATATTTAATTGAAAATAGTACAAAGACAACATCAGATGTTGAAACTGAGAAATTTTATTGTTTTTTGAAAAATATATGCCATTTTGAGTTTTGAACAACTTATTAGTTGGGACGGGGGGATGTTTGCCACTGTGTTTCATCACCTCTTCTTTTAACAACACTGTAAGCATTTGGGAACTGAGGAGGTCGACTGCTGTAGTTTTGAAAGTGAAATGTTTTTCTGTTCTTGCTTGATATAGAATTTCAGCTGCTCACCATTTCGGGGTCTCTTGTCATTTGCATTTTATAAAACACAAATTTATTTCAGTGACAGGTCTGTAATGTAGGCAGATCAGTTTAGCATCCCAAACTCTTTTCCTACGGAGCCATGATGTTATACTGTGTGCAGAATGTGTGTTTGTATTGTCTTGCTGAAATAAGCAAGGCATTCACTGAAAAAGACGTCATCTGGACGGCTGCATATGTTGCCAAAACTTGTATATATCGTTCAGCATTAATGGTGCAAGTCCCCCATGCCATGTGCAGTAATGCACCCCTATACCTTCATGAATACTGGCTTTAGAGCTGTGCACTGATAAGCTGAGTCGTCTTTAGCCTGGAGAAGTGTCCATGATTTCCAAAAGAAATTCAATGTTTGTTTCGTTGGACCACAGGACACCTTTTCCTCTTCACCTTAGTCCATCTTAATTGATCTTTCTGGGTCCTGTTTATGGTTTCATCTTTGCATGATAGAGGTTTAACTTGCATTTGTGGATGCAGCGATGAACTGTGGTTTCCTGAAGTGTCACTTCAACATCGGCATATATTTCTCAAAAAACAATCCAATTTCTCCGTTTCAACATTTAATATGTTGTCTTTTGTTTTTTGGAAATGAGGTTGTACAAAAAATAGCAGTAATGATTTTTACATGACTATTCTCCTTATATCTTCCTTAGATTTGAACAGACTGTTATTGTTTCTTTAAGACGGACATATGTAAAGTGGCTGTCCATGTAACTACCTTATAACAGCAAGAATTGCCAGGCTACACATCTGTAGGCAGAGTGGGTGGGGCTAATATGCTGTCGACCAATAGGTGGTTATATGTAAAAATGTATTTTCTTGCGTTGCTGTGAAAACAGTAAATTCAAAATGAGTTGTTTTAGTTTTTATATATGGACTAAGGTACATTTTGAAACATACTGTGTTTACATACTGTATCAAACTATTTTTAAAAAATGCACTCATTCTTCTATGGGCCCTTTAATTTCTTACTCCACAGGACTGTTTGTAGCACATTTCACTTGAGAAAAATAGGATTTTTTTGTTTTGTTTTTCTGAGCACAAAGTTAATGTAACCATCTTCCATGTACAAATGCCCAGTACAATGAGTATATAAACAGGCTTTAAGACTCTGAAATGGCTAATCCATACTAATGAATCTCCCCAGGTGATGGAGTCCCCACCATTTTTGTAGCAGTTGCAGGAAGGAGTAATGGTTTGGGTCCTGTGATGTCAGGAAACACAGCTTATCCTGTCATTAACTGCCCGCCTGTTACCCCTGATTGGGGTGCTCAGGATGTCTGGTCATCTCTTCGCATGCCTAGTGGTAAGAGTTTGTTTTTTTTCAAGATTCTGTATGTTTGTGGTGGGATTGTAGTTACCTGTAGAGGTTCTGTAATGTTATCTATAATGTGATGTGACTGATCCATTCGTACAGTGTAATAAATTGTGTAATTTCCCCAGATTACCCAGACTGAATCTCGAATTTAGTGTTACACAACACGTGCCCACTCACTACCAATAACATGGCTACATGGTTGAACTACCAGGATTTTATTACTACTTTACCTTGAGGGTGTATTGAGCACAACTACAGTTACTGAAGAGAATACAGGTTCAGCAGTAACTCTAAAATGATTACCGTTAGCCTTTTAAATACTACAAATGTTTCAGATTCACCATTGTTTGTGGATAATCACCTAAATCATAGTACTTCTCCAGATTAAAGTAACCCAGCTCTAATAGAGATCTCTCTTTCTCTCCTCCCTTCCCCTCTGGCTCCTCCAGGACTGGGGTGCTCCACAGTTCTTTCTCCAGATGCTGCTGCCCAACATGCTGCTCAAATCCTGGGTCTGACTGACCACCTGATCTGGGCCAAACTGCGTGCCTCCATGCTCAACACCTGGATCTCCCTAAAGCAAGCGGACAAGAAGCTACAGCAATGCAGCCTCTGAACAAACTGCACTTGCGTTTACTCTCAACCATTCCAGATGTTTAACTACTCCATCACTCCTCTGTACTCACAGCTATCATTTTACTGCTGATGGAAGCTTGTGAACTAATTTAGTGCCTTTGTTTGCAGGAACAATTTCTCATCTGTAAATGCCAAGAATAAATAGATTCATAGAAAACATTTCTGAGCCTTTGCTTTACACAAAGAAATTAAAATGGATGACAGAAATATTCTGTATGGTAGATGACAATCAGGAGCCATGGCCTTCAGGAAGTATCATCTCACTATATTGTTTAATAAACTTTATCAAATATTCATAATAAGACTAACCCATAATAGCCCATTTTTGTATGAGATCCTATTGATTTACATTTAATAAATGTAGGATTAAAGGAACAGTTCATTTAAAAATCAAGCGTTCAATTTTCTTACCCAAACATGGTCAGTCAGCTAGGAAATGTTTGGTGTTTTAAATTTGCTTCTTTAGTTTTGCACTAGAGCTCTGTGTCTTGGCTGACTGTTGAGTCAAGGCAAAATTGTGTAAATTTAGGTTTTCAGGGAAATGTTCCTTTGTTTGAGGCAGATTTCTGACACTAGGACATTGTTATCTATCTTTTGTTTATTTTTCTAGACAATTTTTAGCCTGGGTATAGAAAACTTAACATTTTGAGATTACTTAATATAATTTGAGGCAAGTGTGTGACTTAGGATTTAGGCTAATTGATGGGCATAAACTTTCATCACATGCTAAGTATATTCAGACTTATTAATTTGTTATTTCACCCATATGTAGGCATACATCAAAACTAAATGGTGTGTCTTCAGGTGCTGAGGTGCAACTTGCAAAGCATGACAAGACAGTACACAAGACTTAAGTATTAGTGTTGTAGTCAATACTGTTTGAGGAAACAGACAAGACTAAGACTTTTCAAGATGTAAAAAAAAAAGGGGGGGTGGGGGTTTGTAGTTTCATTATCATTCATTTTACTATATTTTATATATATATATAAAAATCTCAACCACCCAAATAGTACCTGCTCTGTGAGGGTCCATGGGTGTCCTGACCACTGAAGAACAGAATAAAAGGGGGCTAACAAAGTATGCAGAGAAACAGATGGACTACAATCTGTAATTGTAGAACTACAAAGTGCACCTATATAGTAAGTGGAGCTGATAAAGCGTAGAAACGTGGTCATAATGTTATGCCTGATCGGTGTGTGTGTGTGTATATGTATATATATGTGTGTGTGTGTGTGTGTGTATATGTATATGTATATGTGTGTGTATATGTATATATATATATATATATATATATATATATATATATATACACACACACATAGATGTATGTATATGTAAAATGTCCCATTAAATTACATTAGGTATAAAATATTAACATAGTCTTAGTCCAAATGGTGTTATAATTTTGAAAGCAAATGATGGTGAGGCTGGTGGTAATGATGCAAATGATGTTAGTCAACTGAATAAGACATACATCCATTTTTATTATTAAATGGAAATATTAATAATTGCTTTCTGTTTTGCCCTCAGGGGATATGGAAAGAATTAGATCCTCAACCTGCAGTGAACAGATTTTATTTAAACATGTAGAGAAAGAACTGTTTATTCAGTTTGAAGGTTTTGCTGATATTCAATAATAATAGAAAAAAGTTCCATTTCCATTTACCTCAGATGGAGGTATCACCCTCGGCTTATTGTTGACAGTGATAAAGTGACAGCAGTCACAGTGGTAATTTTGTAGTAGCACAATATGATGCTTCTTGTATGATGTGTATGATCTATACAGTTATAATTATATGGTGATACATATTTACACATACAATCATATGCAAAAGTTTGGGCACCCCGGTTAAATTAAATATTTTGTTGATTTTGTATGTGAAAAGTTAACACATCCTCTACAAGGAATAAATGGGCATACATGGCATCAAATATGGCCTTTTTCTGCCAAACCAAACATATAAAATGTGCCATAACTTTTGCACAGGTCACATTTTATGTTTTATTTTCTTGCCTATTTGTTAAATTCAGCAAATAAACAGTAATTGTGCAGTAAAATGTACACATGTGCAGACAGTTTTCCTCTTTTACGCTTTTACCAAAGCTTCTTTCAGTTGTTTGTTTTGGGGGGTTTTGCCCTTCAGTCTCCTCTTCAAGAGGTGAAATGCATGCTCAGTTGGGTTATTGTCTGCTGATTGACTTGGCCAGTCTAAAACCCTTCCACTTTTTCCCCCTTTGTTGTGTTGGCAGTGTGTTTTGGATCATTATTTTGGAGCTTGATGAAGTTCCACCCGATTAGATTGGGTGCATTTCTTACTGCTGATGAGTGGTTTGTATCTTGAAGTATGGCCTCTATATTCCGCTCTTAAAGTCATTTTCGGATGTTGGATTATGACACCTTCGCCCCTGCCCTGTGGAGGTTGTTGGTGATGTCACTGACTGTTGTTTTTGGGTTTTTTCCACAGTTCTCACAATGTTCCTGTCATCAACTGCTGTTTTCCCTGGCTGACCTGTTTGATTGTTAGTACACCAGTGGTTTCTTTCTTTCTCAGGACATTCCAAGTTGTTGTTGGCTATGCCCACTGCTTGTGTTCGATTTTTCCTCATTTCCCTCTTTTCCCAGCTTGCTTTTCTCCCATAGACAGTACTCTGGTTCTTCATGTTTGTTTATCTAATTTAACAACAAATGTAGTGCTTACAGGCTCAACCCAAGAGTAGACATTCAGAGGTATTAATCGCTTAAACAATCCAACATGGCGCACCTAAGAAACAAGAAACGCCTGTCGGTCACACGTTCCAGTGTTTTTTGTTTTTTTTTTTGCTCACTTGAAAATAGGTGGGTTCAAATAAAAGGTTTTAACATGAGTAGATGTAAATGTAAATGAATTTAAATATCGGGAAATAGAAGCTGAAATTGCCTTATATTCATCTATTGATCTAAAACTTGTCTTCAATGTGTAGCAAAAACAGGAAAGGAAATTGTTTTGCTGTTCCAATATATTTGGAAGCAACATTTGTGCATGTTTAGTTTTTCACTGAACTGTCGCTTTAAAGTTTCACTGTATAATGGGAGTAGAAGGTGGAGTAGTGTGTGTTGTATGCGGTGATGATAGTGATCATGATGGTATGTCGGTTTTGCCCCACCTACACTGTAATGAGCACAGAACCAGGAAGACTCCCTGCTCAGTTCGGAAGGAACGCTTCAGTTTACTGAGCTCTGTGTGCATGACAGAGAGAGCAGAATGGCTGAGGACAGCAGCATTTCAGTAGATCACCTTCAGTTCAGCTGTTCCATCTGCCTAGATCTACTGAAGGATCCGGTGACCACGCCCTGTGGACACAGTTTTTGTATGGTATGTATTAATGACTTTTGGGACCACGCTACTCAGAGGGGACTCTACAGCTGCCCTCAGTGCAGAGAGACTTTCATGCCAAGACCTGTCCTGCGGAGGAACAATGTCATGGCTGAAGTGGTGGACAAGCTCAAGAGAAAAGACCTGAAAAGTCCTTCTCCTGTTCAGTACAGCTCAGAGTCAGGAGACGTAGAGTGCGACATCTGCTCTGAAAGCAAAGGCAAAGCCATCAAGTCCTGTCTGGTGTGTCTGGCTTCTTTTTGCGAGACTCATCTCAAACCTCACTACGAATCACCGGCCTTTAAGAAGCACAAGCTAGTCCAGGCCTGCAGACAACTACAGGAAAAAGTCTGCTCCCGCCATAACAAACTGATAGGGATCTACTGTCGTACAGACCAAAAATTCATTTGCTCTTTGTGTATGTTAACTGGACATAAAGGCCATGATACAGCATCCCTTGCAGAAGAAAGAACTGAAAAACAGGTATTTGACATACTACATCTGATGCATGACTTATTAGCATGTTAATAAATAAACAAACATCCTAAACCAGTCAGTTATATCAGTTTATATCAGTCAACACCCTTAATTCTGCCATTGTGTAATACAAGGGCGACCTATTTATTTGCTGTGTGATCAAGTGGGTGCAAGTGGTTTCTGGTCAATTTCATCATTCTCTGTATTTTGTAATTCTTTTTGTTGTTGTTGTTGTTGTTGCTGTTCCACAGAGCCAGATGAGGCAAATGCAGAGGACATTTCAGCAGCGAATCCAAGAGAAACAGAAAAAAGTGCAGGACCTCAAACAGGCTGTGTATAATCTTAAGGTGAGGACTGATCTCTGATGAGAGCTGCTGGAACTGTAAAGAATGTAAGGTGATATTAAAGTGGTAGTACAGCAAAAAAAATCAAATGTCCACAATTGTCCCTTTACTCCAAATAGAGTCGATCAGCTAAGACATGTTTGGTGTCTGAGGTTTGCTTCTCTTAGTTCTGCACTTGAGCTACAAGGCTAAGGTAGCTATAGAGTATGGAAACATATACTCCATCAGTTAGCATCATGCAAACTGCATTCCTCATACAGTTCCTCAACAAATCATGTTGAGTTGGTAAGTAATCATTAATAGGCCTGCTTATTTGGCTTCAGGCTTCAAGATGCTATTAATGTTTTTAGCTATTCAATGTATTTTGTCTGTTTAATGTCATACAGTGTCAGAAACCACTTACCATTGCTGTCCTGAAAAAATGCATCTCTATTTTTTCCATTTTTATTTTTCTGCATTATTTGAACATAGCCGCTGTCTTTTACATTGTGTGAACATTTCATGATGAAAGGATCAATAGAAAGACTCCAAAACAACTTAGAATAAAATCTCCTTATGTTAACTTACTTTGAAAGTTAAGAATGTTTTTGCCTTCTTCTGTAAAGTTACAGTTTTGGAGATACTTTTTTATATAAATAAGTCTTCTTAATAAAAATAAAGCATGGCTCCAACTTACCATAGTGATCCTAATGTGTGGCCATGACTTCATAAGGCACGTTCCACTGTGTTACTAAGTCACGGCCACAGTTTAACTATAACAACTTAAATATCTCATTCACACACTTTACTAACTTACCACGACTTATATAACACTAAGTATATTGTTGATACACTTTACTAAGTTGTGGCCACAACTTAACTAACTTGTTTCCACACCTTACTAAGTCATGGCCACAACTTAATTAGCTTACTGGTTAGCTAACCATAGCAACTGTAAGTGGCATGTAGCTTGTGTGATGCTAATCACCCTTACTTGTTAGCTGCATTAGCCTTATAGCTGTAACTGGAACTCTGTGGTTCCTAACAGCGTTCTGCACAAGCGGCGGTGGAGGAGAGTGAGAGAATCTTCACTGAGCTCTTCCTCTCTATTGAGCAAAAGTGCTCTGAGGTGAGGGGGCTGATCAGAGCTCAGGAGGAAACCGAGCAGGATCGAGCGGAAGGCCTGCTGGAGCAGTTGGAGCAGGAGATTGCTGACCTTCAGAGGAAACACACTGATCTGGAGCAACTTTCAGACACTGAGGATCACATCCATTTCCTCCAGGTACATTTCACTGGCTCTTTGCGAGGGCTAAATGTTTACACACTCCTCTATGAGGATTCAGTCTCCTTTGTTTTTAAATTTCAAAACATATGAGTTGCCCGCAACCCAACCCTAATATAGCACACCCAACCTTAATGCCTCCAACCCTCATATAACACACAATGGTCCAACCCTAATCAAACACACCTGTTTGTCATATTCAGATGCCACTTGTTTTCATAGCAGTTGATTTTAAGCTTTATGTTCTGGCCTTGATATTTGTCCCTGTAGAGCTTCCAGTCTCTCTACTCTGCTTCCAAAGCTAAGGACTCTGCAAGGGTGACTATCAATCAACATGTTTCATTTGAAGGAGTGAGGAAGTCTCTCTCAGAGTTTAAAGACAGACTAGATGAATTCTGCAAGGAGGAATTCGACAAAATCAATCCATATGGTAAGTGTAGTTGTACAACATCAAAACATTCTAGTGAACAGCTGACTCACAGATCAGTACTTTATTAGAGACTTTATAAACTTTGCTGTGTTTGCCCCGCTACAGCAAATTTTATAGTTTACAACAGGTGTCAAATATCTTTTCTCACAAAAGTTCATGCCCACTTTCTTGTGGAATATTCATAAATGTATTGCTTCCAAATACAGGGTGATTCAAAAAGATTCATCCGATATCATTACAGAACAATGCAGTAAACTGTAAATGGTTTAAGTGATCACAAAGTTTATTATGTAATTTTACAAGTGCTCAGTATGAACCTCCTCCAGCTGTACGGACAACATCAGCGCCATAGTCAAATTCATCCCATACTTCATTGAGCATGTTGGGTGTCACTGCACTCACGGCTCTTTCAATGCGATTTCGGAGATCATCCAGTGTTTTGGAACCAACAACGAACGCTCCGGGCTGTTGGACGAAAATGGCCGATTCACTCTTGTTGAAGTGGAGAACGCAAAACACTTTCTGCTCAGGGGTCGCATCTCCTCTCAGACTGAAGGGAGCCATTTTCCAGTCACAGTCAGAAACTCTATGACCCCTTCTTTCAATTGGTATGTGATTGGTTCCTAGGCGCCTCACGGTTGTAAAAATATGGCGCTTTGAAATTGGATGAATCTTTTGGAGTCGCCTTTTACCAAACACCAGGTATAGGTTTTGTGCCAATAGCAGCAGAAAATGCTTTGTCAGATATTAGAGGAAAGAAAGAATGAATCTGATCAAATTCGGTCATAAATCTAGCCTGAAGCAACACAGAAATTATACAAATCATGAAGTGCAGTTAAGTAAGTTAATCAGTTTGAGCATATTATATAAATATATAAAATATTTAATTCTAAATTTGGTGGGTTTTACCCAATTTATTCCCTAATTTAGTCATGTCCAGTTCCACCTGATACCTAGATCTCCCCTATCACACCATGCTAATGCTGGGAGGGTGAAGGCGTGTATGTGCTTTCTTCAAAACATGTGAAGCGCCACCACACCTTTTCAATCTGCTGCTAATGCAGTCACTGGACAGCTCAACACAATTGGAGGAGGACATTAACTGCCAGTTCTGTTACATCAGCTAATAGACACACAGGCTGGCTAGCATTGTGCTAAGTGATGGTGAGAGGGCGGGTCTACCCACCCAGAGAAAGAGAGAGAGGCTATAAATGCTCTTTTGGGCTCCCAAGCTCAAGCTTACTAGTTTTTAAAGAAATAAATCATGGCTTGGAATCATCCGATACTGATATCGGTATCAGAAAGGAAAAAGTGGTATCATGCCACCGCTATCCAACGCAACATGCACCAAACATGTCTTATGACTCATTTAGAGGCATTAGACAAATCAGAGTTAAAATAAACGTACAACATCATACGTATCACAAAGTGAGGTCATGTTGAAGGATTGGTTCTGAATCACAAACACCACAAATTTATTACAACACTACAGAGGATGTGATGTGATTTCCTCTGCTCCACAGCTCAACGGTTGGGGGCTTTTGTACCCTTCTAGCAGACGCTTGGCATTGAGCATTGTGATCTTAGGCTTGTGTGTGGCTGCTTCAAAACACATCATTCCATTCAGTGCTTTTCTGTGGAGATTATACAAGCTGCCTGTGTGCAACTGTAAAGTCACCAGATTCACTAATTAGAAGGGGTGTCTGCATATAATGTATATATACAATTAATATATTTATATTACCTTCAGTAATTCTTGTTATAACTTTTTTTTTTGTGTATCAGTAGTTAAAGTCCAGATGATTTTACCCTTTGAGCCAAAGACCAGAGAGGAATTTCTACAGTGTAAGTAAGAATAAACCAAATAGATTGCAATAAATTGCATAAAAAACCCTAAAACATAGAAAATCAGCAAAATATCAACTTTCCATTCAACAAATACACAAACAATGATTAATCTTATTCGAATATGATTTTTTCTTTAGATTTTTGTCATCTGACCCTTGACCCCAATACAGCAAATGAAGCACTGTGGCTGTCTGAGAACAACAAAAAGGTGACTCGCAGTGGGAGAATAACACCGTACCCTAATCATCCGGAGAGATTCGAAGCATACGGACAGGTTCTGTGTAAGGAGAGTGTTTCTGGACGCTGTTACTGGGAGGTGGAATGGAGCAGGGGCGGGTGGGTGTACATTTCAGTCTCATATAAAGGGATCTGCAGGAAAGGACAAGGTAATGAATGCTGGTTTGGACACAACAATCAGTCGTGGAGTCTGGAGTGCAGTTCCACTCTGTCCTTCTGGCACAACAACATTCAGATTAAAATCCCAGGCCCACCATCCTCCAGAATAGGAGTGTATGTAGATCACAGTGCAGGAACTCTGTCCTTCTACAGTGTCTCTGACACAATGACTCTACTATACAGAGTCCATACCATATTCACTCAGCCCCTGTGTCCTGGGTTTTGGGTCAATGTACTTGCAACTGCTAAGCTTTGTTACTCTATAGAATGACACAGACTACATACAGCACTTGAATTGTCATTCTAAATAATATAGGCTATTACTGAACACAATCCATACTCAGCAGCAAATAACAGTTAAATTACTTTCATGAAGTACAACAGTAAATTTAAATTTTTATTCCAAAATCCAAACAGAATTTAAATTAGAATAATTGTTGCTGATGTTAAAGTAATAGTCACAAAACGCATGTACATTGCTGTTTGCACATTAATTATCAGTGTAATTAGGAAAAACAGTGTTTCATTTCATTTTGACTGTATTTATACTAGCAATTTGTACTAGGAATGTGTTTTATTTGTGTGGTATGTTACAATATTACAGTCATGTTAATTTAATTAGGGCATTGAGGAAGTATGCATGAATAGAAAGTTTTACTGATGAGAAAAAAATGGGAATATACCAAAAAAACACAAAGGTACTAAGACGTATTAAAGGGCCCAATTCCTACATTTGTGTTGCATATTATTTTAAGGTCCACTTATGATGTTTGTGTGGGTTTACCAAAAACAATTATGAAACACTTTTACGTAGATTATCTTTTTCCTACCTCTCTTTATCTCTTCAAATTAAACAGGTTGTTTTTCTTACTGTGTCTGCTCCTCAGCGCGTTGCTGGGGGCTTTATACCCCTCTAGCTGAAGCTTGACATTGGGCATGGTGACCTTATTCTCATGTGCGGCTGCTTCAGAGCATTCTGTTGGTCAATGCTTTTATACAAAAACTTTTATACAAAAACGGCAATGGGTGCACTTTATAGTAGCTGAATTCATTCATTAAAAGGGCTGTCAGGATAGTTTTGGACAGTGTATATTTAAGTGGACACATTATTCATTAATCCCATATCTAAAATACCTCATTTGTTTTTCATAAATGAACACTTTTATTGTGTACTTATTTCAATTTCTAAGTGTAGCCAATCACAGTGTTAAATAAAAAAAACCCTGCAACTAAAAACAGTATATTTTATTGGTTTAAACAGTCTATACTTTCACATTTTCAGATAGGCAATGGCATTCAGACCAACTGAGTGAGATTAAATCAGAAAGCAAGACACTCAATCAAACACACCTTGAGTGTAGACATAATGTGTAATATTTTATCTTATCAACTTAATTGTTTGTTGAAAATATACATCCATTCTGAAATTGATGCCTGCAACACATTCCAAAAAAGTTGGACAGGGGAAATTTAAGACTAGGAACACTGTATAAGGTTAAAAAACATCTTAAACAGGTGATGCAATCATGCTTGGATGTAAAAGGAGCATCTAGGAAAGGCCTGGAATCCTTTATTACCAGGACGAGTCAGCGAAAAAAATATTTAATACAAAAAAAAAAACCCCAACAATTTAAAAATAAACATTCCTGAACCAGGGATTTAAGAGATTATATGTATTTCACCCCCTACAGTGCATGATATCATCAGAAAATTTCAGGGAATCTTCGTAAAGGGCAAAACCACAAATGAAAGCCCGTAACCTTTGATCCCTCAGAGATCACTGCATGTTTTTTTCTTTCAAAACTGGAGCGCACATAAACATATACATACAATACTGTGTATTGTGTATTTGTATTGCTATCAATTCAGTACAGGTCAAACTGGGTTTACTAATAACTGCTTTCTGCTTTTATTAGTATTTCACACACTGTCCCAACTTTTTTGGAACTGAGTTTGTAGGATATCAGGTCAGGTGAAACAGAACTTTATTGTTATTCCAGCCATATACAGGTATGCAGTTCAATGAAATAGCTTTCTCCAAGACCTTGGGGCAACATGTAACAGCACAGTAAACAGACAGTGCAGGACAAGGCACAAATATGATCGTGTGTAATACAGAGTTTTTTACAAGTAGCAACATAATAGTAAAATAGCAAGTGTCTAAGCAACATAATGGAGCTATGTAGAGTGAGCTAGAGTGTGAACAGGGCCATGAAATAAGAGTCCATAGCCTATGTTCATGATGGATAGAACATTATGAAATAATTTACTAAGTGACAGGCATTAATAGTTCATAGTCAAGGGACGTAGATGATCTCCCTTATTCAAATGTGAATCTTTTTAATAAAGAATATTTTTCTTAAGAATATATTTTTTTACACCTGGGAATAGTCTCATTGGCCTCTGTGTCTTTCTGAAGCCTGTGTTATGTTCTTTGAGAAGGACACTGTGACATGAGATACGGACCATCTTTATGTCCATCTCCAATCTATCCCACCAGACCTGGCGATGGCCTAAGGTACAGGAGCATTATCATTGACCACCATGCAGTTTGTGCATCAGATCTTTGCTCAGACTATTTGATAGCTGATCTAGAGACAATCTGTAAAAGGCATGGGTTCCACCATTGGTAAAAGTCCAAGCAGTTTTAACTTCCATGAGAAAGAAAAAAAATGTGTTTTTCTTTCTTCAAAAATAGAGAAAACTGTTAAAAATATTTTAAATGCAGAACTTTTGATAATAAGTAAGTGATTCCACTTATTATCCACTTACAAACATGTAAGAAAACTTCAGTCCAGAGCTTCAGGTTCAGTCTCACTTTCCCAGCTTGTGCAGGAAGGTTTGCAGGACGAGCTTCTGTCAGAAAATATCGCCATCTAGAGGCGACACACCGTCACCTCGGCTTTTTGTGGTGGACCGTCAAACTGCCTCCTATAGACGTCAGTATTTTATGGAAGGCCTTCGGGCTCAAAACACGTTTAAACATGCACGTTAACACGTAAGATGTAGACCTGATAACGTGACCAAAAACACGTTTACACTTTTGTGAAAGTCTCTGCCAATGGAAGGCCTCAAATCAGGGCATACATGCATATTCATAATAAGAATTATTTCACATATTACAACCAACAAAAAGCTTAAAGCCCATGTAATATTCATAAACCGCCTCTTTATCTGTTTTGTATTGCCTTGAGACCTTTCTTTGTTGTTGTATTGATACCTGTGTAGATTTACTTATGTCTTGTTATTGTATTTTCTATTAACAAATTTCCCTTTTTTTGTACTGTAAATCGTGTTGACTCAATCAAAGCATAAACAAACAAACAAACAAACAAATAAAAAAATCATAAATCGGCTCTGGTGACGCATTTGCTGTGTGACGTAGAGGATGTTTATCGGCAGATCAAAATAAAGAAGATAAAGAGGGAGAAGATAGATACATTATTCACAAGATTAATGTTCTGGAACAGAGAATGAAAGGACTGAATGACATCAATAAACAGCAATGATTTTGTTATTCATGATTGTTTTGTTAAAAACAGTAACACACCTGATTACACAAGAAACAGAAAGTTTTGTTTATAGAGTATGTTTCAAACAAAATAAATAAAAATGTAACATTTTTAACATAATACTTTAATAATGATAGAAATAGGAAGCGATAATAAAAAGTATGTATAATGGAAACCCAAATCCTCTTTACTGAAGAACCAAGAACCATCAGTAGGGATACATTTCGGTCCCAGCCAGTAAACACAAAACAGGCTGTATTTCAGATTAGTTTCCACATATGGACTGTATGGAGACTGAGGAGTTAAAGGTAGGTCTTAAAACTATAACAACATCTTCATATGACATCAAACTCTCATATTAAAAAAAAAAACACGAGAACAATTGGGTTTTCCATTATGTACATTTTCATTTCATGCTTCCTATTATTAAAGTATTTCGCTAAAAATATTTGTATTATTTTTTTGTTTGTTTCTTGTGTAATCATGTGTGTTACTCTTTTTAATTAAAAAATCAGTAAATCATTAAAACAAAACACAAAGAGACACAATTAAGTGTTTTTGATTTTTATAGCTGTTTATTGACGTCATTTATTCTTTTCAGTCTACTACTTCGTCTTCCTCGTTTTCTTCTTCTTCTCAGCCCCATGATATTCGGGAGAAACATATACACAGAACATTTTTATCTACCACAGGTTGCGATAGAGGCGATTTTTCAAAAAACCCATTTATTCTGGCCATAGAGAAATCCAGTTCATACCCGGAGTTCCACCTTAAATGGTGCTGCCTCAGGTACCAGAAAGTGACTGCTGCCCCATTTAAGGTGGAACGGGAAAACTCGAACAAGAAACTGGCGAACAGGAAGCCAACCCTAGTTTCGTCCTTCTTACTATGTTTATTTTATTTTATGTGTATTAAGATTAGGAGTGATTCACACAGTGATGGATCTGCTGATGTGTGTGAGGTGCAGACTGAATACTTTAGCACCATCAAAAAAATAAAAGCTACCGAGAGCAGCCCGTGTAAAATAGATTAATCTATGCCTGAGGATTATAACAAAACAAATTTGGTGTGAATCGGCTGAGTAATAAGGAAGTTGTGGCTGATTTAATCCTGAGACTCTTCATCTCTCAATACAAGTGAATCTGTTCACAAGCGGATCTTGACCGCTCCAACATGGCGGACGCGTAGACGCGTCGCCTCAGATAGCGAACAACAGACCTCGCGACATCTAGGGGTGACTCTGGTGACCAAGTCTCCTCCCCCTCATTTCAGAGAAAGTGAAACTGATAGTGCCGCGTCGCTCTCAGTGTGTGAGCGAGGCAAGATGGCAGAAGCCAGTATTTCAATAGATCAGGAACATTTCACCTGCTGCGTCTGTCTGCAGCTGCTGAAGGATCCGGTGACCACTCCGTGCGGACACAGCTTCTGTATGGTGTGTGTTAATGACTTCTGGGACAGTGAAAGAGTCTACAGCTGCCCTCAGTGCAGAGAGTCTTTCACCCCAAGACCCGTACTGCGGAGGAACAACATACTGGCTGAGGTGGTGAAGACGCTGCAGGAGAGCAGAGCTCAGGACTCTCTCTCAGACTGCGTGGACTTCTCTCCCTCTGAAGTTCAGGACGTGGAGTGCGACTCCTGCGTGGGTGAGAAAAAGAAGGCCGTGAAGTCTTGTCTAACCTGCCTGGCCTCCTACTGTGACACTCACCTTCAGCCCCACCACGAATCTGCTGCATTCAGGAAACACAAGCTTGTGTCGGCCTTCAGAAACCTGCAGGAGAAGACCTGCGGGCAGCACGACAAGCTGCTGGAGGTTTTCTGCCGCACTGATAAGAGAGTTATTTGCTCTCTGTGTTTGCTGGACAAACACAAAGGCCATAACACAGTCTCTGTACAGGAGGAATGGATGGTGAAAAAGGTTGGTGTTTGGAAATTTACATTGTTTGCTTAATATTCAGTACCAAATATAACCAACTGTGATTGGGTGTAGTCGTTATAGAGACTTATTAAATTCAAAATTAGTGCAGAGTATCCAAAGTTCAGACTGTGATAGCATCACCACACTTGCTCCACTGCACCCTCACTGCAAAAAAAATTAAACGAGTAATAATAATAATAATGATAACAATAATAATAGTAATAATAACAATAATAATATGTTTCATTTGTGTAACACCTTTCATACATATAATGCAGCTCAAAGTGCTTCACAGACAAAAAGAGATAAAAATGATATAACAATAAAATTATACAAAACATAAAAGCAGCAAGAATGTGGTAATATAACAAAAAATAAGAAACAAGCAACAATAAAACAATAAATAATTATAAATAAAAAATAATAAAAAGTAATAATAAAGATAATAGAAGTAAAAATAAAAACAGCAACAATAATAGTTAAAAAAAGAACAAAATAGTAGTAAAGTAGTAATAATAGTATGTTTTATTTGTATAACATCTTTCATACATACAGTGCAGCTCAAAGTGCTTCACAGACAAAAAGAGACAAGCATAAAAAATTATACAGAAACATAACAGCAGCAAGAATGTGGTAAAATAACAAAAATTGGAAACAAGAGACAATAAAGACAAAAATAATGAAAGGTAAAAAGAGAAGAGAAATAATAGTCATAAAAGTGAGATCAGAAACAATAATAGAAAAAAAAGGTAAAACAAAATAATTCATAATAAGAGTAAGTGTAAACTACAAATGAATATAAATCAAAGTACTGATATTATGTATATTATTGTTCTTTCGTTCTCTTTTGTTTAATGCTTCATCTTTACTTAACCATTCCTTTGTATTAATCTATGTAGTATTAATCATTTTAATCTATAGTTTGTTCAAAAAAGTATACAATAGGAAAGACGTCACTTAATTAGCCTATAGGCTATACAAACATTACTTTACCGGTTAATTAACTGCACATATACACTATATAACCACAAGTATGTGGACACCTGACTGTCACTACTATAGAAGCTTGTTGGTCATCCCATTCCAAAATCATGGGCATAAATATGGAGTTGCCACCCTTTTTAGCTGTAACAGTCTTCACAAGATTTTGGAGTGTGTCTGTTGAATCTGTGCCCATTCAGTAAAAAGAGCATTTGTGAGGTCAGGCACTGATGTTGGACGAGAAGGCCTGGCTCGCAGTCAATGTTCCAGTTCATCCCAAAAGTGTTCAGTGGGGTTGAGGCCATGGCTCTGTGCAGGTCACTGGAGTTTATCCACAGACTTAAACAAAGTCTTTATGGGCAGTGATGTTGGAGCAGGAAAGGGTTTTCCCCAAACTGTTGGGGAAAGTAAACAGTAAAGTAAAAAAAAGTAAAAAGCATCATTGTCTAAAATGTCTGTGTATGCTGTAGCATTAACATTACCCTTCACTGGGACCAAGGGGCTGAGCCCAGACCCTGAAAAACTGCCCTGACCATCATCCCTCCACTTCTAAACTTTACTGTTGGCACTATGCATTCTGGTAGGTAGCGTTCTCCTGGCATCCAAACTTAGATTCATTCATCAGATTGCCAAATAGAGAGGTGTGATTCATCACTCCAGAGAACATGTTGCCCCTGCCCCAGAGTCCATTGGCGGCGTACTTTACACCACTGCAGCAGACGCTTGGCATTGTGCATAGTGGTCTTAGTGCTTGTGTGCTTCTGCTCAGCAATGGAAATCCATTTAATGAAGCTTCTAAGACACAGTTCTTGTGCTAACATCACCTAGAGGATAGGTGGTTTTTGTGTGCTACGTGATTCAGCACTTTCTGGCCCCTCTCTGTGTATTTTTGCAAAACTAGCAGGGCAGAAATTTCGCTTACTGACTTTTGGCAAAAGTGGCATCATATGACATGGCCATATTTCAAGTGACCAAGCTATTGGGTGTGACCCATTCTACTGCTAATGTTTATCTAAGGAAATTGCATTGCTAGGAGCTTGATTGTATACTTCTGTTAGCAATGGGTGCGGCTGAAACATCTGAATTCCATGTTTAGGAGGGTCGTCCACATGCTTTTGGCCATACTCTATACATACTTTGAACACCACTTTAAGATCATAATGTAGATCTTGTCAAAGACTGCTGGGGAATATGCAAATGAAATGGAATATGGCAGTTTGGCAGTTTTGTTTTCCAACCAAACAAATGCAGAAAAGCACTAGATTTTAACTGTGTTACATGCTGTCTGTGCAGAATATAGTTATCATTATGAATTTTTATATAATATTAGAAGCTAACCCACAAGGTACTTATATTATTATCAGATTGCATTTATTCCATCAACAGAAGCAGTTTGAAGATTTAGAGAGGAAATACCAGAACCGACTTGAAAAGAGAGAGACAATCCTGCTGGAGCTGAAGAAACTGATGGAGTCATTTAAGGTGAGCATTAAAAACTGCTCTCATTTATCATGAAGCAGCTACGTCTCACGAGGCCCACTGTCACTTTCTCTTTCTGATTTGAAAAAACTCTCAAGCCAGCTTCAATAATACATATCAGCACCAATATATTACCCCACAAAGGGGTTGTTTGCAGGATTTCAGCAAATTAGCATGGCTAACAAAGTGTATTCCACTGCATTTTGAATTATTCTTTTTCTCCAAAAGAGCCCATATGCTTAATGAGCAAGTTTTATCCCAAATTGTTCAGCGTTGAGAGGTAAATTGACTTTAAATGGCTAAAAAAAATACAATCATATGTTATATTTTATATTAAAATAAATTTTACAGCAGTGTCAAGCTGGGTTCCTTCCAGGCCTCAGTTCTGCAGAGGTTAGAGTTCTTTCTCATTAAACACACCTGAGTCAACTCATCAGCTAGTTAGCAAGAATTTCATGAGCTGCATTCAGAAAGTTAGAAGAGGGAAGGCACAAATCTCCGCAGAGCTGTGGCCCAGAATGAACTAAGTCTGACAACTCTGCTGTGAAGGGAACAAACTTAAAAATGTCAAACATTATTCTACAGATTTTAAAGCACAGTTTATATTTTTTTGCTGAGTTTAAAATATTGGAAAAAAAACGTAAAATGTAATTTGTGCCATAACTTTTACACAGGCCACATTTACCCAATATATTAAATCAGCACATAAACAGTAATTGTGCATTAAAATGTGTAATGGTGTGTTCTTTATAGAGGATGTGTTAACCTATTTTTATCAACTAAACCTGTCATTTGTCCAGGCTGCCCAAACATTTGTATATGACTATACATTTGGTCTAAATGTTTCAAAGCTACATTTAGAAACCAAAAGTGGAAGTACAAAAGCTGTTTGAGAAGCAAAACTAAAAGTGAGGAGAGGGTCTGGAGTGGTATCTTTCTTTCATTTTGTCACGTTCTTGCTCAGAATTTATGTGACTGGATTAACATTTAAATAGAGTTGGAAGATTTTGTATGATCAGTGGCCATTGCCTCTGTTTTGGTTGTGGAATGTGGCCTTAGTTTATAGTTGACATCTCTCTCTACCAGAGGCTACAGATAACAACCTAAAAAATGTGGTCTTCTCTGCCTAGACGAGAGAGGGGAAGCAACACCCATGCAACATATGAACCATTAAAAGCATGCAGTAAGCACAACATGCCCCTCCAACATGTGCGGTGTCATATTGGTTGGACAGGAGTTCTATGCTTTTTAAAAATTGTTTTCATACATACATACATACATACATACATACATACATCATCTAAACTGCTTATCCTTCTGGGTCGCGGTGGGGTGCTGGAGCCTATCCCAGCTGTCACTGGGCGGAAGGCGGGATACATCCTGGACAGGTCGCCAGTCCATCGCAGAAAATTGTTTTCAAATTTTATTTAATTTTTCATCAAGATTTTCATCATGTACAAAGTACAAACTGTCCCCTGAACCCACCCACCCTCCAGACTTACATCAATGAGGTAAAGCTAGACATATTCATAGTGCCCACATATTATGGGGTTACATTCTCAGTTTCCATATTTTTCACAAATGACAAGAAGGACTGCCAAATCCCATGGAATCTCTGTAAAAGCTTTGGAGAGAATATATTAGCTTCTCTTGCTTTAGATATAGCATGATATTTTTGATCCTTTAAGAATAAGTAGGGGGAAGCAGGTGCTTCCACCTAAACAATATTGGTCGTCTGGCCAACACAGTGCAAAAAGGTCAGTATGTTGCATTTATAGTTTTTTAGTTGGACCTCTGGCGGTGCAACACCAAATAATGCAGTATAAGGAGAGTAGCCTATTGGTTCTTCCAGAATTTTAGAGAGAGTATCGAAAATAGATTGCCAAAAATGATCTTCGACATGTCGAAAACATACGTAATAAACTTCCAGGATCTTGTTTGCACCTATCACATGTACACTCTTAAAATGGTTCTCCATGGAAATAGTTCTGTATGGAACCATGAACACTCAACAAACCCTTTGCATGATTAAAGGGTTCTTTGCATCATTAAAAAAGGTTCTTCAGATTGATATAGAATATGCTGCAGATGGTTCTATACAGCACCTTTTTGAAAAGGGTTCTGGGTTCTGTGTAGCACCAAAATGGGTTTTACTATGGTTACGATGTCAAGCTTGTAACAATAGAAGAACCATTTTTAGTGCTATGTAGGATCATCTGCAGCAAATGTTGTATCCACCTAAACAACCTTTTCATGATGAAAGAACCCTTTAATCATACAAAGAGTTCTTCGAGTGTTAGTGGTTTCATATAGAACCATTTTTTTTTACCAAAGAACCCTTGAAGAACCACCTTTCTTTAAGTGTATAGGATCCAGATTTGGTCTACACCAAGGATGTTGGTGTACTACCTTGAATTGCATAACAGAGTGCTGTTGACAGCTGGAAGATTCTTTGAATAATTTTCTGACAGATTTCATCTGCAGTTTGCTCATCTAAGTCCTCCTTTCACCTGCTTTTAAGATCATCCAAAGCTGTCATATTATGTAAAACGAGAAGCTCTTATATCCTACCAATAGACTGCTTGAAGTCTTTTGAGTCTAACAAGGACATGGGGGGGTAAAGAGGAAAACAATCAGAATGTGAGGCTAAGAAGCTCTGTGATTGTAGGTATCTGAAAAAAATGTGATGTAGGAATACTAAATTTAGGATGCAAAATCATTATCTATGTAGAGGTTATGTAGTGATGAAATTCCACTCTTAGACTAGATATTAAATGTTCAGTGTGATGTTAAGGGATAAACGTGATTTTTAGCTATTGGGTTGGATAGTGAGGGACTGTTAAGTGTAATTGTCCACCAAAACTTTTTAACTGATTGTGCAACAGTGGGATTATTGCTATAATAAGAGATAGGCTTTTGCAGTGGGAGTTTGGAGCACAGTAACGCAGGTAAGGAGGTGAAATTACAGGGTGAGCTTTATAAAATTAACCATTTGGGGGTATCAACACCATCTGCATCCTTCATCCAGTACATCAACTCTCTAATATTAGCTGCCCAATAGTAGAAATGAATGTCTGGGGATGCCATACCACCCTGGGGGTGTGGCTTGTGCAATATGCATTTCTATATACGAGAGATTTTTATTCCAGATGAAGGTTCATATTAGCGTATTTATGGATGTAAAATAAAGACTTAGTCGAGAAAATAGGAAGACTTTGAAACAAATATAAAAATCTAGGTACTACGTTCTTCTTAACTGTATTGATCCTTCCACACAGAGAAAGGGATGGCAAAGCCCAGCGTTTGATGTGCTGTTTCAAGAAGATATCAAGGGGAGAAAGTTGGTCTTGTAAAGGTCTTTGTAATTATGTGGTATCCAGATACCCAAATACTTGAATTTCTCTTTACTAATTTTGAAGAGAGTTGAACTAAAGGAAGCACTCCTGGCAGTCTCATTGATCATCAGCTCACTTTTAAAAAGGTTTATTTTGTAGTCAGATAGTTTGCAGAATTTACTTATTAAGTCTAGGAATACTTGCCATAGGGTCTGACATATACAGTAGTAAGTCATCTGTGTAAAGTCAGCCTCCACTATCAATTCCTTTGATATCAATATCTTGTCGTAGTGCTGGTGATCCAATGGCAACAGTGAACAAGAGAGGAGACATCAGGCAATCTTGTCTTGTACCTTGCTGCGATTTAATGTACGCAGATAGTTTGCTATTAGTACGTACAGCAGCCGTTGGGGAAGAATATGAAGTCTTAAAATAGGGTTTAAATTTTGGACCAAAACCAAACTTTTCAAGTTTATAAAAGAGATCAACCCACTCCACCCTTTCAAAAGCTTTTTCAGCATCAAGTGATCGTAGAATCTCTGGGGTGAAGGATGAAGATGGGTTGTATAGAATATTTAAAAGACGTCTGATATTAAAAATTAGTACTTCCTCCTAATAAAGCCAGTTTGGTCTGGGGAAATGATAAGGAAGGGACACTTCGAGATGGAGGGCTGAGAACTTTGCAAGGATGTGTACATTTGTGTTCAAAAGTGACAATGGACAATATGAACTGCATTGTAGAGGATAGTTTTCCTTCTTCAAAATGAGTGAAATCGTTGTTCGGGGGAGGGATTGAAAGGCAAGCAATTCCTGTAATGGAGAGAGGAGAAGTGGGGCACGTTGTTCTGGAAATGTTTTGAAGAATACAGATGGATAGACATCCGGTCATGGAGATCTACCACTTTAAATACTCCTGATTGATTCTATAATCTCTGCAATAGAAATATCAGTCTCCAATTCTGCGGCTAAATTCGAGTCTATTCTGGGGAAAAATTAATTTATTTTTAAAGGGTCATTATGTTTTAATCCTTGTTCATCACTTATTTTAGGTATATATTGACTGGCGGCCCTTCAAGGTAACTGATGTGCTAAAAATTTTCTAGCCTTCTGTCAATGCTTATAGGAACTGTGCTTAGATTTTGAAATAAAGTTCTCTGCTTGACGTGTCGAAAGAAAATTAAATTCCGTTTTAGGTATCAGACGTTGTTAAAGTACGTCATCTGAAGGCGAGTAACTGTGCACTGTATCCAGCTTCAAAATATCAGCGATGAACTGCTTGAGGCGTTCAGTGTCCACTTTTTTGTGCTTTGCAGAATATGAAATAATCTGGCCCTGTTTTCAACGCCTCCCATACCAGCTTACAAAATTAACCAAGCAACCTTTAGATCCTCCTAGATTATTTGCATTCTCCATTAGGAAGAATCGTGGATAGTACACTGTAACTATACCACCCAAAAAAATGAATGTGAAAATCTAAAATGTATTTGTGTGCTGTAACTTTAACATTACCCTTCACTAGAACTACTGTATACACCTGTTAGCAAAGGGTGTGGCTGAAACACCTGAACAGAGTTGCCCAGATTAGTGCCCCAGATCTAAGACTTCCAGGTTTCAAAGGTTTATACTTAATGAAACACCTTTAACCCCCAATTTAAACCTTAAAATGGTCCATTTATGGAAAGCCAAATTTTCCTCACTTTTTCTTCACATTGTTAAAGTTTCAATACTGTACTGGTCACTTTTTAGTCCTTAAAGAATATATATGCAAATTAAGCAAGCAGTTTTGAATTCATCATCGTGATATCACAAAAAACATTTACTTATACCTGCCTATTCAGCCTTTAGCAGTTTAGCTCCATCCATTCACACTGAAGCTACAAGAAGTATTTCTCACCAGGATGCTTTTTCAGTAAAGCACAATAAATAACAATACCAATTTACATATATCAGTCTTAAGGGCACAACTTATTTAATTTTCAAGGATAAAGAAAAGGTAAAACCTTATACTCTGTTTATTTTGCTCTTGTGTTTGCTATCTGGGGTCGACCAGAGGAGGATGGGTTCCCCTTTTGAGTCTTGATTCCTCTTAAGGTTTCTTTCTCTTGCTTTTAGGGAGTTTTTCCTTGCCATTGTTGCCATTGGTGACGCTCGTGGGGGCTCGGACCCAGATTTTTCTGTAAAGTTGCTTTGCGACAGTGTCTGTTGTAAAAAGTGCTACATAAATAAACTTTGACTTGACTCGACAAGTTTGAAAATGGTCATGTAAAAATGAATTCTGACTTCATTTGCTACATAAATGCACATAAATGCCACAAATTGACCTGGACCCTCCCATGGCCTTGTAATTATGCACCCTCTCTCTCTCGTAACAGAGCTCTGCCCAGGCAGCAGTGGAGGACAGTGAGAGGATCTTCACTGAGCTCATCCTGTCCGTGGAGAAAAAGCGATCTGAGGCAACGGAGCTGATCAGAGCTCGTGAAAAAGCTGAACTGGACAAAGCCGTGGGATTCGTGGAGCAGCTGGAGCAGGAGATTGTAGAACTTAACAGAAAACAAACTGATCTTCAGCAGCTTTCTAACTCAAAGGATTACATCCAATTACTGCAGGTTAACATCACTTCCTCCATGTAACATCATTACCATACTTAACCAATGACAGTCTGACTGTTGGCCATTAAGACCACATTGAAAATCTGGGATATTTTTCATTTAAACCTGAAAATAAACTACTGAAAGTTTCAGAATTTTGAAAAATGAAAAACAAAGAAAAGTTATGACAAATAAAATGAAGAAATATTGAAGATTCTGCACCAGTCTCTAGGTCACTATCCAAACGTAAGCAAATCTGTGACACTAACCGTGTTAAGGTCATTTTTTTTAGCCTTATCTCGTTTATTGAAGCTAATTTTTGGACCACTCTTCATTGGATTTGATCTACTCATCAGAGGCTTTTGCAGAAACTTGCCAGCTTGCGTGCAAACTGTTATTAAAGCAAAAGGGGGAAATCCCAAACACTAAAAAAGTTCATGTTTTCATGCAAATCATTATGCTGATAGTATAATTTGTAATTAAAAAAACCTTGTATTGAATTAGAAAAGAATACAAATAGAAGCACTTTCGCCAGCGGTCTCTGACTTTTGGACCCCACTGTATGTAACTTTGAGCTACAGAAATGGCTGTGAACATTTTGGAAGCACTCTAAAATGGACTGAATCATGGTCCAATACCACAGAGTAACCCTGCAGTTCACCCAGCTCTATTCAGCACTATGCATTCACATCTATACCTGAGCAATGCTTAACCTGTGCTGTCTTTCTTCCTTTGTGTTAGAGATCTCAAATTCTCTGTGCTGACCTGGAAACCAGTGATGCTGTTAAGATAGCGCTCAATCAACAGCCAGCATTTGAGAATTTCAAGACATCTGTATTGCAGCTGAAGGAGCAACTGGAAAGCTTTTGCACAGAAGAATGGAAGAAAATTTCTGAAAATGGTGAGAATACAACATGGAACAAAATGTTTACTTTTGTAAACAGACACATGTAATATAAAAAAAGATTTTTGCATAATTTCATTTAATGAGCCTAACATATTTTAATTTCCATAGTGAACGACCAGCTAATTTCAGAACCTGAAGCAGAAACCAGAGAGGATTTCCTCAAATGTGAGTTTTGTGTGTTTTGTCAAATTACTGACATCATCAAAATAAACATTATCAAAATAAATATGTTCATACAGTTCAGAAAGACAGTTGTAAGTCCTTTTGTGAGTGATCTGGATTTCTACATGAATGGCCCCAAAATGTGCTAATGTAACTCTAAAACGTGCCATACGTTCATTGAACACATGATTTAAACGGTCCAGGTCATTAATGGACAAAATATGTTAAAGAGGAATTTCACTGATTACAGTTTCTGCATTAATAAATCATAAACATGTAAACAAAGTCATTCAGAATAGTTTGAAGTGAAATGCTCAATTCTAGAATTGTTAGAAAAATTGTTCAGAATTGAAAATATGAGTCAGAATTCTTCTTCTATGAGTTTATTGTCTGCTTGCAAAGCAGAAATCTGATTACTGTCTGACTCATGTAGACCCAGAGTTTCCCATTATCTGATTACTCAAGTGAAAATAAACGCGTTGATCGGATTACTGACAAGATACGATTTTCTGCAGTTATCAGATTATTAGGTAAATGTAAACTCACTCATTTATTTATGCAGAAATCTCAATAATGCTCAATGGCAAACCTTTTCTCACAACTGTATGTTTCACAGTTACAAAAACAAGGCTAGTTTTGGGAAGAACTGTATTCACTGGATGCAGCTGCATTCACAGAGAGACTAAAAGAGACTTAAAAGCTTTTAACCTTAAACCAAACCTCACTGATGTTCTGTCTAAATCAGTTGGGTAAAAGAGTCATAGTTTAACCTCAGTGTTTAAATGTTCATTTGTAGAAGTATAAACGTAATATTTTCTATGAATTATCTCAAAACTTCATCAAACTCACTTTTTATTGTTCTTTTTAATGATTCCAGATGCCCGTGAGCTGACTCTGGATCCCAACACAGTAAATTATAATCTCCTGCTGCGTGAGTGTAACACGAAGGTGATTTGTAATAATGAGCGTCATCCCTACCCTGAACATCCTGAGAGATTCACCTATTGGCATCAGGTGCTCTGTAAGCAGAGTGTGTCCCTGCGCAGTTACTGGGAGGCTGAGGTGGGCGGAGAAAATGGAGTTTCCATTGCAGTGACTTCTAAAGCAATCAAAAGAAAAGGGTCTGAAGTGGAGAGCAGGTTTGGGCATAATAGCGAGTCCTGCAGATTAGTCTGCTATCCTATGAAATACAGTTTCTGGCACAATGATAAACAGATTGATATCCCAGGCCCGACATACAAAAGAATTGGCGTCTATCTTGATGAAAAGACAGGAACTTTATCCTTCTATGGTGTTTCCAATGAAATGACCCTCATTCATAAAGTCGCAGTCAAGTTCACTCAGCCCCTGTATGCTGGGTTTGGGATAGGTTCTGGATCATATGCAAAGTTTTGCCTTTATGCCACAAGTGGTGCCGCTGGTGAGACCTCAAAGCAGAAATGAGACGCTGTCCTGGCTGAAATGAGTGGTGGTGATGCATTTGGAAACATTATAGGACTGTGATTATCTGCACAAAAGGCTTTTTGACCCATAATTTAGAGTCTCCGAGCAAAGATAAGGTTTTACTGAGCACATGAAAAAGCATTTAACTTGCGTATTTTGTTCCCATGGGTCTGAAGATAACTGCAGGAATCTGATTATGATTGGATTTTTAAGTTCATGTAAACACACTTATTGTGTCGAACCTCAGCAGAGTCAGTAACACTTCTCTGGGTGAGCAGAGACGCCTTCAACGCCAGCTTGAGTCGTTTGTTCATCAGCGCAGCAGTGCACACTCAGCTTCGTCACTCGCTATCAGCTGGTACTGGATGTTGGTGTGGTGAATTTTTATGAGTACGAGTAAATGAACACGGTATTAGCCCAACACCCGACACCAGCATCCCTAGTGCTAACATTCCTGATTAAAACAGTTTGAAAAGATAAACATTAATGAAATTTTACACGTGCCGTTCCTTCTTTTGTTTCAGTGAAGTTTGCAGAACGACCTCATGGAAAAGACCTCAGCATGTACCGTTGCTCTGACTAGCTCCAGTGTTAGCTTTAGCATTAGCTTATCTGAAGTGGTAGCTAAAACCTCTTTCTTATTAGACTTGAAAACCTACCACCTTTACATTGAGTGGTAATTTCCTTGCTTTGATTAATGTAAACATGGTTTCCAGAATCCCTTTTTTGTCAGCTCTCAAACATGTATGTCTGCACTGAACATGGAAGGACCATTTATTTTGGAAAAATGTTTCACATCTACTTCTTTGTTTGCTTCTCACTTTTCCTTTTTAGTGCTGAACGTTTCAGTCTGTTAGCACAAGCGTTATGAATGATAATAGGTAGCCTGTACTGGAAGTTTGTTGGCCATAGCAAGCGTAACTAAGGGAGGCAGGACTTTCTCAGAATTTAGTAAGCGGTGTGTGAAATGCTGTTTAGAAGAGTATCATTTCCTACCTTGGTTTAATGTGTAAACATAAATCAAAGTAACTCCAGTTACTGGAGGAGTTCTTTAACATGTGAAGGCCTAATTTGGATCATTATCTTCATACAACTGAGAGAATATAAATAAAAGTTGATTAAAACACCATAATGCCTTCTTGGTACTTTGTAAAGACTGATTCTACCACTGTTACAATGTGGTTATAGTTATGTGAACAGATAATTAATTGGTTTTAGTTAGTGGATTAGCTGTTTAGGATAGAACAGCATTTTAATTTCATTATCTTTTTGGTGGGATCTGTCTCATTAATGAGTAATGCTCCATGTAATAAAATGTGACTTTGGCCCTATTTTATGATTATGAGTTTTTCTTTCATGAATCATTTCATCATTGTCTCACTTTCTCACTTCAAAATACAAACATAGACAGATACTGTGTACAGTGTACAAAATTAATGACGCATTAAAGCTGGGATGGACTGATTTAAATTCTAGTCTTCTCTACAGTGTGATTTGCTTTCACATTGCCACTTTTTCTAGGAAACCACATTTGCCTTCCAAGGACCTTAACAAGTAGATGATGATGTTTTGATAACTACTCAAGAAGCCAGACCAGAAAATAACGACTGTTGCCGTTTTATATCTTTTCCTTGTACCAGCAAACACTATTACCCTTCCATCATCGACAGCCCAACAGAGCAAACTATGACAGTTTTATTCATCTTGGCTTGAATAATACAGATGTTTTTGGAGAGGCCGTACGGACCTCTGAAGTTGAGTGTCATTTTGTGTTCTGCAGCATACCCAAACAAGAAAGTCAGAGTAAAGATGAAAGGTAAAAGTAAGCTATGCAAGGCAGACTGTTTTATGGCCTGCCATCAACAATGAAATCTGCTTCTTGTGGTCAGCATTTATACAGTTTCTGAAAACTTAACACTTCACTGTAGGGTACTGTTCATAGGCCTACATGACACCTATGCATGCTTGTCATTACAACTGACATAACCATACATAAATGTTTATAAACACTTATTACAATAGGCATCATCTTTCATAAAGGCTACTTTAGTTAACTTGTAACCTTTATAGAAAATGTAACATTTTATAGTGAATGACACCTATTGGATAAACATTTATGTAGGGATATGTCATCTCAGGCTTATGTAGGTGTCATGCAGCCTAATTAACAGTACCCTACAGTAAAGTGTTACCCTGAAACTACACCAGTTTGTTTGAATCAGTTGACAGATTAAGGCTTTGTATATACATTTTTGCTATAGGTCTCCTATAATTAACACAGATGAAAGGAAAGTAGGCTCAAGGTACTGTCTGCTACTTCATTCTATGAGTGGCATAAAATGGCATAGGCTCATATATTAGCAGATCCATGACCAGTATGGATACGCCGTAAAATTTTAGGACACTTTCAGGACTTGATTTTTGGAGGCATAGCTGTGCACACTAAGGTAGGTAGATGCCAGTTCAGCTAAAGAACCTAATCTGAACTAATCAAACCCATTCTTTGTATACAAATGGTTTAACTGGAAAAAAGAAGCAGTTTATACATAAGAAATGTTCTGTATCCAGGAACCAAATTTAATTTTCCCTGGACAGACAACCAAAATCCAAGCCGATTCAGGAATATACTGGACAACTGGCAACCCTTGTGGTTAGGTGACACTGAATGGGTTACTGTGTTTACAATGCCAAGTTCAAGCAAACCCTGACTATGAGTACAAGTCGTACCATGCAGTTTCTTTTATTGACAGAGAAGTGTTTTCTGATATTAAAATCAGGCCTGGATTCAGGCTACAATGTTACTTTTAAGGCTATAATAACTGGGCTGTGTTAATGCTGAATGAAAATAATTACAGCCTCAAGTCTTTATTTTAAACAAAAGAAGAGTCACTAGGTCACAATGAGAGAGAGTCTAGAGGAGCTGAGCCACACTGGCTTGTGCTCCACACCTCACACAAACACGCACACAGAAGACATAAAGCCATAAGATTCCACAAATTCCACCCCTGCATGTCAGCGTCACTGACTGTTCCTGTATTTTCTTCAGCGTTCTGCTAAACAGTGTTACTGGAGTGCTGCTGTAGATCTGCACTGTATTTATAATGTATTATAGTTCAACTTTCATACACTGTTTATAATCGCTTACACTGCATATATAGACTGATCTCTTTCAATTTCTTAATTTTACATAGTTAACTAGACAACTGTACAATGTTCCCCTTTCTTTTTATTCCTGTACACATTGTGTTTAACATGTATGTTTCTGTATACCTGCACAGCTCTGTATGTCTGTATATATTTGACCAGCGTGTACAGTGGATATTTGTAAAGTCCAAACACAGCTAAAGCCCCTTTTATAAAACAGTGTGCATACTAATACAACCAGGGAATTGTTTTTTATTTTCAATTATTTTTACTAATAATCATGTATTTCTATGATTTATCTTAATTTCTGGCTTTACGTTACACAACAAACCCTGCAATTTCAATAAGGATGTGCTGATTTTTTATATCCATTGTACACATACACATTTGGAATTACAGTCTGAAATCATTATTTTCAACAATATAAAATCAGTTTTGTTGTTGGTAGATGCACAAAATTAAGATTAAGTGACCCTTATTAGTCCCACAACAGAGAAATTTCACCTCCGCATTTAACCCATCCGTGCAGTGAAACACCACATACACACTAGTGAATGCACACACACACTAGGGGCAGTGAGCACACTTGCCCGGAGCGGTGGGCTGACCTATCCACAATGCCCGGGGAACAGTTGGGTGCCTTGCTCAAGGGCACTTCAGTCACGCACTGTCAGCTCAGGGGACTGAACCGGCAACCTTCCGGTCAGAAGACTGGGTTAAAAAAACAATTACTAATACGACAGGTGATCAGTAAATTCAGCTATGTTAAAGTGTTCCCACTGCTGATACAGTCATTCCACTGTGCACACACAGCTTGTATAATCTCCACAGAAAAGCATTACCAATAGAATGGGATGCTCTGGTGCAGCCACACATGAGCCTAAGGTCACCATGTCTAATACCAAGCATCAGCTAGAGGTGTATAAAGCCCCCCAGCATTGGGCTGTGGAGAAAAGGAACTGTGCTCTCTGGAGTGATGGAGCTCCAATATCACTAAAGCTTTAACATAAACACTATACTGTGATTATTTAGGACAATCAAGTACTAAAGTGCAACAAACTTTCAACAACTAATAAAGACCAAGACATACATACATACATCATCTAAACCGCTTATCCTTCTGGGTCGCGGTGGGATGCTGGAGCCTATCCCAGCTGTCATTGGGCGGAAGGCAGGATACACCCTGGACAGGTCGCCAGTCCATCGCAGGGCAAGACCAAGACATGATTAACGGAATAATTAAAATATTCAAGCATTGGCTTTCTCGTGTGTGAGTGTGTGTGTCAGCGTGGGACGGCACAGAACTGGTATGGTTTAGGACTGTGTGTGGCCCCTAATTTGTACTCCAGACTGGGCTCGATGTCCTCTGGTGGTTTGAAAGTGAAGCGCTGCAGCAGAGAAGTAAAGAACAGGAAGAGCTCCATACGAGCCAGCTGCTCACCGAGACACACCCTCTTTCCTGTGAAAAATGGAAAATAAACATCAGATAAAAAAGATACTGTATTCTACTGTATTATATTGACTGTGTAAATCTTAAAAGCACAATCAGTGGCATAACTTGGGGCACCAGTGCAAAAAAAAAATTACTTTCAATTAATTTAAAAAAAATACAATGTTATTTGTTTATTTACTCACTGTTTTTATGTCTCAAACAAGTCAACGCTCTCAAGACATGCCATTCCACCCATTAGCATCTAATGCTACCGTAACTGTTTACATTAGACTACCTATTTAAGAGCTTTATAACTAATGAATATTTGTCACATTGTAGTTTGTGACGGATCCATTTAAAACTAGTTACCATGCGTTCTTTATGAAAAAGAGGGGGATACATAGATGTCAGTGCTGTTTGTGTAGTGTTGATTGAAGCTAACTGGTATGTTGTTAAGAAATCGGCTCTTTCTTTGTGGGTGTACAGTTGTATTTGTCTATGTGAGGGGCCAAGTAAAGATTTTAGGGGCCCAGTTGCCATGGGCATCTCTGCACCTTGGGCCCCAGTGTGACTGCCACACCCCCCTCCCACCCTCAATTAGTTACACCACTAAGCACATACTGTCCTGTTTCAGTTGTCTGTATTTCAATCCGTTAATGAAATATATTTACATATCACTTAAAGGCAGAAGCTCTCAGAAAATCTGGAAGAAAGACAATGTTTAAGCGCACCTGCAGAAAATGGCATGAAGGCCTCTCTCCTCCTGAAGTTGCCCTGATCGTCCAGGAAGTGACGTGGATTAAAGGACTGAGGGGTCTCCCACTCTCCTTCATCAAACAGAACTGACGTCAGGTTGCCGAAGACCATCGTACCCTGCAAATGGATGTTATGATGCTGAAAGTAGGCAAGGTTAATCGGGTCAGGATGAGGGGCCTAGTTGTAATATTTGTTCAAAAAAGTCTGGCACATTGATGGCAAATTGAAAAATGACAAAACTGAAATATATTTTGTTAACATGACATTTTTATGTTTTTAGGAATCTGTGAATTTGAAAAAAACACGAATTTATATTTGGGGAATATGAACTCACCATTGTTTACTTTGCACTGCTTAGTTGTGACACTGTGTTACAATAAAGTCTTGCCATAAAGAAGCCGTACATTAACCTGGCTAACTCTTTCTGTGAGTTCTTTACACGCTACAAAAACGGTCCTCTATTACAGACACCAAGAGGGTTATTAAAATAATCTGATTCTGTGACTTATACAAACTATAAGTGAAAATCACGTATGTATATATGTCTTAGTAAATAGTAGTAAATAAATAATGATAGTAAATAAAATAGTATTTCAGGGTGAATTTTCAGAAGTGTCCATCAGACAGCTGTAAGAATTTACAAATGCCATTGCTATGTGAATACAAGAAACTGACCAGAATCATATTTTATTTGAATCTTTTGAAGTACATAAAAATCAGTTACATTTTCCCTCCATTCAGTTGTGCTTTTCTCTACCTTATAGTGTTTTTTTCAGTTTTTCATTCTGTAAATAAATGACTATAATTCATCACAGGGAATGGAAGCTGTACTTTCACTTGACTTGCTCTCTCTCTGAGCTGATTATATGCATTGCTTTAAAAAGTGGGGGATGCGGTGGTGGGGGATACATGTCTTCTTCAATTTTGAAATTAGGCAAAATAATTTTGGGGATGCGGGATGGTAGTTGGAAAAACGTGCATATCTGAGCTGCAAAAGAGCTGTCATGTCAATTATTATACAGCTGACAACAATTCCAATACATTTTTAAATTCTAAGTAAAGCAAAAATAGATTGTATACTGTGTTTTTGCTTAGTTAAAGTCAGTAACGACAAAAAAGAAGAAACGTTGATCCGCCTTGGCTGTATGTTATGAAGGACTGTTGTCTTAAACACTTCTCAACTGGACTGTGGTAATTTGTTCACGTATGCACCCACAGTTTTTAATAAACCTTCTTATTTCTGCAAATGACATTATTATTCCTGTTAATGTTATCTGTTTTTGTGTTTTAATAATCACATATAAAGCATTAGATATTAATATGATTACTCTAGGTGTACTTCAGTTACTTAGTTTCATGTATGAATTAAGCTGGAGCCTCTTAACAGTGGTGTTATATTGAAGGCAGCAGGAGGGTCCAATAATATCCTCTGTGTCTTATACACAGGCATTGAAAAACTGAATTGACAAATACAATAAAAAAGTTTCAGAATTCACAAATGACTCCAAATGCTACACGAGAAACAGACAGAAAGCACATTCTAGTTTAACATGTTTAAGTACACTAAAATTTGTTATATTTGTTATATAGATATTGTGCTCTGCACTCCCCTAATAAACTGTGTGAATTCAGAAAATTGGTGAGCCCCTCCTTTGTACGTATAAAAGAATGTGAAAGCATATCTGAGCTTTATGGATGAGGCCCCAGGAAAACAACGCAATGCTGAGGTTTGCTGCATTGTCAAACAGAGAGATGCTTTAAATACCTGGCTTACATCTCAGTGGCACATGTGTATGCAAATACTGAGCCCACCTTTGGAATTGTATATTCTCCTATCTGGATGTCCTTCCCGGCGGTCCGAGCCAAGTTAAGTGGGACGATGTTTCCCATCCTCTGGATCTCATGGATAACCGCGTTTGTGTAAGGGAGATTCTCTTTGTCCAGCATAGACGGCTGTCGTGAAGACCCTACCACCCGGTCAATCTCGGCCTGAACTTTGGCTAAATAAACAAGATAGAAACAGTTTCAGAGGCGGACAAATGTATGAAGGAGTGTCTGCTTGTGTGTTTGAGTGTGATACATGTGCCCTAAACTGGAAATATTAATGAAAATTTCAGTGTGAAAACAGTAAAAACCAGAATCAGGATTCTGCAGAAGTATGTAAAAATCAACCTGCACTGTGAAAAAGTTTTAAGTTAAAGTGAGTAATCTGGCTGCCTTAACATCTTCATATTAACACACGCTGCTATTCTGTTGGCTTACAGTTTGATTCTTAATGAAATTGAAATGATAAGACTGCCATTTATTTTTTTAAGTTAAAATATGATGTTTTTTTTTTACAGTGTGGCATTTTCCTCGTTTAGGGAACATCACAGTAAACATTAGCTGATACTGTTCAGTAGTGGCCCTGTGATGGACTGGCAACCCATCCAGGGTGTTTCCTGCCTTCCGCACAGGAGGATAAGCGAGAGTGAGTGTGTGTGTGTTTGTGTGTGTGTGTGTGTGCGTGTGTGTGTGTATCCAGTAGTGGCAGTAAGTAGTAAAACCAAAGTTTTATGTTTCATGATTTATGTTTTACTAATAAAACCCTGCTGAGTCAATGACATGATGTATTTTTTTTGTCCAAGTCCTTTATTTTACTTATTAAATAACTTTATATATACATGAAATATTATTCTATAATATCACATTTTTGTAAATACATTTTCCATCAAATTAAAGTTCATTTTATGCCTTTATATCTTTTAAAGTCTAAAAATGTCAGGTGGTATGACTGTCCAACCATAATTTAATGTACATTTCTAAATGAAAATGATTGATTCTACCCAGGTGGTAATGCAATAAGTCCTGAAATGGTACAAGAACAAACAGCCAGAAAGTCAATATGCACTAACCCTGTATCTCAGGATATTTGATCATAAACAGCAGGCTCCAGTATATAGTAGTGGCTGTGGTCTCAGTCCCAGCAACAAACAGATCCAATGTGCAAAAACATAAGTTTTCCAAGCTGAAACCAGCGGCCTCATCATCTTTCCACTGCAAAGACAAACAGGAAAACCACACAATAAAATACAGCTTAGCCCAAGGGTTCCCAGTCTGTGCTGTGTCTCATCTAGCACACCTGATTCAATTCAGTACCTGCAGATAAGTGAACAATTTTATATATAGGTCAGGAATCGCACAAATATCTGTAAGATGCTTAATTTTTTTTATCTCAATATTACTATTATTTATTAGATCAATGGGTAATATACATCATATATATACCCACTGGTGTAATACATGATTCCACATAATTTGGGTAGTTCCTCACTTTTGGCTCACCCCCTATATAATTTTTTACACAAGATCACAGGTCCCTGAGGCCTGATGTGTGGTTAAGTTGTAAAATATAATATAATATAATATAATATAATATAATATAATATAATATAATATAATACTATCCACAAGTAAGAGACCACCCTTCATTTATTCAATTTTCAATCAAAACGGCCATTTAGTACAAATTCATCATTTTTCAGTATCAGGAAAAAACACAGGGATATTTAATCCCAAACACATTCAATGATACGGAGGACTGAACTCTGGAGTGGCCAGTCCTTTGCTGAGTACACCAGCAGCTTTTTTGTTTCATCAGGCATAAGACAGAGGTTTCCATTATAGCTGAGCTCCTTATCAGCCAACAGCAATAAAGCAGTATAAATGATAAGAAGAGCTCTGGTGCCAGCTGTCAAAACATGGCTGGTCCACAGTATCAGTCAATAAGAAACAGCTAGAGGATGATGCCCAATAAGAACAGCAGCATAAAGCAGGATACAGTCCAGTATAAATTGCAACTATTTAGCAATTATTAGTAACTAGGCCAATATCTTGTCCAGAGTCCAGAGTAATGAAGGTCATTATTCATTTTCTCTAGCTGTCCTGTTTTTTACTAATAAAACACATCAGCTGCTCTGGGATGCTTCATAAACACTGTTCCAGAGCATCCCTATAACAAGATCAATACCTTTTCCATCTGCCCAAGGAAGCAGTCAATGTAGTCTCGTGGATTTGAGGGGTCACAGTCCATTCTGTGCTCTTCTATCTTGGCTCGGACATAGTCAGTCACCTTGTCCCACAGACGGAGTATTTTCTGATGTGGTCCAGGCACTCGGCGCATGATCCATGGAAACATGTTATACAACTAGTAACAGAAAAAAGACAAGTGTTGGCCTTACAGAGCAAGCCACATAAAGACTGTGCACAATTCACTAAAGCACTAATCTTTCCTTTAGTATACTCCTGCAACAGAGAGCTGACATCTAGTCATGCTCCCATTAGGGCTGAACAATTTAAAGAAAATGTATAATTGCATTTTTTTAACCAATAAAGCAACTGCAATTTAAATTGTGATTATTTTCAATAAATTTAGATCCAGGTCTGTTTTTTTGTCTAAGAAAACCAGCACATTCACTTGAACGTAGTGTGCCAGACTGCCAGTTAGTTGAGGCTGTGTCATCATGTATACAGCACATGGGTGTTTGGTTGCTTCTGATTGGTCTCACTCATCTACAGGCAGTTCAAAAGCTGTGTGTTATTAGGTTCAATTTCCCCACTTCAAACTTGTTAAGGCAACGTTGCTGATAACATAGGCTAGAATTAAAATTGCAGTTCTTGTGATAAAAAAAAATCATCCCTAGCTTTCAAGTAGTTTATTCTATTTTGTTTAAATTTCCTATGCATGACACATTGGAAGGTGGGGTGAGGGTTTTAGGAGGCCTTTACTGTTGTATTTCCTTATAGTATGGCCAAAAGGGATAACATTTTCTTGGAGGCCCTTCTTGTTGTTGTTTCCTATGGTATGATCAAAAAAGCATAAGGGGTTTTTAGAAGTTTAATGCTGAGAGGAAGCTAGCAGGACAAGATACTCTCAGACTTACCACACTAGTAGTTTGGCCAGACCAGAAGTTTAACATGGTCATGCAATTATATGACTCACTCAGGTCTGGGTTTATGTACCTGAGCCCAGATGCTTCCCTCCAGAAACACAGCCTGGTTTATCGTTTTCAGCAGGCCTTGGAACTCACTGTCACTGTAGTCAAACCGATCGCCAAACACCAGGATGCAGATGATATTGGAGACAGCGTTGTTTATCAGGAACTGAGGATCAAAAGGTCTCCCTGGAAAGTTACCATTATATTATAGAATACACAGTAAATCACAATGAGTACTTTGGTATCAATTTTGTTTGAAGAAAAAAGCATTGTCAGTGAGTGCTACAGTTCTGGGGGCAAAGCTGTTAACATGTCTGGTTGTGCTGGCTTTGATGGCCCTGAATCTTCTACCAGAGGGGAGTGGCTGGAAGAGGTGATTACATTTTGGATAAGAACTATTAAAATCACTTTATTTAACCATACTTTTGAGGCATTTGCTAAGCATCACTTCCTCCTGAGCCACAATCACACTCTCAGACAGCCAGCTACAGCTAATGGGCTCTAAATCTCATTACTCATCACTCTGGTACAAAAACTAGGAATTCATGGAGTCCTGCATTAGCAGTAATACTGTCAGCATTTCGAAGGTAAATGTAGGGATGTGGATTAGAGGATTGGAAGCGTATAAACGAGGATTGCTAAGGGCACAAAAGTAGCCAAGCAACCCACACAGCATTAGGTAAACAGTAACTACAGTAATCTAATCTACACCTGGAACAATAATGAGTTTATCAACACTGGAGCCACAAACGCCAGAAATCACCAGCATATTAAAGTTATGCTGGTCATTATTGCTTCTGTGTGCAAAGCAGGAGAATCGAGTTTAGATAAGTTTTATGCTGAGCTCAGGTTGAGTAGCATGCAGGTGTCTCCTACTGCAGTGTATGAAAGAAGCTTATCAAACACCTCAGTTATTGTTCTTTTCTTAGGTTTTGGAAGCTTATATCCCCCCCTTCCACAGGAGTGAGATTCAGCCCACCTACAAATTAGTTGTGCCCATCTAAAATGCCAATTACAGTGCTGCTACTGGTGTGGCCACAATTTACATGGGATCCTATTTTTGAAGCCACAACTTAATGATTTCATTCCCACACCTTACTAAGTCAGGGTTGCAAGATTGCTTCTGTGGTTTCCAGCAAAAAATGTTCAAAATTCACCCTCAAAAAACACAATTATGAAAGATCAAAGATCAGCATTTTATTAAGTCTATTAATTAAAATAGTCCATTAAGTGACCCCTATTAGTCCGACAATGGGGAAATTTCACCTCTGCATTTAACCCATTCATGCAGTGAAACACCACATACACACTAGTGAACACTGTCACTTATTGTCACGAGTACAAAGAACCAAAAGCTTTCATGTAATTTTAGGACTTCCTATCTAACGTCTGAGAAATGCCTGGAGAAAGCAATTCAAGCATTTCAGATAAAATTAAAGGACATATAAATGATTTGATTTGTGTGTACCCACTACGTGCAAACTCATTAATGTTTTCAGAGTATTAATATTAGAAGTGTTTTTAATGTATTTTATATATAACACAATATCATAAAGGCAAATAAATAATTGAATATTATTGCATACAACAAAAGAAACATAACTCACACAAATTTTACAAACTTGCTTACCTTTATAGTCTACACTGAACAGATCATTCCAGCACAAAAATAATGAAAATGGGCTGTTTTGCAGCTTGGTTTGAATGGACTATATGGACTGGGAAGTGAATGTTATATTTAGAAACCTTTTAACATGCTACATTAAACTGTTTCAAAAAAAGACAGGAAACTTTGCTTTTGCATGATATGGGCCCTTTAAAGTGAGTTCCAAAGAGTCGCTTATCAGTTACCTCAACTTTGCTGGTTGGTGTTACCTTGTTCATGTGACATTGCTTCATTCAGGTAGTGGCATTCCAGGTGAATGGAGGGCTCCAGGCTTTTTTTTCCGAGTCCAAATTTCCGAAGGGTTGAAAGTGCAAACCTCCTCTGCTGCTTCCAGGCATATCCATTGGAGGCAACAAGCCCTGTATGACAATATATTGGCAAACAGTTAAATTACCTTTCCCTTTTTATGCACATGTACGTGTGAAACATTGTTAAAAACCAGTGGAAAACAAAAATAAATAAAAGCCAAAGCTGCACCACAGTAATGTTATGCAGCGTGATGGCAAATGAAGGTATTGTAACATCATATAAAAAGCATTGTGTTAAATAAATCAGTGTGGTCTACCTTTGTCTCCAGTAATGTCATAAAACAGTGCGGAGACTGGACGATCAACAAAGCTGTCCCCTTGGTTGACATACACTTCTTTTACCAATTTGTATCCATTCACAATAACAGCTCTTGGCCCAAAAATCTGAACGCTGAATATATTTCCATATTTTTCTGCAAACTGCAAAGAAAGGAGCAAAAGTGTAACACATTCATTTCAGCAGTGGATTCACACGAGACAAATGTATGAATAGTATGTGAACTACTATGCAGGCGTCCCATATGGGAGTCTTCTCACATAAATACATTGTTCTGTTCAAACTAGTGTGACAAAATGAACAAGAGACTACATACTTAAAAAGATGGCTATTCAAGGATTCTTTAGTAAAGGGAATGGTTCTATTTAGAACCACCAGTTCTACACACTTAAAAAGGATGGTTGTTCAAGGGTTCTTTAGTAAAGGGAATGGTTCTATTTAGAACCACGAGTTGTAAACACTTAAAGATGGTTCTTCAAGGGTTCTTTAGAAAAGGGAATACATCTGTTTAGAACCCCAAGTTCTACACACTTACAAAAGATCTGTCTTTAAGGGTTCTTTACTAAAGGGAATGGTTCTATTTCAAACCACCAGTTCTACACACTTAAAAAGATGGTTCTTCAAGGGTTCTTTGGTAAAGGGAATGTGTCTATTTAGAGCCACACATTCTACACACTCACAAAAGATGGCTCTTTAATAACGAAAATGGTTCTATATGGAGTTATGAACCCTCCAAGAACCCTTTGCATGATTAAAGGGTATGGGGTAGAGGGTTTTTTTGCATGATGAAATAGTTCTGTAGATTAATGGAGAATGTACTTTATGCGGTTCTATATTAAATATTTTTGAAAATGGTTCTGTGTAGCACCAAAAAGGGCTCTTCTATTCTTACAAGTTTGACATCATCACAATAGAAGAACCCTTTTTCGTGCTATATAGAACACTTATCTAAAAGGTTCTATATAGAACCATCTACAACACATTCTCTATTCATCTAAAGAACCATTTCACCATGCAAAGAACACTTTAATCATGCAAAGGGTTCTTTGGGTTTTCATGGTTCTACATAGAACCATGTTCTTTACTAAAGAACCATCTAATGTTTTTATATCTGCCTGAAATTTGTAAGTTGATGTGCAATTATATGTCTTGCTTCTGTAACACTGCAATTCCCCTGCGGGATCAATAAAGTTCTATCTATCTATCCAACTATCTATCTATCTGTCTGTCTGTCTGTCTGTCTGTCTGTCTGTCTCTCTATCTATCTATCTATCTATCTATCTATCTATCTATCTATCTATCTATCTATCTATCTATCTTCATGCTTAAATGGTTGTTTTATGGTGAAGTGGTTCTCCAGACTGATGGAGAATGTGTTGTATATGGCTCTATATAGAATCTATAGGCTGTGTAGTTACCTCTGCAAACTGAAAGTGGATCTTCGTCGGGTCGATGATGTGCAGGTTTCCTATAAGAGGCAGACTCAGCGGTCCGGGAGGGAAGTTCTTCGGTGGTTTATTCCTCACATACTCGAAAAGGACAAAAACACTCGCAAACACCAAAAAAATCTTGATGTCGATCCACTCGGTAAACTGCTGAATGTCTGTCATGTTTAAGATACGAAGAACGCACCGCTACAGAAGCCTGCAGTGGCCTCTAGTTACTCTTTCACTGTCCTTCTCCAGATAAGACAGTGTACAGTGGCCCACCCTGCTGTAAAAAACCTTAGAAACCATGAACAGTGTCTGAATAAAGATAAACAACAGTTCTGGCTATTCTGGGTCTCCAGTTCCACAATACACCTTGTGACCCTCCTCCAGGTCAGTCTATGGAGAACATATGGAGCAAAGTATCCAGTGGTGGTAGGTAGATCTGGCTGGTAAGTGCATGTGTGCATTCTGTAGTGCTCAAATTTAAGTCTGATAAGTATTTTGAGCCCTGAAGGAAATGAAAGGCTTATTCTTTTTATTAAGATGGTGAGAGTGCATGTTCATGCATATTATATTTCTGTATTTACTGTTATTGGTTTCTAATCTAGTACTTTTCCTCATTGGTTTTGCCTTTTTGTGTTCCTCTAATTATGTATTTTGAATTTTTGGTTCCTGTAAAGTACTTTTCCTTGAAAGTTGAGTTAAATTTAAGGTTGTGGTCCTGGTATGTCACCATTTTAGAAATTATGAATGGATATTTTTCATACACATCCAGTTTTTTTTCATCTGAGTCCTCCCCTTTTAACATTACCAGACAAATAACCTAACAACTTAAACTACAGAAATCTCAATCTTGAGGCAAAATAAGTGCCCAGAGAACTGAGAGGATGTTCTATAACAGATCCCATAGTAAGCCTAATCTTAGACCAAGAAGAATTTCCAATGGAGATTCACCGTTAGTGCTGTAATTTAGACTAAGCTTTCATGACTGGGAAATCAGCTCCAAGTGTGTCAACTGACCAAAGCACACACGAGTGGAAAAGCTGGAGATAATCCAGTCCTCCAAAACACCGACAGTAAATACTCCTTGTCCTACTCAATTTATGAGGTGACACATACTTGAACATTGACATTATTGAAGGGGAATGCCACTGATTTTTCACAATTTCTACCTAATTAAATTGCTAAGTGGTAAACAGTCATACAGGGTGGTTTGATGTGAAAATGTGCCTTTCTTAAGAAACTTAACCAGCCAGCATTGTTCACAGTGATAGTGATAGGAACCAGGCGTCTAAAGAATTTAAAGCCTCTAAAAGCTACATTGCAGAAAGTTATCACACAAAAGGATACAACGCTGCCTGAAGCCTGTTCGTTTGCTTTATGATAGTTTTGAGACAAGCTTTTGGCCTAAAGCAGATTTTTTAAATTCAGTTCATGGTGTAGAGCAGAGTGTGAAACTCAACCACTAATAGGGCCATATTAAAAAAAATGCAGCAAATCCGTCAGCCAGCTGTTTTTAATTTTGATTTTTACTTAACATTTTGCCATGACCTGAACAGGCCACTGTTTATTCAAAATATGCCAAAACTGCAACTGTTTTTTTAAAAAACTGCCTATTTGCTTGAACTAGACACCAGGCATCTTTTCATTTTGTGTAACCACTGGATCATAGATTGTTGTTCGGGGCATTGCAGTGCATGCTGGGAACTATTGTGCATTTCAGGGTGAAACGGGCTAATAAGAATAGAAAATTAAAATAATTTCATGGGCCGAATAAGTACTAACAAGTAATAACGTAATAAGTAATAACTTGTGTCACGGGCCTGACACAAAGGGTGTTGAGGTACATGCAGGTTGTTAAAAAAAAAACATTTACCACTGTTTCACAATCGTTACATGTGAAAACACACATGCAGGTCCACTGATTGTTTTGGATAGTAAATAAAATGGCTATATTTGAGTTCTAGACATTGTGACCCCTGGTTCCTATCACCACCACTGTAAGGAAATCTGAGTCAGTACGTTTCTCTACAATAAACCATTTCATATCAAACCACTCTGAATGGCTTTGTGTACATCTTATTGATTGATGTACAAAGTTTGAACAATTGGTGGAATTTTTAACTACTGTCTACTATTTTCGGTGCAACACAATTCAACACAATGTTTACTCAATACTTTCACTCTTTATTTTTATTGTGATACATGTAAATGCTGATCTGTGGCTTTCTCCCACAGATCTCCCAAAATTATTTACAAAAGCTTTCAAAAAAACTTAGTGCTAATTTATGTCAAATGCATATCCTGACAAGTTTCATTGATATATATCTATTGCTACATCTTATGCTCCCCATAGCAGATAGGAAGTAAATAAACGGAATCAGCAGATATCAAAATATCTGGTAATTATCAAAATATCATGGTGCCTCTATTATGATACTATCCAACATGAAACCCCAGACATGGAAAGACACAGATCTATATATGATAGGGATGACTTGTCATATCTGTTTTTACTTAAGGAAAACAACTGTCTCATGTTTTAAGCTACAGATTTATCAGCGACTAAGCTATGCAGTGACTATGCAAAGCTATGCTAAGCAAGTCTAAGGATGATGTAATTTCTGCAGTTACAGAGCTGCAGTGATTGATAAAGATAACAGCACCTTAGGCCCATGTAAAACAAGCATGCTACAAAAAATCATCAAAATCCTTTAAAAAGAAAACAAAAAAAGAAAATCCTTCTTTTCAATTATGTGCATGTAAGTTCAATATCTCAGCGTGGAAAGGCACAGAGCTGGTATGGTTTAGGGCTGTGTGTGGCCCCTAATATGTACTCCAGAAGGGGCTCGACACCCTCTGGTGGTCTGAAAGTGAAGCGCTGAAGCAGAGCGGTGAAGAACAGGAAGAGCTCCATACGAGCCAGCTGCTCACCTAGACACACCCTCTTTCCTGGAAAAAATATAATTTACAGCATCATTAACAACAGCTACTTCAAAAAATACTGTTATAGTAAAAATAATAATGCAATGGATGGAACACATTAACACATTTTCCATGAACTTCTGGGTTCCAGCGAAATGTTTCTAAACCAACAGTCTATGACCACAGTTTACCGAGTTTACTTACTTAACTCTTTATTCAAAGTTGGCAAACTTTGTGTTCATATAACACAATTATAACCAATTTCTTCATAATCATTCAAACATTTAAGAACACAGTCACAGGCAATGTATTTTGGTCATGTATATATGGACCGTTCTACCAAATTAGTTCTAACTACAGTTCCAGAGTTTTAAAAAAATCTATTTAAAAACAATTAAGTATTATTATTATTGTTTCATAAGAATTAAGCTATGCTCTATTCAGTGAGATGGTAATAAGCTGAATATATACAAAACCATCATTTATAGGGTACTGATTATATATATATATATATATATATATATATATATATATATATATATATATATATATATATATATATATATATATACACATATATATATACATACACACATGAAAGAATATATGTACATGAAAACGTGGGATAGCAACACACGCCCACACACACACACTAATATATATATGTGTGTGGGCGTGTGTGTTGCTATCCCACGTTTTCATGTCCTTACTGAACCACAGAGTTTTAGTCTATAGGCAGTGCCTCATTTGAGCCACACCCCTGCATTTCAGAGCAGGAAGTGAGATGGCAACCCTGCATGGTGAGCAATTAGATCCCACTGTTTTGAAGGAAATGTGTTCCGAAGTCTAATAATTAGTGTGTAACCTTAAGAACTGTCAATAGCGAAAGTGCGAAGGTTACTGAAATCGGGCAGTTTCAGGAAGCCTGCCTCTGTCTCTACCTCACCTGTCCTGCAGTGACCACATACTCTCTCCTCTCTTGGTAACCAAGACTTTTTAGTCTTGAGAATAATGTCAGGTTCACCTTACCCAGAGACAGTGACAAGACTGAGTCCAAATGACGTAGAGAGCAAGACAAGACCAAAGTCCTTAATTAACAGTCTTGAGTACTACACCACCACTAGCTAAATGAAGAAGGGCTTTCATCCTAATTCTGTAAGGCTAAATAACTCAAATTTTCTTTTATTTCAAACTGTAGCAATACAACAAGAGCATGAATATAAAAGAAAATCTACTGCACCTGCAGAAAAAGGAATGAAGGCATCTCTCCTCTTAAAGTTTCCATTAGCATCCAGGAAATGGCCTGGATTAAAGGACCGAGGTGTCTCCCACTCCGTTTCATCAAACAGAACAGATGTCAAGCTGCCAACCACCATTGTGCCCTGCAGAAAAAAGGACACCATCATTGATAACTGTCACATGAATTATTACAGCTTTGTTCAACACTGAATGAACTGAAACTTCTTTTGAATACAGTCTTGCATTAGAGCAACAGAGCCTGACCGATATATTGATACTGATTTACATCAATTGATGTTATACGATTTGTATTAACTGATATTGGTCCATATCAGTATCAGCGAAAATGAATAATGACCCCCTGTTTCACTTTGACAGCAACGCAGACTGAACAGGTACATTTGAATTTCAAACCATTATGGTTCAAAGAAAACAAACATGTAAAATGTATCCAAATCTAACTTTTAGCATGAGAATAACAAAAAAAGCCATTTTCAGTGAAGACAGGTAATGAAAAATAAGAGGTAATTAACACTAACAAGTGCTACAATATTATATTATTTAAGACTATGAGATTCTGCTGTTCTGCTGAGAACTGACCATCATATCAGTCAGTACAGCATGGCTTAACTAAAACTACTCAGTTCCAAAATTAAATGACAAAATTTAAATATTAAGTCATATCAGCTGATATCATTGTTTATTGGAATTTTCGGCCCCATTAAATCAGTATCAGTATCAGTACTGGCCACAAAATGCTCTTATCAGTTGGCCCCTAGTGTGTATGCATATAGATAACATCTGATCAAACTCACTTTTGGGATTGAGTATTCTTCTATCTGGGTGTCTTTTGTGGCAGCCCGGACCACGTTGAGTGGAAGGATGTTTCCCATCCTCTGGATCTCATGGATAACAGCGTTTGTGTAGTGGAGGTTCTCTCTGTCCATCACAGATGGCTGTCGTGAAGACCCCACCACCCGGTCAATCTCAGCCTGAACTTTGGCTAAATTTACAAGATATAAGCTGTTTGCAAAGCACTGCATGACCCAAAAAAAGACTTTATCTGTAAACAGGTGAGGAGTGTTTCCCTAACCAGAAGAGCTTATATATGAACAGAAATATGAAGCTTAATATGAGCTTAGATATGAACACAATGAATATTAGAGTAGATGGCTAGACAAATTATTTTGCACTGACCCTGTATTTCAGGATATTTGATCATGTACAGCAGACCCCAGGACAAAGTTGTGGCTGTGGTCTCAGTCCCAGCCACGAAGAGATCCAATGTGCAAGAGCACAAGTTTTCCATATCGAAACCAGCCGCCTCGTCATCTTTCCACTGCAGAGAACATGTTAAAAAGCTGTGAATGAATTGAATCTAATTAGAATGAGGTGTACTGCAAACCTTTGGACATATAGGGCTGGTTTCCAGACATGGATTAAGCCTAATCTTAGACTAAATTGCAGTGCCAATGTTCAATCACCACTGGAAATCTTCTTTAGATTTGAGAAGAATAGCTCAGCCAGACTGCACTGAAGTCCCTGTATATACTAATTTATAAGCTTTAGTATGTAGTAAGCCTAGGATTCTAAGATTTAAGTAATTTTTTAAATGGAGACACAATATTATGGATGTATTATAATTCTAAAATTTATGTATTTAATTATTCATTTAGCTAGTTAGTATATTATGAACCGCTTTAATTGCTTAAATGGATGCGATGCCTCTGTAGTGTAAGACTAGTAAAACTATATAAACTAAATTTGTTTTTTACAGTTAATGTGTGCCTTGGCCATTTTAATCTTATAAAAAGAGTCAGCAAAGAATCAGATTACGATCATGTTTCATTGCATTTTATTCCATTTATGACCCACGATCAGCATTTTAATCTCAGATGGTTTATGAGCAATGGCCCTGGGTTAATATTGACAAAGCAACTCATTGCAGGAACACAGATCTAGGATTAGTTTCTTAGATATGTGATAATGTTTCCCTCCAAAAATAGCCAAGATGATGTTTCAGGAGCAGAACATCGCTGTATACCAGCCCAAGTCTAATTTATTGTTTTTTTTTTAATTGCAACAGCACCAGTCCTTAGAATGATACTTACTTTTTCCATCTCAACGAGGTAGCAGTCAATATAGTCTCGCGGGTTTGAGGGGTCATAGTTCACACTGTGCTCTTCTATTTTACGACGGGCAAAGTCAAACAACCTCTTCCACAAAGTGAATATTTTTTGGTGAGGTCCAGGAGCTCTGCGCATGAGCCATGGGAGCATGTTATACAACTGGAAACAAAAGGAGACAAGTATCGGCCTTGTGAAGCACACTTCTTTACTGCTTAATCACTGCCCCATTGATGCCTGGCAACTGTTTTGAGGTACTGAGTACACAAAAAGCATTTACTCAGTTCAATGGCAAGAATATTAATTTTGCCCTGAACATTTATCTTAACAAATTTTCACTACAGTGAAAGGAAATAAAAAATTAAGTCCTTTAACGTGACCTGATAATAATGCTTGGTGCACAAACTACCTCTTGGTTGCCATGTGAGTGCATATACCTGACCCCAAATGCCTCCTTCAAGAAGCACAACTTCGTTAATCGTCTTCAGCAATATTTGAAACTCGCTGTCACTGTACTCAAACCGATCGCCAAACACAAGGACAGAGATCACATTGGAGACAGCACTGTTCAACAGAGCCCGAGGGTTAAATGGCCGTCCTGGAAAAGAAACAACATTGATTGTAAAGCTGGTAATGCTATTTCTAGTTCACTGACCTCTAATAATTAACCAGCTTTCAATGTTAATATGACAGTTCCAGTCAATTCGTACAACATGATTAATATATGTGAACATTTATAAAAAAAACCCAGATGAGGCCCACTATGGTCACCCTAAATTTGGCCAACAGTATGATTTAGCGTGGTTCTTGTTTATTCAGTGAGCTTTTGATTAGCTGTGTACCCAGGGAGTTACTTGAATCTGCAAGATACTGTGTGATAGTAGAGACCAAAGACACTTCTTTGTTGTGAAATTATTCTTTTTAACTGCATAAAATAAATATGTCATAAACATGGTGTATCTGGAATTACAGACATTGATTTATTGTAGGCCCGGTTTTTGTTTTTTCCAACAAAAGTAGACACTCTCTGTGCAAAAGTTCAAGCTCCCTGTGGCCTATCCACATGAGGCCTGAGCCCACAACTGATTTGCACAGGGTCTGCAGGGTCCTTGTTTGCTAGATATACATGTGCTGCAAACACACAAAATAATTTCAGACTCTGTTTTGTTTTGGTGCAAGTAGGATTCACCAACTAGCTAAGTGCAAGGAATATGTTTGTGTTACACATGTGGAAAATGTAGAGTAATGAAAATACACCAGAAAAAAAAACCAAGTAACAAATAATGTTTTCAAGTAATTTTACAGGAGAAAGCAATAATGTTCTAAACTTGAAATGTATGTTAACGTAAAGAGATTTTATTTCATGTAATTCTGTAGCATTTCTACTGGTCCCTTCATCATGGACTTTTCATGCACTATAAAGAACAGCTGCTGTGTTTGTGATGTAGAACAATAAAAACTGGAAAAAAAATATTGAGACGTGGACAGTCACAATACTTTGAATTGTATGTGACCTTGAAACTTCCTTACTCCGAGGTCAAGACCTCGTTACCTGCAGTCACTTATATCTGATTATCATTACTGAAAAAAGCCTGTGTGTGTGTGCATTACAGTCAACTGAGTATTAAAGACCCACGTGGTTGCTGACTGTGGAACACAATACACTCTTTAAAATAACTCTGAATTGGTTTACAGTATACGAACAACTTACTTTTATAAAGTCTGAAATAACTCATTTTTATAAGTTTTAAATAGCTGTTGTTACCTTGTTCATTTGATACAGCTTCAGTCAGGTAACGGCATTCCAGATGGATGGAGGGCTCCAGGCTTTTCTTTCCCAGTCCAAAGTGCCGAAGTGTTGAGAGTGCAAACCTCCTCTGCTGCTTCCATGCATATCCATTGGAAGCAACAACTCCTGTTTGTCAAACAATTTTCAGTCAAGTTTTGCCTCCCAATTGTTTTTTCTTGTTATGCTATGCTAATGCATAACATAATGCATGCTTGTCTGTTGCCCTTTACATTGTGTGTAAATTTCATGATAAATGGACCAAAATTACTTGGAAAAAAGTCTGGTTCTTCTGATGTACATTAAAGTATGTTTTTTCCTTCTCCTGTAAACCATTTTGGAGATTAATCATCAAACAATATGTCACAAAGGTAAACAGTAAATAACAAACCTGAGTACAATAAACACTCTAGGAAAGAAAACTCAAAAAAGAAACCTCAATATCTCTGTAGATTCTCCCAGAACACAATGAGATCAGATGGAAAAACAAAGGAGACTTTTGCTTCAGTCTCCTGCTGCTCAGACATTTATTACACAAGTGCCCAGTAATCTTACGTCTCCTCGAGATTCAGCTGAGATTCCAGTAAGGTCACACATTGTGCTCAGATTTGCCAAAACAATAATAACACTTTGTTTATCTGCAACTTTAACTCTCATTTCATCCTTATCTCCCCTGTGTCTCATCTCTCCTTGTTGTCTAATGCTATTTCTCCTAAGGACTTTTAGAGGAATCACCTTTACGTCTCCTGAGCCATCAAAGAGCAACTTTTCAGCAATAAATTTTTTCTCTGGGCTACAGTGTATCAGCACGGGGAGATTAAAGGACATATTACAACTGATTGACTTAGTTCATTAGTCTTACCTTTATCTCCGACAGTATCACGAAGCATAGGGACATCTGGGCGATCAGCATAGTCCTCCCCTTGGTCAACATACACCTTTTTCACTACCTCGTATCCATTCAGCACAACAAGCCTCGGTCCAAACATCTGAATACTGAAAACACTCCCATATTTTTTGGCATACTGAAAATGGTGAGAACACATTACAAATGAATCACCATAAAATCGAGAAGCACTCTTGAGGTCACATGCACTTTTTTCCTTCACTCATCGTTTCACAAAAAAAGATGAAGTTAACTGTCCATAAAGTGAGTTCATGAGTCCTACAATTTACTGAACACTGAACTAACACTGAACTAACACAGAGGTTAAGAGGCCTTCCTGAGGGAAACTGGGTCTATTAGAGCAGGACACATAACACAACATGCAGAGAAATGTTGGGAAAAGACAGACAAGAAACTGCATCAAATGTTCCAGAAACTACAACAAGCACAAGACATAACATTCTTCTGCTTACAAAGGGCTAATTTCTCGGTTGTAATGTTTGTGTAATACTCTCTTTTGAAGGATTTAATCCTCTCTTAGCGGTGCCTTTATAAACTCTCCCTCCTCTGGCTGTTGTGTTGCCAGCTGATCTCTGCCTCATGAGAGTTGTGGATGCAACGCCTCATGGGTATTGTAGTTTTTGTGACGCATACTCAAGCGCTCACTGCACAGAAAACCCCTCACTTTAAAACTAGCCTACTTTCAGAAAAGTGCCATTTGAACGCAGAAAAACGTGTTACTAATCGAATTTCAGTGACGGGGCTGAAGTTGGTTTCCTATTTGCCAGGCTTTAAATCGAATTTTCCCGTTCCACCTTAAATGGTGCAGCAGTTACGTTCTGTTGCCTTCACCACCCGCGCCAGAATCGAACTGCTGCACCATTTAAGGTGGAACGGGAAAATTCGAACAAGTAGCTGTCGAATAGGAAGCCAAACTCAGCTTCGTATTCCAGTCGCTTTAGTTTAAAAACAAAAAAGACAGAAATGTCAGTGCAGCTCAGCATCAAGCGGCTGCTTCAGCAGTGAAAACATACAAAATGTCACCCCTAACTGGTCTAACTGAAGTGATATCTGAGCTAAATGCGCGTTAAATGACACCGTGTTACACAGACTAGCCGACATTGTTGTCAGGCTATAGATTAAAGCATTAACTTACCTCAGACAGCTGAATGTGAAACTTCTCGAAATTGAATTGAGGAACGTTTCCTATGAAAGGCAGACACAGCGGTCCGGGAGGGAAGTCCTTCGGCGCTTTATTCCTCACGTAGTCGAAGAGAAGTAAAAAGACACAGGAGAACACTAACAGGCTCTTCGTGTCGATCCACAAGAGCAGGTCTAACAGCTGAGTGACCGCCATGACGGACCCTCTGAGTCTGTCAGTGGAACAAAGATCAGGCTTGTAAATAAACACAGTGTGCGCGGAAGCTGCGGCTGACATTAGATGACCTGGCTTTAGATATGAACGATATTACCGTGTTTATCCGTGGAAAGGCAGCGCACATTAAAGCTCTTTTCATATCAGTAAACAAAGAGGTGGGAAAAGTGCCAAAGAAATGTGATGGTGGTGTGTTAGTGTGTTGTGCTGGTGCGAGTGGATCAGACACAGCAGTGCTGCTGGAGTTTTTAAACACTGACTGTCCACTTGTCAAACACCTTGTCAGTCCACCTTGTAGATGTAAAGTCAGAGACGATAGCTCATCTGCTGCTGCACAGTTTGTGTTGGTCATCCTCTAGTCCTTCATCAGTGGTCACAGGACGCTGCCCACAGGACGCTGTCGGCTGGATATTTTTGGTTGGTGGACTATTCTCAGTCCAGCAGTGACACTGAGGTGTTTAAATACTCCAGCAGCACTGCTGTGTCTGATCAACTCAGACCAGCACAACACACACTAACACAGCACCACCACCACGTCAGTGTCACTGCAGTGCTGAGAATGATCCACCACCCAAATAGGACCTGCTCTGTGGGGGTCCATGGGGGTCCTGACCACTGAAGAACAGGGTAAAAGGGGGCTAATAAAGTATGCAGAGAAACAGATGGACTACAGTCTGTAATTGTAGAACTACAAAGTGCACCTATATAGTAAGTGGAGCTGATAAAATGGACAATGAGTGTAGAAACAAGGAGGTGGTCATAATGTTATGCCTGATCGGTGTGTATGTATGTGTATATATATATATATATATATATATATATATATATATATATATATATATATATATATGGCTGAAGAATAGATTACAATTAGTTATAGTTACTGTTACAGTCACAGTTACACAGATGAGGTAGTTTACAGTTGCAGTGTTGATGCACAGTAATTAAGTACCTGATGCAGAACAGTATTGTTCAAAAGAGCATTACCAGTGCAGAATAAGCAGTAATAAAGTCCAGTGCAGATGACACAGATGTACAATTTTGCATGAGGGACAGATAAATTATGCAGACTTGTCTCAGTGAATTTATACAGTAGTGCTGTGAATATAAGGTTAATGCTTCTAGAGGTTTACACCTGTGTATTGGATAAATATGCTACATAAATACACTGAAGTCCACACCTGCTTTACAACTTGCTGTCTGTTTACAAAAGGGCTGAATTAATAAGCTTTTGGGTGAAAGTGGTAAATGCAGGGTGTTGTAATGCAAAATTATATCCACAGAAACATATATTTTTCCAGATTTACCATTATTTTTCCATTATCAACATCAAATGTAAAACCTCCAAACTCAGAAGACACGTAGTTTCACTTACTGTCTCTTTTTTCACTTACTGTCTTACTGTTTCACGTACTACTCTCACTGTATTTGCGTTGTAGACATTGTGACCCCTGGTTCCTATCACCACCACTGTAAGCAAATCTGAGTCTGCATGTTCATCTACAATGCATCATTTCACATTAAACCATTCTGATTGACTTTGTTCACACCTCAGTGACTGAATAATGCAGAACATTTGAAAAATGTTTGCAAATTACCTTTAAAGTATAAGATTAATCATATAGACATGAGTATATCTGTCAAAGCAAATAATATGGTAGAAGATTTTTCAGAATGCTAAAATAAGTGAATAACTATTTTACTGCGAGTATTTACTACGAAAGGAACAAGTTGTGTCTATTGTTAACTTTCAGTTTCATTAAGTGGTTTTTAAGCTGTGTAGATTAAAAATGAGTTTATGAAATGGTCATGTTTAACTTTTCAGACGGTCGCCAAGTGATGTCCGTTTTTTTTTTTTACAGTTGATCAATCACAGTGAGAATGAGACGGGTGGTTTCCCATAGCAACAACAACAAAATTGTAAAGAAACTATTCATGGAATGACAGAGTGCTGATTCAAATATTTATTTGACAGTGAGTATAAGGATGAATTGTTATGTGTCCAAAAGTTAGTGGACAGGTGCACATCCATATTTTCTCTGAAATCAAGGGTATTAATTTTTTTTTTTATTAAAAGTGTATTATTGACTCCTTTTGCTGCAGTAACAGCCTCTACTCTTCTGGAAGTACTTTACACTAAATCTTGAAAAATTGCTGTAAGGATTTGATTGCATGCACAAGAGCATTAGTGATGTCAGGTACTGATGTTGGATGATTAGTTCTGGATCACAAACTCCACTCCAACTCATCCCAAATGCAGCTCCATCGCTCCAGAGAACACAGTTCCACTGCTCCACAGCCCAATGCTGGGGGACTTTACAGGCATTTGGCATGGTGACCTTAGGCTCATGTGCAGCTGCTGTAGAGTGTCCCATCCTATTGGTAATGCTTTTCTTTGGAGGTTATACAAGCTGTGTGTGTGCAATTGAACGCTTGTGTCAATAGGAGCACCTTAAAGTAGCAGAATTTACTAATTAGAAGGGGCTTTTGGACATACAGTGTAGCTACGACATCACTGAAATAACCCATGCCTAAGCCTGGTCAGCTAAATGATAGCCAGCTAAATGATAGAGCAATAACTCTAATCATCGAGTTCGAGTCCATCTGACATATTGTCAACTATTAGTTAATGGGCAAGTGAGTTAGTTAGTCTGGGCAACCGAATATGTGTTTACATATCTATGTATCCATTAATGTGTGCACGTGTTTGTTATCTGATTGACTTGTTGAATCCTGTAAATAACAGAGCTCAAGTCCATATTGTGAAGGAGCATTGTCCTAAATTGCCGTTAGTTTATGTTGTGGGTACTGAGAATTTTGTGTTTCTGTATATCTGCAATTGCCTGGGTTGTTGTTCTATCTTATGGTGCTATATGAGGTTCGAGAGCCATCTACTGGTTAAACTAAGTATTGACACATATTGTTGTACTTCATGTTAATTCCCTAATGTTTATTATTGTATAAGTTTCCTATTGCTTTATAGGAAACCACACACATTTTATTATTTCATTGTACGAGTTCAGAAGTTTCCCTGTTCAAGTTGTGCGGTAGTGGCAAACTCTTCAATAAAGGGATCAAGCTTATATTTGGACTTGTGATTCTGACCAATCACCTGTGGTGGGCTAGCGCTCCTGAATCCGGCACATCAGTTGTAATTGGAGTAGCCAGAGTCAGCCATTCCTTCAGTTCAGCGTTACAAGCAAAAATACAAATTTGCATCCATTCATCCACAAAAGAGAGCTCCAGAACAGCAGAATGTACAGGTGATGCTGGGCTACTGTGCCAAAGGTTCTGCATTTTATTAGATTTACTGTATTTGTAACTCTGTACAAAAAAATGTACATTCATAATGCTAATCCAGGTTGATCCAGACCCAATTTCTGCATATCATTTATCAGCATTGATATCGGCTATAGTAGAAATGTACATGAAAATTTTCAGCATTGGCCACCAATTCCTGTATTGGCACATCCCCTGCATAGCACAAAGCTCCTTTGGTCACAGATCAACAATGACAAAAAAATCATCCATAGATTATTTGGTTACAATATTTTTTGTGAGCTGACTATTACTACACTGCAAAAAATGTCTTGGAGAGTGAAATTATCTTAAATCTAGTTGACGTATCTAATATTTCTCACATTTTGAGACTGTTTATTGTAGATTATTATAATCTTATTGGAGATTGTTTAGCTTGTTTCTAGAAGTTTTACTTGTGACTTTATCAAATGAAATTCTCAAAATATTGGCATATAACTGTACTTGTTTTGCTTGTCTATATATATTTCTTATATAAATTTAAGATAATTTCTTCACTTGCAGAGGGTTAATAATGTAGAAAATATGTAGAGGGTTAATAATGTAAATAATTGCTTACATCTAGATTTAAGATAATTTCACTTGCCACTCTTTTTTGCACTGTATTCTAGAAAACTGGATGTTGTTTGTGGAAACTATGACAGACAGCTTAAAAAGTTAAAAAGAGACAAGTTAACAGTCAATTTTGCCTGCCTGAAATGAGAAGATTCAATAAAAGGTAAACATATTCCACCAGCAACAGGCAGTGATATACAAAGATGAAATGAAACATATATAATGTAACAAGAGTGACTGTTTTAAGAGACACTTCCCTTTTTTTTGACTCACTGAATCAGTGGGTCTTTAGTCCTTTTGAGAAAGTGACTGGATCCGGGGACTAGCCTTGATTCTAAAAGGCTTTGGACAGAGTGTCACACCAAATTCAAAGTCCAAACTAGGTTTGGTTCCCGCTGGAGAGGACAGAGTGAAGGCTTGCAGGAGAGAAGTGAAGAAAATAAACAACTCCATGCGAGCAAGTGACTCACCAGGGCAAACTCTTTTACCTGTAAGGAGAAAATGACCATCGACATTCAGTCATTCAGACACAAATTTGATATGATGTCAATCCTGGCTGTTTGGGTAGCGCTCAGCAAGTGACTCTTATCTAACTGCAAGTCAAATAAAGCCTGCCAATCATAAAGTAGACCTAGTACCCTTAGTATCCTATATGTACCTAGTACCTTTAGTATCCTATAGATACCTAGTAACTACAGTATCAATAGTTTTTTTTTCTCAGGCGTGCAATGCTGTGCTTCTCATGCAACACAGCATGGCACCTCTCATTCATAATCATACTGAAAAACCTGTAATCCACTTACCAGCTGAGAAGGGAAGGAAAGCGTCAGGTTTGATGAACTCTCCCTGAGTGTTGAGAAAGTTCTGAGGGTCAAACGAATGAGGAGACTTCCACCAGGTCTCATCGAACAGCACTGAGGTCAGGTTGGGGATGACCAACGTACCCTGTTAAAGAAAAAGTAATGTATTTATCAGGAGGGCGCTGGTCTCAGAGGCCTGGCATCCAGCACAGTTTGGTGGTTTCACTGCTCCAACCCACCTACTAAACCCCGTAATTAACTGATGAGTTGAATCAGGTGTGTTTCTGGACATAAGCGCTCCAGGACAAGAACTGAGGGCCCCTTTTTCAGTATGCTTGGTGTCAGTATGAGATGCCAGAACTTCAAGAAGCAAAAAGTTAACTTTTAACTTAACTACATGTTTCCCTCCATGAATCCACACAGTACTGTGCAAAAGTCAGAGACCGCCCTTCATTTAATTTCCAGTCAAAGTGGCCATTAAGTACAAGTTATTCATTTACCAATGTTAAGGGAAAAAAAACAAAAACCCAAACATGTGCAACAAAAAATTACACAAAAGCCCCAGCATCTAACTAGACTTTAGAGTGTGGCCACACTTTGCACTTCACACTTTTTTACAGCTTCTGTTCTATTTCGTTCTTTTCTTTCAGCTTCTCATACCTGCAAAGTTCAGACTAAGAGGTTGGTTGCATTTTGTACTTCTCATGATCCAAATAATTCCAAACCACTTTCAGTGATGTTGAGGTCTGGAGAGCCATTTTTGCTATATCTTTCCATAATTTTTTGAGCTCCAATCTTTACTTTTTTCAATAATTTTCCTTTAATCTTCCCTTTACTTATGGAGCGTATTACTTTATATCGGATGTCCTCAGAAATATCACTTAAAAATAAGTAACTTAGACCTAATGTTTCTTTTGACTGGAAATGAAATAAATGAAGGGTGGTCTCTGATTTTGCACTGTAAATAATTATCTGTATCTACCATAAACAGCTTCTATGTTCATGATTTGTAAAAAAAAAATACTGGATGTACTTTCAATTATGGAAATACAGAAATTAAACAAAGGGTGTATTGACTGTTTCTTACTTTTGGCATATAATATCCCCCCAGTGTTGTGTGCTTATTGGTTATTCTTGGAACATTCAGAGGAACAATGTTGCCCATCCTCTGGATCTCATGAATGACTGCATCAGTGTAGGGCATGTTGGGTCTGTCAGCCATGCTGGGTCGGCGTGAGTGTCCAATCACTTTGTCTATCTCTGCCTGCACCTTTTCTGAAAAGAGAACATAACAACCTTTGTCATATGGCATGTTATGAAGACCAGTTTGAGTGTGTTTTTGAATCTGTTTTTCCAGGTTCTCCACCTGCATTGGATGTTCTCACGCCATTAAATGGACATAATAGCCAGGTTTCGCCTCCTTTTGTAAGGGCCCAGCCTGCGTCGCCGGCAACGAGCAGAGGGCGACGGCAGCAAGGTGCCTTAAGTTCATGGAACTCCAATTCCCAGAAGCCCTCGGGCTAATTAGGCCCAACCTGGAACACCTGTGGACTCCTCTACTTAAGGATGTGGCAAATAGCAGCACTTTGTCACACCTTTGTAGAGGGGTGACTGGTACGGTACTTAGCCCAGGTGGGTGTTTGAAAGGAAAGGAAAGGAAAGGAAAGGAAAGGAAAGGAAAGGAAAGTCTTTCCCAGTCATGTCTAGTTAGTCTTGTGTATATGTAGCCTTTGTGTTTCTTGTCAGTGGCCTGTATCACAAGGCATGTTAAACTAAGTCAGGGTTCCTGTCAAGTGTCAGCTTTGCAAAACCTAATAAATACAACTGTTAAATAAACCTGTTTTCTGACAGTGGCCCTGTCATAGAGCTGCCACTGTTTTCAAGCCTGATTTAGCCTACCTGAATCCTGGTTAAACTATCTCTCGTATTCAGTTAGTGATGTACACAGGACTTCCAGAAGGCCTAGAGTAAAACTGGACTCAACAAAAGGAAACTAAAATGTGACTGGTTGATTCCACTGTCAGTATGTTAGTGGTTAATCTGACACGTTATGCCTCCAGTTCAGTTCCTGAAGGTCTAACCAATAAGAGAGCACGCTTCACCATATCTATTTAGATACCACAGAGAGAAAAAATCCTGATAGGACAATTTTCCCTTTCAAGAGCTTAACACTTTTGTTTCTAGTCTAAACTTAAGTCTAGTAGTACAATATGTGTTTAACTACAGGAAGCAAGGGGGCTCCCGAGTCATCAGGAGATTGCAAGTTCAATCCCCAGTGACACTACAGCCATGTGTGGCTGGGAGTCCAAGAGAGCACAATGAATGAGTTGGAGTGGCATTGCTGATCCAGAACTAATCATCCAACACCTGTACCTGTACCATCCACTACCTGAAATCATGCAATCAAATCCTCACAGCAATGTTGCAACATCTAGTGTAAAGCCTTTACAGTAGAGGCTGTTACTACAACAAAGGGGTAAAAAATGTATTTTCAGGAGGAACATTGGACGAGCAGGTGTCTATAAACTTTTGAACATCCAGTGTAGGGCAGGGCGATTAATCAAATTTTATTTTCAATTATGATTTCAATTTTTGCTTTCAAAAATTATGAAAACAAACGAATCAATATAAAATGATGCAAATGGCGCTGCATTCCGTATCATGATGATGCTCGTTTCATCTCGTGTTATAAAGTTGCCTTCCCTAAAAGCCCATCTTATTCTGGTCTCATTTATTTTTATTTATTATTATTATTATTAGCAGTAGTAGTAGTAGTAGTAGTAGTATTAGTATTATTATATATGTCTGTAGGTTGTGGACTACAATATAGTTGATATTTGTTTTGATTTCATTAACTTTTATTATTTTAGTGTTTTTAGATGAATGATTTAAATATAAATGTACATGTATATATTTTGGATTCTTTAATTTGTTTGACATTTATTTACTTTTCATTTAAATTATACTGAACATTCAAGAAAATCCACTGTTAAAAGAAAAGCTTTTTTACAAACTTCAATAAATGAATGTTTCCAAATCAACGAGTAATTGTGTCAAATAACCAGGATTTCAATATTGTCAAAAAATAATCATGATTATGATTTTTGCCAATAATCAAAGAGCCCTAATATAGTGCAGCACGGTTTTAATTAAACAGATGAAATAAATTTTAGCTGTATACAGTAAAAACATGTTTGCAAATACCTAAATCTATATTTGACTTATGCAAACTATTAACATTAATGATTTGAATTATTTGAGCTGAATTCTTTATTGAGCACAAGAGAATAAAGTGTTCCACCAGCTGTTGACTCCTGCTTTATTGAACATGGAGACTGAGAGGTTTCCTACCTTGGATTTCAGGGTACTTCATCATATATACGAAGGCCCACAGTAGAGTGGTTGAGGTGGTTTCAGTCCCTGCCATAAACAGGTCCAGTACGGTGTAGCACAAACCCTCAGAATGAAATCCTGCCTCCTGATCATCTTTCCTCTTCAAGCCATGGAGAGACAACACTTTGTTATTGTGGGATTATAATGAACATAATCACTCATGATTTTAAAGATTGAACTAGCCATGTAATTGGTCCTTAAAAATATGTACATTGTTGAGAAATCATAGGTACCTTCTCAATCTCACTAAAGTAGCAGTCTATAAAATCCCTGGGTGACAAGGGGTCCCATTCTGCACGATGCTTTTCAAACTCTTCTCTCAGAAAAACACACAGTTGTTGAATATATGAGAACATCGTTTTATGGGGTCCGGGGACGAGGTCCATAAAGCGAGGGAATGAGTTGTAAAGCTGAGATGGAAGAACGAACAGTTAGAGTTAGATTTGTGTGGTTATTACTCAGCTTTGGTGTTTCTGTTTCATAATTTCCCTTCACATTCATTTACGTTGACAGTGTAACTTAAAGCTGAAAACCTTCAGACCTTGTGACAAACCAACTCTTTCACTTGTGAAAAATTAAGATTTACTGTATGTTGATTGTACGGCAGTTGTCTGTAACATGATATGAAATTAATGTTGAATACTGACTTGTATGTGAGTGACAGTTAATTGCGACAGGAACTCAATAACCCAGGTTTCAACACATCTGGAGCAAGTCCTGTTTATATAAGCTTATTATTTTGTGTGAATGCTGTCGTTACCTGTGCCCACAGTGATCCTTCCAGTTTAAGGGATTTTGACATCAGATCGAGCATGTTCAGGAACCTCTCGTCTGTATATTCAAACCTTCTGCCAAACACTAGAGAACAGATGATGTTTGAGACAGCATTGTTGATAACAAAGTGAGGATCGAAAGGTTCCCCTAAAGAAAACGGAAGGAAAAAGACGAGAATTAAGGCACAAGGTTAATTCAAGGTCAGTAAGGATAAAAGGCACTATACATGTACTCAAGTGAAATTTTGATAGGTTTACACTTCTTTGCAAGCACTTTTGGGGAAAAAGGTAACTTTTAAAATATTAATTGGCAAGAAATTACTGTTTAAAATACATAAGAACAAAATAAATAATTTACCTTTCTGGAAATGCGGTTTCTGCCCGGTGTGAGTACATTAACTTTATTAATACAAACCTATACATCATCTGATAACATAATACCTTGAAGTATTGTGATACTGAATGTTATCAGTACTGGTCATTCCTAACTGTATTGGTTTGTGACTGGTCAGATCGCTAACCTTGAGGTTTATCATTTTATTTTAGACCCTAAGTACATCAAAAAGAGAAGAAGAGAAGAGAAGAGCTTAACCATCTTCAGTTCTTATGCTGACAAATGCTGTATGTACTAAAAGGTTCCACTGCAGTTTTGTAAGTTACTCCATAGGTTTTAAAGCTGCTTACCTTTTTTCTTCTTCTCAATTTTTTTCAAAAGGTATTTATACTTCTATTTAAGTCATTCTTTCAATAAAATGTAAAAAGTACTATGTAAAAATACTCTTTCTTGAGCATGGGTATAGGCTACTCCGCCCGCTTCTGCAGATAAGAATGAGAGTGATGGTGACCATAACGAGGACCACCTTTGCCACTGTAATAGTAGTTTTACCTTTCTTATTGATGATGGCCTGGTGAAGAAAGTTGAACTCCTCTGTGATGCTGGACTCCAGGTTCCTTTTTCCCAAACCAAAGTTCCTGAGAGTGCTGAGAGTAAAACGCCGTTGTTGCTTCCAGCTGTAGCCATTATTAAAGGCTATACCTGTTATCGGGCGTTTCACAAAATGCAGTCAGTTTAGCAGAGTAGATAATCAGTGGCTAATCAGCAAAAAACAAAGGTGTTAGATTGATGCTCGGAAAATACATTGGAATATGTTGCAAGTGCATGAGTCAAAACTGAAGACAAGCAGTAACTCTCAGTAGCTCTGTGTAGAACTAAACACAAACTTTTATTTACTCTTTGGAGCCACCTCCCAACAACATAGAGCATGCCCTTAGAACTGACAGCTCCCAGCATCAATTTCATTTAGCATCAAGCATCAAGAGTGGGCCACAGCACTGCTCTCCCCCTGGCAAAGTACAAGTCATGGCATCCATTACAGCAGGGGTGCACAACTCTGGTCCTGGAGGGCCAGTGTCCAGCACAGTTTGGTGGTTTCCCTACTTAAACATACCCACTAATCCTGCCAATTAACACATAAATGCAAACAGGTGTGTCTTAGTGGGTAAATCACCAAAAGTGCTGGACACTGGCCCTCTAGGACCAGAGTTGTGCACCCCTGTGCTACAGGCTCCACACGGGTGTGAGGCGCTTAGGAGGTGTGAAGTGGCTCTCAGAGCGTGCCACACTCCCAGTTAAAAGGGTGAGGTTGTTGTTGTTGATTGTTGTTGTTTGTGGTTAATTAGAGTAATTGTAACTGAGGAGGGTGGGTTCCACTGTGTTGGGAGTGTCTCCCCTCCTCGGATGTCATATCCTCCCACATTACTCCCTCCCTGTGTTTCTCATGAGGATCGCACTGGGCTTTCTCGCTGTGTTAAAGTGCCTGTTCAATAAAAGAGCATTTGCCTATATGCGCAATGTTTTCTGCATCTTCTGTGCTGATGCTACGTTATTGTACCTTGCAAGTTATGATGACCATTATATGTAATATATCTAGAGAGACTAATCATCTAATCATACTATCCAAGTACTCTCCTAGCTCAAGTGTCTCCAGAGTCCAGGGGGATTCTGAAAACAAGCCTACAAACACCTTTTCACACACCCTCACAGGTATGTAATGTTATGCGATACATATAGAGGTGACATTATATAATGAATAAAGTACATAAATCTATTGCTCATAGAGCCTAGTAAAGTAATGCTTTGGATGATATTTTTAGTGCTAGTTGAATGCATCAAACTCCTGTGCTCCCCTCAGTACTAGAACCTGACGTTCTTAGCTGAGCAGATGGAGATGAGGGGCGGAGGTATGTGGTGTAGAGGAGAGTCTTATAAAATGACTGGAGGTCAGTGTAAACATAGACAAGCCCACCGGCCTGTAGTGCAGTTTAACAAATAGGGTTTGTCAGCACAACATTTGTGCTGATGGCATTGCTAAAACATTATTTTTTGATAATGTTATACATATTTTCCAGGTAAGTTGTACTAATAATAATAAAAAAATCAACTAATGCCAAATCTCTTGCAGTACAACCACTTAGAGAACATAATCAAAAATGAACGAATACAACACACTCATAAGGCAATAGACTAATACATATTTCCATGATAAATGCTTACCTTGACACTTGTTGATTTTCTGGAAGACAGGGTTGGGTGGACGGCCGGAGAAGGTCTCTGCTTGATCAACAAGAGCTTCCTTTACCATAGTATAGGAATTCACCACTACAAAATGTATTCCACCCAGCTGCAAGCTATAGATGTCACCGTACTTATCGGACAGCTGTAGAGGCCAGGAGATCACATGCAGAGTAAGAAAGTATTCATGATGCTCATTCAAACTACATAATAGATCCAATGCTGACATGTTATTTCTGGGGTCTTTAAAATTTAGTGCTTAGATAAATTCCTAGAAATGTTGAACAGTGTACATCACAGCTCTCAGATTTGCTGACCATCAAACTCACAATAAATATCACCTTGATTAGCAGATCAGGTACAGCTCACCTTGGTTAACTGAATGTGGAGCTGATTATGGTCCAGACTGAAGAAATTGCCAAGAAAGGGTAAAGGTGTGGGACCTGGAGGGAAATTCTTGGGCCTTCTGTTCTTCAGTTGGCCAAAAACCAGAAAGACAACAAAAAACAGGAGCAAAGTCTGTGTATCTGACCATGTTGTGGAAAACAACATGAGAAAATCCATTAAAGCCATCTTTCATAGGTGTTTTTACTGTCAACGCTGATTCCTCAGTTATTAACAGAAAAAACGGTCCATCTCTGTGAATAACCAGTGGCATATTTAAGGGCAGCCAGGATGGTACCACCCCCACTGAAATTTGAATGGCCATCACGTTGCCGTGCCTCTGAAGCTAGTAGCTGATAGGTTATTAGATTGTTAATCTAATTGGGCCAGTGATCTTTTAGATTTAAGCCCATCATTTTAAAGGAGAGAGAAAATGGTCCTGGTAGAGAAAACAATAGAAGAGTCCATACAGTGTGCGGCTGTTCAGACATTGTGAAATACTTCTGTAGATTCATGATTCATGATCTGAGTGACTGTAAGTAAACACATGATAACGTTACCTACTGACTCACTGTGACTCAGTTTAGGTCGTTCAACGTGCAAACGTGTATCTCAGCTAACCAAACAGTGCATGTCTGAGAGCAGAGCACGTGTAACTCATAAACATGCGCAAGCTGTTTTACTGCAGTCAAGCAGAGAGAGAGAGAGAGAGAGACAAACAGGTAGAAGAATAGGAATTAAATATGAGGTTCTTTCTGTAACTGTAACATATGCAGTCTTATGCAAAACTACAGTTTGTTGATTTTCTAATTGCAAATAGATGAACACATCCTCCACAGGGAGCAAGTTCAAATATGACATTTAAAACAAACATATAACACAGGCCTCTAAAATACATACAAAAATGAAACATTTTTTCTGAGAGAGATTTTGTGCAGAATAGAAAGAAATAATTTGTGCACTAAAATTAGTTAACTTATTTTCTCATTTGACTTTGAGCCCAAAGACTGCATGAAAAATGTCCTTGTCCTGCAGCATATATTACAAAGTCATTTACCACTACCCCCCCCTAGAATTGCTATGGACACTCCATCGTAAACAACACTGTGCAGACATGTGCAGTTAATCATTTTCAGCCTGACCCTCAGTCGTATTAGTTGCATAATGATTGCAACGTAAAAGACAGTTGTATCCGAAGTTCATCGTTTACAATGTAGTCTTGTAATCTGGGCTCACTCTGGGGATGCTGTTCTTAGGTTTTTGGTATGGCAATGGAAATTTGTATTATTGTGCAGTATTAGGTCATGTATGTCTCTGAACTACACACATGCAATGGAAACACATTTACATATATTTTCCAAAATATGTATCATAATTATTACATAGAAATACTTTAACACATTTTTGTTTAAAAGGAACTCTACTGAACACACCAGTGTGTCTAGTTAAAGACAGAATGTGTTTTCAACACCTCTGTTTTAAGAATGTACAGTGAAATTAAACAAGTTTGGTTGTTGCAGTGTACCAAATTATTGAGTACCATCTAACAGTGATACTGACTTACTGTGACACTGTAAAAGATTCTCTGTCATTTTAAGAGAAGAGAACAGTCCAGTCACAACAGGTTTGTATGATATTTATTTAGCGTTATTTAGAGTGTGAGTACTGAGGAGGAACATATTCATTATGCTTATTAATACTTAATCATTGGATACTGCGTTATAGTACGTGATACTGCATTTTATCATCATCCAGCATTAGGTGGACATATGGTGCTAACTATCCAAAAACATTTCACAACCACCTGGCGACTGTATATTAAGCTGTTTGGCTTTGAATTTCCTTATAAGCTTACTTTTTTACTATCTTTCTTACCTTTGTCGTCCAACCATCCTTGAGAAATTCAAATCCTCTAATTAATTTGTCTTTACAAAATTAAACAGTAATTGTGTATTAAAGTGTGTTCTCTGTAAAGAATGTGAACTTATTTTCACTTCAAAATCAACAAAACGTGTCATTTGACCAGGCGTGCCCAAACTGTTGCACATGACTGTATGTAAAAACACCTTTAACATGTTTACTATACTGAGCTGAATTATCCAAATTCCATTTCACATATTTGGATAATGATCTTTACTAACTTTGATATTTAATATTTTACTGATAAATCATGAATTGTGTATGGGGACTGGTTCAGTGTTGTATAGGCAATGGGAGATGGTAGGGAGGTCCTTGGCAGCATGGACCCCTTTGGCGGAATCTGGCTCTTGGCAGAACCAGTCGGCTCAGGCTCAACTTCTTTCCCTCCAGCATCACCCTGCTGAACTCCACACCACTCCACTAATCATGTAATATTGTATGTTGTACACAATACTTTTTTATACTTTTATTATTGATTATGCCTTGCATTTCCATACAAGACTGTTCACTGTATATAGAATACAACACAACTGCTTACTCTAACAGTATGTAACATACTGTGTTTATAGTATTTTGTGTGTGTGTGTGTGTGTGTGTCTCTGTCTGTCTGTCTGTCTGTCTGTCTGTCTATCTATCATTCATAGATATATTTGTAATTGTGTGTATATATTGTTCATATAGTTATATATTTCATAGATACGTCATTCATGCCTGTTATTGCACATTTGCACTCTCTGTTTTGCACTATTACTACTATTTGCACTTCAATGACAATACAGTTGAATCTGTCTATCATGCAGTGGGACCTGGCAACATCATCTGAACCATATGTTTGCCGTTGCTGCAATAACCAGAATGGATAAAATAGACTAATTTCAGCAATAAACACTGAAGTAAATGACTTGCCATAAAAGACCTACAGTTCTCCCATAAGCACTTAATTGAATATAATTAGTTATATAGGTGGGTCAGTTTAAAAAATGAAGATTTTCTGATTGTCAGATAATTACATTTGTTGGGGGTTACACATTCAATGCTGTCTGTGATAAGGATGATTTTCAAGGCTACTATAGGTGCTACACAGAGAATGTGTAGTGTGGAGAATTGCCACTCAGTGTTGTTTTCTGGGTTTGTCAAACGCTACAAGATTCTGAAAATGAAAAAATAAATGGGGTGCTATGGAGCTTTTGTGCAAAATCATACTTTGTAAAAGTGAGAAAAATGCAATAATATTCTGAACAGAACAGCACAAAATATTTCAACACAGCTGTTACATTTTTAGAACTTTTGAACTCCAGTTATTGGACTTTCTAGGCCTGAATTATACTTTCGCAGCAGAGTGTTACGCAAGACTCCGCAGGCAGAGCGCGAACCTGAAGTGAACACATTATCATTTGTAGTTAGCACCTCTATCGTTCTGGTATTCACTGTGATATTGTATGACAGAGGTATAAAACAAGTGTCTATAGAGGTGAACCTGTTCAGCAAATCTCCTCCTCTCAAATTCATTCGTTTTGAATGAAGCGTCGCGTGTGCAGTGAGCGCTAACTTACAAAATTTGGGAGGTACATGGCCACACACCACCACACCACATGGGCCCAGCACTTTTGACTTTTGCATAGTACCATATGTAACAGTTGTTTAGTTGATTGTGTAAGTATCATGAAAAATATGTAGTGTTTGAATGGTCACTTTTACACTGACCATCTAAGCAATTTGGTGCACTCTGAAAGGGTAGATAACAGCTGGCTGAGTCTCTTTTTATATTCAGTAAAAGTTACTGGTGGTAGATTTGCCTGATGGTGGTGTTACATTCCCTTATCTGGCATCGCGTCTTGCTGTAAGCCTTATAAGCAGAGGCTCAGGGCCATCCTGCCACCAGGGGGCCCCAAAAGCATGTAGGATTTATTTGTTTTATTCATTTTTTCACAAATCATTACTATCCAAACAAGAAAAAACATCTCCAAAATCCAAATAACTTTAAGGAGAAGTCAAAAACACCCTTTTCCTTCAATGTGAGTTAATGTAATTTTATTCCAAATAATTAAGGTGCATTTCTATTGGCCCATTCATCATTTTTACATGATGTAAAGGACTGCTGCTGCGCTTAAATGATGTAGATTTTTTTTATACAGCAATTTAAAATAATCCTTTAATGTAATCCTTGTGTATATTTTTACTTGCTGTTTTTTCTTAACCTTAATATTCATTCAACTTTATTTCTTGAGTATTCATTTTAATTTTTACATACAAAACAATGTGATTTGTGTGAGAGGTGGCCTCCAAGTAGAGCCCCTAAAAGTTCAGAACAGTCAGTGTGAAGAACTTAAGTCATTATTCCAGAGAATCTGTATAGTGAAATAATCTAAGCTGACATTTAATTAGCACTACCACCACTGTGGAATGCTGTGTTAGCTCTATGGCAGATGTAATGGGACCCCTGTTCTCCAGAAAGCTCCACTTTTGACTCATCAGTCCACAGAACACTTTTCCAAAAGGCCTGGGGGTCATCAAGGTGTTTTTTGGCAAATGTGAGATGAGCCCTTATGTTTATTCTTGAATAGCAGTGTTTTTGCCTTGGAACACTCCCATGGGTGCCATTTTTGCCCAAGTCTCTTTCCAGTGGTGGAATCATGAATGCAGTCACCAGCAGTCACCCAGCACACAGCCTGTTCACCATCAGGCAGGAGATTCCACAGCGTCCAGGCTAGAACAACCCGGTTAATGAACAATTTCTACCCACAGGCTGTCAGGCTTCTGAACAAGCAGTGAAGCTGTGGGTTCTTCCCCAATTACCATTTCACACAGTCAGTCTGTCAGTATTATTATATATCTTATCACTGATATGGACAATAACACTAAGTCACTTTAAATAACAATACAATAACACTGAGTCACTTAAGTCACTTTAATGCATATTGTCTCTATATTTTGTGTATATTTAATATATTTCAGTTTGTTTTTCTTGTATTTCTATTTTTACTTATGTATTTTCTGTAGAGTGATTACCTGAGCCTCACCACATGCATTTCAATGCATAAATGTCCTGACATGTTGTGCAAATGACAAATAAACTTGCTGATCTTCTCTAAATTAGGCGAGGTCTGCAGTTCCTGTTTGTCTGGGTCCTTTTCTGACTTCCTGGAAGAGTAATTACTGTGTTCTTGATAATTTTGATAGGCCGAACACTTCCGGGAAGATTTAACACTGTTCTATGTTTTCTCCATTTGGAAATAGTGGCTCTCACTGTGGTTCACTGGACCACATGCCTTTGTTGCCCTTTCCAAACTAATTAAAATTCCAAACTAATGTGTGTGTGTGTGTGTGTGTGTGTGTGAGTGTATATATATATATATATATATGCATGCATATGTTTAGATTCAGCAGGATTGACAGTAATCAATCATAAGTGTGTGTAGTTTAACTGATCTTAATTATCAACTAAATTTGGCTTATTCATTGATTGAGTAACTAAGGGGGAAATTACTTTTTCAAACAAGGCCAGGTGCTGTTGGATAACTTTTTTTTTTCCTTCAGTGATGATTACAAGTTTTGATTTACCTCAGGTTGTCTTTGTTTTATAGTAAACTTGTTTGAAGATTTGACAAATATGCATAAATATGGTAAGTATGTTTTCAGGACACTGTAACTCCAACACTACACTGTGTATTATACTGATTTTCCCATTATATAAAACCTATTTGATAGTGTTAAAATCCTCCTCTATTAAAATTCTAATAAACTGTTTTGTGGTTTTAAGGCATAATGAAGAACTGAATCATGATTATGGCAAAGAAACGTTCTGGAATGTCCTTTGTATCCTCCTATCCGCCATCAGACAAGAAAAAGTGTCGGCTGTGAAGGAGAAAATAATTTTTGAGAAAAGTGATGCAGGCGAGTATGTTAAACAAGTAATTCGACACCAGAGTTATATAAGCACAAACGGACAAAGGAGTTTGAACAAATTCCACTGGGCAACTCCAGCCATGATCTTGCAGTACTTATTGGACTACTTTGACTTAAAGAGCTGGCTGATATTTCTTTTTGTTTTCTTTCTGTTAATTGACATAATCAGGAACAAGAACCCACCAAATTTCCCACCAGGTCCCTGGTGGTTACCTTTCGTAGGAAATGTCTTCACTGGGCTTGAGTATGAAACCATTGACAAGGTAGGAGAAAGGTTTTTTTTTTTCTTTTTTACAGTTTTGTTATTAATTCAGAGTATTAATATTTCTTAAAGCATGCAGAGGATTGTATGCTTAGAAAATCATAGTTTAATAAGTAAATAATGTTATGTAAATTAAACTACATAAATGTATTTTACTGTTATCAGCACAATCCAGCCTCAATGGAGATACGCTATAGTGTAGGTTTGATTTCATTGTTTGTATTTATATGATAATCGTTTAACAGAAAGTACAATTGTGTTTCAGCTTTCCAAAAAGTATGGGGATGTTTTTAGCCTGAGATTTGGCAGTGAGAAAACAGTGTTCATTTGTGGATACAAAATGGTGAAGGAGGCTCTTGTCACTCAGCAGGACAGCTTTTCTGACCGTCCTCTTATCCCCCTGTTTGACAAGATCTATGAAGGACATAGTAAGTGCAAACAACTCTTACTAGCTCATGTATTCTAAATCATCCTGGTCATATCAAAGTCAAAGTCCAGAGCAACGGAATAAATTATCAGACAACAAACACTCACTCAAAGTTTGTGTTATTATTAGTGTATTAGTGCTTTTAATACAATTAATTGTGTCAGATCACAAGCAAAAATCCCACATCTTAAAAACGTAAAAGTGAAAATTATATTGATGAAGACAGACTCATGTTTCAGTTAGAATACAAAGTATTCTCCTCACTTTCCAGGGACCTGAATGCCTCTCACAGTTAAAATGGGTTTTAAAGGCTGAATCCTAAATGGCTCCCTGTTCTCTATATAGTACACTAGGTAAGTAATGAAATGATGGCTTCTACACCTACATTTTGCTTTATATGTTGTTGTTGTTCATATTCAGCCATTAGCTGCACGTCTCTCCAACATTCAGAGCACTATATGTGTGTAGAAGCCACCCATGCAGTGCACTTTACAGTGAGTGAGGAGCCAAAGATTTATAAATTCTCCCTTAGAGTTAAAGACTTCCAGAGAGGGTCCGATCATAATATAAAATGTATTATAATGAATGTTATGTTCTGTTCTCTAAATACAGTATATACAGTCGTACGCAAAAGTATGTGAGCCAAATGACAAGATTTTCTAAGTGAAAATACTCTGTATCTTCTTCTGAGAATACATTTCTGCACATTTTAAAGCACAGTTACTGTTTAGTTGCTGACTTTAAGATTAAGAGACCCTTATTAGTCCCACAATGGGAAAATTTCACCTCCGCAGTCTAACCCATCCATGCAGTGAAACACCACATACACATTAGTGAATGCACACTGAGTGGTGGGCAGCCCTATCCACAGCGCCCAGGGAGCAGTTGGGGGTTAGATGCCTTGCTCAAGGGCACCTCAGTCGCATCCTGACGGCTCAGGAGATCGAACCGGCAGTCAGGCTAGTTGGAGATACCAAATTGCCCCTAAGTGTGAGTGTGTCACTGTGTATATCTGAGTGTCTGCCCCTCCCGCCTGCTGCCCAATGAAGCTGGGATAGGCCCAGCACCCTCCATGACTCAGGAGGATAAGTGGCTTAGATGATGAGTGAGTGATGAGAACGAGAGAGAGAGAGAGGGTTTGAGAGAAAGAGGGAGAGAGAGAGCTAAATCTGATTAAGCTGATCAAGGCTGTCAGAATATTAGAGCCAAGTGTGATACTGTAACCCTAACTTTCCAATAGTGCAAGAATTTGTCTGTATTTCTACTAAAAATAGAACATTCGATTAAAGGGGAATGTAACCCTATTTTATAATGTTTCTGCATGGTTTTAACTGTTAAGAAACTTTATAGAAGAAGTAAATAAGGTCATTCAGAGTCAAATGCTTCATTCTAGAGAAACCTAGTGTCAGAATTGTTCACAGTGGTAGTGATAGGAACCAAACGTCTGCAGCATTTAATTCCTACCTTACTACACAAAATGGTTATGAATAATAACTGTTGCTGGAGCCATTGTTTTATGATTATGATGGAGAGATATATGCACGGTGTTGTAAGGCACAATAGACCCCCCATTACATATTAAAACTCTGAAGACATGTTTAAGTTCACTGGTGGTTTTGAATAGTAAATTGAATGACTACATATGTGCTGTACACATTGTGACCACTGGTTCTTATCAGCATCACTGTAAAGATGTCCAAATCATTAATTTTCTCTACAATGCACTGTTTCACATGAAACCCCTTAGAATTACTTTGTTTACATCTCAGTGATTGAATTATCCAGAAATCAGTGGAATTGCCTTATTATTACAATTTTTCTGTTGTGCTAAAAAGCTTTATCCTTGAGTAATGGGTACCTGTGGAAGGTGCAGAGAAAGTTTTTCATCACCCACCTGCGGCACTTTGGCGAGGCAAAGAAGGGTCTTGAGCGGAGTATCCAACAGGAGTGTGCCTTTCTGTGTGAAGCTTTCAAAGAGGAAAAGGGTAAGTGGTCAGTGTAAAATTGATCATTTAAAGGAAATGCAATCATTAAAGGCTAATTAAACCAAAAGGTTACTTTGCTATTAAATAAACCATAGTGAGACACGAGATCTTGAAAATCTGTTTTCTTGAAAATCTGTTTTGTCATTTTTCTCCCAACACAATTACAATTAACACCTGATTGATTCCTCCATTGAATGAGGCTGTTTATGATGTTATAGGACAGCTAAATTTTCTTGTAGGACTTTTGTATGTGTGAACTAATAGACTTGACTGGCTTGCATCAAATGAACTAATAAGTGTGAATCTAATGAGAACGTAGGCCTTTTACATACTTTGGTTGGTTTTACATCTGGTTGCATCACTTGGGAGCCCTGGATTCAGAGTTGAAATAAAACAGAATACACGTGTTTGGAATATGTATTCAGAATACAGTAATCAAGTGTATGTATTCAGTCCAAGTTTCATTTTGAAAAGGCAGTATTCAGAGGTTTGAGCCCTCCTGGCTAAATTATACACAATGCCAAAGTATAAAAGATTCACCTGAATCTTAACAGTTGGTAAAGCAGTCTTTTCATTAAATAATGCCCCCTTTTTGGCACTTGCTTACAAAATGCCCTTGGCTTATCTAGGCACACCTCTGATGCTGCCTTTTTTGGTGAGTTTGCAGTTGAGGTTTCTTTCTGATCTTACATGTAGATCATGTTTGTCCAAATAGTGATGGACAGTAGATCAGTGCACCACCAGTCATGTATCAGATAAACATTGCTGGAAATCCTTTGGTGTCATATGGAGGTTTTGCTTTGCCTTCCTGACCAGCATAAAGCAGTTCTGTCTGAGTTTTTTCCTGGTTTTCCTGATCTTTCCTTGACTTCCTCAGTTCCCGTTAACTGCCATTTCTTGATGACATTTCTTACAGTGGAAATTGCAAGTTGGGAGCACTTTAATATCTGTTAATGCATTCTCCAGCTTTGTAGGCAACAATTAGGTTCATCTTCAGATCCTTAGCCAGCTGCTTAGATAAGCCCATGATAATTGAGTATTAAATCAAGGTTTGAATTTAAAGAGAAGCTATTTTAAGTAAAAAAGTAACTCTATTAAAATTTGCTGAAAAATGTTTTCTTTTTTAAATAATATACTGCAGAAATTATAAAACCTTCTTGTACATCTGAAGCCTATTTGTGTTCCTATTTTTTATTATAGCAAATGATTGAATTAAATCATTTATAATTTAATAATTTATTAACAATAGTTTATTAACAACAGAAATTCTCCTTTTAGAAGGAGTAACAACAAAAAATTAAACTGCCACCCGCAAGGAGAATGGTGCATGTGAATGCAGTAATAATTGTATTCTGAACAGATGACCTTGTATGTATTGAAATGGAATATGTTCCTGAATACATTTATGACAGGGTGTTGTCTTTTCAGCCATCATCATGAAGTCTGATTATATCTTGATCTTTTGTGGAAAAAATCTAGTGTGAGCTTGTTTATCTAAGGTTCTGACAATATGTTTTGTTTAAACTGCACTACATACAGGTCCTTTTGACCCCCAGTTCTACTTGAACACTGCTGTTTCAAACATCATCTCTGCTCTAATATTTGGGCATCGCTTTGACTACCATGATGAACGCTTCCTCAATATCCTGCGCTTGGACACTGAAGCTATTGCACTCGCAGGCTCGTTCCAGGCTCACGTTAGTAAAAGACTTTTTCTGCTCTTGGCTTTATCCATCATGTCCATTATTAACTATCCATTATTATTAACCCTAAAGTTCTCACGGCCATAATGTTCAATATGTGACTTGTGATTTTTTGGCAGTTGTACAATGTCTTCCCTCGTCTCTTTGATTACATTCCTGGGCCGCACCAAAAGATCTTTACCAACTACGGGAAGATCATTGAGTTCCTTAAAGATGAGGTCAAAAGGCACAAGGAGAACTGGGATCCCTCAGACCCGCGAGACTACATAGACGCTTTCCTGGTGGAAATGGAGAAGGTCTGTTTAAGATGAATCATATTATGTGTAACTGGTGATTTCAGTTCAAATGAAGATTAGTGGATCTTCAGATTTTGTTAAAGACTCAAATAGAGCCTGATGCAGCCATTCTCTGTATAAATCTTTTAGAAAAAGAGTGATCCTGAGGCTGGATTCAACCTTGATACATTAGTGTTAACCTCGCTGGACATGTTTGAAGCAGGAACAGAAACCTTAACCTCTACACTACGCTGGGCTCTGCTGTTCTTGATGAAGTACCCAGAAATACAGAGTGAGTAGCATGAACCATGGAAAATGTGCATTATGTTGACCTTGTACTCTGTGTCTCATTTCTGCCTGATCCATGTGCATTTAGTGTACATCAGTAATTACTAGGAGTGGAGTAAAGGACATTTCAGTTCAACTAAAGGTTTGTTTAACTTTTCCAATATGTTAAATCCAACAAATAAACAGTAAATATGAATTAAAATCCATTAGAAGTGTGTTACCTATGGTGATTATCCTTTGGTGTTGTTTCAAAGACCCTTTTTGGCACCTTTTATTTTAATAATGTAATGTGTTATCTTTTGTATTCAGAAAAGGTGCAAGCAGAGATAGACAGAGTGATTGGACAGTCACGCCAACCCAGTTTGGCTGACAGACCCAACATGCCCTACACTGATGCTGTCATTCATGAGATCCAGAGGATGGGCAACATTGCCCCTTTGGGTTTACCTAGAAGAGCCTGTAAAGATACGACACTGGGGGGATACTTCATAACAAAGGTTTGTGTTTAAGATAAATGACTCATTAAGGCAGCAGTGGTTTGCTCTAAATTGTTATAAGACAAAATTCTGCGTTCAAAGCCGCTGTAAATACAGAATATATGCACACCTATGACCACCACACTACAACTGAAATTTATAGTAATGTGCCATATCACTAAAAATCATAGGGCCTCATTCACCAAAACTTTCTTAGGTAGAAATTTCTTCTTCAAACCCACCTACACATTTTTCACAAAGACTCTGACATTCACTAATGTTTTCTTATTTGGGATTTGTTCTTAGGTAAGAACAGAATCTGTCTGCACTCCAGAGCACAGAGGTGCAAACAGTTCTGAGGTTTAAGAACACATCATGAATGTGATGTAGGGCATTTTCACACTTGAATGTCCAGACCAAGGTTCTTGTTTTTGTTACATTGTATACATTTGATCCGATTAGTTTTGGTTTCACATTGCAATTAAGCGAGTGCACTAAAGAACTTTGTATGACGTGTGTATGTTCTGTCACCATCGCCTACGCGAGCTGCGTCTCCCAACGCATGGATTGGTTCTTGTTATTGGTCTGAAATTCTGATCCATTCAATAAAGGGTTTTTATATTGCACAAAAAAGGTATGAGACTGTCACTGGGGCAGTACCTTTCTTGTCACTGCGGTTGAGTGCCTTTGGTCATGGAACATAATTGCACCATAATCCATTGAAATTGTGTTTTCAATGATGTATTTTCTAAGTTGTATTGACTCCACACATCCTGTCTCATCTCCAGGCTTTTTATTCTATTGTTCTGTTTTAAAGCGTTAGATCATGAAAACTTATTTAAGGCGTACAGTGGGACATTCAACACACCACTGTTTCCATTTAAATCAACCTTTTGATTTAAATGTATACGATGTAACAAAAACATTGACCTTGGTTTAGACCCTGTGAAAACGCCCTTATGCTGCTTGCATGGACCTCCGAGTATACAGATGTAGAACTGTAAATAATGCTGTGTTCAAGTGGTGTTGGAAACTGGGAAATATCAGTTTTCCAACTTGTAAATTGTGCCTGAACGGCCGACAAAGTCATATTTATAACTGATAAACTCTGGATTCTGGATGGTACACGTTTTTGAGATGTGATGTATAATGCGACCTTTCATAGGAGTTAAAAAACACTAAACTTTCAGTGAATGTGAAAACAGATATTCCTGATGTGCTTCTATTAGATCTATGTGCTTTTTAACATGGCAGACAATAAGCAGCATTGTATTTTCCGGACCTCCTTTCTTTTTTCCGTGTGGTGGGCATATATATATATATATATATTATATATATATATATATATATATATATATGAACGAGAATGAAGTCATATTTACTAATTCACCAGGGGTTAGACTAGACTGAATGATAGCTAAGAGGCTAAACAACTCCTGCATAAATATTCGGTGTTAGACTTTGAATTGAAGAATTTACTGAATGATTCGCTGTAAAAATGCAAAATAAAAAGTAAAGAATATGTTACTTGAATGTTTTTCATGCTTCTATTTTCCATGTTTTTGCTTAAATCTACTTTAAGTAGTATTAAAACCGGTGTGGGAAGGCAAATATGTGGCACTGCTAGTTTCCTGCTAACACAATACAGGAATCAAGACTCCAGCGGAATTAACATTGTTGTTGCAGAGAGGAAAAACTACTTATATGGCAAAAAGATTCTGTGTTAAACACTGCTATAATATCATACAATGAACATTATTTAACAAAATTAAAAAAAAAATAATGAAATAACTGCAATATACAATGATGAGTGATCAGCAGTCTGTGACAGATTGGGAAAAATAGCATACTCTAAATGATCTACATTTCGTAGTGAAAGACCTGTTTGTTGTGATTACTATTAATTATAACTTGAATAATCTATTTAAAATGTATAGATTTTTCATAGGTTGTCACCATTTTATAAAAGCAATAGGCCATTAAGAGCTTAACTTTACAATTCCACATGCCTAAGAACGCCCCTTACCTGTGATAGAATCATAGCATCACTCAGCAACTTGTGTCTTATTGCTTTATTGCATAAATCCTGTTTTATGACATAATGTCTCTCATCGTTAGGGCACGTCTATTTTTACAAATCTGTCATCTGTGCTGTGTGACAAGAACGAGTGGGAAACACCAGACACCTTTAACCCAGGACACTTTCTTGATGAACAAGGCCAATTCCGCAAGAGAGACGCCTTTCTGCCCTTTTCAGCAGGTGAAACAAATAGACTCAACCACCACATTTATTGTTGAATTGATGTAAAGTAAGACTGTCATACAGATAATAAACCTATGTATTTACACGAAGCTTGTAGTTTTGTTTAGCTTATTTTTTATATTTCTATTTAAACATATTGGGAAATGTGATTTTTACATATGTTTACCAGTATCACTATATGTAAACCTATGCTTATGCCTCTGCCATTCAACTTCACTATATGTCCAACAAGTAAACTACATGTCCAAAGGTTTGTAGACACCTACTCATCTAATATGTCCTCTGAAATCAAGTCTTTTGATAGCAATGGTGAGAATTAGTGGTGTGATAATGCTCATTTCTGCTAGCGGCCCTATGGCATTCTAGCAGCTTGTTACGGTTAAACCAATGGCAAATTTTTTGGCCATTCTAGATCTAACAGTCATTTGAAGATTCTAAAAGATGCCCAATCTTTCACTTGAAGCTTCTTACAGATATATTAAAATATGTTTTACCTCGTAGCAGTTTCATAATGACTCAGTACAGAGGCCTGGTATAGAGCTGCTGCCTCTGTTTTCTATTTCTAACAATGCATTGATTAGGTTGCCGCTCATATTCACTCTGATTAAGAGGGAGTTTTTCCCCCACTTTTTGCAGTAACAGCCTCCACTCTTCTGGAAAGGCTTTACACTAGATGTTGCTGTGAGAATTTGATTGCGTTCAGCCACAAGAGCATTAGTGAGGTCAGGTACTGATGGGGGTTCTGGATCACAAATGCCACTCCAGCTCATCCCAAAAGTATTGGATAGAGCTCCATCACTCCAGAGAATATGGTTTCACTGCTCCACAGCCCAATGCTGGGGGTCTTTATACCTCTTTATCCAATGCTTATAATTGAGCATGGTGACTTAAGACTTACAGATCATACAAGCTGTGTGTGCAATTGCACACCTGTATCAGGAATGGCTGCACTTTTGATAAATATATTACTGTCCCATGTGTGTTTCTCCTGATGCACTGAAATCACTGTTCCACAGGTAAGAGGGTGTGTCTAGGGGAGCAGTTGGCACGTATGGAGCTCTTCCTATTTCTCTCTTTTCTGCTACAACGCTTCACATTCTCCCCTGGTCCTGGAGAGGAGCTGAGTCTGAAGGGCCAGGTGGGCTTCACCAACACGCCCAGGCCCTACCGCATATGTGCAATCCCACGCTGAGTGAAGGGAGATGGTGACCTGAGACTGTGGTATAAGCTGTCTTTAGTTAAGAATTAATATTCTAAAAGAGCAAAGGATGTAGTCTCTTTCTCTCTGTCTCTCATCCTCTCTCTCTGTCTCTTTCTCTTCCCCCTCATCCTCTCTCCCTGTCTCTCTCTCGCTTCCTCTCTCTTTTTCTCTCTCTTCCTTCCTCTATCTCTCATCCTGTCTCTCTGTCTCTCTCTCTTCCCCTCTCTCGCTCTCTCTCTCTTCCTCTCTGTGTCTCTCCCCTCTCTCTCTTTCTCTCTCTCTCTCTCTCTCTCTCTCTCTCTCTCTCTCTCTCTCTCTCTCTCTCTCTCTCTCTCTCTCTCGGTGTTTGTCTTTAACTGGGGTAGTCTGTTTAACTGTCTAAAGCAGTAATGTCTGGTTCTGTATGAAGTGATCAGCATGATTATTAGAAAATATATTACAGTAAAATAAAAGCTGAGTAAATTGCTGATGTTGCCACTGATTTTAATGGTAGAACAGATATCAGTGAAAATACACAGTTTGAATGCTGTGAATGTGTTTACTGTCTGTAGAGATTCACACCTGATGGGCAGCCAGACTCACTAAAATTACATTATTAATTAAGCAATCTACTCTTAATTTTGACTCAGTATTTTCTCGTAAATTAACTTAATGAAACATAGTAACATCCTCTGCACAGCCTTTCAGGGATTCTGAAATACTTTACTGGAAACAGAGAAACTCTTTAAACATCTAACCATGAAATGCATGCAGTTTAATGTTAAACCTTGTTTCTTACACAGTTCACAGAGGAAATATGAAAAGGTAACTAAGTAACTCAGTACTCAAGTATTTTTTTAAAAACTACTCATTTACTCTTACTTGAATAACTTTATTTACTAATACTTTTACTTGTACTTGAGTAGATTATCACTACACTAACAGTACCTATACTTGAGTAGGGATTTTCAGTACTCTTTACACCCCTGTTAGATTGAATAGATTTAAACGGAACAACTCTTGCAAAGTATATTTAAATAAAAGCTGTACTGTATTTTTCACTCAGTTTGTGTTCATTGTGTCATCACAGTATACCTGCAGTTGATTGTTGGGAAAGGAAACATTTGAAACATGACATCTGTAACCTCAAAATACGACAATATGAATGTTTCATGCATTATCTTTTATGTACTAAAATGTTTTGTGTGGTTATGGGCAATCAACCTAAAAAGTAAACATTAGAGCATGTATAATGTACGATGAGTAAAAAAGTGTGAGATTCTTCTTTTGAACTTACATCATTTCACTCATATTTAATGAAAATGAATAAGCATTATTGTGTTAACTGATTGTATTGTTACAAAGCTGGAACCACTGTTGTAGACTTAGTCTGTGTAAAATGTTCACAATATTTTGGCGGACATATACTGCATAGTTAGCTTGTTTTTGTTTTTTGTTTTCTTAAAGCTACACCATATAAGATTTGGGCATTAAAGAAAAACATCTCTGGAGGAAAGATGTAATTGCACAAAATGTGCGTAAAAAGATTTTGTAACCTTGGTTGTGCTTTGGAGCCTCCCCTAGTGGATAAACAGTGCTGGGTCTACCTAATCAAAGACATAAGCAGCAGCATAGATCCTCGTTGCCACCAGGGGATCCCCTATCAAGTTCTGGGTTAATTCTTTGCCATTACATTGTCTAAGATGCTTGAGTGAGGGGAAACAACAACTGGTTAATCACATCTTGAAAAACAGCATATGTGTCTGAAACCAAAAAACAAAAAGAGAAATAGAAGATGAAGAGAAAAGGTTTAAGATATAGGATTGTAGTTGGACAACAAGAAATGATGGATTTGTCTAACGAACATTCAACTTAGACTGACTTCTTACTAAATTTCAGATTCACTTCACTCTTTTACAACAGCGATTAAAAACTTTTTCTGTTAAGAATGATTTTAATTTTAGATGTACTTTATCAGTAACAGTGAATTTCAGTGGTGGACAGTAAGTAAATGTTCGTTACTGTACTTGAAGTTTTTTCGTGCATCGGTACTTTACTGAAGTATTTCCATTTTGGGTGACTTTTTACTTTCACTCCACTACATTTCAAAGTCAAATATCTTACTTTTTACTCCACTACATTATGTGAAATCTGTCGTTCCCTTTGGCTTATGTGTGCATAGAACATAACATGTCACATAACATGTATAGTAAAAGAAAACTCATTTGTGAACCATGTTTAAAGTTTTTACCACATTTAAGCTTGTAAATAAGTTGCAAATAAATCTTAAACTGAAACTTTGCTTGTTTGCAAAAGGTTATTTCAGAACCACTTGGTTCTACCTAATGGAAATTGTTTGCCTTCAGTGTTTTGTGTTTATGATAATTTTAATAGACATCAGTGTCAGACTAATTAATGACATTCTATTAAAAGACTGGTTTACCAAGAGAGACACTGGAGTATTTTCATCTAAAATGAGTTGATAAATTAAGCCTTACAAAAATGGTAATAGGACATTAGAATCATAATTACTCTTAGTACTTTTATTTTCGATACTTAAGTACATGCATTAGGTAAATTTATGGTTATGCTAAATATGGTGCTGTATATGGTGTATTATAATCTGATTTCCTTATAAACTAATAATGTAAAAAGTATTGCACATCTTTTCTTACCTTTTTTCCACCATCCATTGTTGAGAAATTCAAACTCTACAATTAAATACAATTTATAATTATAAAACATCATGATTAATACATCCTCTATAGAGATCATACTTAAACATAAAGTTTAATATATTGGAAAAACATAACAGAAAATGTGCTGCAACTTTTGTGAAATTTTTACAATATGTTCAATTTAGCAAATAACCATTATTGTATTAAAATATGCAGAAGTGTTTTCTCTGCAGAGGATATGAATTTATTTCCACTTCAAAATCAATAAAACATGTAATTTGACCGGGGTGCCCACACTTTTTGCACATGACTGCATGCAGAAACACCTTTGTAGCATATATTTTGTTAAACGTTTACTGTACTGAGCTGAATTATCTGAATTCCATATCACATATTTGGATAATGATATTTACATTATTTTACAGATAAATCATAAGTTGTGTTTGAGGATTTAAGCAGAATTAGCAGATGATTTTAAACAGATGGGTTAACAGGGAGATTCACTTTCCATAAACTGAAGATCCTACATGTTTTCCACAAAATATGTCTGAATCAATGAAAAGAGTAATGATGAACAGCACAGGCTTCCCATCCACTGCATGGAAAAAACCTGATTAGGATCAGGTTAAATACATTAAGAAGTAGGTAAGCACATGAGGCCTCTTCAACCTTTAACTTTGAACTTGCCATGCCTTACATAATCCCCACACAATGCTCCCACAGTCCACAATCCCTCCCCTCTGCTCCGCTACTGCCACAGTCAGGTGGTTCATTTTTGAATATGCGTTTAACAGGCTTTGTTTTTGCTGGTCCACTCAGTGAGCTAATCATAATAATCTCTAACTGAACCTCTGTTCTTGAAATGTGAATGAGCATGAGTTTCATTGGTCATGCAGTGGAAAGTGGCAACATCATCTGCAACATATGTTTGCTCCAATAACCATCAAAGACAAAGTAGACTAATATTTCAGCACCAAACACAGAAGTAAAGGACTTGCCGTAAAGGACTACAGTTTTCCCAGTGACTATATGTGTATAATTAGTTAAACAAATGGGTAACATCAAAGAATAAAGACTTTTCTTTTAAATCAGTTTGTCAGCTAACTAAATTTTTTGGCGGTTGCACATTCAGCCAGCTGTGATAGGAAGGACAGCTTGCAAGGCTATTAGGCACCACAGCATGTGTAGTGAGGAGAATTGCCACTCAGTAATGTCTTTTGGGTTTGTCAAACACTAGAGGGCGCTCTTGTGCTAGCCCAAAATGAATGGAGCTTTTGTGCAAAATCATAGTTTGTAAGTGTATTTTTACAGAGAAAAATGCACTTATTTTCAAAGTGCCTGTAAACATGAACCTGCTCACCAAATCTCTCTTCAATTTCATTAATTTTGAATGAAGTGTTGGACAACACACACTAACACACCACCACCCAGTCATTGCTACTGCAGTGCTGAGAATGATCCCACACCCAAATAGTACCTGCTCTGTGAGGGTCCATGGGGGTCCTGACCACTGAAGAACAGGGTAAAAGGGGGCTAATAAAGTATGCAGAGAAACAGATGGACTACAGTCTGTAATTGTAGAACTACAAAGTGCACCTATTTAGTAAGTGGAGCTGATAAAATGGGCAGTGGGTGTAGAAACAAGGAGAACAGTATACAGTTTTGAAATGAAAAGTTTATTTCTTGAAGGAAAATAGTTTTGCAGCACCTATATCACCCATGTGAAAATGAATTGCCCCTAAAACTTAATAATCGTTTGTGCACGTTTAGCAGAAACAACTGAAACAAACGCTTTCTACAACTGGAAATCAATCTTTTACATCACTGTGGAAGAACTTTGGCCCATTCTTCCTTGCAGAATTCAGCCACACTGGAGGGCTTTTGTGCTTAAATTGCTTATGGTCCATCACACAACCACCACGATGTTCACCCATACATATTCTTATTGTGAAATGCTGTGTTAGCTTTACAGCAGATGTAATGGGACCCCGTTCATTAAAGAGCTTCACATTTGACTCATCAGTCCAATGCTTCTTCAAAATGCCTGGGGGTTGTCAGGGTTTTTTTGGCAAACGTGAGATGAGCCCTTATGTTCACTCTTGGTTAGCAGTGGTTTTTACCTTGCAGCTCTCCCACGGATACTGTTTTGGCCCATGCCTCTTTCCAATAGTGGATTCGTAAACACTGACCTTATCTGAGTCAAGCGAGGTCTGCAGTTCCTTAGATGTTTGTCTGGGTTCTTTTGTCACTTCCTGAATGAATCATCACTGTGTTCTTAGACAAATATCCACGGGTCGACCATTTCTGATTTACCACTGTTCCAAGTTTTTTCCATTTAAATATGATGGTTCCCACTGTGGTTCACTGGAGTCTCAGAACCTTAGAAATGGCTTTGTTACCCTTTCCAAACTGATATATTTCAATAACTTTCTCATTTTTCAGAATTTCTTTAGACTGTGGTATAGCTAACCAGTCAGGTTCATATAAACCTCCTCTATTTAAAAAAAACTGTTCTGTGGTTTTAAGGCACAATGAAGAACTGAATCAGGATTATGGCAAAGAAATGTTCTGTAATATCCATTGTATACTCCATCAGGTAAAAAACCAGTCAGCTAAAAAAAAAAAAGTTTTCATTCACAGTTTGTGTCTAAAGCGTTTTTGAGAAAAGTGATGCGAGCGAGTATGTTAAACGAGTAATTCGATTGAACCAGAGTTATATAAGCACAAACGGACAAAGAGGAGTTTGGACAAACTCCACTGGGCAACTCCAGTCATGATCTTGCAGTACTTATTTGACTACTTTGACTTAAAGAGCTGGCTGATATTTCTTTTTGTTTTCCTTCTGTTAATTGATATAATCAGGAACAAGAACCCACCAAATTTCCCACCAGGTCCCTGGTGGTTACCTTTTGTAGGAAATGTCTTCACTGGGCTTGAGTATGAAACCATTGACAAGGTAGGAGAGTTTTAACAAGATGGGAGAACATAAGATTTTTTTTTTTTTACAGTTTTGTTATTTATTCAGAGTATTAATTTAATTTAATTTAATAATTAATTGACATAATATAATATAATATGTTATTATGTTATGTGAATTAAACTAGATACATGCATTTTACTGTTATCAGCACAATCCAGTCTCAGTGAAGATTCACTGTTGTGTAGGTTTGATTTCATCGTTTATCATATAAATACAATCATTTAACAGAAAGTACAATTGTGTTTCAGCTTTCCAAAAAGTATGGGGATGTTTTTAGCCTGAGATGGGGCAGTGAGAAAACAGTGTTCATTTGTGGATACAAAATGGTGAAGGAGGCTCTCGTCACTCAGCTGGACAGCTTTTCTGACCGTCCTCTTATCCCCCTGTTTGACAAGATCTATGAAGGACATAGTAAGTGCAAACAACTCTTACTAGCTCATGTATTCTAAATCATCCTGGTCATATCAAAGTCCAGAGATAAGGAATAAATTAATACCCAACATAAACACTCACTCAAAGTTTGTGTTATTATTAGTGTATTAGTGCTTTTAATGCAATTAACTGTCAGATTACAAGCAAAAATCCCACATCTTAAAAACATCAAAGTGAAAATGATAGTGATGAAGACAGACTCTGTAAAAAGAGACATTTTTACTGACATTTAATTCAGATTACACTTTTAATACCCAGATGATAGAAATGTTTCAGTTAGAATACACTTGCAAAGTATTCTCCTCACTTTCCAGGGACCCGAATGCCTCTCATAGTTAAAAGGGGTTTCAAAGGCTGAATCCTAAATGGCTCCCTGTTCTCTATATAGTTCACTATGTAAGTAATGAAATGATGGCTTCTACACCCAAATAGTGCTTTATATGTTGTTACTGCACATCTCTCTAACATTTAGAGCCCTATATGTGTGTAGAAGCCATAGTTTCATCACCTATACAGGGCACTTTATAGTGAGTAGGGAGCCTTTTGAGATTCAGCCAAATTTTGAGAATCTATTCATGGTGGAGAGGTACATGCAGGGTGTTGTAAGGCAAAATAGACCCGGAAATCAGTGGAATTGCCTTTGATTTTCATTTTTGTGTTGTCTTGCACCTTTTCTGTTGTGCTGAAAAGGTATATCCTTGAGTAATGGGTACCTGTGGAAGACGCAGAGAAAGTTTTTCATCACTCACCTGCGGTACTTTGGCGAGGCAAAGAAGGGTCTTGAGCAGAGTATCCAACAGGAGTGTGCCTTTCTGTGTGAAGCTTTCAAAGAGGAAAGGGGTAAGTGGTCAGTGTAAAATCTATCAGTTGAAGGAAATGCAATCATTAAAAGCTAATTAAATGAAAAGGGCTCTTTTCTAGAATGATCCATATTGAGACACAACATTCTGGAAGTCTTGTTTTGTTATTTTCTCCCAATGCAAGTACAGTTAACAACTGATTGTTTCCTCCCTTGAATACGGCTGCTTACAATGTTATAGGACAGCTGAATGTTCTTGAAGGATGTTTAATAGACTCTTGACTGGCTAGCATCAAATGAACTAATGAGTGTTGAGTGATTGACTAATGAGAACGTGGCCCTTTTACATACTTTTTACCTGGTTGCATCACTTGGGAGCCCTGGATCCAGAGTTGAAATAAAACAGAATACATGTCTTTGGAATATATATACAGATTGCAGTAATCAAGTGTATGTATTCGGTCCAAGTTTCCTTTTGAAAAGGCAGTATTCAGAGGTTTGAACCTTCCTGGCTAAATTACATATTGTTGACTTTTAAAAAAAAGGAAGTGAACAACAATTTTTTTGCAAATGTTGATAGTACAAGGTAATTCATCCAATTTCAAAATGATTTATTTCACTCATAAATCATTACAGAACAATGGAGTAAATTGTAAATGGTTTATTTGATCATAAAGTTTATTATGTAATTTTACAAGGTCTCAATATGAACCTCCTCCAGCTGTACGGACAACATCAGCGCCATAGTCAAATTCATCCCATACTCCATTGAGCATGTCGGGTGTCACTGTACTCACGGCTCTTTCAGTGCGATTTCGGAGATCATCCAGTGTTGTGGAAACAAAGCTGAACGCTCTGAGCTGTTGGAGCTTCACTGCCGACGAAAATCCCACTGCACAGTTATGACAGATTCACTCTTATTGAAGTGGAGAACGTAAAACGCTTTCTGCTCAGGGGTCTCATCTCCTCTCAGACTGAAGGGAGCCATCTTCCGGTGACAGTCAGAAACTCTATGACCTCCGTTTTCAATTGGATTGGTATGTGATTGGTTCCCAGGCGCCTCATGGTTGTGAAAGTATGCCACTTTGAAATCGGATGAATCTTTTTGAATCACCCTGTATTTCTAGCATGTGCAAAAGTTTAGACACCCAACTAAGTCAGTACCATTCTTTGATATTCTTGGGCTGTCTTGCATGCAGAGTATGTTTAAGATTTACCCACTGATTTTCAATGATGTAGAAGAATGAGACTGTGAGGGCTATTAAAAGTAGCTCATGGTAGATTTTGAAGTATGTTTTGGAGCACTGCCCTGTGTTAGAAGCCAGCCATTATTCAGCTTCAGTTTCTTAACTGACTCTGAACATTTACTTCCAGAATTTGACTATCTTTAGTGGAAACCATTCTCTTGTCTTCCTGTGTCACTGGCTGCCACAGAAGACCAAAGCATAATAGATTCAACTCAAGCTTAACTGGTGGCAAGGAGTTCTTTTCATCAAATGCTGCTCAAGTGCTGCTGCTTGTTTATCTAAGGTTCTGACAATATGTTTTGTTTAAACTGCACTACATACAGGTCCTTTTGACCCCCAGTTCTACTTGAACACGGCTGTTTCAAACATCATCTCTGCTCTAATATTTGGGCATCGCTTTGACTACCATGATGAACGCTTCCTCAATATCCTGCGCTTGGACACTGAAGCTATTGCACTCGCAGGCTCGTTCCAGGCTCACGTTAGTAAAAGACTTTTTCTGCTCTTGGCTTTATCCATCATGTCCATTATTAACTATCCATTATTATTAAGCGTAATGTTCTCACGGCCATAATGTTCAATATGTGACTTGTGATTCTTTGGCAGTTGTACAATGTCTTCCCTCGTCTCTTTGATTACATTCCTGGGCCGCACCAAAAGATGTTTACCAACTACGGGAAGATCATTGAGTTCCTTAAAGATGAGGTCAAAAGGCACAAGGAGAACTGGGATCCCTCAGACCCGCGAGACTACATAGACGCTTTCCTGGTGGAAATGGAGAAGGTCTGTTTAAGATGAATCATATTATGTGTAAAAGGTGATTTGAGTTCAAATGAAGATTAGTGGATCTTCAGATTTTGTTAAAGACTCAAATAGAGCCTGATGCAGCCGTTCTCTGTATAAATCTTTTAGAAAAAGAGTGATCCTGAGGCTGGATTCAACCTTGATACATTAGTGTTAACCTCACTGGACATGTTTGAAGCAGGAACAGAAACCTTAACCTCTACACTACGCTGGGCTCTGCTGTTCTTGATGAAGTACCCAGAAATACAGAGTGAGTAGCATGAACCATGGAAAATGTGCATTATGTTGACCTTGTACTCTGTGTCTCATTTCTGCCTGATCCATGTGCATTTAGTGTACATCAGTAATTACTAGGAGGAGTGGAGTAAAAGACATGATTCAATTTCAGTTCAACTAAAGGTTTCTTTAACTTATCTATATGTTAAATCCAACAAATAAACAGTAATTATGAATTAAAATCCATTAGAAGTGTGTTATCTGTGGTGAATATCCTTTGGTGTTGTTTCAAAGACCCTTTTTTTAACAATGTAATGTGTGTTATTTACTCAGAAAAGGTGCAAGCAGAGATAGACAGAGTGATTGGACAGTCACGCCAACCCAGTTTGGCTGACAGACCCAACATGCCCTACACTGATGCTGTCATTCATGAGACCCAGAGGATGAGCAACATTCTCCCTTTAGGTTTTCCTAAAAGAGCCTGTAAAGATACGACACTGGGAGGATACGTCATACCAAAGGTTTGTGTTGTTCCAGAAAAATGACATTCCATGGCAGCAGTGGTTTGCTCTAAATTGTTATAAGACAGATAATTCTGCGTTCAATAGTTTTACCACTCCACTTTTAATTAAATGCCTAAGAACACCTCTTACCTGTGGTAAATCATAGTAATGCCCAGCATCTTGTGGCTTATTGCTTTATTGCACAAATCCTGTTTTGTGACATAGTGTCTCTCATAAATAGGGCACGTCTATGATTACAAACCTGTCATCTGTGCTTTATGATAAAAGTGAGTGGGAAACACCAGACACCTTTAACCCAGGACACTTTCTTGATGAACAAGGCCAATTCCGCAAGAGAGACGCCTTTCTGCCCTTTTCAGCAGGTGAAACAAATAGACTCAACCACCACATTTATTGTAGTACTGGCATAGACAAAGACTGTCATACAGATTGTAAACCTGTATGTTTATCCAAAGCTTGTAGTTTGTTAACTTATTTTCTATATTTATATTTAAACATATTGGGAAATGTGTGATTTTTAAAATTATTAGTCCCACAATGAGGAAATTCTCCCCCACATTTAACCCATCTGTGTTGTGAAACACCACATACACACCAGTGAATGCATACACTTTAATGGGCAGTTAGCACACTTGCCCGGAGCGATGGGCAGCCCTATCCGCAGCGCCCAGGGAGCAGTAGGGGGGTTAGGTGCCTTGCTCAACTGCACTTCAGTTATGTACTGTCAGCTCAGGGTATCAAACCAGTGACCTTCTGGTCACAGGGCTGGTTTCCTAACCTCCAGCCCATGACTGCCCCAATATGACGTATATTCAACAGTATGGCTATATATAAAGCTTTTCTTATGCCTCTGCCATTCAACTTCCCTATATGTCCAACGACTAAACTGTATGTCCAAAGCTTTGTAGACACCTGCTCATCTAATATGTCCTGTGAAATCAAATCTTTTAACAGCAGTGGCGAACCATGAGAATTAGACGTACGATAATGCTAATCTCTGCTAGTGGCCCTATGGGATTCTAGCTGTTTGTTATGGACATTTTTTGTCTAACAGTTATTTGAAGATTCTCAAAGATGCTCTGTCTTTTACTTGAAGCTTCTTACAGATATATTTACATATGTTTTACCTTGTAGCAGTTTCACAGTGACTCAGTATAGAGGCCTGGTATAGAGCTGCTTCCTCTGTTTCTATTTCTAACAATGTCTTGATTAGGCTGCTCCTTGTATTCACTCTGATTAAGAGAGAGTTTGTCCCCCATTTGCTACAGTAACCATCTCTACTCTTCTGGAAAGGCTTTACACTATATGTTGGAACATTGCTGTGAGAATTTGATTGTGTTCAGCCACAAAAGCATTGGTGAGGTCAGGTACTGATGTTGGATGATTAGTTCTGGATCACAAATGCCACTCCAACTCATCCCAAAGGAGTTCAATGGAGCTCCATCACTCCAGGGAACATGGTTTTACTGCTCCACAGCCCAATGCTGGCGATCTTTATACCCCTCTAGTCGATGCTTGGCATTGAGCATGGTGATTTTAGACTCATGCAGCTGCTCCAGAGCATTCCACTGTATTGGTAGTGTTTTTCTATGGAGATCATACAAGCTGCATCTGTACAAATGCACACCTGTATCAGGAATAGATGCACTTTAAAGAAGCTGAATTCATCAGTAAGTTTTTTTTTGTCTTTTGAACATATAGTGTATGCTTAAGCAGGTGCTATGTGCATTTTATTGTTTGATAAATATATTACTGTCCCATGTGTGTTTCTCCTGATGCACTGAAATCACTGTTCCACAGGTAAGAGGGTGTGTCTAGGGGAGCAGTTGGCACGTATGGAGCTCTTCTTATTTCTCCCTTTTCTGCTACAACGCTTCACATTCTCCTCTGGTCCTGGAGAGGAGCTGAGTCTGAAGGGCCAGGTGGGCTTCACCAACACGCCCAGGCCCTACCGCATGTGTGTGATGCCACGCTGAGAGCCAGTGAGTGAAGGGAGATGATGCGCTGAGACTGTGGTATAAGCTGTCTTTAGTTAAGAATAAATATTCTATAAGAGCAAAGGATGAGATGCATGTTAGATTGAATAGATTTAAATAGAGCAACTCTTACAATATATATTTAAATAAAATTGAACTCATGACCACTGTTGTAAGCTTAGACTTTGTAAAATAGTTTGTGTTGTATTCCATTGTGTCATAACAGTATACCTGCAGTGGATTGCTGGGAATGTAAAAATATGTAAATTTTACATAATGACATCTGTAACCTCAAAATATGATGAATTTAATTATAAATGTTTCATGCATTATCTTTTTGTACTAAAATGTTTTTATATTGCTGTGCAATCAGCCTAATAATAATGGCATGTATAGTGTATTATGAATATAAAGATATGAGATTCTTCTTTTGAACTTACACCATGTCACTCATGTTTAATTAAAGGTTATTACTACTATTATTATTATTATTATTATTATTATTATTATTATATAGACTGTTGCAAAATGTTCACTAATGATAATTTGGCTGACCAACACTGTATAGTTAGCTTGTTTTGTTTTTTGTTTTCTTAAAGCTACACTATAAGGTTTGGGGATCAGAGGAAGATCTCTCTGGAGAAAAGATGTAATTGCACACAGTGTGCAAAGGAACATTTTGTAAAGATGGTTTTTGGACCCTCCCCTAGTGGAAGAACAGTGCTGGCCCTACCTAATACTTTAATCCTGTCACAAAAAACGACCTCAGGCTGTGATTAATCTTTGTGCGCATGAAAGTGTGGCTTTTTGTGTCAAACATAAAGAGGAGTCACCAAAGAAGGAAAAAAATCATGCCACTTAAATATGTTGAAAGTAAAGCATTTATAACAGTAAAAAAGCAAAGCTGTTGCCACTCTGTAATTTAAAATTGTGACTTAAAACCCCAAAGAAGCAGCTAATCAACAGCAAAACACAAATAAGCCAGTTATTAATTTATAATTTAGACAGCTTGTGGTAGTCATTGTTATTAGTCTATCATTTTGCAGTATATTAGCTAGCTAGATGTGGTCCCCAAAAAATCTGAGTGGACGCGTCTGATGATTGTGAGTGTGTTGAAAAAGTTTTTAAAGAAAACAGTAAAAATTTGGTAAATTACTTTTTAGGCTCTTTGAGTATATAAGTGAATTATTGTCACCATATGTTTATCAATAAAAGATTAATTTTGCCTTTGAGACCTAAATATGGATCCCGACCTTTTTTAGCCTGTGCATGTGATTAAAATGTAGAGACGTATGACGTGTTCTGAAAAACAAGCAAACAAAAAAAAAATCTGACCTCTCACTTTTTAAATTATTGTTTCGGGTTTTACAAGGTGACCCACAGCACTCCACCTCCTCCCTGTATGAGACTCATTATCATCTGCTGTGATAGACTATACTATTATTGCTATTATCAGGGTGCACCGGTGACAGTACATATAGCCTACACTTTAACACAAAAATATATTTTTTTGTGGCAACAGGCAACATAATCAATTTATTTTACTCTAATAACTCAAATAAATACTTTGAATGAAACAATGCAAAGGGAAATTTTAGTTTACATGAACAAAAGCATTATTTTACATCAGTTTAAACCTCAAGAACACTTCAAATCAACTTCTGCGCTGTGCCGCCTGTTACAGAGTTCAAATAATAATTGCTGCTCAGGCTAAGTTAGTTGTTTTATCTTTCCCAACCCCACTGTAGTCTCTATTGTCCTGTATTTACAGCCATACAGCTTATTCCTGTTTATACTGTTCTCAGCTGCTTCTACGTGTTAAATGCTAGCACAGTGTTAAATACAGCACATGTCTGTGATGATAAGGAAAAGCATAAAGTTGGCTTTGACTTTGAAGTGGCCGGTGAGCATATTGTGGCATCAATGGACTGGGAAATCTATGATCACAGTATCCACACACAAGACCAGACAATTTAATAAACATGCTGGAGGCCCCAAATAATTCTGGGCCTTTTTTATGAGATTTATTTATCCTCCACCCATACACACACACACACACACACACACACACACACATTAATGTATATATTAAAGACTTTTTAGCCAAGATAAGGGGAAAAGAGAATGATAATCTACATTTATTTGTTGTTCTTTTGGAAAAGATCCGGACTGTTTTAGGAAAAAGGGATCATTTGCTGCTTGTGTTAGAATGTTAGACTATTGCTTATCGTAGAGACCGGCTGTTTTGGTGATGGTAATGGTTTCACAGAGTAAACTCTACTGCACAACAGAGGAGAAGGGCCACAGCATTCTGCAGCAGCTATGCCACATATTAGCTTAAGTTCAAGTTTCTCAAGTTTGGGATAAGTTTACATTTCATATACTGGAAGAAAACTTTTTTGAACCTTGGCTGACTACAGTATTTAGTGGACTGGTTCTGGCTTTAAGTTAATGCAGTAATGGAGGGATGATGAATGGTAGTACTGGAAGTCACTGACTGGTGGTGACAGTCTGAGCAGCATCATTAAAATTAAGTTTAAAACTGAGTTTTTAGAGGCTGTGTGTCATAAAATTTGTGGCAACGTTAAGCATTGGTTCTGCTGATTGAGGGCCATGTGAATTCCTCTTGCATGCTTACAAAATCACTAAATCTGGAGTAATTTGTCCACTTCAGCTGGGATGAAGCTCAGTTGAGTGGTGTTGTGTTATGCTGATTTTGTGGATTTTAACTACAGCCATAGGGCACACGATCACCTGTAGCCATAGCGTCCGTGAGCAGGTTAAAGCACCCTGGAACAGCACATACACAATGAAGACCAAAGAATGTCTACAGCAACCTACCAATTAACAGATGAGTGTGAAAAACATTGCTTAAAATGCAAGATATACAATGCAAGACACTGCAAAACCAGTAAAGGGTGAATTAGCCTATTGTTGTGCATTTTTTTGCATCTCAGACCTCTGGAATATATTGTAATGTGAAGCCAATACATTAAATCCACCACTAGTACCGTTCCGAAATCGCCAGGATGTTTTGCAATCGAACCAAAAGAGTATCATGCTCATAAAAGAAATAGCAGACATATCAGTACTCTTAGCAGCAAGCTGTCTCAGACAATCTGCATTTCCTATTGTGGGAAAGTTTTGCCCAAAATGAGGAACAATGAAAAGTCTGAATGTGCCTGTCTCTCTCTCTCTGTGGCTTTGCCATCGTGATCTGAACTAGGCTACATTTCACATGAACACATACATACAACACACAAAAACCCTCATAGAATTTTGACAGAGATGCTGCCACTCCCTATTACTGAATATAATTTGCCCTTCACCTTAAACATTTAAAATAATCCTTTAGAAGACTAAAACCCTGTAAATAACCATTGTTATAGCACAATCCATGCCTATCTGCACATTTTTGCCTGACTGAAGTACTTTTAGAACTGTACCCCATTATCCAAATCATACCGTCTCACTTTTTGAACCATATTTCCTGAAACAGGACAATAGAAAATGTATTGAAAAGAGTTTGTTTACACCATATTATACTATTTTTGATGAACACACATATCATAAACACATCCTGATAAAAAACTAGTAGGATTGTTTTATTTATAGGAAATTTACACCCTTAACATTTATGTTGCCTAGACACTACGTCACTGACTTTTGGTTGGTCTTCAAATGGAGTGTTTCCTGTATGTTGACTGCTCCTCTTCAATCTTTGATTGGACAATTACGATGTGATGTGAGTTTGGTCACATGACATCACAACTTGTGTTAACCCATAGTTTTATTGACTTCCACTTGTTTGAGGAAGACCTACACCAAATAAAGCTTAGGTGTCCCACATTAGGACAATTCACCCTACATAGAGTATATATTGTGTAGAACAAAATGGCCAATGAGGCCGGGAGGCATCACTGCGGAACAAACTGGCCAGTGTGACCTCAGAAATAATAAATAAAAATCATCCATTATGATGCTATAAAACTATTATTATTCTAACTAGAGAACATTGGAAATAGCTTTTAATGCTTGTGAGAATGTGATCATGACAAAAGTCATACATATTTATATAAAAAAATCAAAGTCAGTTTGTCTTTGTGGTTTCTGCTGTAGAAATGTTACCAAATTTACATTCTTCATTCTTATTTAATTGGCATTTCACTATGGTTTGGTTTAACTCTTCTCTCCTCTAATTTTCCAAACAGGTACAACCTAATCCTCCTCCAGACTTTGGAGTTTGGAGCTCAGCGTGGGGTCACACACATTCGATAGGGGCTGGGGGCATAAGTGAAACCCAGCTGGCCCTCCAGGCTCAGCTCCTCTCCCGGGCCAGGGGAGAATGTGAAGCGTTGTAGCAGAGAGGTGAGGAACAAGAAGAGCTCCATACGAGCCAACTGCTCCCCGAGACACACCCTCTTACCTGTGGAGCATTGATTTCAGTGCATCAGGAAAGCTATGATAGAGCATCATACTGTCAGGGTCAGAATACACACAAGATGCTACAAACCTCAATTCTAATAAAGGTACAATATTTGAAACACAACAGAATTAAAACAGAAAGCAGTGATTTGTAAATCCAGTTGTTGCGTTGTTAAAGCAAAGGTAATGTAACACAGTGGTAAACATGTTTGTCTAAACTTTTTTGGAACATGTGTTTTTAAATTGTTTCAATTGAATACAGGTCGGGCGGCACGGTGGTGCAGTGGGTAGCGCTGCCGCCTCACAGCAAGAATGGCCTGGGTTCGATTCCCGGCCGGGTGACCAGGGTCATTTCTGTGTGGAGTTTGCATGTTCTCCCCGTGTCTGCGTGGGTTTCCTCCCACAGTCCAAAGACATGCAGCCAGGCCGATTGGACATGCTAAATTACCCCTAGGTGTGAATGTGTATGTCTGTATGTCTGCCCTGCGATGGACTGGCGACCTGTCCAGGGTGTATCCTGCCTTCCGCCCAATGACAGCTGGGATAGGCTTCAGCACCCCACCGTGACCCAGAAGGATAAGCGGTTTAGATGATGGATGGATGGATGAATACAGGTCAAACAGAATTTACTTATGACTGCTTTCTGTTTTTTAGCCATCCCAACTTTTTTAGAATTGAAATTTGTGTAGGGACAAGATATTGCTAAATCATTCAAAAGGTTGGAACAGGTGTGCAAAGTGATTATTTGAAGTGTTTTGGCCAAGTCTGTGTGGTATAGACAGGGCGACTCGGTACAATGGGAGTCAAAAGAATGATGCGCCAATATTAAGGAAATGTAAAATAAAATAAATAAAAAGAAGAAAGTGGAACAAGCAAACTATCAAATAAGAAATAACTGATTTCAACAAAGATTACAGTTAGATATGTCAACTATGGGTAAACGATGTAGCAATATTCTGAATTAATGATGCATCTGTTTCACCTGCTGAAAAGGGCAGAAAGGCGTCTCTCTTGCGGAATTGGCCTTGTTCATCAAGAAAGTGTCCTGGGTTAAAGGTGTCTGGTGTTTCCCACTCATTTTTATCATAAAGCACAGATGACAGGTTTGTCGTCACTACAGTGCCCTAATGATTACAAAAGCAGTTTCATCAGATATGTTAGATCTGTATAGTATTACGCTTGAGATTTTCAGCAAAACATTTTCAGCAAAAAGAGTTCTATGACTTGTAACAAGACCTTGGTGGGTCAGAGCTGTTTTGGTGGCATGCAGATGACCAACAACATATTAGGTATATTGGGTCATAAGGTTTAGCTCATCAGTGTATAACCATTGTGTTCACTTAAGAACCCTTGAAGAACAACTATTTTTAAGAGTGTACTTGTCAGCTAAACATTTATTTACACATAGATTAAGTATCTACGTCATATTCTGTTCTATGTCATATGCATAGAACAGAATAGACTAGAAGAGAATACAATAGGATAGAAATCTGACCACTACTTTCTCCTTAAACAATAATTAATAACAAACCTTTGGTATGAAGTATCCTCCAAGTGTTGTATCTTTACTGGGGCTTTTAGGGGCACCCAGAGGTACAACATTGCCCATCCTCTGGGTCTCATGAATGACTGCATCAGTGTACGGCATGTTGGGTCTGTCAGCCAAGACAGGTTGACGTGACTGTCCAATCACTCTGTCTATCTCTGCCTGCACCTTTTCTGAGTAAATAAGTGAACAGGCCTTTATTATCAAGTAAACACGGCTGCAAAACAGACATAAATGCACAAAATATATCTCCATGGTTTCCATGGATACTTACTCTGTATCTCTGGGTATTTCATCATGAAGAGCAGACCCCACTGAATTGTTGTAGCTGTGGTTTCAGTCCCTGCCTCAAACATGTCCAGTGTAGCCAGTAGTAATGTCGTCATGTTAAAGCCAGCTTCAGGGTCACTCTTTCTCTAAGGTATTCAAACAGAGATCTGTTATGCACAATTGTGTGGCTGTATTTGAGTGTTACATTTTTATACGCAGATCTCACTACATCAGCTGTAATAAGTCATTGTAAAAATGAACATAGTTTATTGACTTGACAACCCATCTTAAACAGACCTTCTCTATTTCCACTAGGTAAGCGTCTATGTAGTCCCGTGGGTCTGAGGGGTCCAAGCTCTCCTTGTGCTTTTTGATTTCATCATTTAAGAAGGCTAAGATGATCTTATAGTTGGCAAACATTTTTTGGTGAGGGCCAGGGATGTGATCAAAGAGACAAGGTAAGACGTCATACAACTACAAAAAGAAGCAGAAAATCAAGACAATCAATGTTGACAATGTTGAAATAATAAAATACAATGCATTATCAGTTCAGTACTGTAATATCAGATCGTTCTATTCAAATGTCAGAGAGTGTGAAGATTGAGTCTATTGACCCGAGTCTGGGTGGTGCCTGACAAGGCAATGGCTTCAGTGTCCAAGCGCAGAATATTTTGGAAGTGTCCATCATGGTAGTCAAAGCGATGCCCAAAAACTACAGAGGAGATGATGTTTGCGACAGCATTGCTCAGGAGTAACTGGGGATCAAACGGCCCTGTAAGATGAAAAAGCCAGTTTTATTCCCATATTTACTCCCAAAATAGATGGTCAGGATTATTTCAAGATATGAATTGTACAATTGCAGGGGTGGAAAGAGTACAGAAAATACCTACTTAAGTAAGAGTACTATTACTGCAGTACTGCATTTACATCAGTACACATAAAAGTATTAATAAAGGAAATTAGTCAGGTAACAGTAAATAAGTTGTTTATACCTCCACAGTCAACTGGACACTTTGAAAATAGACAATGTTTTAATATGAAACATGTTCTCTGCTGCATACTAAATAATAATATGTGAATTATTATTCTTTATTTACTGAGTCCAAATGTCCAGATAACTGGCCATTTTGATCTCAAAATTTGTGTATGTGGAAATAAATACCTGCTTTTTCCTTTTTATCTTTCACAAGAGGGTCCTTCTAGAAGGACACGCATACAAACACATTTCTGAAACAGTGGCTTGATGCGTTAATTAGTTTCAAATGTAGGATCAGTTCATAGTAAATACCAGGGACACTGCTAGGCCAGTTTCAGGAGGGCTTTGGGCCCACCCTCCAAATGAATGTACACTGTTAGTTCAAATCACAGATAGTAGTTTTCATTAATTCTTCATTATACATACGTCCTATGTTTGTAGTACTGAATACACTGTGAAGAAACAGATCTACTGTGTGCCAACTTGACCAAATAACAGTTTTTAAATTATTCTTCTGCTTGTTGCTACTCTAAAAGTTCATATGGAAACAGACATTCTGGGGAGCATGCCCTCAGAACCCCTTAGTAAAGGCTTAGCCCCCCATTCTTAAATCTCTAGTGAATCTATCTCTGTACATTTCATTATGATGAGTTTACTTCCATGAGTCCCTGAGAAATGCTGAATCCAGGCTTTAGTTAAACAATAATACTACCATTTTTTTAATGTTTGTTTGATTTGATTGTTGAGACGTAAACAAAGTCATTCTGAGTAGTTTGATATGATATGGTTCATAGTGCTGATGACAGGAACCAAAGGTCATAATGTCTACAATGCAAATGCAGCCATTATATTTATTATCCAAAACAATCAGTGAATCCATACATGTCTTCTGAGTTTTTGTATGTGATGTTGATAATACTAAAATAGTGGTAAATATGAAAGAATAGGTTTTGTTTGGGGACTATTTTGCTTTACAACACCCTGCATGTACAAAATGTTTTAGTCTAAAAGCTCCTCAAAACTATTATAAAACAATGTCTTAGATATCAGGCATTGTATCCATGGCCATTTCATGTAATAACTTCCTGTGAGGTGACTTTCAGAGGCATTAAACTGAATGACTTTGTTTACATTTTAAGCATTTAATTATTAAGACATTTTGAAAATCAGTGGAAATACCACTGCCAAAAGTCCCTAAAAGACAGACAGGTCACTTACCTCGTTCATCTTTGAAAGCATCGCACAGAAAGATACTTTCCTGCTGGATGCTGAGCTCAAAGGGCTTCTGCCTGTCACTGGAGTAGCGCAGGTATGAGCTGGCAAACTTTCTCTGCATCTTCCACATGTGCCCATTACTCGCAATTAGACCTACATAGCATGACAAAGGAAGCATAAAGACTTATTATTTATTGTTAGGTTTATTTATATATGATGCATTAAGTTAGTGGTCTCCAACTCTAATTAGCAATGGAAGTTTTGGGTTGGAGCTGAACTCTGGAAGCAGGAAGGCGAGGCGAGGCGAGACAAGGCAAGTTTATTAATATAACATCTTTCATACAGTGCAGTCATTCAAAGTGCTTTACAAATACAAGATAATATAAATACAAATACAAAGATAATTCAAATTTAAAGTTGATGTAGGGGAATAGACATTAAAACAAGAAACATAAACAAAACATTGAAACATGATTCAAACAACAGTGTTAAAAAAAGAAGTAATTAAACATTAAAAATCAAATTACAAATTAAATTAGGATAATAAAGTGCCATTGCAGGTGAGAAGTACAGTAGAGCTAACCACATTTAAACTGAGATGAAAGCTGCTCAAATAGGAACGTTTTGAGCCTGAAGTGTCCAGCGGCAAGGCTCTTCTAATGATCTCTGTCAGCTGGTGCAGCATAGAGGCTAAACACTGCTTATCTATGTTTAGTCTTTACTTTAGGAGGACTAACTGACTAGTTCCTAATGATGTGTGAGTTCTGTTTGGCTCATATCGCTGCAGCATATCAGATAAGCATGCCGATTCTACCACTGAGCGAAGTCTATTTTGTAACCTATGGGTAGCCAGTGAAAGGATTTAAGAATAGGGCTGATGTGTTCCCTTCTTTCACTCCTAATGAGAATGCTGGCAGCTGCATTAAAGTTGTTTGTCTTTTTTGAGAGTCCAGTTAGGAGACCATTACAGTAATCAATCCTGCTAGAAGGCATGGGTAAGTTTCTCCAAGTCTGGTTTGGGCAGAAAATCTCTAATCTTGTTGATAGCAGAGCTCCAGGAGGAGAGTTAGTGACCACTGCACAAAATAAAGTGCTACTGAAATTGTGATTTATTAGAACCCCAAGTGAGCCTCTAAGGAACAGCAATGCATAAAAATTAGCCAGTGATAAATGTATACGACTAAGAAAGATGGGCAGCCCCCCAAAAATCCTGCTTACAGCTAGAGACCCCAAAAGGACCTGCACACAATTTACTAACATTATAAATTCAGTTTTAAGATATATTTATTTTCATTGGAAAAAAGAAGTACAATTAGTAATAATTGCATGCTCAACTTCAGAATTGGTTTCTGCTTGTGCTATGTTTCTTACCAAGTCCCTGAAAGATTTTCTCAAACATGGGAACAGCAGGACGGTCAGCAAAGCTGTCCAGCTGAGTGATGAGGGCCTCCTTCACCATTTTGTATCCAGAGATGAACACTACTTTGTCACTGCCCCATCTCAGGCTGAAAATCTCCCCATACTCCTCAGCGAGCTGAAACAAGTGAAGTCCTTAGATAATAATAAATGAAAGGCAGGCGACATTGTTGATAATATTTCATTGGAAGAGCTGCCATGTGGAGAGCAGTGTACACTGTCGTATTTTAGGAATGCATGAGCAGACTGGCCAACCACTTAAGAAACACTTCTGTCCAGCACTGCAAGCAATGGAGCGTAAAAATATACACAGTCATTTAATTTGGTTCTCTTACAATATCAGGCAAACAAAGATAAAACAAACTCATTTACCTTGTTTATGGTTCTGAAGTCCAGCCCAGTGAAGACATTTCCCACAAAGGGCAAAGGACGAGGTCCTGGGGGAAAACGGGGTGGATTTTTATTCCTGATGACATCAATGAGCAACAGAAAAAGGAAAATAATTACTAGGCAGCTTGTGAAATTAATGTAATCAAATAAGTAGTGGACGATCATGGCTGGCATCAAGTAAAAATGCAAGCTCTTTTATTAATGTCTGTGCCTGAGGTGAGGCGAGGTGTGGGATTACGTAATCCACTCTGAATCTGTGTCAAAGGAGAAAAAGGGGAGGGGCCTCATGAATAGCCTTTTTACTTATTCTTCTTTAAGGACTTGTTTAGTAGTTTAACTGCTTGAGGTTGAAATTCTCTCTTTACTATTTCTGTTTTTTCAGAAATCCTATTATACACTATTGCTGTCTCCAGCTGTGTGTCTGTAATCAGAACACAAGCAAATGGCCTTTAAAGTAATCATTGTAAATATTTTCCTGTGCTGGTTCTTTCAGTGGGTGGAACATGCTGTGTTTACTGAAGCCAAAACCAAATCCAAATAAGCAATCCTAAGATTAGATCTGCGTTTATCAAAGAGCAAAGTCTCAGTAGGGTGGAGTCAGCTAAAATGCGTCACTTTTTGGTAAAAGAATTATAAGAACATCAAACAATTTATGCATGACATCTACTGGTATTTTATAAATATTAGTTTGGTATATAATGTGAAAAAGTATAAAATGCATTTAAGATGATCATGCTGTATAATCACGTTGTACAGGTGTGTGTTTCTGCACATTGGTGGTGTCTTTGTGTCTGTTCTGTGTGTGTGTGTGTGTGTGTGTGTGTGTGTGTGTGTGTGTGTGTGTGTGTGTGTGTGTCGCTGTGCAGACGCCATTATCCTCTCTAAAACTCCCATAAGTTGCACTTACAACAGCACACCTAGTCCTTCATGGCCTTTGGATAATTGACATCATCATACACGCTCTGGCAGGTCATTAAAAAGGTTTAGCGTCTGTGTGATGAGGCAAACGTGTTGCCCTTCACCAGAGGACTGTGTGTGTGTGTGTGTGTGTGTGTGTAATACTTACCTGAACACTTAACTGTAATACTCACCTGTTGTCTGTTTCCTAACACCAGCAGCAAAAGGGAGGCAGATCAGACGGAGCTCACTCATGAGTGTGCCGGAAGGCCCACGGCTAGCTCATGAGAGGGGTGATGTCTCTATCTAGGGCACAGAAGACCAGAGGTGTAAGGAGTACTGAAAATCAAGCCACTCAAGTACAAGTACGGTTACTGTAGTGACAATTTACTCAAGTACAAGTAATAGTATTAGTAAATAAAATTACTCACGTAAGAGTAAATAAGTAGTTCACTTAAAAACTACTTAAGTACTGAGTTACTTAGTTACTTTTTCGTATTTCGTACAGCTACTGCATAATAAAAAAAAAATGGTGATTTTGCATAGATACATATCTAGAGTTATGAACCTGTTTTGCACCCTCAATTTTTGTAAAGTCTATATAAGAGTGTGTGTGTATGTGTGTGTGTGCATGCGGCCCATTTAGCTGAAAATCATGGCCCTCTTAGTTAGCTGGTTAAGTAAGAGTAGTAAGAGTAAATAAGAAGTTCACTGAAAAACTACTTAAGTACTGAGTTACTTAGTTACTTTTTCGTATTTCCGCTGTCACAACCTGAACATATTTCTGAGCTGACCCGGCTACATCACTGGAAATAATCTGTACAGAAAAACACTAAAGCTAAAGTTCAGAGAGCTGAGACTGATCACAGTTCACTCTGCTACTGAATACTTACACAGCGTTCTGTGAGCTGTGTAAGGAATGAGGTTTACATTAAACTGCATGTATTTCACGGTTAGACGATTATATAAGATGTCCTAGTTTATCTGTTTCCAGTAAAGTATTTCAGAGTCCCTGAAAGACTGTGCAGAGGATGTTACTGTTTCAATAAGTACACTTAGGAGAAAAAAAGAGTCAAAATTATGAGTAAATTGCTTAAGTAATTATGTGATTCTTGAGATTCTTGAGAATGTGAATTATGTAATTATGTGATTCTTGAGAGAGTGCTAGATTTCTTGTCTTCACGACCGTTTATCTCCAAAACAGCAGCTAAACTAGGCTGTATAAACGGTAACTTGTGGGCTGTGGGCGACACCTGTTAACTATAGTAGCTGACAGACACTGTAATAAAATATACTCAGCAGATTTCTTGTGTAATAAACAGAATCATTATAAAAGAAAGAAGAAACTCGTAAACACGGTACCTGTTTAGCTCAGATCAGCTAGCTCGGCTAACGCTGCCTCAGGCTGGAGTGGAGCTGTGAGAGCGGATCTCAGCAGGTTTCGTGTGTGGCCCCTGATAATAACGCCGTTTTCTTTAGTTCGTGTTAAATGAATACAGACGGCCGTTTGGATGCCTGTCCTTCTTCACTGAACAGGACATCTCTGTACTGTTTTTCCAGTCGGAGCTGCTGTTTTTTGATTGGTGAATCTTTGAATTTTATCCGCCTTTTGTTCGTATTGGTGTCTGAGCTGATTCGCTCAGAATTTATTTTTACTCTGTAACGTTAAGAAAATTAAAGTAGCGAAGTAAAAGTATTTTATTAAAAATGAACTCAAATATGAGTAAAAGTATAGTTTAATTCTACTCCAAAAGTACCGTTACAGGGACAACTGTACTCAATTACAGTAACGAGAGTAAATGTAATTCGTTACTTAAACCTCTGCAGAGGACAGAGTGAGGCAGGCTAGTAAACGTGCGCACTGTATAAAATATCCTAGCGCTAATGTTACATATTAAGGCCTTGTGATATGCAATTATGATTTTATTTACCCTTGTTTTTTAATCCACTCTTATAGGACAGTAACACCCCTGCAGAGTGGAATGTTTCAGCTCAGGTGATGCAGGGGTGGGGTTTAGTAGGGGGCTAGCTTGAGGAGACTGAGGAGAAGGGAGTAAGAGCCAAGCTAGAAAGTATAGTCCTATGGCCTTGCGGCCTAAGACTCCTTATACTTACCTGTGCTGATCGAGTCGGGTCAACATTTTAACCTCCATTTACTTTGTGTTTGTACAGTGTTTTCACCTTGTAAATAAATCACACAGATTGCAAAGAATTATTCAGAGTCGTCACATCTTCAGCCTGCAACTACGTCCCACTTACCCATTCAGCCACAGTCTACCCGGGGACTTCGTGTCTCCTTATGGGGTTCGGTGGAGCATCGTCACAGTCTGCCCTCTCTCAACTTTGTCCTGATACTTATTAATGGCACTCCTCATTTTGTCCCTTCTCCACTGGTTATACTGATATCTTCCTTCTTTTTCCTGTCTTTTTCTCTTCTCTGTTTCTCTCTCCCTCCTTCCCTTCTCTGGGGAAATTTGGCAGAGTAGATATTCTTTCAGTTCTCACTGCGATTTAGTCAAAACTTTCCTTTCCTTTGCATTGAAGGATCACTGGTAGATTTCTTATGTGATTCACTGGCAGAATCTTTATTGCCAGAGCAATGGAAACAGAGTTTTTGGCAAAAAATATGTAATTTCACAGAACAGATGTTGTTTCTGTTTTCAGTATTCATGCATCGATTTATGAGTGGTAGGTTTTACATCTGCCAAGTGGTACTGCAGTAAATTTTTAGAGATGGTGACGACGTCTAATAGCCGGAAATTTTTGATTGAGCGGTGTAGTTTTTTAATCAATCCTTTTTTTTCATGGTCACTAGGAATTCAGTCAGAAATGTACTTTCTGTGGTTGGCATGATATTGTTGTGTTTTTGTTTTGTCTTTGCATCGTTGCATCCGTGTTAGAATTATTGGCTGTGACGTGTTCTTGGGTAATGCAGCTAAGGAAATCTCTTGTATTCACACAGTCCGCTTGGACAAAATCTCCCAATCAACCTGGCCTGTCCTCCTGCCACAGCTACTGCATAATAAAAAAAACTGGTGTTTTTGCATGGGTACATATCTAGAGTTATGAACCTGTTTTGCACCCTCAATTTTTGTAAAGTTTATATAAGAGTGTGTGTGTGTGTGTGTGTGTGTGTGTGTGTGTGTGTGTGTGTGTGTGTGTGTGTGTGTGTGTGTGTGTGTGTGTACATGCGGCCCATTTAACTGAAAATCATGGCCCTCTTAGCTAGCTGGTTAAGCTAAAATGGGCCAGTATCTAAAATTACTTTTTTCACAACAATCTTACTTTTTAAATTTCAACTTTTTTATTTGAAAGAACCTGCTCAAACATTTTCCATAAACATTTGCCTGACGTCTTTGCTTTTGCAGTGAAAGTGTAAGAAATACGAGAGCAACATGGATGCTAATGAGCTAGCATGCTGGCCAGCACTTCATCTTGTTTGTGTCTTAATAAAATAAAGAATTTACACATTAAAATCAATCTCTCAACAATTTTTATTTCAGAAACAACAATGTTTTATTTCAGTTGGCTTTTCTGCAAAACAGACGAATCCTGTCCCAGCATACGCACTTTTCACAATCCAATCAAATCCTGATGAACATAATCATGTCCCACCCATAATTATTTTCCGCCCAAGTAGCTGGTTTCACTCAGAAAAATAATCACATTAAGAAAGAAAAATGCGTTCTGATTTCTGTTTTACATTTGGAAAGATTTTTGGTATTGGTATTTGGTAATGTCATGATCTGGCAAAATCTGACTGAAAACCACAAGTGATCTTTGGCCTCTCAGATGACACTGCATTAAAAAACAGCATGCTTCTCTGATGGATATCACCAAACGGGCTCGGGAACACTAAACACCATTTGTGGCTGCTTCCACAAATGCAAGTAAAGAACTGTACTGTAGACGTTTGTTTACAACGTCCCAAAATGCCACTGACTTCTCTGGGTTCAAGCTCAAATGGGCTGAGGTATAGTGAGGTATAATGTAATTCTAAAAATTCTGAGTTGAAGGTCAGTTTCTGAGAGTTGTGGTAACTTTAGAGTGCAGTTTACATTAGACAGTCTGTGTACTTCTATGGGCAGAGTGCCTGAGACTGAAACTTACAGAAATACAACAAAAAAAACTCTTCTACTGTGCATCTCAAACGTTGAACCTCAGTTTCTGATGCTAGAACCAGCCCCTATTAGCAAACTACTAACAAAATACTTTTCACTGACGTCTGGAACACTTGCCTTTTTTGGTAATACTTTACAACTGGACCACAAATGAGCATGTATTAATTCTTATCTAACGCTTTCGTCACAGTCAATCAGTGCACAGGCTAGTACTTAACACATTAGGAAATAATGACTATATATTAATAAAAAGCTGAGTCAAATTTGAATAGTCCTTAATAATAATTATTCCAGTGTACCCTGTTTCAGTGATTATAGACCTGTAGCTCATAGGCTGAACAGGTTTACTAAGGATTCTGTGTCACTTTGCTTACACTCTATTTTGCAACACTTGGAGGCACCATGCATAAATCTTATTTATAGACTATAGTTCAGCAGTTAATACAATAATTACTTTAAGGGTCTTTGATAAGCTTCAGTTCACTTTTGATAAGCTTCAGGCTTGGTGTTCACCAGTTCCAGCTTCTGCTCAAGAACCATCTGTATATAAGGCTGAAGAAATCCCTTTTTCCACACTCAGTCAATCACCTTCTTGGGTTCATTGTGTCAAACGGCCGACTGGCTATGGACCCAGCTAAGACCAAGACCATTGTGGAATGGTCTCATCCCACTCTCACTTGACTCACTTGGTTTTCTGGGCTTTGCTAATTTCTTCCTCTGTTTCATTTGAAATTTCAGTGCGGAGGCCGCTCCATTGACTGCTGTCACAAAGTAAGGCACGATGTGGTTCTGGTGGACTCTGGAAGCCCAGAAAGCTTTTGAACAGCTAAAGCATCACTTGACCTCCACTCTGGTCCTGTGGTGTCCAAACTCCACACTGCCAGTTATAGTGAAGGTAGACATCTTCAGTGTCAACGTAGGAGTGGTCCTAGGTTCATAGCATCTTATATAGAACATCAGTTTAGTACCATATATATCACATCCCCCTCCAACTCTGCTGCTACTTCTCAGACTGTTGTGCTCCCGAACTCCAACTCCCAGATTTCAGAGGAGGATCACATGGCTCAGACCTCACAGGCACCAGCCTATCCTAGATCAGCTTTACCTGATTACTGATTCTCCTCCTGTGTCTAGCCCTATATATATTGTTTGTTTGCCCTTACTTCCTTGCCAAATATTGCCCCAGTTGCACTGAGCATACTGAGCATTGTTTACCTGCCTGTCCTGTCTTTTTTATGACCTGAATTTTGATGCAGTTTTTGCCTTTTTCTACTGTTTTGTCTTCTCTGGTTTTTGACTCTTCTTGTGTTTGTTGACCTTTCAGTGGATGTCTTTTGTAGCTTTTTTACGCTTTCTAAGTTTTGACCTTCACCTGTTTAATCACTATGAGTTCGGATCTCCCTTTGCCATTAAAACCTCAAAACTGGTTTTTATCTGCCAGCGTCTGATTTGTTCTGACTCGTTAGAACATATTAGTGGTTAGTAGTAGTTAAAATATAAGATAGCTATTTGAATTAGTGACAGCCATCAGGATATAAGGGCAGTTTATTCAAAGAGTTCTTTTTCAAAAATCGATTACAGCTTTAAAGTGTTCTATAAATAGCACAGGCATTCTGAAAATTTGCTAGGAATTTTTCCATAATAATGTAATCCTAGTAATGCTAGGAATGCTTGAAGCTTAACTCCTACAACCCTAGGGTAATTTTGCATAATTGTTTGGTATTTTGGTCATTTACCATTACAAAGTATTTATATGAAACACTCACACATATATTGTTATTTTCAGGAGACCCTAGGCTACTCAGATATGTCATTATTTGACATGTCAATGCTAACAGAACTTTGCTATCTTTATAAATTTGGCCATTTTGATCAAAAATGTACTCGGCATCTGCTATATGCTTTTTGCCTACACAGACATTGAAAATAGTTGTCAGTTCATGTACCTTTTCAGGAATTGTTAGACTAGAGTGTTTCTGAAGTAGAAAATTAAAAAATTTTGGTTTGTGGTTTATAATATTATTTATTATTGAGTAAAAATAAATCATTTTCAAATCGTTTTCATTGATTTTCTGTCCTCTTGGATCCATGCTGAGTGCTGAAGTTTTGATATCCAGCAAGGCAGGCCTTGGAATATCTTGTTCAGTACACACAGTATTACTAAACATACACAGTCATACAGAGTAATATAGAATTGCACCCTGGATATATTATTTGTGAACTAACCCTGACCTTTACAGTCTCCAGTGCAATAGGGTGTACATTCTTGTTCCTTATCTGTTGTGTTAGTTTGACTAATTGCAGTATGCAGGGTAAAGGAAAGGGGCCCTAGTGTCCGTTTTCATTTTTTTCTTTTTTCTAGGAATTCTTACATAATCTCTTCACTCTGCCCCAGCCCAGCTGCACATAACATGCATGTGCAGACAAACACATCACACACTCACATGCAGGACTTTTCCCAAATTCCAGCCATGTTTTTACAGTACTTATTTTCCCTTGATTTTATGAGCTGGTTGATAGGAATTTTTCTTTTCTTGCTGCTTGTCGACATCATCAGGAATAAAAATCCATCTAATTTTCCACCAGGACCTCGTCCTCTGCCGTTTGTGGGAAATATCTTCACTGGGCTTGACTTCAAAACCATAGACAAAGTAAGTTAAACCTATAAACTCTAAAAATGCATCAGATGATCCACACTTTAATTCTGCAACCTCATAACTACATAGCTTTCATATTAGTTTCACAGTAGTTGCTGAATAACATTGCAATTACTGCATAAACAACTGTCACATGAACAACTATAAGAGATTTAAAAATGTATTTGTTTATTATTACTTTAATTGCACTGAATCTGCTGGACAGAAAAAAGTAAAGCTTGTGTGCTGAAAAAGGCTGAAACCTCCTTAGATATGCTAGTTTAAGCAATAGAACTACATTTTGTATTCAGTAAATGTGTAGGAAAGTGAGTTTGTATGTGAAAGAAAAAAATCAAACTTTGAATCAACAAAGGTTTGCTGAATTTGATACATTTATTTTATGTTTTATATGTTAAATACAGCCAAAAAAATATAAAATGTGGGCTAAAATTTGCTCACTTTATTCACTTACTTTCACTTAGGAAATCTCCAAAACATCATTAGAGTAGGAATGTACATATGAATGTATATGTCTTTTACATGACTATACGTGTGTTTTTCCTTTTATATTCAGTGAATACAGCTGTGTATCTACCTTAAGTGGAAAGTAGTGTGAGAATTTGATCCCTGTGTGTAAATGAGGATAGAAGATGTCACAGAGAGGACAGAGTTGCAATTAGAAAATCAACAAAACATGTCATTTGACCAAACTTTTGCACACCACTGTATATCATACATGTTGCTTTGCTGCATTCACTGCCCTTGACTTCTGTACAACAAAAAAGTTGTCATTTTTTGGAGTTGTTTTTATGAGAATTACTTTGTGATTTCAGCTCGCTGAGGAGTATGGGGAGGTTTTCAGCCTGAGATGGGGCAGTGAGAAAATGGTGTTTATCTCTGGATACAAAATGGTAAAGGAGGCCCTCATCACTCAGCTGGACAGCTTTACTGACCGTCCTATCGTCCCTCTGTTTCATAAAGTCTTCAAAGGACTTGGTACGTAAAGGCATGACATATGATCAGAGGTGGATAAAGTACAATAGTTCTATACTTTAGTAAAAGTAAATGCACTCTTGGTAAAATACTAGTTTAGTAAAAGTATAAAAGTACTTCCTTGTGCTTAAATAGTAAAAGTAACTACTCTGAAGTATCAAGTATTGTTAAGTTACAATAGGCCAGATTATTTATTAAACTTGGTGGTCACAGCGCTACGACACAACGTTTGCAGCTCCTTAAATAAGAGCTATTCATAAAGTCAGTGTGGCAGTGATTAGTACACCAGTGTCTTTTAACACTGCTGTATTTTCACTCCTGTCCTAGACAAGAACCTATCAGAATGTAAACAAGGTCATATACATTAAAGACCTATAAAAAAGACCAACATTTTTAGAAATAAAGCTACAAAGACGTGCTGCTGTTTAGTAAAGAAAGTTTGTTTATGTTGTTGTTTTTTTTTTTTAATGATCTAAAAAATTCTAATTATAACAACATCTTAACGTTCAGCTTTAAATGGAGGAATTACATTTTAGCATGTAAGATTTAATTTCTCATTGGTAAGAATCCAAACCTTTTTCAATATCATTACATTTTTTAACAATTTTTACTGACAAAGTTTAACATTTGGTATTTTAATTATAATTAAACTGACATGCTAATTACTAATTGACATCTAATTGCTATGGAAAGCTGTTTTAGCTTTTAATTCATAGTTTGTCTTGATCTCAGAAATTCAATATACATGTGAAAATTAAATTTAAACTAGTTTATGTTTAACTCTTGATATCAGGAATTTGATTGGCACATGTGAAAATTAATGCACTTGTAAGTATTAAAAATCAATTAGTAAAAATGTACTTTTGACTAGTAAGAAATAAATTCTTATTATGAATTCTTACTCCTGTACTGTTACAACAATGGTTAGAAGGTTTACCATGATGAAATGTGTTTTCAAACCTGCCTTTTAAATACACTGGTTAATCAGCTGAGTGTGTGTAAAACACGCTGGTAATCATAATTTATGAATGAGCAAATATGTTTCCGCCACACTGTTTGCTCTTACCATCATGGTAAATCTGGCGCTGCATTATATGAATATGGCCCAGCATGTCTACTTGTGTCTGGGTAGGGATGCATCAATACCATTTTCTTCAGTAGGAGTAGATATTTTTAGTACTCGCCAATATCAAGTCTGATACCATACTGAGTAACCTACTCAGAGTAAAGTGAACAGTTAAATCATTAAAATCTACCTGCTTTTAAATGAAGTGCTTTAACTAGCTATGCTCCATTTAGGACTGTAACTAGGATCAAAACTTTAGTAGAAATATGACCTACATCTCATAGTGGATCAAATAACTGTCGAATATGAGTCTTACACCAACAACAAGCTTCTCTTTTAGTCCTTTTTTAAACAAATCATTGCTCATTTTTATCCATTTATAACTGTTATGCACCTTTTCCTTTTTTGTTCCTTCCTCATCCCTCCATTCTTCCATAAACTGCTAATACTGTTCCATAAACTGATTATTTGACTCCGACCCTGTTTAGGTTTATTTAAATAATTATTTGACTATTTATTTTTATATGTTTATTTTCAGCTGGAAATACATGTTGAAACATATACTAAATCAAGTGATAGTTTCAAATTGATTTTTATTTCATTTACCTCTCTCTCTCTCTTTCTCTCTCCCTCATCTCTCTCATCTCTGTCCTCACTGATTACTGTAAAAGCTCACATTAAACATATATTATAAAAGCCTCTCTGTACTAAACCCCAGCTACTGAGAAAGGTAGTCGTTTGTACAGTTAATGAGATAAAATACAGCCAAATGCTACTTGTTTGCTACATGATACTATACCATCCATATCTAGTCAGCAGTGAACATTCTTATGCCAGTTGTAGTATGTTACGTGTAGGGAACAAAATACAGGTTTAATTTATCATCTAATGACTAATATAGCCACATACAGAGCCTGTAGCCTAAACTGAGCAGCTACTGGAACTAGCCTAAAGCATGCTGATTTAGCTAGCAACGTGTGAGCACTCCAAATAAATAAATGCACTTTACAAGCATAATATGTAAATTATGCTAATAAACTCTTACATTTTACCATAGTAATGTTTTATATTAGTCTTACAGCATGTGTTCTGCATATCTGAAAATCTCAAGAAGTCAAAGTGAGCCTGGTACTCAGGGCTGTGTAGCATCTCATACAGAGATGAACAGAGTGGGCAGTTGTGAGCTGAGAACCAGTCACTGCTCACTGTGTAGTTTCATCGCTTTTTCCACATTTTTGCCACGCTGCACACAGAGTACCGAGCAAACACTGAGAAACTAAGCTGTGCTGCTAACACTGTGCACTGAAGCTAAATCCAGGCAGTGATTTATATGGTAGGGCAATATGCTCTCTGTATAACCTATTTCACAAAAAATCACCATATTAAAGTTTAAACTTCATAATTATATTCAGCAAAGTCACCATAGATGGACTTGTCTGTGCAAATGTCGACTTTTTTCCTATGTTTTGCTAACCTACGTGTGTTCACCTGTACTTGGGAAGCGGTTGTGATTACATTTGTGTGTGTGTGTGTGTGTGTGTGTGTGTGTGTGTTTAAAATGGACTAAAAGTCAGTGAATTCCTGTTGGGAATATACCAAGGCAGAATGTTTCAAGTGACTGATGGTTTTGTGTCCAATTGTCACTGTGTGACAATGTGAGCAAAGCCTCGTTCACTGGGATCTCACGTTTCACGCGCATTTCATCTAATTTCTCTCACACATCATCTGAGGATGCACTGATACTTTGAAATGTTGTGCAGGTGTCGCCCTCAGTAACGGGTACGTGTGGAAGATGCAGAGAAAGTTTGCCAACACTCACCTGCGGCGTTTTGGTGAGGCAAAGAAGAATCTTGAGCTGAGTATCCAGCAGGAGAGCGTCTTTCTGTGTGAAGCTTTCAAAGAGGAAAAAGGCAAGTGGTCAGTTCAAGATGTATTAGGCTTGTTTCATGCATACTGCCCTCTGCATGGCGGGAATGCTGCAGAACACCTTGCTTTTCATTTCAGTGCTCATGTTAACAGGTTAGAGCTTTTAAGCAGAGCAGCAGATTAGACAAAAGAAGATCAAAAAAAAAAGATCAAATTAAAAACCTAAAAAAACATGAATTCTTCAAATCCTGTCCATTATACAATAAAATACTAACCAAACATTTTATGCTGTGTCCACGTTTTCCTGTTGGTCTACTAGGCTTGAAAAGCTAGTGAGGATAAACAAAAGTATCATTCTCTTTTATGAATCATATTTTATTGAGTAAAGTAACTAATTCAATTTTTTAGCTTTTTTATACAATTTTTTTATCCTGCAGCAAACACTGTATGCATGAATGATCAACTTGTGCCAGCCGTAGAAGTCACACTGCTACATCACTCATATCATACAGAGGTAGTTTGATGAAACAGGCCTTAATTAGCACACTTGACAAGTTTGCAGGAGGTGTCCAGGCCTCCTGAGTGGCGCAGTGGACAAAAGCTCGCCAGCACAAATTCCAATGATGCCAAAGCCATCCGTGTCAGGGAGAGCACAATAGGCCCTGCTGCTCTCTCTGGGTGTGAGGGATGAACTTGTGTCCTTCTATCTTTCTGTGCAATGTTAGCCAGTTAGCAGCATCTCCTTGTTCACACAACAGAATTGGAAAGTTTCTGCTTACTTCCATGTGCGCTGAGCTTTCCAATGACTTTGCGTAAGCGGCAAGGTGAAAAAATGTGGTGTCTGGCTTCATGTGTCTTCACGTGGAGGAAATGCACTAAAATAATGTTGCTTTGAATGTATATGATTCAAATGTGTCAAAACGGGTGCAGAGGAATAAAACACTTTACAACAATTACTGCCAAAAAGCAACCCAAAGAACAATATAAAAGTACCTTTTTGTATGTAGTTCATAGTATTTTATGTTTACCCTATGTAACATAAGTTATTATTGATTGAAATATGACAATGTTACGGGACGGCGGGGAGGCGGACCCAAGTGCAGAAATGGAAACAGAAAAAATGATGGGAAAAAATGAGTTGTTTGTGACACTGGGTTGTGGATCCGAAACATGCACATGAGGTGACCCAAAGCCAGGTTCGAACCGGCGATGTATTGATCGGCGCCTTGCCACTGCGCCACTGAGGAGCACAGGTAACTACTGGCAATAACACCTCAAGGAAGGGGGAAAAGAAAAGGCGGGAAAATGACGAACGGCAAACAAAAGAGACGCTGAGAGCAGCGTGCTCAAACAAAGGCTGAACTAGAGAGGCGAGAGGACAGATAATAGGAAAAACAAAAAACACTTCCACTCCAAAAACGAAGGGAAGGCAGACCTCTTCTTTTCCTTTTTTTTTATTTATTTATTTATTATTATTTTTTTATTTATTTTTTTTTGGCTTTAAGCCGCTTTGGGACAGTTTCTTTTCTCAGCCCTCTTTTCTTTTCTTTTTTAGTTTTGGGGCAATTTCTCTTCTCATTTTCCTTTTTAGTTTTGGGGCAGTTTCTTCTCTCAGCCCTCTTTTCTTTTTCTTTTTTAGTTTTGGGGCAGTTTCTTCTCTCAGCCCTCTTCTCTTTTTCTTTTTTAGTTTTGGGGCAGTTTCTTTTCTTTTCTTTTCTTTTCTTTTCTTTTCTTTTCTGACACTAAGTACCGTACCGGTCACCCCTCTACAAAGGTGTGACAAACACCACTGTTTGCCTTGACCTTAAGTAGAGGAGTCCGCAGGTGTGTCGCGTTGGGCCTAATCAGCCCGCGGACTTCTGGGAATTGGAGTTCCCTGAAGTTATGGCCCTGTGCCGCGGTCGCCCTCTGCTGGCAGCAGGCGGCGCAGGCTGGACACCCTGCCGCCGTCGCCCTCCGCCGGCAGCAGGCGGGGCCGGCTGAACCCTTACAGACAAGTGATGGCAAACGTTTTAACAGTATAGTATAAGAAGGAGGGTTTTACATAGACTCATTCAAGTAATGTCTGTGATGTGCAGTGATTAAAAAGTCGTTGAAATTGCAGTTTTTGTTATGTAAAGCCATAAAATAAGAGAAGTGATGTCAGACTTTGTCATGTTAAATCTTTAATGTAACCAACTAAACTGGAGAGAAAAAACATAATTAAATCATATAAATAAATAAACACAATACGCTGGTTGCATGAACGTGCACAGTTTTATAAATAGACTGTGTTCAAAATGATGTCCGTCTGCCATCAGTGAAAGTCATTCTGAATAAACCCAAACAAAATTAGCTGTTCCTAGCATTTTCAGGATTCCAGTATTCTGGGATAACTATGGTCCATGAGGAGCTGACAAAATATCTACAGAGTCTTACTGTTAAAAGGACGGATAAGGAGAATGGTATAAAAGATTATAAAAAGCATTGGCTGTACTTTAGAGCACTGTGAAGACTGACATCAGTATGTGTAAAAATGTGGCACCACAGGGACATTGCCAAGGTCAGAAAAATCCTAAAAAGTTGATGACAGAACAAAAGTAAATGAAATGTATCTGGGAGGCCATCAAGAGGCCTAAAGCAAGGTTAAAAAAGCTGGTGGAACGTCAAGCACAAACTAGCAGAAAAATGGAAGATATTATTCATAAAAAGGCCATCCAAGTCCATCTGAAGTCTTCTAAAAATACAATAAAATACAATAAAATACAACAAAAATTACATCGATTACAACTTAAATTGAACTCTTAAAGATATGTTCTGCATAATTCACCCTAATTTCTGACTTTACATTCAAAATGAGTATACAGACTTTTTATATCCACTGTATTTATATAACTTTTTCCCCATACAGGTCCTTTTGACCCTCAGTTCTACCTGAACAACGCCGTCTCAAACATCATCTCTGCTCTAGTATTTGGACATCGCTTTGAATATCATGATGAGCGTTTCCTTACTGTCTTGCGACTGGATGCTGAAGCCATCCTATTGGCAGGTTCTGTACGGGCTCAGGTCAGTAGGTACAGTGTGTTCTTAGTTCTTAGAGCCCATTTTTGTTCATAGTTTGGAACAGTTCATCCTTATATTAGTGTTCTCGTTACAGTGTAGAACCCAAATGGAATAAAAATATATGTACATATGCACCAGTCAGCCACTTCATTAAGTACACCTCCTTGTATCTACACTCTTTGTCCAATTTATGAGCTTCACTTACCATATAGGAGCACTTTGTAGTTCTACAATTACAGACTGTAGTCCATCTGTTTCTCTGCATACACCCTTTTCTTCAGTGGTCAGAACCCCCACAGGACCACCACAGAGCAGGTATTATTTGGGTGGTGATCATTCTCAGCCCTGCAGTGACACTGACATGATGGTGGTGTATTAGTGTATGTAACTACATTTGTAACTACAAGTATACAGCATCCCTGGATTAGATAAATACATGAATTTCTTCAAGAAATGACTCCAAAAGGCAAGAGAAGCACAAATGTGATAACTGTAGCTGTGGATGCCACAGTACTGCTCCTGCGTTTACAGTGAAGGGAAAAATACATAATAAACAACTTTTTATATTACTTTATCATATAATCAGATAATCAGCAAGGAAAATGATAATTATGTTATTCAACTATAGATCAGTTAAACAGATGTGAGAAGCAGTAGCATATGAAAACCAAAAATCCAATCGATATTTAAAATATCAATATTTAAATATCAGAATTCAACAATTACAGCAGAGATTTTTTGTGAAATAATAATAATAATAATAACAAAAAGAAAAAATACTATAAATGTCCTACTGGCACTCGGTGCTGACAATCAATGTCTATTAACCCCTTAACAATCCAGGTTTATTTCATACAAAGACTTATTATTCAGTAACTACAGGGACTTCAATGCAAACTAATGGAGCTATTCTTAGGTTATAGAAGTGTGTAATAAAACTTTGGTTGGTAACTAAGCCTAGTTAAGGGGTTAATCTTCACCAAGATTCATCACTTCTTCATCTTGTCATGTCTCTCTCTGTAGCTGTACAACGCCTTCCCACGTCTCTTTGACTATGTTCCTGGCCCTCACCAGAAGATTTTTGCCAACTATGGCAAAATTGTAGATTTCCTAACTGATGAAATCAGAAAGCACAAGGAGGAATTTGATCCCTCAGACCCACGGGACTTCATAGACGCTTACCTGGTAGAAATGGAGAAGGTTTGTTTAAGATGGGTCATATTAGCAAAATCCATATTTTTTTGTATATACATATAACGTTATTACTGTCATACACAATATGTAATACTTCTCTATTCAAATCTTGTAGAAAAGCAGTGACCCTGAAGCTGGCTTTAACATTGAGACATTAGTAGTGGCTACACTGGACATGTTTGAGGCAGGGACAGAAACTGCGGCCACAACAATACGGTGGGGTCTTCTCTTCATGATGAAATACCCAGAGATACAGAGTGAGTACATACAGAGTATAAACTATGGTAAACATGTTTCAGTTTAGGTTACAGGACTATTTGTTTGTTATTGTTAGTTACATAATTATTTACATTTACATTCACTTTATTTTCTGCATTAAATAATTCAATTCTGTGATTCTGACTTTTTCTGTTTGTTTTGAAGTCAAAAACATGTAAAGTGTACTTTTTCTTTCTGCAAATCAAATCTGTATGTTCAACAATAGCTTTTCCCCCAATTCTAATCAAAACAGCCCTTTTCAACTTATAAACACAAAGGAGGGACCAACTGTAAGTTTAAAACCATTGAGCTTTAACAGATTTTCTTCATTTTCTGTGAACTATGAGTGAGAAATAATTAAAGAAAATGTTGCTGGTTTCAAGCATTCCCACCCCCAACACACAGGGTTTGGGATATAATTAAGATTTAACACTTTCATTAGAAGTTGTCTGAAATAGGCTCACATTCCCAGCACATACAGTTCTATAAAAAAATATTTGCCACCTTCCCAAATTTCTTGGGGCAAAAGCTTGTGGAGGACAAAGATCCAAAGCACACAAGCAAGTCCACCTCTGAACAGGCTCATGGCTCAAAAGGAACAAAATTAAGATTTTGGAGAAGGCCAACTCAAAGTCCTGACTTGAATCCCACTGAGATGCTGTGGCAAGACCTTAAACGGACAGTTCATGCTCAAAAACCCTCCAATGTAGCTGAATTAAAACAATTCTGCAGAGAAATGTGGAACAAAATTCCTCCACAGTGAAAAAGACTTAGTTATTGCAAACAATTGATTCCAATTGTTGCTGCCAAAGGTACTTTTTCACATGAATGATATGTTTTAAATAAATCTGTATCTTCAAGAAATGAAGTGATCATTTAAAATCTGCATTTTGTGTTTACTCCGGTTATCTTTATCTTCTATTAACATAAGCTGGATGATCTGAAATTCACAAAAAAGAAGAAATCGGGTGAGGGGCAAATACTTTTTCACAGTACTTTATGTAGAAATGTGTATAGGCCCTGTACATTACTGACAGCTGTACTTGGGGATCAGACTGATTTTGTAACAGCTGTAAGGTGTGTAATAAAATACATACATACATACATCCATCATCTAAACCGCTTATCCTTCTGGGTCGCGGTGGGGTGCTGGGCGGAAGGCAGGATACACCCTGGACAGGTCGCCAGTCCATCGCAGGGCAGACAGACATACACATTCACACCTAGGGGCAAATTTAGCATGTCCAATTGGCCTGACTGCATGTTTTTGGACTGTGGGAGGAAACCGGAGTACCCGGAGGAAACCCACGCAGACACGGGGAGAACATGCAAACTCCACATAGAAATGACCCTGGTCACCCGGCCGGGAATCGAACCCAGGCCATTCTTGCTGTGAGGCGACAGCGCTACCCACTGCACCACCGTGCCGCCCGTGTAATAAAATCTGTGCATAAATTTAAAGAGTCACTTGAATTACTGTGCCGCTCTCAGTCTCACAGGTAGAGAGTATAATGAGAACAATAGTTTACATTTATATTACACTGTTCATGTTTACATTAGTTTTATTATTTAATAATATTTAATGCCTTTTTTCTGTGTTTGTGTGAAGCACTTTGCCGCTGTGTATGAAGAGCACTATTTAAAAATCAATGCTTGCCTTGTTGCTGTTCACACAGAGAAGGTACAAGAAGAGATAGACAGAGTGATTGGGCAGTCACGTCAACCCAGCATGGCTGACAAACCCAACATGCCCTACACTGAAGCGGTCATCCATGAGATCCAAAGAGTAGGCAACGTTGTTCCTCTGGGTTTCCCTAAAAGTGCCAGTAAAGATGTAACACTGGGAAGATACTTCATACCAAAGGTTTGACATTAAGTAGTAAAAAAATCTAAACATAATAAGACATGCTCCAAAAATGTGTCAGTGCTGATTCCTGCCTTTCACTCTCTAATAGGGCACTGCAGTGACCACAAACCTGTCATCTGTGCTTAATGACAAGACCGAGTGGGAAACCCCAGACACCTTTAACCCAGGACACTTTCTTGATGAACAAGGCCAATTCCGCAAGAGAGATGCCTTTCTGCCCTTTTCAGCAGGTGAAACAAATGTATAATAAAAAACAGTAATGACATTTTAGAGAACAAATACAGCATCTCCTTTTGGTTCTACTGTTCTACAGGTAGGAGGGTGTGTGTAGGGGAACTGCTGGCACGTATGGAGCTCTTCTTGTTCTTCACCTCTCTGCTACAACGCTTTACATTCACCCCTGGCCCGGGAGAGAAGCTGAGCCTGGAGGGCCAGATGGGTTTCACGTACGCCCCCAGCCCCTATTGCATGTGTGTGATTCCACGCTGAGTTTCCATACACAAAGATATGAGATATGAAGAAAGTGGAGGATTTTTCAGAGAATGCTGCATCAAGAATACAAACTAGGCAGATATATATATAACCTGTACTGCAGATATATATATATATATAACCTGTACTGAAAAGGGCATGGAATAGGCATGTATATAAAAGGGGGCTAAAAAACGTTTTGGACAATGCATATGCAATTCTTTCTTAGTATCGTCTCATGGTTCACCTGTCTTGTAAGCTGCCTGTGTAAATCATCTATTTGATAAATTCTGTGTACATTACTGAATTACATAAAAGGCTTTTATGGCAATGCAAGAACAAATGTATAAGTATGCTATCATTTAAAAATTTTAGCATGCTGTGCTGCTATTGGCCCATACAAAATAAACAAAGTAAGATTGTGTTTGATATCAAGTCTGTCTAACAGCAATCTGTGGAAGCTCTCTCACACATGGAATGTCGTTTTGTTTTGTTTTTTCTTGAAAAGTGTTCAACATGTTATGTAACACCATTACATAACACATTCACCTTTTGCTGCCCTGAGAACTCTCTTCCTGTTCACCGTGGGAAACCTCGGCTACTTCAACCAGCCATGTCTTACAACATGCACTGTATCATGCAGCTGTGAGAAGCCACTTTTCATTGGTTATTTATAACGCACTAATTATTCTCAGTATGATTTACCATTTGTCTCTTGCTGTCTTGAGACACACAACATTCTGTTTCATGTTGCTATGCAGCATGTTTATATGCATATATAGACCGATCAGGCATAACATTATGACCATGTCCTTGTTTCTATGCTCATTGTCCATTTTATCAGCTCCACTTACTATATATGTGCACTTTGTAGTTCTACAATTACAGACTGTAGTCCATCTGTTTCTCTGCATACTTTATTAGCCCCTTTTTACCCTGTTCTTCAGTGGTCAGGACCCTGATGGACCCTCACAGAGCAGGTACTATTTGGGTGGTGGATCATTCTCAGCACTGCAGTAACACTGACGTGGTGGTGGTGTGTTAGTGTGTGTTGTGCTGGTACGAGTGGATCAGACACAGCAGTGCTGCTGGAGTTTTTAAACACCTCAGTATCACTGCTGGACTGAGAATAGTCCACCAACCAAAAATATCCAGCCAACAGCGTCCTGTGACCACTGATGAAGGACTAGAGGATGACCAACACAAACTATGCTGACACACATGAGCTGCTGTCTCTGAGTGTATGCAGTGTTTAAAACTCCAGCAGCACTGCTGTGTCTGATCCACTCACACCAGCACAACACACACAAACACACTGCAGTGTTACTGCAGTGCTGCGAATGATCCCACACCCAAATAGTACCTGCTCTGTGAGGGTCCATGGGGGTCCTGACCACTGAAGAACAGGGTAAAAGGGGGCTAAGAAAGTATGCAGAGAAACAGATGGACTACAGTCTGTAATTGTAGAACTACAAAGTGCACCTATATAGTAAGTGGAGCTGATAAAATGGACAGTGAGCATAGAAACAAGGAAGTGGTCATAATATTATGCCTGATCAGTGAATATAGTAACCCGATAGCTTGATTACTGTAATTAAAAATTAACATTTAAAAGCCTATATCTGTCCTTGAGAGCAAGTCTTCTCCCCTTTCAAAGCCAAAAACAAAGGTAGAAAACATCATCATCATCGGTTTTCTGCGAATTTGGTACTTACAGGGCTCTTTTATGAAAGAAGCTGCCATGGGCTTTGAGAAAGTGTCAAAGCAGACATCTAACGCTACTTCAGTGCATGGAGTCTTTACAGGTAAGACTTAAATAGACCATAAATGTATTTCATGCCTGCAGTGACTATATGCTTTTGCTTACAATAAGTTTCAGGTTTTTAAGATTGCTGAGTGGTCAAATCAGCTGTTCAATATAACTTTCATGTCGTCTTCATTTGTGTGTGCCTGCTGTGGCAGTAACCTGTGTTTTTGGCTTCAATAAGTATTTTATGTTTGTACATCTTTAACTTTGTACATTTCACTTTGTACATGTCAGCTGTCTGATTTTAACTTAGTTTTGATGTCTTCTCTGGGTAAAAGTTGTGTCTGTGGTGAACTGTGGCATGCTTTACAGTGAAGGTGCCGCAGTGTTGGTTGTGTTTGTGTAGGTTGTGTAGGAGATTGTCGCTGCTCATTTGTAGCTATTTTATTATTTGTAATCTGGTATAAAATGAGTTTCATCTTGTTATAGACACCAAAACAGCACCACATTGAATTGTGAGATGTTTCTCTCTGAATGCAGTGTTGGTTTAGTTGTGTATGCCATAGTTTTGAAAGTAAGTGAAGCCTTTTTTTGTATTGTGTGTGTGTGTGTATATGTAACATCCTGGCCTCCCGCTTGGCCACCACTGGTCACCAGGAGGAGGAAGAGAGCTGCACCTGTCTGATTAGGGCTGTCAAGCACCATACTTAAGTGGAGCTCCCACACAGATGTCTGATGAGTCTTGATTTCACATGTTGTTTAATAGTGAGGAATGGAGAGGAGGGGGTTAACATATAAAGTTTACCATGCTATACTATTTTAATAGATTTAAATATTAAAACATATGATATTTCTTGGTCAATGTTCTAGTTCTTCAAGCCACTTTAAGCTAGTGTAAGCTACTGTCCAGGTTTAGCATTTAGCTGTAACCATCTCTCTATGAGGAAATGTGAGGGAATTTAGTTACAGATTTAAAACAGATTAAAGTTTAACAGCGCTTTAGATTCCATAAAGTAAAAGTGACAAACAGAGAAAACTCAGTGCTTCCATACTGAGTGATCTTTAGCATACAGCAACACACAGTTCTGTGTGAATGGCCAAAACTAATATGATGCATCACTAATATTTTGGGTTGGGCAGTGGTGCTCAGTGGGTCACACTGATAGGTTCAAATTGTTCTGCGTGTCGCAACCAGTGGGGCAAGGGCAGGGTGGGCAGCCACCCTGGGATCCACTGCGAAGGGTGTCCCTCCAGGCTTGGACTGCCCATCAGGAGTACCGGGAGATTTTCTGCCTGGCAGTTTGACTTATTAGAAATTAATAAAATCTGCTTTAAAATGTATTGAAACATGACAATTTGGATTTTAGTGTGCAGTACTTAACATGAAATTAATGTAATACACTTTTTTACTTTTCATTTTGGATCATTTTCTGCAAGTAGCTATTTAATCGCAATCTTGTGTGCGTTGCATTTCAATGAAGCAAATACATTGTAAAGTGTAATAGAGATTTACCTTTATATTCTGGCACATAAACCGCATGTCCCCTATGGAAAAGTAATGTCATGTGTGCATTGCATTTCAATGTTTTCACTGTTATGACTGCATTTCAATGAGGCAAATCTGTTTGATTTACTGCATGGTGGAAAACAATGAAAGCAATGTAGCCATGCCTTAATTACATTTTAAAGTGGATTGTCTTTAATTCTGACACATATTCAGTGTTTCATTTCCTCATGCATTGTTTTTCAGTAAAGTGGTCAAGTGACGTGAAAACAATATAATAGAGGTTTTGTTTTTCATTTTTGAATGCATTTTTCATGTCACTTTGGAAAGGTAAGGGCAAATGTTCATTGCATTTCACTTGCATCCACTGTAGTGATTTGCTTTTCAACTTGGCATAAATTCCTCTCTATAATTCACTCAGTGCAGCTCAGTGCAGCTCAATGAAGCACTGGAGCTTGGAGGCTGTATCCTGACTGCCATGTATTTGAGTGGAGTTTGGCTTGCTGTTGAACTGTGTGCATATATACACACACGGAGAGCAATGTATTATAAGACAACTTGAGAAATTTGGTGTGAATAGAGACAGTAGGATATGCTTTTATAGAGAAAGTGTATAAAGTGTGTTGATTTTCTCTGTATGTGTCTGGTTTGGTAGTACAATGGCATATAAGAAAGAGGCTTGAGAAAGTGGTGCGTACTGCCTCCAAAATCATTGCAAACTTCCATCTGTTGCCTCTACATATGCTAGAAGAATGAAAATGAACACACCCAGCACAGTACCTTTTTAAACTGCTTCCTTCAAGCAAAAGGTTTCCAAGCACCTTATGTAGAACATCTCGATTTAGTAACAGCACTTACCCTTCCAACAGACTCCACTCCAGAACTTTAACCTTGTGTATTTAAAATTATAGTAAAGAATAAAGAATAGAGTAAAGAATCCAGGACAGTCACTTTTTTCAGAGCATTCATATCAGTGATAGTTATCAGGACATAAAGACAGTTTATTCAAAGAGTTTTTTCCAAAAAAAAACAAAAACAATACAGCTTTAAAGTGTTGTATAAATGCCACAGGCATAAAATTGTACCATGCTTGCTTGCAGTTATATTTCTTAAGTTGCACTGACTCAAATTAAGCATTTTTATTTTATTTTTCCATTTTAAAATGTTATGAAAGACAGTTTATTATTATAGGAAACACTATGGAGTCACTATGTGACTGTAGTGCCTTCAAAATGTATTTAAGGTTCGCTGTTGGATCTTAAGGTCATTTTTGTACATTTGAGGGTAGATCTAAATTGTTCGTACCTTGATGAATAAAACATGTACCTGTAAATTACGGGCACAATGTTTTTTTTCTAACAACGTGCCAGTAGCTATTTAACTAGCCTCATATGTTGTAAGTAAATTTTCCATACAATGAACAGTAATAGAAAATAAGTGAATATAAAATATATAAACATGCTTGGGTTACAGGTGTTTATATAGTTACCTATTTAGTTCTAGTTAGTTAAGTTGTTATGTGTCAGCTAGGCAAGTATGCTTACTGTAATTAGGTCAGCTAGAAACTGTATACTCACTACGTACTACTTCAGACTAGACTGCACCACTGTCTTAATTTGAGCAGTGAGTGCAAGTGTAAGCTATTTCTAATAATAATGTAGTGAGTGTGTTTCCTAGTTCATCATGTCTACTACTGCTCTTATTTTAGCATTAGCTGATTAATTTACATGGGTGTTCTTTAAAGGTAATTGGACATAAATTTGAAACAGATGTTGTGGAGGTTTTACTTTGGTAGATGACTTTTTCATATTTGGCAAAAATCAGCTGAGAAGCATCAGTGACCCTATGCTGAATTATGATACTAAAAATTCAATATTAATAATAAAATAATGAAATAATAATACTGATTTAGCTTCATATCTGCCCTAGCACTTCAATTTTGCACACTTGTAACCATGTAACCTACATAGCAGTGTCATAGTAGTTACTGAGTAATTGATAGTCATTGCTGAATAACTATAAGATTAATGACTAAATAATATACCTGTAGTTAAAGGGTTAAATTGAAAGAGTTGAAATAAAAGGAGCCATTTGTATCACTGAAGTATACACAGTATTACTAAACATGCAAAGTCAGTAATATATAATTGCACTCTGAATGTAATATTCAAACCCAGACCTTTCCAGTCCACAGTGCAGTAGGCAACACGTTAATGTTTCTTATCTACTGTGATAGTTTGACTTATAAACAGTAAGTTAGGTAAAGGAAAAACTGTTCCTTTTTTCTGGGAATCCAGAGAGATTTGCATAATCTCTTCACTCTGCCCAGCCCAACTGAATGTAACATTCACCTGGAAACAAACACACCACACACTCTACACACTCACAGACAGGACTTTCACCAAACTCCAGCCATGTTTTTACAGTACTTATTTTCCCTTGATTTTATGAGCTGGTTGATAGGAATTTTTCTTTTCCTGCTGCTTGTCGACATCATCAGGAATAAAAATCCATCTAATTTCCCGCCAGGACCTCGTCCTCTGCCGTTTGTGGGAAATATCTTCACTGGGCTTGACTTCAGAACTATAGACAAAGTAGGTTAAACCTTTAAACTCTAAAAATGTATCAGATGATCCACACTTTCATTCTGCAACCCCATAACTACATACCTTTCATATTAGTTTTATAATAGTTAAAGAATAATTTGCAGCATTTACTGCATTAAAAACTTCCATATTAACAAGAGAAGAAAATGTCTTTTTAAAAAAGGTCATTTTGAGGTTATTTGTTTGTTTAATATTACTTTTGTTATTACTATTTGTATCCAATCTGCTAGACATTAAAAGGAACAGCTGGTTTTCTAAGTCAGCACATACAAAAGGCTGAAACTTCCTCAAATATGCTAATTCAGGAAGTAGAATCAAATTTTGCAGTACTTACATTATGCAATTCATGTGTAGGAATGTGAGCTTTTAATGTGAAAGAAAATCAATGTTTTAATCAACAATGTTTTTTTGATTTTTTAAGAGAAAATAAGTTAAAATATGCTCTACAGAAAACACACTTCTGCACATTTAATACCAAATTACTGTTTATTTGCTGAGGGATATTGATAAAATAAAATAAAACACAAAATGTGGCCTGTTCCTGCGTTTTATATGTTAAACTGAGCAAAAAAATAAAAATGTGCTCTCAAATTTTATTTCAGTTTATTCTCTATAGAGGATGTGTTCACTTATTTCACTTAGAAAATGTTTTTTAGAATGTTTTTTTCGCTGTATTCACTTCCCTCGACTTCTGTACAACAAAATATTGTCATTTTTGTGGATATTTTTATTTAATGAGAATTTCTTCGTGATTTCAGCTCGCTGAGGAGTATGGGGAGGTTTTCAGCCTGAGATGGGGCAGTGAGAAAATGGTGTTTATCTCTGGGTATAAAATGGTGAAGGAGGCCCTCATCACTCAGCTGGACAGCTTTGCTGACCGTCCTATCATCCCCCTGTTTCATCCATTCTTCAAAGGACTTGGTACGTAAAGGCATAACATATGATCAGGGGTGGATAAAGTACAATAGTTCTGTACTTGAGTAAAAGTAGATGCACTCTTGATAAAATACTAGTTGAGTGTAAGTACAAGGAAATATATAAGAACTTCTTTGTAAATGTACTTAAATGTACTTTACTATGTCAGAGACTTCATGTCTCTGGAAAAAACATGGTAAAAGCGAAGAAAAAAGTCTCAGCTCTCGTTCATCAGGCGAAGTGGGTCATTTCTAACAGGCAAAGGGCTAAGCTAGGCGGCCACCACTTTCAGATATTAATGGAATTATTTGTGGCCAAATCAGAGACGGCAGTATACTACAAGCACAACTTTACTGAACTGCACTGCATTATCTTCTTTTACTTGACATTGGTTAAGCATTAACGCACAAACTATTTCTGTGCTTGCTTGCATGTCCACTTCAGTGTAAGGGGCAAAATTATTCAAATAAAAAGTAGCTGAAGGAAAAAAAAACAGCCTGGTTTAACTGTTTACTACAGTTACTTTCCACATGGTTTACTCATGTATAAATATCAATAGAAAACAGATTTGCACTTTTACGTAGTATTTTTTATTTTACCCCAAGTACCGGAGTATTGCACTTCATCCACCCCTGCAAATGAAAAAATCCATAGTAAAATCCATAGTAAATTGAAAAAAATAGGATTCAAAGCTAAAACTGTTTGCAATAAAATAAATTCAAACATATAGTTAGAATCTCAACATTTCACAACACTTTTCACTTATTAGGATTATAAACTTAACTTACTTAACTTACACATGGGAGGGGATTCACCAAACATTGAATCTGATGCAGGAAGAAAGGGCAGTTTTAAGTACAGGCCCAGTGAAATCTTCTAAAATCCTGCTGAAGCTTTTGTCTCTGTGTGTCCTCCTACAACAGCAGTTAGAAGGTTTACTATGATCCTCTGTCTAAAAAGATAAAAATGTGTTTTCAAACCTTTTAAATGTATTGTTTAATCAGCTCAGTGTGTGTATGTGTGATTTGTTGCATTGGTGACCAAACATGTTTGAAAATGTTAGAAAATTAATAATTTAACATACATCAGCTTCTTACCTCCAGAGCGGTTCAGGTTACTTTTTGTGGGACTGTGTTGTGTTCTAAATCGATACTGCCTTATTTAAATGTGATTATAGAGCCGTCATGCTTCACATCACACAAAGGCCAAACCACACAGGTAATCATTGTTTGTGAGTGAGCAAATGTGTTTCCACCACACTACTCGCTCTCATCGTCACAGTAAATGATGAGCTGTGTTTTATGAGGCATGTGTACTTTAGTGTGGGTGTAGATTACTCTACCCACCTCTACCTGCTACTTACTTTGGTGATTGATATTTTAGACAATCTGTTGACGTCCTATTAGTTTAGATTTTTTATGTTTTATCGACACACTAATGATTAATGCCTTATACTGTGGGATCTCACTTTTCACATGCATTTCGTCTAATTTCTCTCACACCTCATCTGAGGATGCACTGACACTTTGAAATGTTCTGCAGGTGTTGTCCTCAGTAATGGGTACCTGTGGAAGATGCAGAGAAAGTTTACCAACATATACCTGCGTAACTTCGGTGAGGCAAAGAAGAATTTTGAGCTGAGTATCCAGCAAGAGAGCGTCTTTCTGTGTGAAGCTTTCAAAGAGGAAAAAGGCAAGTGGTCAGTTAAAGATGTATGAGACATGTTGCTGTTCTTTTCAGTGCTCATGATAAGAGGTCAGAGCTTTCTTACAGGCTGTACAAGCAGAATTGCAGAATAGTCAAAATAAATCACCTCAGTTCATCTTAACCCTTGTGTGATATTTATGTTTTTGTTACTCTGTGGTCTGGTGGACCCACTGCATTATTGTTAATTAATACAGCCATAACAATTTAAGTAAAAATGTCAGATGTTTAAAATATCACAAGTGGCCAGCTTAGGGTTCTCTTTAGAAGCTGTAGCCAGTCAGCAGCCTGTCCGTGTTGACCACCCCTACACACAAATACACACACAGACACATACACACTAACAGCAGGCCATGTAGGAGGAGAACAGAGTGAAGGACACAGCACCTCCACACTTTTATTCTCTGTGGGTTCACCCCAACACCACATGTGTAATATAAATGTGTGTGGGGGGTGAACAGAGTGAAGGCACTGAAAATGTGTTATTTTATATGTTGTTCACAGAAAATGAGCAAAAGCCAAGGAATCTAAGGTTGAAATAATAATGAATCGCATCATTTTTCTTTTGGTAAACACTGAAAATAGGTCCCACAGACCCCAACACCACACAAGGGTAAATGAGCTTAGGCCCAGAGAAGGTGGAAGCATTTCTAGATCCTATATACATATGATTTCTTCTTTGCATGGTAGAGTTTTAACTTGCATTTATGGATAAAGCAACAAACTGTATTCACAGACAATTAAGTGTTTTTGGGCCACATGAAGTTATTTCCAATACAGAATCATGTCTGCTTTTAATACAGTGCTGCCTGAAGGCCTAATATCATGACCATCCAGTATTGTTTTTTGGCATTGCATACAGAGTTTCAGAGATAAAATTCCCAAGTTTTTTGTTATTGTACAATGAGAAACATTATTCATGCAGTCTTTCACAGAGTGGTGAACCTCCTCATGTTTACCACTCAAAGACTCTTTTTAGATCAAATCATGTTATTTACGTTTTTATAATTTTATAATTAAACTAATTAAACTGATGTTCCAACAACAAAACTTTTTTTATTTACATATTATATACATATTATATAGGCCTACAGCTGCCTGAATTACTGGCAGGTACTAACAGATAAAATATATTTTATATATTTTTAAAGATATTTTTCACAAAAAGGTCAAACTAAAGCTTTTGAAAAACTCAATAAAACACCTGAAACCATAGAATATGACTTGGCTCAAACTCAAAGCGTTTAATGTTTTACATGATTCACCCTAATTTCTGGCTTTACATTACAAAAAAGTGCAATAAGAGTATGTAGACTTTTTATATCCACAGTATTATATGACTTTTCCCCATACAGGTCCTTTTAACCCTCAGTTTTACGTGAACAATGCCATCGCAAACATCATCTCTGCTGCAGTGTTTGGACGCCGCTTTGAATATCATGATGAGCGTTTCCTTACTGTCTTGTGTTTGGACTCTGAAGCCCTCGTATTGGCAGGTTCTGTTCGGGCTCAGGTCAGTAGGTACAGTGTGTTCTTAGTTCTTAGAGCGCATTTTTGTTCATAGTTTGAAACGGTACATCTTTACATTAGAGTGTTCTTGTTACAGTGTAGAACCCAAAGGAAAGAAAACAGTATGTACATATGCACCAATCAGCCTCTTAATTATGTACACCTCCTTGTTTCTACACTCATTGTCCATTTTATCAGCTCCACTTACTATATAGGTGCACTTTGTAGTTCTACAATTACAGACTGTAGTCCATCTGTTTCTCTGCATACACTCTGTTCTTCCATGGTCAGAACCCCCACAGGACCACCACAGAGTAGGTATTATTTGGGTGGTGGGTCATTCTCGGCACTGCAATGATACCTACATGGTGGTGATGTGTTGCGCTGGTACAAGTGGATCAGACACAGCAGTGCTACTGGAGTTTTAAACACCAGGTTCACTAACTGCCCACTCCTACCTTGTTGGTCCACCTTGTATGTGCCAAACAGGAGACAGTAGCTCATCTGTTGGTGCACCGTTTGTGTTAGTCATCCTCTGGTCTGTTAGTGGACTATTCTCAGTCCAGCAGTCACACTGAGGTGTTTTAACTCCAGCAGCACTGCTGTGTCCATAATAATACTTTTTAAAAAGCAGAGTCCCTGAATTTGTTAAATCTATGCATTTCTTTGAGAAATTACTTCAAAAAGGCAAGAGAAGCACAAATGTGATAATGACCATTGCTATTCATGCAACAGTATTCTTCCTGCTTTTTAACTAAAGTGAAAAAATACAGAATAAACAATTAATTATACTGCTTTATCATACAACATATTGGCAAATGTATTACAGTGTAATTGAAATTATCCACTGGTTGCCTACTGCTGTGGTTACTAAACAGGTTACACTGTCATAAGGGTAGAAACATCACATATGATGAACTCCTGGGTTATGTGACTTGGAGTAACATTTAACACTCTTCAAAATGCTGTTTTTCCAAAATATTCCTTTAAAATATTTATTGAATATTAATTGTTTTATATATGAAAACCAAAATTGTATTTTTAAAGTGCAAGACAATTTATCAATATTTAACTATTACAACTGAGAGGTTTTGTGAAATAATAATGATTAAAAAAGAATAATACAATGTCCTAGAATAATGTCCTACTGGCATTTGGTACTGACAATCAGTGTGTTTAATTCATGTGTGTAAGTCATCATCACCGAGATTCATCACTTCTTCATCTTGTCATGTCCCTCTCTCTGCTTTCCTCTCTAGCTGTACAACGCCTTTCCACGTCTCTTTAACTTTGTTCCTGGCCCCCACAAGAAGATTTTTGCCAACTATGGCAAAATTATAGATTTCTTAAGAGATGAAATTAAAAAGCACAAGGAGGACTTTGATCCGTCAAACCCGCGGGACTTCATAGACGCTTATCTAATAGAAATGGAAAAGGTCTGTTTAAGATGGTTCATATTAGCAAAATCCACATTTTTTTATATATCGCTGCTGTCGGAGCAAAACCTTGTGACTCCATTTTTGTCATTTTTTTAGTTTTTGACAAAATTTGAAAATGTTTGTTTGTAAATTTCATGATGAATGGACTAACAAAAATGGACTTGGAAAAAAGTCTGGTTACATTGAGTTACATTAAAGGTAAAGTTTTCTGAAAAAGAAATTTATGTTTTCTTTCTCCTTTCCAAAGTTATCATTCTGGAGATACACTGTTTTGTTACGACAGTAGTGTTTAAAATCCCCATATTCATACACAATATGTAACACTTCTCTCTTTGAATCTGGTAGAAAAGCAGTGACCCTGAAGCTGGCTTTAACATTGAGACATTAGTAGTGGCTACACTGGACATGCTTGAGGCAGGAACAGAAACCGCGGCCGCAACAATTCGGTGGGGTCTTCTCTTCATGATGAAATACCCAGAGATACAGAGTGAGTACATACAGAGTATAAACTATGGTAAACATGTTTCAGTTTAGATTACAGGACTATTTGTTTGTTATTACATATTAACCACATTCTTACATTATTATTTACATTTACATTGAATTTATGTTCAGCACTAACTGATGCTATACCATTAAACTTATCTTGTTCCTGTTCACACAGAGAAGGTACAAGAAGAGATAGACAGAGTGATTGGGCAGTCACGTCAACCCAGCATGGCTGACAGACCCAACATGCCCTACACTGAAGCGGTCATCCATGAGATACAAAGAGCAGGCAACACTACTCCTTTGGGTTTCCCTAAAAGAGCCTCTAAAGATGCAACACTGGGAGGGTACTTCATACCAAAGGTTTGACATTAAGTAGTAAAAAAAAACTCAAACAATATATCCACAAATGCATCAGTGCTGATTCCTGCCCTTCACTCACTCACAGGGCACTGCAGTGACTACAAACCTGTCATCTGTGCTTAACGACAAGACCAAGTGGGAAACCCCAGACACCTTTAACCCAGGACACTTCCTTGATGAACAAGGCCAATTCCGCAAGAGAGATGCCTTTCTGCCCTTTTCAGCAGGTGAAACAAATGTATAATAAAAAAACAGTAATGACATTTTAGAGAACAAATACAGCATCTCCTTTTGTTTCTACTGTTCTACAGGTAGGAGGGTGTGTGTAGGGGAACCGCTGGCACGTATAGAGCTCTTCTTGGTCTTCACCTCTCTGCTACAACGCTTTACATTCTACCCAGGCCCGGGAGAGAAGCTGAGCCTGGAGGGTCTGATGGGTTTCATGTACGTCCCCAGCCCATATCGCATGTGTGTGATTCCACGCTGAGTTCCCATAGACAAAGACATGAGATACACAATATGGACAAAAGTATTGGGACACCTACACATTACACCTACAGGAGCTTTTATGATATCCCATTCTAAATCCCTAGGCATTTATATGGCGTTGGTCCCCCTTTGCAGCTATAACAGCTTCCACTCTTCTGGAAGCTTTCTACAAGATTATGGAGTGTATCTGTAGGAAATTTTGCCCATTCATCCAGAAGAGCATTTGTGAGGTCAGACACCTGGCTCGCCATCTCCGTTCTAGTTCACCTCGAAGGTGTTTGATGGGGTTGAGGCCAGGGCTCTGTGAGGGTTAGTCAAGTTCTTTCACACCAAACTCACCCAGCCATGCCTTTATGGGACCTTACTTTGTGCACTGGGGCTCAGTCATGCTGGGACAGAAAAGGGCCTTGCCCAAGCTGTTCCCACAAAGTTGGAATTGTATACAAAATGTTTTGGTATGCAGAAGCATTAAGATTTCCCTTCACTAGAACTAAGGGGCCTAGACCAACCCCTGAAAAACAACCCCACAGCATTATCCCTCCTCCACCAAACTTTACAGTTGGCACAATGCAGTCAGGCAGGTAATGTTCTCCTGGCATTCGCCAACCCCAAACTTGTCCATCAGATTGCCAGATAGTGAAGCATGATTTGTTACTCCACAGAATAGGTTTCCACTCCAGAGGCGGCATGCTTTACACACATGCTGAACTCAGTAACCAGGAGGGGTGTACCAATACTTTTGCCCATGTAGTGTATAATATAAGTGGAGAATTTTTCAGAGAATGCTGCATGAACTATACAAACTAGACAGGTATTCAGCAAGGGTAAACATCAAGATATGCTGACAAAAGGGATAAAGTTAAGGTTTGCACAAAAGTTTATTTCAGAAATGTTTTTAAGCTTTGAAAACCTTTTAAGTAAAAATTGCTGTTCATTTCATTCAACCTTGCAAAATTTAAATACTGTCCCACTTGAGTTTGTATAATTTACCTCAACAGGTTTTAAATGACATCTTTAAAGCTTACAGAACGACTGAACTGAGCTGAAATTCTTTATCTTTGAAATGTAATCTTGAGTCATTTTTAATTGTTCTTCTAATTGTATGTTTTGAACTGTAAAAATGTTGGATGTTGTGAATATTGCCTAAATAACCCAAGGATGTTGTCGATTAAGTTTGGTTTTTATTCTACAAAATAATATCGGGTTCAAGGAACTTGATTTCTGCATTTGTATTTTTATTGCAGCATGTTGTAACATTTTGATAATACTTTTTTTGAAAGCTACCTTTATATATTTGCATGTGTGGGACTTCATAACATGTGCATAAGCATTAAAAGATGTATATATAAAATAGTACTTGAATCAAATTCAAAATGGGTAAATAAATATGTTTAAAAAAACAATAGAATTTCTCAATTTCAACATTTGAAAATGTTGTCTTTGTACTATTTTCAATTAAATATAGGGTTTAAATGATTTGCACATCGTTGCATTTTGTTTTTATTTACATTTTGCACAGTGTCCCAACTTTTTTGGAAATGGGGTTGTATATATACACCTTCTCATTTATCTTCTCATTCAAGATTAATATTGAAGACATCAAAACTATGAGGGAATGCATATGGAATTATGTAGTAAACAAAAAAGTGTTAAACTAGTGTTAAACAAACTATCATGTATTTTATCCTTTAGATTCTTCAAAGATTCTTGTGCTTCGATGACAGCTTTGCACACTCTTGACATTTTCTTATTCAGCTTCATGAGGTTCTCAACTGGAATGGTTTTCCAACCGTCTAGAAGGAGTTCCCAGAGGTGCAGAGCACTTGTTGGCTGCTTTACCTTCACTCTGCGGTCCAACCCAGCCCAAAACATCTCCATTGGGTTTAGGCCGGGTGATTATGGAGGACAGGTCACATGATGCAGCACCCCATCACTCTCCTGCTTGGTAAAATAGCCCTTACATAACCTGGAGATGTGTTTGGGGTCACTGTCCCGTTGAAAAACACATGATGGTCCGACTAAGCGGAAACCAGATGGGATGGCATGTCACTGCAGAATACTGCGGTAGCAATGCTGGTTAAGTGTGCCTTGAATTTTGAATTAATCACCAACAGTGTCACCAGCAATGCATCCCACACCATCATGGTGGGAACCACACATGTAGAAACCATTTGCTCACCTTTTCTGCATCTCACAAAGACATGGCAGGTGAAACCAATAATCTCAAATTTCAACTCATCAGACCAAAGTACAGATTTCTATTGCTCCATCTCAGCAGGGAAACCACCAGGTTTACCGCACCATCACAGCTATCACTGTAGTTTTATATGTTTACTTATTTATTCATTCATTCATTCATTCATTCAAGATAAGATTTGCATTTGTAGTTGCCATAAAGTTTGAACACTCCTGGTCAAATTACTTGTTTTTATAAAGTGAAAATAAGATAAACAACAAATCCTCTACAGAGAACAAATTTAACGCAACACTGTAGGATTTGGGGATTTGGAGACCTCTCTGGTGGAAATATGTAATGGCAAGCAATGTGCTGAAGAATATTTTTTAATGTTGCTTGTGCTTTGGACCTCCACAAGCAGTTGAACCTGACTCTTGAGAGTGTGTTGAAAGAGTATTCGAAGAGCACACTGTCTTTCGATGATGTGAGTGAATGATGTACGATTGTGATCATATCTTCATCAGTGTAATGTTGATTTTGCATTTGGTACCTAAACATTAAGTCGGACCTTCTTTTTGAGCCTGTTTGTGTGATGGTAACACATAAAGATGTATGATATGGATTGAAAAACTTTTTTATTTAACATTTTGTTTTATTTATTTTTCCTTCGAAAAATCAGCAAAGCTAGTACTTTTACTAAGGGTGCCAAAAAGTTTGCATATGACTATATATATCCGGATTGGAAAAAAAAATAAAACAAAAAATGTGGCCTGTGAAAAACATGTATATTTTCTATTTAATTTTTTTTTTTTGTATTTTAAACTAAGCAAATAAGCAAGAACTGTTAGCTAAAATTTGCATAAAAATGCCGTATGAAAGTTTGTTCTCTGTAGAGGACGTGTTCACTTATTTTTCATGTAGGAAATCAACAAAGCATGTCATTTGACTGGGGCCTTCCAACTGAATGCATATGCCTTTTATATGTGACTATATGTATGTTTCACCTTTTATATTCAGTGAGCATATCTGCCTTGATTTTAAAGTAGTGTGAGTATTAAATCCCTGTGTGCAAAAAAGGCAAGTAGATGTCACGGAGAGGACAGAACTGGAATGTGTTCTCTGCGGGGCCCCTTTAGAAATCAGCAGAATGTAAATAAAAGCTGTCGGGGCCCACTGTTTTACTTGGAGACCACACCAGCCCCTGGTTATGTAACACTGAACCCTGCTATGCCAAAACAACACAAGAGCCTTTGTGCTATCTAACCCCGCTACCATTTAGCTCTATCACTTATCTCTCTCTCTCCAGAGAAACGTGTACACATGCTCGACACACATACTCATGAGAACATACACAGACAACCCCTACACACTTATAGGCTGTGGTGACTGTTTGAATTGCACTATAGAAGAACTGTACCAATGCATGCTGGTCTAGACTGCTGCTTACTATATCAACTCTTCTAAGACAGAATTAGCTATGATTTCATACGCCTTATTTGAGCTGTTTGATGTTAAATGGTGGTTGATTATCATTCCTGTTCTCTTGATTCTTATCGATTATATTTGGAACAAAAATCCACCTAACTTTCCTCCAGGACCGCTGCCTTTGCCTTTTTTGGGAAATGTCTTCACAGGAGTTGACTATACAACTATGGACAAGGTGAGTGCTTTCAATTAATCTTAATAACAGAAAAGAGTACAGACTACAATAACACACTAATCTGAGTATTTAAATAGTAAGTGTCTATTAGCCAGTGCATATAAGTGTCAAGCAGCCTTCAATGTGATCCATGTGATCTTTAATAGCCTCCAAGTGATCCATGTGATCTTTAATGGCCTCTGTGGCTCCTCACCATGTTCACTGTTTGCATCTGTGTCTCACTGCCATGTCATCTGTGGCAGCATATTCTGGATTTTATTCAAATTCGAATGCAAATTTGGAAATTCAAATGTGAATTTGGAAATGCTAATTGAATTTGGTATTTAGAATTGCTTTTCCAATGTAAGTGTGCATTATTCTAAAATTCAATTTGTGTTTGCATTACCATGTATAATGACTGGAAAATGTTAATATGGAAAAGCAATGTGCTTTTGACATTTCATTTTCATAGTTTTAATTAGGGGTGCGGGAAAAACTCGATTCTTAGATGCATCGCGATGCGGAGGTGAACGATTCTGAATCGATTCATAAATGTCAAAAATGTTCTAAATATTTAATTTATAGCGTAATGTTGACGGAACGCAAAAGGCTGAACTGGAAGTGGGTAAGTGCAGCGCCCGGACAGTCTCTGGCGGCACATAACAACATAACACTACTGGATGAGTGAGAAATCCGACCGGCTCCCTCTGCATCAAAGCCAGGTTAGGTCAGGAGTCACAACACAAATGATCAGAAGAGCCATTTTGTCCTTTCAACAAAGTCAAACCACCTCGGCAGCTGCAACATTTAATGTCCAGTATGTGTCAGTATGTGATAATGTCCTAGTTTAGGCTAAACAATATAAAGACAGTCTCTCGTTGCAGATTTAACCAACCGCGCTGCTTATAAATGCGAATAAGTCCTCCAAATGTTCGTCTTAATCTCTGTTTTTTCGTTCGCTACTGGCGAGGCCAGACCTCGGGGCTATGTGACCTGCTGTCTGCTGTCTGTTCTCAGTCGTTGAGAACCAGGGCTTTCGCGCTATGCTGCACACTTTGGAGCCGAGATTCAGCGTCCAGTCTCAAATTTTTAGATATTTAAAGCAAAGTATTTGTAATGATTCATAATGCATTTACATAAAACTACCAAGTCCTCAGACAGTAGGAAGATAGAAATCCTGTGTAGAGAAAAAAGATGCATCGAGATGTATTGATAATCGTTTCATAATCGCATCGCAGGTATTAATTGGATAGTAATAAGATGAAAACCTACAAAATCATTATTTATAAGGTACTTTCTATTAGCAGGTTGCTGTCTTAAACTCTAATCCCTAAATTTAACTTGTGAACATATATATTGTTTTATTTCTTTTAGGACTTTTGCTTTCTGTGAAAGTGAAGTTGAAAGATTTAAAAAATTTTTTAAAGATTATCATTCAGAAGTTGTTGTCCCATATTTGCACATCACTATTGAAACAGAGTTTTAGTCCACAAGTGGAGCCTTATTTTAGCCACACCCCTGCATTTTGGAGCAGGAAGTGAGGCTGCATCCCTGTCCCTCATGGCCATGTGATAAGCAGTTAGATCCTATTGTTTTGATACACACACACACACACACACACACACACACACACACACACACACATATATATATATATATATATAAACGTGTGTGTGTGTGTGTGTATCAAAACATATATATATATATATATATATATATATATATATATATAGTGTAAACATGATCTGCTTTGTTTTTACAGTTGGCAGAAGAATATGGGGATATTTTCAGTCTGCGGAGAGGCAACACTAAAATAGTGTATGTTTCTGGATATAAGATGGTAAAGGAAGCTCTTGTCACTCAAGTGGACAGCTTTGCACGTTGTGTTACACCTCTGTTTGGTGAAATTTATGGAGGGAGTGGTAAGAAAATCGTAAAGGAATCAGAATGATTTAAACATCGACCATCTATAACCTCATATTTACTGATGTCTTTTTACTACAATTCTTTCTGATTTATATGACTTCATCTAATTCTTCTGGATGAAATCTGACAAAAGGCCTGTCATTCAGCAATGGCTACTCATGGAGGAAGCAGCAGCAGTTTGCTGTTAGCCACCTGAAGAACTTTGGAGAGGGGAGAAAGACTCTGGAACACCACATCCAGCGAGAGTGTCATTTCCTCTGTGAGGCATTCAAAGAGGAACAGGGTGAGTCCCGTGGTGATGCAGGAAGAGCCTCTTATTACATGTTGGAGTTGGAATGTCCTGATTGCTCCACTCTCTAGAGGGCTGCTCAGCTTTGTGCACTGAAAAAAACAGTGCTTTAAAATTGCATGATTCAAACATATCAAACAGCATGAACAGTATGTGTTAAAGCAGAAATATATATATATATATATATATATATATATATATTCTGTCTTTGGACAGAAATGATATAATATTAGATAAGTTATGTTAAACATCTAATGAATTATAATAATACACATTATGTCCCTCCTGGGTTGTGCGGGAGGGTGCTGGAGTCTATCCCAACAGTCATTGGGCAGAAAGCAGGAAACACCCTGGACGGGTTGCCAGTCCATCACAAGACAATTGTAATAATAATCGTAATTATTCTAATAAAATATAATTAATTATATATTTAAAAATATGTTACATTTGTATTAGAAAATCATCATATCACAAGGACCCATATGTGCACACACACTTCAGTTCCTTACTCTTATAACTACATGACCTACATATTAGTTTTATTGTAGTTACTGAATAATTTATAGAAGTAGCTGAACAACGTTTGAACATGTGAAAAATAAGCCTGCAGCTCAGGGGGCTAATATATGTTTTTTATATTAATATACAACCCCATATCCAAAAAAGGTTGCGATGCTGTGTAGAATGTAAATAGAAATGGAATGCAATGATTTGCAAATCATGTGAACCATATTTTAAAGGAAAATACTACAAAGACAACATAACAAATGTTGAAACTGAGAAATTTTGTTGTTTTTTTTTTAAATACTTATGCCCATTTCCACTTCCCCTCAGTCCATTTTTCCATTTTAAATGAGCTCGGGCCCAGAGAAGGTGGCAGCATTCCTGGATCCTGTTTATATATGGTTTCTTCTTTGCATTTTAGAGTTTTAACCTGCATTTGTGGACGCAGTGACAAACTGTTTTCACAGACATAGTGTTTTTAAGAAGTGTTTCTGAGCCCATGCTGTGATTTCCATTGCAGAATCATGTCTGTTTACTAGGCTTTTGTTGCCCCTGTACCAACCTTTTTGAAACGTGTTGTTGGCATCAAATTCTAAATGGGCATATATTTAAAAAAAAAAACAATGAAATTTCTCAGTTTTGACTTTGGATATGTTGTCTTTGTACTATTTTCAAGTAAATTTAGGGTTTAAATGATTTGCTCATCATTGCATTTTGTTTTTATATACACTTTGCACAGCGTCCCAACTTTTTTGGAAATGGGGTTACAATAAGGCCTTCATATTTTTTATGAAAAGAAATGTCAACATGACTTACAAAAACTGCCCTGTTCCACTTTTTACAGCATGGTGTATCTTATACTTGAAAGATGTTTTTCGATTGCTACAGGCCGTCCATTTGACCCTCTGGTCAAAATCAATAATGCAGTGGCAAATGTGATTGGCACCCTGGTATTTGGTCAGCGCTACGAATACGATGACATTCAGTTCCAGAAACTTCTACATATGAGTGCAGAGTCTGTGCACCTTACTGGCTCTGTGTGGAACGAGGTAGAGGGTTCAGCTTTACACTCTGAGCAAATTAGAAATCCTAGTGAGGTGCAACATCACAAATTCATTTCAAATGGGATTAAAATACCATGTAAAGCAATACAAACTGTACATACTGGCAGGTAGCAACTTAAATCATATTAAGTTGACTTTGTTAAGTGTTATTAAGTACTATATAAAGCCTCACTCTTTGTTTTATGCTTTTCAGTGGTATGATGCATTCCCAAGCATAATGAACAGGATACCAGGACCACATCACACTATAATCACAAACTACCGCAGACTTGCAGCCTTTCTCAAAGAGAAGATTGAGAAACACAAACTGGACTGGGACCCAAATGAGCCTCGAGATTACATTGACTCCTACTTAGCAGAAATTGAGAAGGTAGTAAATATATCTAAGGGTACACTTGTGAGTTAAACACTGTTATTATTAGCCATTTTTAATGCAAATTTCATGATTTTTTAAAAATTGAAATCATACTTTTTCAGAGGAAGAACGACAAAGAGGCCCGGTTTGACTTGGATAACCTGGCATGGTGCACGGTGGATCTCTTTGAGGGAGGAACAGGAACAACTACCACCACCTTACGCTGGGCTCTTCTGTACATGATGAAATATCCACTGATGCAGGGTATGCTTTCTGAGAGAGCAGTGAACTGACAGTGGCTTAAATGACAACAACGTCTGCCACAAAATACACATGTCCAAAAGTATCTAGACGCCTTTTCTAATTAGTGGATTCAGCAACGTCAAGGCACACTTGTTGCTTGCAGTGGCGATAAACTGGACACACGTGGTCATGTAACCTCCAAAAAAATGGAAGAAGTAGAATGTAATGTCCTAGATTTTTGAAGATGCATCAGATGAACAGTTGTCTGCATTCATTCAAGCATATAGTGTCTGATATTATTACATTTACTATCCGGTTATTACATTTACTATGCAGTACAACTTAAACTATCTATATTTAAACAAATTTAAATAGTTCGTCTAATCACAATTTCCCTGATCAGTGAAGGTCCAAGAGGAGATTGACCGCGTGAGTGGACGATCACATTTACCCACTTTGGCAGACAAGGCCAGCATGCCATACACCAATGCTGTTCTTCATGAGGTGCACAGGAAAGGCAATATTGTCCCACTAAACATGTCCAGGGTGGCAATAAAAGACACTACACTGGGGAGCTACTTCATTCCGAAGGTAAAGAAAATATTGCAATTCACGGAGTTGTACTATATGACTACACTGTTGCACATCATTACCACATGAACAAATATATGTGGATGTAATATCTTTCATTCCTGTGGGACTGGTATACGTTTGAATCAAGTAAATTCAATGTGTCACTTGTTCCATCTATCTATCTATCTATCTATCTATCTATCTATGTATATATATATATATATATATATATATATATATATATAGACAAACTTTGCTCATACACTCTTACAAAACATTATTTATGAACATATTTATTTATAAACATAAGATGACATGAGATGTTATAATGATATATCATGATTTCTTCTTCAAACAGGCCTAACAGCCCTCGAGAATATGGTGATTTTTTATTTTGTCTGCAGGGAACAGTGATGATCACCAACCTCTCCTCTGTGCTGCATGATAAAAAAGAATGGGAAACACCAGATACCTTCAATCCAGGACACTTCCTGAATTCAGAGGGCCAGTTCCGCAGGAGAGACGCTTTCTTTCCATTTTCCGCAGGTACTGCAAAATATCTTCAGTACTGCTCTGGACTTTTGTCTAGAGCAGCTCACTACAATCCCAGCGACAATCATAATCTTTTTTGCATGAATAAATGCGGAACATACAGAGCCCCGCAGGTGGCATCCTGTATAAATAAAAATAATGCGTGGCCATGAGATGAGGCGTGGGAATGAGATGATTTAGTCGTGGCCACAACTTAGTAAAGCATGGGAACGAGGTCCTAATGCGTGGTCACACATTAGGATCTCGTTCCCACGCGTTAATAAGGCATGGCCAAACATTTTTTTAATTTACACAGGATGTCATCACCAGGGCTCTGTAGGGAACAAAAAAGGTAACTAAATTCCCATTCGCAAGTTCGGACCGTGCCCTCAGTTTGGTGGTAGTATGAGGGGAGACTAAGGGAGGGGAGATAACTCTGAGTAACTCTTGTCATAAAATCTCATCTCATTAGCTATGTCATTCTCTCTTCATCCGGTGTCAACCAGAGGAGGATGAGTTCCTCTCCAGGTTTCTTCCTCTTACTCCAAGGGAGCTTTTCGATGCCACCGTCGCCTCTGGCTTGCTTATGGGGGGCTTGGACCCAGATTCAGTTCCTCACGTCTATACGTGGACTGCTTTTAATCTATTTCTTTACTTTCTTTTTTCTTTTTTTTATTCTTTCGATCCTTCCATAAACTGCTTTTCTGTAAAGCTTTGAGACGACACCAGTTGTAAAAAGCTCTATACAAATAAATGTTGTTGTTGTTGTAGTACTTGGACTGGAGTTCTGGATGGCACGGGTTTCAGGCATGGTCCCCTCAGAAATTTCAGCGATTCTTTAACTGCATCAGATGTACCTTACCCAGACATTACAGTACTGTGAAAAAGTATTTGCCCCTCCCCAATTTCTTTGATTTTTGCATATTTGTCATACTTCAGTGTTTCAGGTCATTAAAATTACTTTTAATATTATACAAAGATAACCCAACTAATAAAAAATGCTATTTTGAAATGATGATTTCATTTTTTGAAGGAAAAATGCTGTTCAGCCTTACAAGTAATTGCCCCTTAGCTACTCAATCAACCACTTAACCTAATTCAACTGACCACTGGGTTCAGTTTCACTTACCATACCCAGGTGTGATCATTTTCAGACCTGTTAAATCTAAGCATCACTTAAGTAGTACCTGTTTGGCAATGTGAAGCAGACCAGAAGGTCTTCAAAAGTAGCACATGATGCCACGTTCTAAAGAGATTCAAATACAGATGCGAAACAAAGTCTTTGAAATCTACCAGTCTGGAGAAGGTTGCAAAGCCATTGCTGAGGCTCTGGGACTCCAGAGAACCACAGCGAAAGCCTTTATCCAGAGAACTCGAAATAGTGGTGGACCTTCCTTGGAGCGGCTGGCCTACCGAAATTTCACCAGGAGCACATCAACGACTCATCCAGGAGGTCACAAAAGAACACAGACAAACATCTAAAGAACTGCAGGACTCACTTGCCTCAATTAAGGTCAACGTACATGATTCCATAATAAAAAAAGACACTGGGTGAAAACGGTATTGATGGGAGAGCTGCAAGGTGCAAATCACTGCTGGCCAAAAAGAGCACAAAGGCTCGTCTCGAGTTTGCCAAAAAAAAATCTACATGACCCCCAAGACTTATAAGATTCTGTGGATTAATGAGTCAAAGGTGGAACTCTTTGGAAGACATGGGTCCCGTTACATCTGGGGTAAAGCTAACACCGCATTCCACCACAAGAACCATCATACCAACAGTCAAACATGGTGGTGGTAGTGTGATGGTCCGGGGCTGCTTTGATTCTGCAGGATCTAGATGACTTGACATAATTGATGGAACCATGACTGCTCTCTATCAGGAAATCCTGAAGGAGAACGTCACCCTGTCAGTTGTGACCTGGAGCGGCCGTGTCAAAGTCCTGACTTGAATCCCATTGAGATGCTGTTTTAAGACTTTAAACGGGCAGAAACCCTTCAATGTAGCCCAATTAAAACAATTCTGCAAAGAAGAGTGGAAGAAAGTTCTTCCACAGTGATGTAAAAGTCTTATCGCAATTTATCACAAACATTTGATTGCAGTTGTTACTGCCAAGGGTGACACAACCAGCTATTAGGTTTAAAGGTAACACAACCAGTTTTTAGGTTAAAGGGGCAGTTGCTTTTTCTCATGGGTAATATAGGTTTAAATAAATCTATATCTTCAATAAATGGAAAAGTCATTTAAAACTGAATTTTGTGCTTACTTATGTCGCCTTCATCTTGTATTAGAATTAGTTGGATGATCTAAAATTTTATTATAAATGTTATGAAAAATTAGCAAAAACAGAAGAAACAGGGGAGGGAGCAAATACTACGTTCACTGAATACAACAGATTTTCTTAAATTGTTCTATTATTTTTTTCTTTCTTTTCTCACTTAACGTCTAGTCATTGCTTACTATACTAAGTCATGCTGGGATTTTTTGTTTTATCGTTTTATTTCCTGCTCTCTTTCTTGGCAAAGGAAAAGATTAACTTCATTCACAAAAAATGGACTGAAAGTAAAGCATAAGCTTTCACTTTTGTCTATGTTAAAGACACCAAATAAGCCTGCTGTCATAGTTACATTGAGTGAACACACATTTTTGAACAAGAACAAACACTGTTTAACTGATTAGCTGCTGTAGCTTGGCTGAGAACTGGAGTGACAGTTATCTAGCTAGTTAATAAGGCAGATTTAGTGTGTAACAGTATATTAACATTGAGCTAACCAGTGTAGCCTTAGTTTACAAGTAGACTGAATGAACCTGCTAACTCAGCTAGCTAGCTAACTAAGCAAAGTTCTCACAGGCTCTGAACTCTGTGCTCCCCCTTCAGCACTCTGGGCCTGCAGTTCCTCTCTCTGATAGCCGTTTTGCAGTTTTGTGCATTGCTTGTCATCTTGTTCAAGTATCTTCCTGGTTTTTATCATGCACCTTTTACGATGACCCCCTCTTTACATTTTATACAGTTTTTCTCCCTCTCTCTCCAGCTAGCCTAAACAGTTTACCTTCTTGAGCTGAATGGTAAAGCTTGGCAGGGAATTCACAAACGTTGTGGTTTTGGATGTGTCTTTAGGTAAAAGGCTGTGTCCTGGGGAATATTTGGCTCGTGTGGAACTCTTCCTCCTCTTCACCATCCTCTTACAGAACTTCACTTTCTGTCCTCCTCCTGGGGAAGAGCCCAGTCTGGACAGTCATCTCGGCTTCACGCAGGCCCCAATGCCTTACAAGATCTGTGCCATCCCAAGATAAGGAGATAAAGCCATGTACAGACAAGAGGTGGGAAGAGTAACCTAAACCCCTACCTTAGTAAACGGATGTCTAAGACCACTAGTGAAAGTGGTTCTATTTTTCATTCCTTTCTATTTTAAGGTTTTTTAATGTGATGTACAAATGATGTTAGCAGCATAACAGTTTCAGTGAAAAGTAGAATCTTTGAATGCTTACATACATTTTCAGAATTTCAGAATATGTCAATCGTTCGCTCTAATGACAGTGTGCATTCAAGCTGGCACTGACTCCACGGGTTTGTGCAAAGGCCTCTGACGAGCAGGTCAAATTAAGTCTGAACATGAGCTTCAATAGAAGAGACAAGAAAAAAATGATCTTTTTGTACAAAGGCCTTATACAGTGTCATTTCAATTTGAATAGTGACCTAGAAATAGTGCACAATCTTGAATATTTCTTCTACATTTTATATGTATCAATTTTCTTTGTTTTTAATGTTTGAAAAAATCTAAAACATTCTGTTGTTTGTTTCAAAGTAAAAAAAAATGATTCTCAATATGGTCTCAGATTTTTGGACCCCACTGTATTTGAAGTAATGAATTAAGTAAAAATAAATGTACTTTTCCAAACAAACAACTTGAGTAGAAGTACAAAGTAGTGGGTCAAAAAATTGCACTGAATACTTACAGAACTGCAGAACATCTTATTACATCCAGCATCTATCTGCACATAGGAATCGAAGTCTGATAGACTCTGTTCTTCTCTTTTTGATGCACAGTTGGTGAAAAATGAAAGACAAACCTCAAAAGTGGAAAGATGATGTATAGAAAAAATGCATGGTGCTTATCAAAGTCATCAAAAGTGAAGACTATAAATGAGAACTGTACTATAAATGAACCGTACTTCATTTTTTTCATTTTGGTTCTTGCTAATGATAAATAGATATGCAAATAATATACTACACAACTCACTGTCCTAATGAACATTTGAACAATGATCATTTTTATAGTTCTATGCCACATTTTTCTGTCCTTTTCATTTTTTTTTCTGTGGTCCACTTATGACATTTGTGTAGGTTTATGTACCAAAAACAGGGCATCATTTGTTTTTACAGGACCTTTTTTCAATCTCTCCATTCATTAGAATTAAACAGAAATATATTTGTAAATGATCTTCTAAAGATCTTTTTAATTGGCTGTCCTGTATTGTGCTTCATTCAGAAAACAGTCTGGGCAGAAACATTCCTTATAACTTCAATGTAAATGGGCAGGACGAAGCTGCTGTAGACTGAATATGCTGTGTTGGTTTTTGTGACATCCCAAAAAAAAATGGATTTCAATGGGCCATTTTTGCAGCTTAGTTTCTATATATGGACTGTATGGACTGGAGTGAACTTTTACCATTTATTGCATACTAAGTTAAAATCTTATTTCAATAGAGCAAGGAAAATTGAAGGGATTTTTAAATGATATGGGCCCAATAAATGTAACACACCTAGTGATTACATGACGTAAAGACACCTGCTCTTTTTAAAGGGTGTAAAAACAAAACAAAAACAATAACACTTATATTCACAGTCACAACAGCAACAATATTGCTGTTGTCTGAACAAAACATTGTATCTCCAAAATGGTAACTTTACAGGAAAAGCAAAAACATACATTAGTTTTAATGTAAGTCAATGGAACCAGATTTTCCATGTAATTTTGGGACATTTCTTTTGATCCTTTCATCATGAAATTTACACACAATGTAAAGAGAAACAGGCACTTTCAAATTATGTCAAAAATTGAAATGTGACAAAAATGGAGATACAAGGTTTTCTTCGGACAGCAGCTATGTGTGGATGTATAGAGAAAATCCCACAGGTACACACATATATGAGCCCATAGCCCGAACCTGAAATCTATGAAAACATTTAAAATAATTCACTGTATCTGTTAACTTTTATTTCATCTTTTAAAACTTAGCTGAAGACTTTCTTCTTTATTTAATTCAATTCTTCTTTTCTACTTTACATATACATATTGTCGCTGTTGGAACAAAAGCTTGTATCTCCAAAATCATAATTTTACAGGAGAAGGCAAAAACATTCTTCAATTTCTATCTTGTTTTTGTGTGGGTTATTTCTTGTGAAGTGGCCATGATGTAAATAACAGTAATCAAACAAACAAATAAAGCATATTCAAATGAAAGCACAGTATCTTACCTCTGCCCTGCAAGTTATTATGTTTGACTACCTCATTCACAGAAGATAAACGCATCAATAAAAGTGTAATGTGTGTCTAATGTGCAAGTTTAAAGTATAGGACTATTTGTGTGAATGTTTGACTGAGGTGAATAAGTTGTAGGAATGGTGAGTAAAGGAACAAATAAATGAACTTTGTTGATAATTCTTTCATATTTTAGTTCTTTAAGTCAAGTCTGTGCACATTTGAGTGATCAGACAGCCAGTGAACATAAAGAAAGCACTGATCTATTCTAAGTTACAAGCTGTAATAAAATCTGTAAATGTTGCTGAGTCATTTGAAACCTTGCTGATGTCCAGACTTCACTGATGTCTTATGTAAGACTAATGAAATGTGCACACATCTGGGTACAGACAGGTAGGAGGTGATATGTCATTAGTTAAGAAAACATGCTAAGGGTCATGAACACAGAGGTCAGGGTGCACATAAACAAAATGAATTATGACCTACATAAGTCAGCCTTTTTACATTTATACTGAACAAAGTGCAGTGCAGGCCATACACGTGTAGAGGAAAGAAACAGCTGATGCCTGAGCGCCTGCAGCTTTGCCCTTTGATTTAGAATGTAATTTTTTTGCAAAGTCAGCGAGTTCATCATTAATGATTAATGCATGTTTAACCAAATCCTGTTCTTTGGCACACCAATCACAAGCCCCGCCTTATTGTCTTGGCCGTCTAGTAACTGCTTAGCAACCACTGCTTTCCATCTTTATCTGTGTAAAGTTCAGATTTAATTTAACTCGTTTAAGCCCACTGTACCAAAGTTGCCACACAAAAAACTGAATCAGTGCTGTTGGACCTACGAACTGAGAATATGTTGGCATGAAATGCATTCATTTAGTTGTCTTTAAGTAACTGGTTTATGTAAAATGGACAAAAAATTATGAAAATGCAATTCCATTCCAATGAAACTCAAATAAACTGTACTAAAATGATTCAATTCTGCTCCATCAAGAGTTGAATTTTACACTAACGTTACAAAGTCCTTGCATACTGACTAGTATGCATAACTGAATGAAGTTCATAAACCAATTTATTTTACATTAGCACACAGTGCATAACCCTCCTTCTCCTTTTTTCCCTTTATAAAACATTAGGTTTGAAGCTCTGTTTAGAGTCAGATGTGCCTGGGCAACACTCGATAGCCTGACAGACTCAAGAATGTTGTTTAAAGACAAAAAAAAAAAGTTAAAAAGCTTTGTATTCATCTGTGTGGTAAAGCTCACCGGCTGAACACAAATCCCTTGAACAAAGGCATCTAGGTGTGCACAGAGGTGAGCCATTTCATTTGCTGTTCAGCTGGTAATATGAGCTGGTTTGACTGAATAACAAGCCGTGTGTGTTGTGTTCTCAATGGTAGGATTAATTAAACTTTTGGGTTCTTTGTGTCCGTTAGCTTGTTTAATCACATTTCATTGGCTGTCAGCTGCCGTGGTGAGACTTAACCAATCAGAACTACAACTTGTGAAAGCAATTCGGTATTAAAGGCTTCAGTTACTTACAGTGGAACTAGCATTGTTAAATATCTAGATAATTTGGTTTGATATTAAATATTTTTGATATTAAGGTTGACAGATGGTGTCTTGGAAAATTATGATAATATCTTTGGATAAATTACAGTCTAATCATGTAATATGGTGTGGTTTGTTGTAACATTCCTCATTATTGTCTTATTTATTGTCAGTCATTGCTGTAGTAATTAGGTTATGCTGATGTTGCTGTTCATCCCATATGGAAGAATAATGTATGTAGACATATTTGGTAATTTCAAAAATATAAACATATACATGCAATATATGTGATGTTTTTACTATATATATATATATATATATATATATATATATATATATAAATGTATCACAATTTATGCACATATATATGTCAATATATTGAAATAAAAATACATATTTATATTAAATGTATGCAATAGTGTCAATTTTTTATATTTACATATATGTCAAACATATATGACATGGCATGTTCTATAATGATGTAGAATTGAAGACAATTTGCCAAAAAGAATTGCCGAATTGTAACTTGGACCACAATGCTGCAATGTTGGCCCACTGATGGCAAAGCTGGTGGTCCACTGGCATTTTTCTGGTCAGCCCACCAGAGTTTAAGCAGAGTATCAGACAAAATTCCACTTATAATTGCATTTTCCACTCAGAGTCCAGTTCACTTATTTTTCCTTCCTTCCTTCCTTTAGTTATGCTTTGTAAATTAGTTTAGTAAATAATTTTAATCCTGTACGGTGTCAGCAACAACATTTTCTATAAAATCTCAAAATTTTTTTCAGGACAATAATCTGTTGGAACAGATTCCAACAGATTATTGTCCTGTTGGAACAAAAGCTTGTATCTCCAAAATCATAATTTTACAGGAGAAGGCAAAAACATTCTTCAATTTCAATCTTGTTTTTGTGTGGGTTATTTCTTGTGAAGTGGCCATGATGTAAATAACAGTAATCAAACAAACAAATAAAGCATATTCAAATGAAAGCACAGTATCTTACCTCTGCCCTGCAAGTTATTATGTTTGACTACCTCATTCACAGAAGATAAACGCATCAATAAAAGTGTAATGTGTGTCTAATGTGCAAGTTTAAAGTATAGGACTATTTGTGTGAATGTTTGACTGAGGTGAATAAGTTGTAGGAATGGTGAGTAAAGGAACAAATAAATGAACTTTGTTGATAATTCTTTCATATTTTAGTTCTTTAAGTCAAGTCTGTGCACATTTGAGTGATCAGACAGCCAGTGAACATAAAGAAAGCACTGATCTATTCTAAGTTACAAGCTGTAATAAAATCTGTAAATGTTGCTGAGTCATTTGAAACCTTGTTGATGTCCAGACTTCACTGATGTCTTATGTAAGACTAATGAAATGTGCACACATCTGGGTACAGACAGGTAGGAGGTGATATGTCATTAGTCTGGTTAAGAAAAAATGCTAAGGGTCATGAACACAGAGGTCACATAATGATTAATGCATGTTTAACCAAATCCTGTTCTTTGGCACACCAATCACAAGCCCCGCCTTATTGTCTTGGCCGTCTAGTAACTGCTTAGCAACCACTGCTTTCCATCTTTATCTGTGTAAAGTTCAGATTTAATTTAACTCGTTTAAGCCCACTGTACCAAAGTTGCCACACAAAAAACTGAAGCAGTGCTGTTGGACCTACGAACTGAGAATATGTTGGCATGAAATGCATTCATTTAGTTGTCTTTAAGTAACTGGTTTATGTAAAATGGACAAAAAATTATGAAAATGCAATTCCATTCCAATGAAACTCAAATAAACTGTACTAAAATGATTCAATTCTGCTCCATCAAGAGTTGAATTTTACACTAACATTACAAAGTCCTTGCATACTGACTAGTATGCATAACTGAATGAAGTTCATAAACCAATTTATTTTACATTAGCACACAGTGCATAACCCTCCTTCTCCTTTTTTCCCTTTATAAAACATTAGGTTTGAAGCTCTGTTTAGAGTCAGATGTGCCTGGGCAACACTCGATAGCCTGACAGACTCAAGAATGTTGTTTAAAGACAAAAAAAAAAAGTTAAAAAGCTTTGTATTCATCTGTGTGGTAAAGCTCACCGGCTGAACACAAATCCCTTGAACAAAGGCATCTAGGTGTGCACAGAGGTGAGCCATTTCATTTGCTGTTCAGCTGGTAATATGAGCTGGTTTGACTGAATAACAAGCCGTGTGTGTTGTGTTCTCAATGGTAGGATTAATTAAACTTTTGGGTTCTTTGTGTCCGTTAGCTTGTTTAATCACATTTCATTGGCTGTCAGCTGCCGTGGTGAGACTTAACCAATCAGAACTACAACTTGTGAAAGCAATTCGGTATTAAAGGCTTCAGTTACTTACAGTGGAACTAGCATTGTTAAATATCTAGATAATTTGGTTTGATATTAAATATTTTTGATATTAAGGTTGACAGATGGTGTCTTGGAAAATTATGATAATATCTTTGGATAAATTACAGTCTAATCATGTAATATGGTGTGGTTTGTTGTAACATTCCTCATTATTGTCTTATTTATTGTCAGTCATTGCTGTAGTAATTAGGTTATGCTGATGTTGCTGTTCATCCCATATGGAAGAATAATGTATGTAGACATATTTGGTAATTTCAAAAATATAAACATATACATGCAATATATGTGATGTTTTTACTATATATATATATATATATATATATATATATATATATATATATATATATATATATATATATATATATATATATATATATATATATTTGCTTAATATATTAAAACTGTGTGTTCTTTAAATGTATCACAATTTATGCACATATATGTCAACATATTGAAATAAAAATACATATTTATATTAAATGTATGCAATAGTGTCAATTTTTTATATTTACATATATGTCAAACATATATGACATGGCATGTTCTATAATGATGTAGAATTGAAGACAATTTGCCAAAAAGAATGGGCCAAACTTGGACCATAATGCTGCAATGTGGGCCCACTGATGGCAAAGCTGGTGGTCCACTGGCATTTTTCTGGTCAGCCCACCAGAGTTTAAGCAGAGTATCAGACAAAATTCCACTTATAATTGCATTTTCCACTCAGAGTCCAGTTCACTTATTTTTCCTTCCTTCCTTCCTTTAGTTATGCTTTGTAAATTAGTTTAGTAAATAATTTTAATCCTGTACGGTGTCAGCAACAACATTTTCTATAAAATCTCAAATTTTTTTTCAGGACAATAATCTGGGTGGTCCAAGATCCGGTCAGTGGGGTGCCAACCTTATCAAGCCTATCAAGCGTATGCTCGCTGTCTGGGTTAGCCCTAGTATATAGTACCTAGTATCTAGTATCTGGCACTTCCAACTGGTATTCTTGAATAAGATGGGATGAACTTACCTCCCAGTGGCACACATATAAACACACAATCAGTAAAAGGAGTGTTTTTGTTATTGTTGTTGTTGTTGTTAATAAAGTTGCATATCGTCTATATATAACATGACATAAGGTCAGATTACATTACCGAGAGGTAGATAGTAACTAGTTACATTTACTCAAGTACATGTACTTAAGTAAAATACTGATGAATTTGTACTCTAACTGAGTATTTTCAAATCATAATATTTTTACTTCTACTGAAGTATATTTAAGCAATAGAACACTCAAGGTCATGTGTTATCGCATCTGTGATGTTATTTGCAAAAATATGCACAACCTTGAGTGTCCCATTGCTTTTATACAAGTTTTTACAAAATAAAGAAACTAAAGAAATCCAAAAAGCCTTGAAATTCACACTGAATATGCTTTAATACTGACAATACCTTCTGCCAAAAAGTGGTTCCACAACAGAACTCGTCAAGAGGAGAATTACCACCCTGTAATGTCTTCTGGGTTTCTCAAATGCTAGAGGGCGCTCCCGAGTGAGTCCAAAATGAATGGGTTAAGATGGAGCATTTGAGTTAAATCACAGTTTATAAATGCTTAAACAATTTTAATATAAAAAGATACAATCACTTCCTGAACACTGAATAGCACTGAAGGCATTTTAACACTGTTTTTATATGTTTAAGAGCTTTTAAACTTGAGTTACAGGAGTTTAAAACAGTGCCTTATGTATGGCCATGATGTCTGTGAGCACGAACAGCCAATGAGCTGCTCCGCTCGCCAACCAATCAGCACTTGCCACCAATAATGTTGGCGTCCTGCTGCCCAAAACCTGTTTGCTGTAGAAAAAAGGAAATATATAGTTAAGTTTTCTTTGCTTTTTTAGTAAAATACATCCTTCTACTTTCTAAAATTAAAGGTTCTGGGTGAGTGATTAGAAGCTATTTTAACTTTTTGTTTTTAGCCATGAGCTCCATTTACTCACATTCATTGAGGATTCACTCATGGGTGCCCTCTGCTGTTTTGCAGTCATGTTTTTGATATAACGAGGGAAATAGGAAGAAGCCAGGCTCCTCATAAACTGGCTTTGGTTCCACAACAAATGTGTTGTTGCTATGCAATGGTAACAGTTCCCTTGCCTGTTGAGCCCCGTGCGCAGTCCAAGATACCCGCTGACACTATAGGGCTCACCTTTTCTGGTATGGATAGAGCCATAGAACATACACAATATCAATATCAATATCAATATATATATATATATATATATATATATATTGTTATATATAATATATAGTATATAATATTTTTAAGTTCAGCTCAGCCTTTTTAATTGTTGTCAAATGAACCTGAATGTCATTTTGTAACAGCCAGTCTGCAAAGTACTTTGTAGCCCAGCTTGTTTGCCGAATTGTATTCTGTTCATGTGCAGCTGTTCTGCCGTCACTGCAGTCAACTATTGCTTAGGCTACTCCACCCACCTCTGCCATTAACACATTATGTTACATGTTCAGCCTATCTATAGAGAGTAGGCAGTGCGGGGGTGTGACTAACAAAAGGTAGAAAACACAGGCGCTGTCCTGTGAGACCACTAGTTGTCTGTTTCTAAAACGTTCCGTCTCTGTCTCTCTGTCACTGCTCAGCCATGGTGCCTTTGGCGTTGCTTGAGAGTTTTGATCTGAAGAGTCTGCTGCTCTTTCTTCTTGCTTTCTTGTTGGTCCTGGACTACCTAAAGAACAAGCCTCCACTGAACTTCCCGCCTGGACCCATCGCCATCCCATTCCTGGGAAGCATTTTTAATGTCAACTTCAAAGAGCCACATATTAACTTAACCAAGGTGAGCAAATACAGTTTTTGTGGTGGGCTCCTGCATGGGTAGTTTGTGATGAACTGATTCAGTATATCTGAAGAAAGATTTCTATAAAGTGTTTACAGTCTGTATTATTGCTGTCATTCTAATGGGTTTATTATTAACCTTTCTAAGAAGGGAGATTCCCCTGAAATACTATACTAACACACCACATTGTTTCCAAGAGCTTACATAATACAAGTGTAACTGGATATGATTGTGTTTCCAGGACTGTTAAAGCCATCTACACATGAGAGAGAATGTTTAACCCCTTAAACTGCCTTATGCTTTAAAACATGCAGTGTTCTTTGCAGAGATGGAATGTATTAACTAAAATCAACAAAATGTAATTTGCCCCCAAATTTTGCATATAAAAGTGTGTGTGTTTATCTATCTATCTATCTATCTATCTATCTATATATATATATATATATATATATATATATATATATGTGTGTGTGTGTATATATATATATATATATATATATATATATATATATATATATATATATATATATATGCATGTAGTACATACATACAGAACATACAGAACATACAATACGATACAGATTGTACTACACACCAGCCTACCTACAACTTCTACAACTACCCTATTGTTTTATGAAGAAGCATTTATGAGTATGATGATTGTACAGCTTGATAAAGAGGCAGACCAGATTGTGAGCAGAATATGGAAAGCCAAAAGCAGCACAGGTATAAAGACACCCTAAGACATGAGCACCCCTCCACAGTCCACTGTGACCCGCTTCAAAGCTCTGTAAGGTTTAGCATAGGTTTTTAAACCAGTAGGTCACAAGTAAAAAGGCCAAAGAATCTCCCTGTTTAGTGTTTTACCTGCTTTGACACACCCACAAAGATGATGAATTCAGATCACAGTCCATAGCGTGAGAACACAGGCAGAACAGCACCAAAATCTCAGTTTACTGCAACTCTATATGTCTATCAACTCAAATCTCTGCACCTGCATCTGAAAAAAGTAAACAAAAGCTTGAGTACACGAGTAGGTTTTCAGCCTCGATTTAAAGACAGCGATTATGTCTTTAAACTGAGTACACTGGAATAAATAATGTCTTTCAGTGTCTTTCTTTTGGCAAGAATTTATACATGCACAGCCATTGACGCGTTTCACTATTGTGTGCACCAGTGTACTGAACACTGACCACAAGGTTATTCTCCAGACTTTATAAGAAAAGACTCTGCCCCTGGTACTGATGAAGGGCTTGCAGCTTATGATTGAAGCATACATATCAAACTGTAATAGTGAGTTCACTCAGATATTGTTTAGATTACTGTTGGATAGATTACTGACTGGGCAATTAGGGCCAATGCCCAGGGGCCTCTGACTGCCAGGGGCTTTGAGGAGGCTCAGACCACAAGGCCCAATGCAACTCAAACACTTTGGACTATCCACTGCAGACATAAACAGTAGCTGAACAAGTAGCCCTAGATATGTACGAATGATTGAATAAATGAATAAATGTTATGTTTCCAGGTCTGTTTTCATTAATTATTTAATAAAATATTTGGCTTCCCAGCAGTAACGTTGACTATTTTGTTTCCTTTTGCAATTGCCAAGTAGTGAAAAAGTTATTCAATCAGTCCGCCAATAATCCGTCCAAAGCAGTTGTAGTTTTCAAAGTTCCCCCTTATTTTCAAAATGCATCATCAAAAAAGGGTTTTCCTATTTTTTTTTTTACCTGGAAAACCTCACTCTGGAAGCCACTGTGACATCTTGAAGAAGTAAATATGTTTACAACAGATGGTTGCATTTCTGATTTTGGCTGGGAAAAAAGACTGCTTTAATCTACGATCCGTAAAACTGGCCTTGTGTGAGTTATGGTCACCTGAAAGTATGCGGACTGAAAGTAAATGAGCTGCGTATGTTTGACAACTCTGGTTTCATCTCCATAGCTGGGCAAGACCTACAACAATATCTTCTCCATGCAAATGGGGCGACAGAAGTCAGTCTTTCTCACCGGTTATAAAATGGTAAAGGAAGCGCTGGTAAACCAGGCTGAGAACTTTGCGGATAGGCCTTACAGCCCCCTTGCTGTGAGGCTCTACGCAAGCAATGGTAAGTCATCTGCTGTCAACCACACAGTTAGTGCGGATCAAATGTGCATGTTTTTCTTACTGTGTCCAGCATAATGCCTTAGTCAAGATTAATGTCCACTTCTTAGTTCTGCAGAGTTCTTAGTCTGATTAATATCTCAGTATACCTCTGCAATGTAGACTGCAATATCGCCTGTGGAATTAACTTGCTCTCCTTCTTGAGCAAAGTCTCTTCAAAAAAAAACTTTTGTGCTTGGCAGATGATGAAAACACAACTGCCTTGCTCTTTAGAGAAAATCATAGAGTTGTCATGTCAGTGCCTTAGCAATTTTAACTGATCAGTTAAATCTGAGTAGTTGTTAGCTTTTTAGGTCAGGAGGTGAGTGACGTGTGATTGAAGCAGGCATATCAAACTCATCTCTTTCTGCTCCTGCAGGTGGACTATTTTCCAGCAATGGTGAAATGTGGAAGAAGCAGCGGCGCTTTGCTTTGTCCACACTGAGGAACTTTGGGCTGGGGAAGAAGACCATGGAGTTGGCCATCTGTGAGGAGAGCAGATTCCTGCAGGACGAGATGGACAGACAGAAAGGTACAGCACATACTCATCAAAAAGGCTTCACCTTTGGTCAGATCCAGAGCCAGATAATATCCTAACTTTAATTTGCATGAGAGAAAACATAACTGTCTTTAGAATGATGTGAAATTTCAGGTCTAGCTTCCACAAAATAACCTGATAGCATGTAGCAATGTAGTAAAATGAATGATCTACACTGACAAAAAAAAAGAAATGGCAATTTGCCTGTCTGCAAGCAGTTAAGGGCAGAGTGCCTCTACCTATTTCAGTCATACTACAACCCCAATTCCAAAAAAGTTGGGACGCTGTGTAAAATGTAAATACATGTAGATAAAAACAGAATGATTTGCAAATCTCATAGACCCATATTTTATTCACATTAGAACATAGACCACATATTAGATGTTGAAAGTGAGACATTTAACCATTTAATGAAAAACATTAACTCATTTAGAAAATGATGGAAGCAACACATCTCAAAAAGGATGCGACAGGGCCTTGTCTACCATTGTGTGGTAGACATGGGCCTGTCATTGTGTGACAACAGTCTGTAAAAGTCTGGGAAGTGAGGAGACCAATTGCTGGAGTTTTGGGAGAGGAATGTTGTCCCATTCTTGTCTGACATAGGATTCTACCTGCTTAACAGTCCTGGGTCTTTGTTGCTGTTTTTTTCGTTTCATGATTCACCAAATGTTTTCTATTGGTGAAAGGTCTAGACTGCAGGCAGGCCATTTCAGAACCCAGACTCTTCTTCTGCTAAGCCAAGCTGTTGTGGTGGATGCAGTATGAGGTTTAGCATTGTCTTGCTGAAATATGCAAGGCCTTCCCTAAAAGAGACGCTGTCTGGATGGGAGCATGTGTTGCCAAAACCTGTATATCTCAGCATTAATGGTGCCTTCACAGATGTGCAAGACACCCATGCCATATGCACTAATGGTCCTCCATACCATCATGGATGCTGGCTTTTGAACTGTGGGCTAATAACAAGCTGGGAGGTCTTTAGTCTGGAGGATGTGTCCATTATTTCCAAAAAGAATTTCAAATTTTGATTCATTGGACCACAGGACACTTTTCCACATCGCCGTAGTCCATCTTAAATGAGCTTGGGCCCAGAGAAGTTGGCGGCGTTTCTGGATCCTGTTTATATATGGTTTCTTCTTTGCATGATACAGCTTTCACTTGCATTTGTGGATTGCATGGCAAACTGTGTTCACTGGAAGATTTCCTGAGCCCATGCAGTGATTTCCAGTACAGAATCATGCCTGTTTAAAATGCAGTGCTGCCTGAGCGCCCGAAGATCATGAGCATCCAATAATTACCGTCGACCTTGTCCCTTGTGTACAGGGATTTCTCCAGATTCTCTGGATCTTTTGATGGTATTATGTACTGTAAACGGTGGGATATCCAAAGTCTTCACAATTTTATTTTGAGGAACATTTTTCTGAAATTGTTCCACAATTTGTAGATGCAGTTTTTCGCAGATTGGTGAACCTCTGCCCATCTCTGCTTCTGAGGGACTCTCTAAAATACTCTTTTTATACCCAGTCATCTGAGTTAATTGCAAATCACTCCTCCAGCTGTTAATTAATAACGCTTACTTTTCCAGCCTTTTGTTGCCCCTGTCCCAACTTTCTTGGGATGCGTGGCTGCCATCAAGTTCTAAATGAGTTAATGTTTTTCATGAAATGGTTAAATGTCTCACATTCAACGTCTGATATGTGGTCTATGTTCTATTGTGAACAAAATATGGGCCTATGAGATTTGCAAATCATTGCATTCTGTTTTTATTTACATTTATTTACATTTTACACATCGTCCCAACTTTTTGAAATTGGGGTTGTATTTCATATAAGAGAATGAGAAAGCATAAATAGTTCATTAATTTTAATCATGACAAAAAATTAATAAATCCTAAGGTAAGCGCATTTAAACAATAATCAACAAATAAAACTATTAGAATATTAAAACTACTAAATAACTACATGTAAATAAAATAAGTAATTTGGAAGCAAAACCTTCATTGGTGTCTTCATAAGCTAAGACACGTTTTTTGTTTGGTTTGTTTGTTTTCCTAAAGCAAACCAGAAAAACAAACAAACCAAACAAAAAAGAAAGCATACCACATACTCATGGGACCCCATATGATTTGTGGGCCATAAACACATCTATATTTCTTACTATAAGTGGTAACTTATACTGCTTATAGTAAGAAACAGTCCTGAAAAGGAGATTCAAAGCTGTGGAGGTAGAGTACAGCACATATATGTCACCCTTATATGCTATACACCATATCAATAGCTCAAGTATACCTTACATTGAACCGATGCATTTCTAAATTTAACAAACCATTTTATCTCCAGGAGAGGCTTTCGACCCTACTACACTTTTTAACAATGCTGTCTCCAACATCATCTGCCAGTTGGTGTTCGGCCAGAGATTTGATTACAATGATCACGATTTCCAGATGATGCTGAAATACATATCTGAAGCACTTCAACTAGAGGGTTCCATGTGGGGATGGGTAATCTGCCTCTACATACAATCTTTATTACTTAAAATTCACTTAAATGAATATATCCCAGCTATACTCAGCACTTACCAGATATTATAGCTAGAGTGCATCCTGATCCTGAACAGCAATGCATAACCAAAGCTTTCTCTTCCCCACCAAAGCTTTATGAATCGTATCCTGCCATTATGAAGTATCTGCCTGGACGACACAACGTCCTTTTTAGAAACTATGAATTTGTTTCTAAATTCATAAGAAAGAACCTGGACAAACACAAAGCAGACCTGGACCCCTCCAATCCTCGATGCTACATGGATAGCTTCCTGATTGAGAAAGAGGTAGAATACACTCGTTTGTGTAGTGCCACTGACGTAATTGTGTGAATGACACAACAGATGACTCACCTGAGTGACAGTCAGATACATTGTTAATCTAAATGTTTAAGTTTTAACATCTTTCTGTAGCACGTTACAGCTGAATTTTCTTTTTTTGTGCACTTCTCTCCTAATTTCTTCGTCTCTGATTGTGTGTCCAGAACTCCCATGATCCAGCTGAAGGTTTTACTGAGGAAAATCTGGTTTGGTGCACACTAGACCTGTTTATTGCAGGGACTGAAACCACTTCCACGACACTGCGCTGGGCCCTTCTCTTCCTTAACAAACATCCGGAGATACAGGGTGAGACCCCACATCACAAAACCTTACGTTGTTCCATAATCTGTACACTGCCAAAGAAGAAGCAATGCAACACCCCATCACATTTGGCCACCCAGTCACCCAAAAGCATCCTATTCCATTTCAGAACAGTTACAGACTACAGTGCCCTCCATAGTTATTAACATAATTGGTACAGATGAGCAAAAAAGGGTTACTAAAAAAATGTCTTTTGTTGTTTAGTTTGATCTTTCACAATTACCAGCACCCCTGCATTTGCTGCTGTATTCAGTGCTTATTAATGAGGCGTCTCTTATAATGCTGGATGAGATAGGAGAACATAAAAAGAGACCTGAAACTATGTCACCATACAAAATCTCTCCAGATCCTTCCTAGGTCCCTACAAGTGGCCTCTTCTCTTCAGCTCCAACCACAGCTCCCCCTGTTCTTGATTCTGTGAAAATGAACCACTTTTTTATTTTAGGTGCTCCGTTTATCGTTGAAAGATGAAACCTCCTAGTCTTAGGCTCCTGGCACAGGTGGCAGTATTTTTCCTAGGGCTTTGGACAAAAGCTCCACAGTATCACAATCCACCTCTGTGGTTGCTGTAGCTGCCTCGAGTTAAATCACAAACACTAAAGCATTTTATTTGCACGTCCACGCCGTCAAATGCCGTGAGAACTAGATAAATAACCAAATCATAAAATGAGTATTGTGCAATACAGTAACATTCACATAGAAAATTATCATTAAAAAACAGATCTTACATTCTAACACAAATATAGCTCACGTAATCCAATAAACCGAAGGCTATAAGCCTTTAAACTTATGAATAATTAGCTTGTTGAACATTCATGAAAACATAGATATACCATTACTTTACTATATGAACTCTGTTAGCATTTTAGCTGTAAGCTAACGCATATCTATAAACATAACATGGTAACATACATAAAACCATTGGCCGCATTAATTCAAAGAGGGAAAAGGAGAAAACTTTAAGCTTTTACAAGTCTTCACTTAAGTCCAATCCTCATGAACTGTAATACACAGCAACATAACTTAAAATATCCTCTTAAGGCTTCAGATGTGCTTTGCTTCTTATCATAATGCATAAAGCGCGCCAAGTGCCTTTTAGACAAATGTTATATATTTATATTTATGTCAACCAACAGAATTAAATTATGAACTCAAACTGCACAACTGACTTTGACAGCAGTTACAACCAACATACTTCACAGAGGAAATTAGGTTATTTTGAATGGCTTTGTCTCTTTATATACCAAAACCACCTGTTTGTTGCCAAAAAATTTTAGTTTTGTCAAAATTGACCAGAGCACCAGCGATCCTTAATGAACTCCAGGCTTGTTGTGGCTTGACAACAGCAGATGATTCCTTCTGGAAAGACTTTTATTGCCTTTATTTATGAAGGTTGTTCTGTCTCATTTAATTTCCCATAGGAAAGAAAAATCAAAAAAGAGACCTCCTTAATATCTCTGTAGTCTGTCCTAGATAACGATGAGGTCAGATGGAAAAACAAAGTAGATTTTTGCTCGAGTCTCCTGCTGCTCAGATATTTCTCCTGAGAAACAGAGCCCAGAAATCACACATTTTCTCTCGAGTTTTAGTAAAGATCTGAGTAAAGTCACACTTTGTGCTCAGATTTGCCAAGACAGTAATGCTTGTATTTATCTGCAACTTAAACTCTTATCTCTCTCTTAACTCTCCTGTGTCTCATATCTCTCTTTTGACTAATGCTATTTCTCCTAAGTAATTAAGGATACTCACTATTAAGTCTTCTGAGCCACCACAGAGGTGACCTAGTTAGCCTAGTTAGCCAGGAAGATGTAGATCACCACTGAAGACTGAAGAGTTTCTAAAGATGACTAAAATGAGACTTTATTCTTAAGAATTTCTAATGTCGCCAATAACCGTAATTTGTTTATGGAATTTTCCCTTTCTCCCATAGTTACCATGTATCAAGCTGACAAAGAATCCTTTTTAACAAGAGTGCCAATAATCCCAGAGTGCACTGTACATAACTTATTATAAACATCTTTATGAAAAGAATATAATGTGACCAAATATCTGACCTTTTTGCTGATGTAGATAAAGTGCAGGAAGAGATAGATAGAGTGATTGGACAGACGCGCCAGCCCTGCATGGCCGACAGACCAAACTTGCCCTACACTGAAGCTGTCCTCCATGAGATCCTGAGGAGAGGAGACATTGTGCCCCTGAATGGAGCAAGAATGGCAGTGAAGGACACAACACTTGGAGGATACTTCATTCCAAAAGTGAGAATTATATTTTTTTGACAGACGCTCATGGATCGTTAGAACATGCTGGCAAGAGAACAGGTTACTGTATGTATCACTGAGGCTTCGTAAGCTTTGGGGCCTGCATGCAAAAAAACACACTGTTACAGCAAAGCAGTACTAGCATGATACATAGCTGGCTAGCATAGCTACAGTTGATGCACAAAGGATTAGAGGGTTGTGAGAAAGACCTGAAGTCCAGTCTCAGAAAAGTAAAGTTGTCATTTGCTGAAATCTGCCAGTGTTCCACTTCAGTGATTTATTTACTAAGCTTATAACCCACACGTGTCAAACTGGGGACCCTTCCGCGCCAAAAGTTGACCACTCAGATGAATGAAATCAGGCTGATTTGTGAAAAAAATTTCTTTTTGATTTTGTCAATCAGCGGCTTATGTGAACACCAGGTGAGCAGGTATGCAGAATCTCGAGTTATAGAAATTCCACCAATTCAGAAAACCCTGCAGGGACATGGGAAATGGTTTTAGTAGGGTGCTGTGCACCCCCCTGATTTCAGAATTTTGGGATTTGCATCTGCTAAAGAGAATTATAATAATAAAACTTTCTGAAACTTTCTTGAGAGTAGTAAAGACCCATGTGTGCTTGTTTTAGAGCAGATTTTGTATTTTTCTAATTATCTGCAGCCATGGACTGTTTACGTGAACAGCATATTTTCATTACAGTGAGCCAAAAATGCCAGTTGAGGTTCAAAGAGGTCAAGTGTGTGCAGAATTGTAGGTCGGTTCCAAGTTTTTTTTCTTAAATTTGTTCTTGAGAAAGTTCCTAAGAAGTCTATGTTAGATTCACGACATGTTCTTAAAGCACAGAATTGTTTGTACCTTTGTACTCTTAAGCATAGATTCTGTTCTTACCCAATGCCAAATCACAAATCAGACAACTTTGGTGATTGTCAGAATCTTCGTAAAAACTGTGTAAGTAGGCTTCATGAGGAAATTTCTTCTTAAGAACGATTGGTGAATGAGGTCCATTGTTTTTAAACTTAATCATCTATTGTGATAATTATGTTTTTATCAACCACTGTATCCCCTGCTCGGTGAGCATTACAGTGTTAAATCTCACAGCATGACTGTGGGCATAGCAATCATTTACCACACCACAAATCAAGAATTTGATTGGTTGCATCAGTTCCCAGGTGTAGGACATATGCAGTAGGATAGTAGCAATTCATTTACAGTATCATAGTCACATAATATTCAACTCACTCCAGAGGTTTTCAAAGGGGTTATGGAATGGGGGTCTCGGATGGACGCTGGAAAAGCTTGAATTTACGTTCAACGAGTTATTGTTGTGTGCATTTGGAGGTATGCTTTCTATCATTGTCCTGCAAGAAGATTCAGCCATGACCCTGTTCTGGCAGAGGCAGCCAGCTACAGTAACTTAGTGACGTAGATCAAATTAGTACTGCAGAAAATAAACACATTGGGAAGCACAGAATATTTTAAAGGAATACAACTGATTACCATGAACAGCAATTTTGATGCATTTACCTTACAGAGAGCCTATTCAGTTGTAACTCACTTAGAAGCCAATAGGCAGGTGCTAAAACAGCTGCCAAAACAGCTGAAACTACTGAACAACTGAAACAACTGAAACTAAGTCTATAGTAATCGGCTGTATGCTATGGATGGGAAAAAAGTACATGTAATATAGAATATTCCTTTAATAACAGCAATGTTGATTTGGTGCCCTGTGAGACTATATTGCAAAAGCCCTTTTAATAGTTTGCACTTTTTCACTGAGTTGTACTTTTATACTGATTTCTGTTCGCCTCCTTATGTTCTTCTGTTGTGTCCAGGGAACTACGCTGATGCCGATACTTCACTCTGTTTTGTTTGATGAAAATGAGTGGGAGACACCCAATAGCTTCAATCCTGAGCACTTCCTCGATAAAGACGGGAAGTTTGTAAGGAGAGATGCATTCCTGCCATTCTCCGCAGGTAAGAACATGCCCAAAGAAGAAGCCTGAATCTGTCACCTACACAAACCGAGCATCCCTTATCCACCTTCACACGCTCACACTCTCTTTCTCTCTGAATCAGGGAAGAGAGTGTGTCTGGGGGAACAGCTAGCGAGGATGGAGCTCTTCTTGTTCTTCATCAGCCTCTTCCAGAAGTTCCACTTCTCCACAGTGGAGGGGACGCAGCTCAGCACGGAGGGAATTGTAGGAATCACGCTCACTCCTCAGCCTTTTAAAATCTGTGCAAAGGCACGATGAAAACACCTCACTGCTTAATACCCCCCCCCACACACAAAAAAATTAGCATGCTTCTCAAATCAATTATATTGCTGCAACATGAGCTATTCTTGAGGTCATGGACTGCTTCGCATGAAATGGACAAAACTCATCTTAAGATCATCTCTAAGATAGCTTCCTTTCTCAGTCAGCACTGAGAGCCAAAACTGCTTTTTCTGTGAACCTTTACTGTTAACTGAGTTAGAGAAATTGGAGTATCTGAATTCTTAAAGTAACAAAATGTGAATTTTACAGCACACACTTCACTAAATATTACTGAAATATATAATTGTATGCAAGTTTAGGGTACCCCTGGTCAAATTACGTTTTGTTAATTTTCTAAGTGAACATAGTTCACTTAGAAGTACATAGTATCTCCATTGAGGATGTTAACTTAAGTGCGGCCTGTGCACATTTTATATATTTTTTGCAGTATGTTGAACTCAGCAAACAGAAATTGCGCACTAAAATTTATTCCCTATAGAAGATGTGTAGAAAAACAACAAAACATGTAATTTAACCTGTGTCCCAACTTTTGCATACAACTGTATAGTTTATACTTCAAACAAACTGAATTTGCAGTAAAACATTACACTCTCAGAAAAAATAGTACTAAACTGTCACTGGGGTGTTATCCTCAGGGGTATGTCTTCAGTACCTTCACTTAGGGGATATAATTGTACCATATTTCATTATGGTTAAGTTGTATTGACTCCACTCACCATGTCTTGTCCCCCAGCATTTTTATTTTCTTTTATTGATCATGAAATTATGAAAAATGCCAAAAGTCATGGGATGGCAGTATGTAAATTGATTATGAAGTGGCGTTACCTCAGGGGACGGCTTGGGAACGGCCACACTTTTTTAAGTTGTGAGGTGTTATCTTGTGAATGAGGCTGAACACTGGTCAGCATGCTCATGGCAAGGCGACACGAATTGTCTGAGTTCAAATGAGGCATGATAGTGGGTGCCAGACGGATGAGACGTTCCGTTTCCGAAGCTGTGCGGGCACTTAACATTTCTCGATCCAGAGTGTCATGGCTGAATCGGGAATACATCATAGAAGGCAGAAGTTACATCCGCATTCAATGCAGGAGGCCCCACATGCATATCCTGTAAGTCAGTGCAGCGTTCTTTAGCTTCCATGGGATATAGGAGCGCCTCACCTGAGCTTGTGAGGTTGCTAGCTGGACCCTAGAGGACTGTCAACATGTGGTGTGGTCCGATGAGTCACGGTATTGCTTTGGGCAGATGGTAGGGTTCATTTGTGACGCAGACCCCATGAAGCCATGGACCTCAGTTGTCAACAAGGCACTGTACAGGCTGATAGTGATTCCATACTGGTGTGGGGTGTGTTCTCATGGCATGGGTTAAACACATCATTGACCATTTCACTGCATGGTGACCATTTGCAGCCCTTCCTGGATTTTATGTACCCCCACAATGATGGGATATCAGGCCCAAGCTGTCCAGAATTGATTCAAGGAGCATTCTGGAGAGTTCCGACGAATGGTGTGGCCTGCACCTTGACATGAGCCCAGTCAAGCATTTATGGGATGTGGTGGAGAGGTCCATTTGCACCAGAGATCCTGCACCTACAAACACCACAGTGCTGTGGGAGGCTATCCAGACGACATAACTCACCATCCCTCCAGGCGTGTTCCGTCCACTTGTGGAATTGATGCCACATCGAGTTGCTGCACTTCGTTGGGCTAGAGGGGGTCCTACATGATACTAGTTCCTGACCCATGACTTCTGGCATGTCAGTATATGTACCCTTCCCAACCTTTTATAAAAACATATATAGGGTTGCACCTTAAAACCACTGTTGCACCTTTGATGGTACATTTACATTTTTCATTTATTAAAATAAAAACAATGTACCTGAACAGTACCTTTTTTCTGACAGTGTAAACGTGATTGAAAGCACATCTTTATTAGAATATGAATTCAAATGTTCCATATTGGCAAAAAGTAATATTTAAAAGCCTTATTGCACATTTAAGCTATTAGTAGATTAGCTTATTTTACTTTCTATTTTGCTTGTACATGTACATCTGAGGACAGATTCCGGCAGTTTGTTGACCACAAAAGATACAGCACCCCTGTCCTTGAGCAGAGGTGTGTAGTACAATTCTGAGTTCCTCAAGTTCAAGATCTTATGTACTACCTTGTTCTACTTAAGACTTGCAGTCTTTTACAATAATTAACCTCTGTACCACCTCAACACACCTCAACCTTTGTACCACAGAAATAAAGATGAAAGCTTTTGTTCATGCTTTGAATCCAACTTGACTGAAAAGAACTTTTTTTTAGTTTGTTTATATGTCTGCACTCCAGCTCAGGTCTTTCAGAAGGTCTCAAATATTTAAGTAAATTTTAATCAAAGGAACGACAGTCCTGTTCTTTAAAAGCTGAGATGTTTTAGTACTGTAGGTAACAAGTGATCATGTATACAAAAGATATTCTGAGTAGGACAAAGTGCTGTTATAGCATCTTATCTCAGCCTGAAAATACTGGCACAGGGCAGACACTTGTACCAATAAAACCACATATGGAGTGCAAAGGGAATTTATCTCAAGATGGTATTATAATAACATCTTGAGATAAAGATATATTATGGTTGAATATATCTTGGTAGAAAAAGATCTGATGTACAGTACAGTGAAAAAGTCAGAGACCACCACTCATTTATTTAATTTTCAGCCATTAAGTTATTTGTTTTTCAGTGTCAAGAAAAAAAAAGCAGAAAATGTTTAATAGAAAATTACAGACGCCTCAACAATACATTTTTTCAGTATTTACTGTGTTCACAGAGCTTCTCAGTAACTGTTTCTTGACAGGATGGACAGAAACACATGGAGTTTTACAGATCAGAAATGTTCTCCTCTCTCTCAAAGTACTGTTTATTTAATGGTGATAGTTGTGATGGTCAACGAGGTCTTGCACGGTTGTTAGTTGAGTCCCATTTTCTCTAAAGCTTAATCATTTTTTTAAACTAGAGTATTGGGATTTTCACAAGCAAATTATATTATCAAATCTCATCAGAAGGGTCTGCTGAAAAACCTGTTCTTAATGGCTGTTTTGACTACATATTAAAGGAGTGGTCTCTGAATTTTGTGCAGTTTTGTTTGCATGCCTTGCCTGTTTTAACAAAAAAGAAAAAAGAAAGGAGAGGAAGGAGTGAAAGCATCTGGGATGCAGCCAGAGACTCATCAGTGCTGCCAGTGTATTGCTAGGTTAGGAAACTTCAGTGTAAATCAATTTTAAGAACCTTTCACCCTCATGAAAGTACACTGTGATAGGAATACAAAGCAATCACAAACCAGCTTACTCATGCTAGACTGACAAAAACAGACACACTTCCCACCATTCCCACTCTTCCACAAAGATATACTAGGAATTGTGACTGATAACATTGGAAATCTGTTCACCTGTACATATTTTTCCTGAGCTGTGCCTAAAGAGAGAGAGAGTGTGTTACATATATACATACACCCCCTACCCCACATTATTAATATTATTATTATTATTATTAGTAGTAGTAGTAGTAGTAGTGGTAGTGGTAGTAGTGTTAGTTTTATTAATAACCAAAATAAGGAGTTTCCAGCACTTTTGGTAGTCTATATCACCATCTAGAGGTAATGTTTGGAACTTGTCCTTTGACTTCACATCATCAGAACAGACACACAACCATGAAAATATAATTTAAAGTGTTTATTTTTTTACATGAAAACAAAAGCTTTGTGTCCATACATTATTCCATAATATTCCACCCTTATTAAGCTTCATCTTTGACAAAGACAGAGAGCACTCATTAAATAAAGCCACAATTCCAAAAGCTTTCCTCTCATTAGCGTTTCACATAAGCATCTCTAGTTACTTTCATTCAAAGCAATCTCACTCATCACCCAGTGAAGGGTAAAAAGCCTATGTCTGACAAAATGGAAATGAAAAAATAACTGCAGAGTTAATAAAGCTTACAATTAAGAGTTCAGAATCAGCCTAAAGAAAGCCAAATACATTCCAACACAAATTAAACTAATCACGTTTTGAACCTTACAGCCCTAAATTATTCCAGCCTAATGAAGGGCAGATGTTCACAATGTACAGCCTTTCTAAATCTACACTGCAGCTATAGATGATTCACTGGCTATTACACAGGTTGCAGGTTTCCAAATACACTAGAGCTGAGAAAGGCCAGCTGGCGAAGAAGAAAACATTCCAAAAAATGGTCACAGCGTTTGACCCTATCAAAGAAGGCTTGGCCGGGTTACTATGACCATCAGCTGGTGATTTAAACCTGATATCTGAGGCCTTTACACATTGAAGCCAGACAGCAAATGTTCAGTGGACAAAAAAAGTCCTGCTGTTTACAAGAGCATGCAAGAGTCCAATCACAGTCAATTACTGTATAAAAGAAATACTACAAACATCTGCTCCAGTTGATTCAAGATTGGCTGCAGCACCTCAGATTTCCTTATTTTGAGATGTGTAACTGTTTACGTTTCGTATTCAACTGTAAGAAAAGTTTTTTGTAGTAAAAAAAAAAGGAACTTTTTGGTGTCCAGCACCAAATATGCCTTTGTCCTGAAGCTTTATCCATATTAGTTAGTTGATTCTGTGAACATGCATGCGTGGAAGTGGAGAGAATGCTGATGTCAGGTCTATGTTACAACAAGCACATGTCTCTACATAGACATACAGTACAATGGTACTATACATAGCAGTACATCTAGCTGCATAGAATACCACTGGAAGTCCATTTTAGCCATTAGCATGCATGCTGCCCTTTTTAGTCCATCTCAGATGTGACATACATATATAGATTGTGACAAACAAGTGGTACATACATCTCTGGATTAGTCTTTCACAAGCCTCTGAGTTTGAGCACAACGCATTCAGATACCAGTCTATTCTGTCCAAGTTAATGATTGCGGGCTAGAGTGTGTATGGAGATTAAAAGTGTGTAATACATTACATAAGGGAGTGTTTCTGTGTGCTTGAAGGAGAATGCTGAGCGAATATAGTGTTCAACAAGGTATTAAACCCTGTCTTGTTTGTTTGTTTGTTTGTTTGTTTGCATGTACGTGTGAGGGAGTAAATGGGGACATAAGTGCTATAGAAACAGTTCACATTATGGCAAGCTTGTCACTTTACTTAGGGTTGTGCTTAAGGTCACTTAAGTGTGCAGCTGAGGGGTAGACGAGGGGCAGAGAAGGTATGGGAGAAGGCGGGAGAAGAGAAGAAGTCGTCATTACTTTGAGGAAGTAGCAGGCACGTTGATTGACATGGTGCGCCGAGCGTTGGTCACCTGACGTTGCTGGGACAGGAACGACTGACCGGGTGGCACCACAGAGTTAGAACGGCCACCCAACCGAGACTCGATCGCCATCTTCTGGAAACTCAGGCTCTGTGTGTGAGAAAGAGTCAGAGAAGCCAACGGCAACACGTTATTAACAGAGAACAAAAGATTGACCATATCTGCACCAATAGTGTACAGCTCTGTGTAAAAGTCAGAGACCACCCTTTATGTATTTAATCCCCAGTTGAAACAGCCATTATGTTCAAGTTATTCATTTTTAGGGTCAGGAATAAGGCTGAAAACATATTTAAACAGACAATTCCATAAAAGTGTCAACACCTAAATATAATAACACATATTTTAGTATTTACTGTCAAACCTTTGACTTTTTTAAATGTTAGGTTGTAATTTTTTGAAGTGAGTTTTGGAAGCTCCCGTTTTTTTCAACTGTTTACCTCCGACGTTCCCCTTCCTTATGCAAGTGGATTATCTTGTATCTAATCTCCTCAGAAACATCTGAAATGAATAACTTGTATATAAGGACTTTTTGAATGGAAATTTAATAAATGTGGTATGACCTCTGGCCTTTGCACAGTACTGTACAACTAATTCTTCATTTGTTTTCCTCCTGGTGATTCTCCTGCAGAGATGTATTGCAGCTCTAGTAAGATCAGCATGATTCTCCAATTCAGATGCTCCTGAATGCTTGATAAACAGAATCAGGCATTAAACTAGAAGTTGTAAACATTACTTGTCGATGTAAGGGACTATCAGAAAAAAAGTCCTTTCCCATAGAACACATTAGGAGTACATCACTACAAACTAATGGACTATTTTGGAAAAACATATTCAGTGAAACTGGATGTCTATAGTCATGCTGTCTAATGCTGGTTATTTTCAAATTAATTAATTCTAAACTTTTTTCAGAAAAATGTCACTTCCTGCTTTTATATTTTTGGCCTGTTGTGTATTAAGGTCCAACTGCATATCTTAAATAAGTTTAAAGGGTACTACATTCACTTTCTCAGGCGAAAGCAGCATATCTGTACTTTTTCATAACCTAAAGTTTGAAACAGCCTGGAGTTAAGACAGATAGTATGGAGTCAATACAAAAAAATATGGTACAAATATGTTCAATAACTGGGTGCCGAAGAAGTACCCTTAAGAACACCACCCCAGTGACATGAGGGGCACTTCCTAATCACTGTCTTCCAGCATTCATTGCACCTCCTTACCTTATTGTACCATGCAGTCACAATGAGTTTTTCCTCATATTCACGCAGCTTGGCCTGCTCGCACTCTCTCTGTGGAAGACAACAGAAGAAATGAAGGGGACAGAAATTAGGAAAAGAGAAACAGATTAAACCACTAAGACAGGGGTGATGAGAGAATGAAAGCTGAGGTGGGATGTAGACCTCCAGAGCAGCAATTCTCTTCTCTCTCTCTGAGAGTTGGGCCTTAAGAGACTGGATCTCAGCTGAGGCTGGGTTCAGTTTTGGGTCCAGTGCACGGATCACCTGTCAAACACAACACACGCCCATATACACTTTCAGACAAAAGGGTTCTGTACATTTTTGTTCACAAAGGTACAAACCATGTAAAATGTACCCTCAAAGGTACAACAATACTCTTGAGGTCCAACTGCATACTTTTAAAGACTTTCTACTTAGGGTTCTACTTTCACTTTCTCAGGCAAAAGGGGCATATTTGTACTTGTTCACAACAACTTTTAAAAAGCCTGGAGTTCAGACAGGTTATGTGGAGTCAACGCAACTTAAAAAACATAACTGCAACAGAATATGGTACAATTATGTTCAATAACTAGGTACTGAAGTACCCTTGAAGGCACGACCTCAGTGATGTGAGGGGAACTGCCCCAGTGGCAGTGTAGAACCTTTTTTTTTCCTTACAGTGTATTCATCAGTTAACAGCCAGATCTCTTTGCTTGTTCTGGGGAATGATAAGTTGACTGAAAACACAATATA